GGCGCCATGTCGGATCGACGCCGCGCGTGCCTAATCGTCACGCGCCTGTGGGCGTAGTGGCACTCGTGCGATGGCAGCGGCGTGTTCGCCGCTGCGGATAACTTGTTTAGTATTCTTGCTTTGTTATGTTCCTTCCGAATACCTGATTGCTCGTATATTCGTAGTTCTACTTTGTTCTGTGTATCACACGCCTTCAGAAGTTGTTTAGTTGTTATTTAGTCGATGCATTGTGATCTTCTAGGTACTGTCTTCGACGGCGTCCTGTATATACGAGTAGCTAGGCCTTCGGGGGAGCTCAGTCGAACATTACTGAGCGCCCCGAAGGTATGTCCTAATACGAATCAAGTCGAACATTACTGAGCGCCCCGAAGTTCTATTTTACTACTCCCAATCTCTGCTGAGGACGCACCTGATACCGTAGGCACTGGTGGTTTCTTTATGACCAAAGGTGGCAGCAGCAACGAGCTCCTCCTCATCACCACTCGCCATGTTGCCCTCCCGACGGACAACAGGGACGTCATGTTTGAACACGAGGACGAGAGCGAGCCTCATTCCAACATCCTCCTCCTTGGCGATGAGGCCTACGACGATTGCCTCGCGTCTATCCAGGGTGCGATTGAAGCACGCGAGATGAAAGCTGAGCGCTGGGAGCTGCACCTCAAGATGGCGGAGGGGCGGGGTGACAAGGTGGCTGATGCAGAGTGCAAGGCGGCTGAGCGCAAGATAGAGGCGGCGAAGGAGGCGAAGGAGGAACTCTGCACCTTCTACAACGATGTCGGCAAGCACTGGGCCACCTCCGCTAGCCGTGTCCTGGGGCATGTAATCTATTCCCCTCCCATGCGCCTGGGTGCCGGCATCGCAGATGAAGGGTACACGGAGGACTATGCTATCGTCAAGGTCGACACGGACAAGATTGACAGGACTCAATTCAAGGGCAACATGATCGACCTTGGTACTGACTCGACGATTGGGGTCTGGGAGTTTACCAAGAAGATGCGCTCCAACGACGACACCCCCTCCTTTGAGTACCCTTTTGACCGCCTCCTGACGCTCCAGGGCACCATCTCGGACGAGGAGATGCGCCAACAGACCCCCGTGGACAAGGACAAGAAATCATGCCTGATGGTGATCAAGGACGGCAGCGCCACTGGCGTAACCATCGGTCGTGCCAGCGGCATCATGTCCTTCGTTCGGGACGACTCAGATGGCAGCTGCGGAATCTCCAAGGAATGGGCGATCTTGCCATACGACGCCGAGTCTGGCGCCTTCTCCGCTAAGGGCGACTCCGGTGCCGTTATCGTCGACGGCCTTGGACGTATCGGCGGCCTCCTTACTGGTGGTGCCGGTGACAAGACCCAGGTGGATATTACCTATGCTACGCCGATCTCCTTCATCGAAAAGAGCATCAAAACCAGGTACCCTAATGCGCACTTCAACCTTGCCTAGGCATTATTTGGGTTCGTCTTGTTTCTTCCTTCTCGTGTCCCTTTCGCGCACTAGTGGTCTTTATCAAGATCTAGCCCGCAGGCCAGACATTATCGGATGTCATTGGTTTTTAGCGATGACTGTTGAAGTATGATGCTGGATGTTAGCGCTATAGAGCACTGGATAGAACTATTTGTACACTCTTGTCAGGGAAAGTCTTCCTCCTATAGTGTTGTTGATTTCTCGTAGTGGTCGTTTTGTATGATATCAGAAAATGAGGTACCGCAATGCACTTCCCCATCTCACGAATGAAACAGAAGGCAGCATACGTCAAGAAATAGTAGGAAAGCGTGAATACGATGAACATGGACCGTATCCATCCTCCATTATGCAAGGATAAGTAGATACCAAAAAACGTAAAGCATACCTAACAACGCATCACGTCCTCGCACGCTTCGCCTTAAATCCCTCCGCATCGCCAGTCCCACTACGCTTTTTCTTCCCATCCTTGCCAGCGCCCACCGATTGTGACGCAAGCCTCTGCAGGCTCTCAAGCGTTCTCTGCAAGATGATTTTCTCACCCATACGCACGATGATCGCGTTCTTTTTGTTGATCGAGAGGGTATCTTCCTTGTACAGCAGCGCTTCATCTTCCTGCATATGATGACGAGTGTCCGCGTGAGATATAACAAACGAAGAGAGGAACGAAGACGGGAAATTAGCGTACATCGATAGTGGTAGGGTACTCCTTGAGCCTGCGATGCAGAACCTCGACGAGCACGCCGATGACCGCACCGTCCATCTTTGGTTTAGGCGGTTTTTCTTTCTCGCGTGTTTTCTCCCAATCGGGCTCGAGGAGCTGCAACAATCGTACGAGGACGATGAGAGGTTCTGGAATATCGAGGTCTGTTTCAAGGACGAACACGCTAGAGAGAATAGTGAATATTAGTCAAATTAGTCGAAGTTCAGAAGGAGTGCAAATATTTACTCATCGCCGCCCATCTCGAGATACCAGTCAATGCGTTCTGCCACTGGAATGCTTGATCCTGACGCAGAAACAACGTCGGTGACAAGGTCCGCGCGGACCTCGACGACGTCTGCTGGGTTGCCGAGTCCGCCTTGCGCGAGCGGGACTAGGTCGACATGGCCGTACCGGCGGAGCAAATCCGAGTTTGGCGGGTCTCCGTAGGTATTCCACTAACGGCAGTGCCAATAAGGGCGTATAAGTAACACGATCCGTTTCAGCGAAGGAGTAAAGGAGACGCACGATCTGGTCCCCTCTCCGAATAAATCTGGTAGTGCGCATCTCGAGTGCGTGTTCTTCGTAGAACAATTTCGCGTTTGACGAGCCATACCGCGCATTCAGCAGATCTGCCATGGGTACCATCGCCACATCTGCCGGATCTTCCGCGTCCTCTTCATTGTCTTCCTCATCCGCACCCTCACCATCGCCTGGCCCTTCCCCATCATCGCCTGATGCTGCCTCCTCCGTTGGAGGGACTGCTTCGCCAGATGGCGCAGAGCCGTTTTCGGCTTGTGGTTCGCCATTGACATCTCCCATCTCTTCTTGATGGAGGGAACAAAATATTAGATTAAGGACGCTCGCTAAAGGTAAAGAAAGATGGAAAATCTAGCGCACCGTCCTCCGGGCCTCCTTCCCATTTTTCGACATGAAAGCTCCGTGATAAAATCCGGCTCCCCATGATGTGGTATCGCTCCACCGAATAAAAACGATCAAGGGTGTCTAGAGGGAACAGATCCGGACGCGACTGTAGATGAGGTAGGCGACTAGTGAGAACGTGTCGGTTATTACCAGTGTTGGCTGCGAAACGCGTACCTGTACGGCGGGGACAAGTTTCTCGCGATAGTCTTTCTCTGCATCATTGCGTCCGATCTTGTCTGCATGAAATACGCGTCAGCTGCGAGGGAAGGGAAAGCGTTAAATAACGCGCCTGGTACAGCAGTGCCCTTCAGCTCCTCCAAGTCTTCTGCGCTCCAAAACATGGGCGTATCAAATGTGCTCGGGAGCGAGGCTACATGGTTGCATTTTCAGTAAGCTGGCTTCCAAAGTCCAACCGAGTCCGCGATGCGCATCAAAAAGAACTCACAGAGATACACGTCCCACTTCGACTCCACACCCCTGCTCTCCTCCCACATCATACACAGAATCAAGCCCACCCATCCCTTGTTCAGCCCAAATTCCTTCCACCTGTCCACACCGAGAAGACTGGGGAGCGTCGACGTCCGTAGAGACAGCGTAAGCTCGCGCGGGAGCGAGAAGAGCGTCGTGCCTTCCTGCGCGTATGCCCGTCAGATGCTTATTCCATGCACATATAAAGATGATCGATGGCGACGAGAGCCGGGACAGAAAGGAGATGGGAAGAAGCACAGAGAAAGTATAGATGACTGACGTGAATATCCTGTAATGCGAACGCGCCGCGTCCGTGTCCGGGCAGCTCCGCGACGTCCATAAGGTGCGACGCGACGACGCCCCCATGAGACTCGAACCAGCTCGCGAAAGGCGCGAGGAGCAAAACGGGCGTTGGAACCGACATCCTGGTCAACTGTGTGCAGCACTTGGGGACCCCGCGGTGGTGGACTTGCTTGGCTTGATGAGATCGAGGTTCCTGTGGGTTTCTGCACAAGAATGAAGATGCGACTCGGAAGATAGTTGAAGACGAGCGAATCGAGTGTGTGGCTCAGATCTCCGGGGCTCCGTCAGGGGCTGCTCGTTATGTTTCACCAAAACTGAGGAGCGAGATTCAAACAAGGGCGGATGCAAAAAGTTAAAGGCAAAACACATATCCTCATCAAAACAATTGCCGCCCCGTCCCGCCGGGCCGGGTCGCTCCGGCCCTTCATCAATTCGCCGTCTCTCGCGGTGCATTATAAGGTTCGGATGGGTTTAGACACGTTTTAACGTCCAACGGTTTGACGGGGCGCACCACGCTCGCCGTATGTCTCACTTGGCTAAGCACCGCCCAAAGTTTTGTGTTATCTCCCCACCTCTTTGACTACCGCAGCGTGTCGCATGCAGATCTGAGTTATGTGGAGGAGTCGCGGCTGGCATTATGTCTCAACTGCTTATCGTTATATAACACTTGTAATGGGTGGTTGCTCGTGAGAGGATCCAGCGGTTTCCGACAAGCTCATGAAGTAGTACTGTGTGTCTGAGTGTAGTAATGGTGTCGTTTTGCTTCCTTTATTATTATTATTACTGTCATTATGATTATGGATCCATTAACGTCCAATTTGCTTCCCTTATGAAGCGCAAACCTGAGACTATTTCACACGTACCTCGATCAAGAACGGAAACGCCTGTCGTCCCTGATATCACGTTGCGCATGATGGTGGGAGTCTTGAGATGATCTGAGGGAGGAGATTACACAGATTTATTCTGGTGAAATGTTGAAACTTGATCGGAGTCTCGGCAAAGGCCATAATTTATCTTGCACGATGGACTTTTTCGATACGGCGAGTTTGGACAAGCTACAATACCCACCCGGCACGACCCAGACTCATTGCTAACATTACTACTGGTCGATAATTATACAGGAAAATATGCGACCACTTTACGTATATTTGAACTGACAGACATGCAGCTCATACCAGTTTTCATCACTCTCATCATTCATGTCCATCAGCATCGCCACAGTCCTGCGATTTCGGAAGACTATGTTGCTGTGCATCTACGCCCAAAGATGTCCATACCATGGGACTCCGGTTCGCCGCCAAATGTGGACACAAGACCCCAAAGGCTCTCCGTTTCCTCAGGCTTATATACGCAGGATTTGACCTGCACCAACTTGAACCCTTGTGATGTTTTCGTACTACGCGCACTCTCATGCCTGCATCTAACTTGATCGTTTCCGCCTTCTCATTCTTGGGTGCGATGCTTATGGTGTCTCAAGCCAGCTGTAAATATCAAGGTGAATTTTGCATCCGTTCTCTCTTTAACGGTTATCGTTTGACCTACCGTATTTCCAGCATGGAATACTGGATCCGTCCTTTACATTGTTTGGACAGGCGTAATGTGTATCGTGGTGGCTGTGAATGCCATCGTATGGAACAATAATGTTGATTTCGACAACATCGGATTAGTATGGTGCGATATAAGTACGTTTTTACCTATCAACACCCGCCAAATATTCTTTCACTTACAGAGGCTGATTGACTTTGTTACTCATTAGCTTCTCGCCTCATTATTGGGGGAGCTGTAGCAATCCCTGCGGCGACCTTATGCATCAATCGCCGGCTGCATCAAATACTGACGCTCCAATATCAGAGAGATCACGTAGGAGAAGCTACTATAATGCCAAATTATGGTTAATGTAGCACTTTTGCAGGTTGTTCGTAATACCCTTGTAGATATCTGTATCGGTTTGGGTATCCCAGGACTGACTGTGGTACTCTGTAATATTTCCCGTAGATTTAGAGGCGTGAAAATAACTAACGTCACATCAGACTACGTGGTTCAGCAATATCGTTCCGGGATAGTGGAAGACGTTGGTTGTTATCCTGCGATTGGAAACTGGAAATCCAGTATTCTACTATATGATATATGGCCTCTCCTTATCACGTTAGGCTCGTCGTTTTACTCTGGTGAGTGGAAGCGACGCCATCAAAAGCGTTTCGTGAGCTTTTATTTTATTATATCCTTATTCTTCCTTTATAGCTTTGGCAGTCCGCGAAGCTCGTGTCCATGGGGATTTCCTTGAGCAAACACTCAATTCTAGGTCGAACGATCGCCAATTAACATCCAGTCGTTTCCGAAATCTCGTCCTTTTATGCCTGATCCAGAATGTCTATCAGCTATTGGTCTCAGTTTACGGCTTGATCACATTGGTTCCCCAGAGCAACGGATATGTATTTTGGCCAGGCTGGCAAGAAGTCCATGTCAACATCACTCAAGTGTTTGTTTGGACAGCAAACAACAGAACCTCAAGCGGTGACTTCTCCTGGGTACTAGAGAACTGGGAGGATTCCCCGTGGAGCGCTCTCACGTTCTACTTTTTTCAGTGGACATATGTCATCCACGCGTTGTTTTACTTCGCTTTAATTGGACTCACAAGCGAGGCCAAGGATTCATACCGTCGGGCGTTGCGCCTCCGAACAGCTCGTTTAGTCCCGCCCGCAGCAGTTATGCCACCATCTGACTTCGACAAAAGGACGTTCAGGTAGGTTAAATGGACAATGACTGCCACATAAAGTGCTCACATACAGTTTAGCCGCCTTTCTCAACCTCCAGAGCAAACTGCCAGCGCTACGTTAACCAGCATGGCGTCCATGTTGTTTTTATCCTTCGGCTCTGTATCAAGACCCCCTGTTGAAGCACCAGTAGACACTAGTTTGGGCGAGCTCGAGGAGGCACTTCATGAAGACATCGGTGAGAACGTTATACAGCTTGATTCCCTTGATGATGCAACAACTCCATACGTTGCACAACCACAATGACGCCCGTACCTTTTCGTCGACGTCGCCTCCAGAGTGACGGACAAGCTTTCACAGAGCTGCGCTTAAATATATAGTATTGATATAATAATTGTCACGATCAGAGGTCGAATATACGTTATGTCTCACTCTGCATAGTGAATCGGACACGTTCGGACGTGTGACGACGATTTAAGTGAGCGCACCACAGCGCATGTCGAAAGAGGTCTAGTCTCAAAGCAAGAAAAGAGCGAAACGATAGCCATGTGCAGTATATTTACTCATACATACAGAGGTAAATGCCTAAAAATTACAGTTTTATACAACGAAGTCGCGGTTGGCACTCCGCGAGGGTAATTGGTTGAGAAACTATGCGAGCAAGCGAACGATGTTACCGTCCCGACACCCCTCCAAACACCTTCTCCGAGATCTCAATGCGCCCATCAGCCCACTTCCACGCATCTTCCCTCTCGTGAGTACCACCGTTCGGCAAGCCGTTGCCAAAAGCATCGCCAGCCCTGTCCCAGCCACAACAAGACATACAATGAGCACCAAGCCCGACGCAGCACGCAGGTACCCCAAACCCCGGGTACCCACAATACACGACGCACCGCTGCACCTACACCGCGGTCCACCAGCGATCGCCGCCCAGCGACAGGCAATACTCACATTCTGGAGCCATACCCGCTCTTCCCAATCAGCCGCTCACCCGTCTCCTTCCACCAGCGCTCCGCCTCCTCGTCCGCGTCGTACCCAAACTGAATCGCACTCTTCCGCTCGTCCGCCCACTGATTCGCGTTCCCCGCGTTCCCCACCGCCGCCAGGCCCGCACCGCCCTCGGCCGCGCGCCGCGCGAGCTCCATCGCCTCGCGCATCTCGCGGTCGCGCTTGCGCTGGTCCGCGCCGTCGGGCAGGTGGAAGATGTGCTGGTTGAGCCGCGAGGACGCCTGCGTGTCCGTCGCGCGCGTGTACCGGATGGACTGGTACGCGTACAGCAGGGGCGTGATCTGCTCGCGCGACGAGACGCGCGAGAAGAGGTTGCCGAGCACGGCGGCGTCTTCGACCTGTGCGTCGTCAGCCGCGGATCGCGTAAGTGTACGGGCAATCCATGGGAAGTGGGGGGTGACGTACGGCCATAGCGGACCCTTGTGCACGGTATGGCTAGAAGAATACAGATGTTCATTAGATATCCTGATTGCGTGTATTGCGAGAGAACGGGAGACTCACAAGCATGGGATGACACGAGTCTCCAAGGAGAACGACTTTCCCGTCCGTGTGCACCCAGGTGCGAAGCGGCCCGCGGTCCATGAGCTTCCAGTTCAGTGTGGACGGAATGAGCGCGAGCAGCTTCTGGATCCTATGAGGGTGCAGCAGTGGACACACGCCAAGCAAATGAGGAAGAAAGAGGTAAGTTTATCTGATAGCATGTGCTTGAAAGAATGGGAAGTGGGAATCGGGAGCGAATGTATAATGGCAACCCAAGGGGAGGCAAACGTGGAAAATGAAACGTACCTGGGTTCCCAGCCCTTGAACTCTGCACGCATTTTGTCGGCGCTGCCTTCAGCAGTCCAGGACTCGACAGAGCCGTCATCAGGATGCGCAAGCACTACATTGTATTCCTTCTTCGCACGCTGTAAAACCCGTCAACCAACATTGAACTCGCATTACCATGACTAAACGCTCCAACTCACGATATTATAGGCCATAATGTGTCTCTCGGGCCCCATCCACCCCACCATCTCGGGGTCCTCCACCAACGGGCGCAGATCCGGATCCTGGAGCAGTAGCTCGGTGGGTATGATCGCGCGGTATGCCGCGTCGCCCGTCGCCACGGGCTTGTCAGGCCCTCCGACGACGTACTCACGCACGAGTGACTTGACGCCGTCCGCGCCGACGACAACGTCGCACGTAATGACTTCGCCCGAGGCGAGCGTGAGCGAGGGCACAGCAGGGTCCATAGACGTCACGCGGCAGTCGGTGCGGATCGTACAATGGGGAGCGGCGAGCTCGTACACGAGTTTGTGGAAGTCCGCGCGCTGTCATTGTCAACGGGTGATCCGGGGACATAATGAAGGTCCGGGGGAGCGAGGAAGGAAGGGTGGTTAGCGACCAACCGAAGCGAGCGGAGGCATGGAAGGTGCGATACGTACGTGAATGTGGTAGTACGGCGCGCCGTACCGCTCGTCCATCGTGTTCCCCCATCGCGTCCATGCGACTGTCTCTCCGGTCTCCCCTGCCATATCGTCGACGATTTAGCCCCTATCCCGCTAGTTAAGTGTACGGACTCACACCGTCTGAACGTGATCGCCTCCGGCTTGACCGCGACCTGCTTGAGGCGCTCGCCGAGGCCCCAGCGGATGAGAAGCCGCGTCAGGTTCGGGCTGACCTGTATCCCAGCACCGATCTCGCCGATGGCGGGGGCGGCCTCGAGGATGGTGACGCGATGCCCTGCCTGCGCGAGAGTGTACGCGGCGGCGAGACCGCCAAGGCCGCACCCGACGACGACAACGTCGAGCGCGAGTGAGGCTCTGCGACCCTGGAAGAGCTTGGATGTGGTCTGTGGTATGTCCATGGGAGGAGAGGGAGCGGAGAGGGGCATGATCAGCGTTCAAGTTGACTGGTAGTGGGAGACAGGGAACGTACAGACGACGCTGGTGAGACACTGTGTGACGTGCTAAGCTCCGGGGTAGCCTGTATGGTCCGTGTCAGCCATAGACGTCATTCGAGGATAGCTTGAGGCTAAGGCAGTACTGCTAATGCCTACCATAGTTCAAAGACGTCTCTGAGAGTCGTGCTAAGCGAGTGGGAGACAGCGACTGCGGAAGTGGGGCGAATCGTCGGTCATGCATCGGACGCAGAGCAGTGGGCTTTTATTGAGACGAGGCTAGTGTGTGTCCCCGTGTATGTATGTGCATGTGAGGCTCCGGGGGTGGGGATGGACCTGCTAAATGGTTTACACGACAGGTGTGACCCGTCCGAAGAGGGCTATAAGGTGCCCTTCTTCCTTCCCGCGCTTGTCCTGCACCCTATCATTGATTCAGAATGTCAACAAAATCTAACACACCGTACTATTGTTCTATGTAATATGGAATGTTCCGATTCGGAGGCGGTCTTCGAGCAAATAATCCATCTACGTTTATTACTCACCTCTCCTATAACGGCATGCCCACCGCAGTGCAAGCCTGTCACCCTCGGATCTCACCCGCCGCCTAGACGTGCCCCAGAACTTTGAGATACATTGACAATGCCATAATCAATAAGTTGAGCAGCGCTACATCCTAATGGGTTTCGCTCCCTCCCTACGCCGTCCCCCAATTGCACCCAGAGAGCGCAATAACTTCGTCGTTTTCCAGCACCCGCCTGACTTGCGCTCCTAACGCTCCCCAAAGGGCAGTGTTACCCAGTTGACAGATAACAACCGGCAACCGACAACGATAAGGCTGCTCTTCTATTCAATGAATGTTGCTCGGGCGGCGATAGACACGTCGAGAGCCGCTTCCTGATCAGAAACCACGCCTTCATAAACCTGCACCTGTGTGCCCCAGCTGGCACGAGGCTTGTCCTTGAGAGCCGGAAGGGCAAGCCTTGGATGGATAAATGGGTGCGGCACCGTGAGTGAGCGGTAGCATGCTATCAGTGCTGCTCGAAACACTACTGGCTGAGACCTGGCTTCGTGTCCTTCAAACCTCTTCGGTGCTCTCAGACCAGGGGGAACCCCCAATGGCACGCCTCGTTGGATGTGGGATAGGAAGCTTGGCAAAGTGCTTCGTGTTCGCAATGATGCCTATCGCGCACTAGAAGTCCAGCTATACAATACTCCCAGCACGGGCCCGAGCAGTGTCGGGTAAACACAATATTCGTGATGGGATAGGAAATTTGAGGACTGTACCCAGGTACGAGTCACGCACGAGGAGAGGAGCGGTACACTCCAGTCCACACTCAACCTAAACGTCGCTCTGTGGGGGCAAAGTCATACAACGATGGGGTCAGCCAGCGTTCGCAGTATTGAATTCAAACCTTCTCGTGAGTGCTGTCCCACAAATAGCAGATATCAGATAGGCTGTATGTTTGATGCGAGAGGTAAATCCCGTAGTATTTTTAGCACCGAGAAAACGTTAACCGCGCTGTAACCTAATGTAACACATGAGTTCTGATGGCATCGTTGGTCGATTGTTCATTAGACTGTTCATGCTCACCAGTCTCGGGCGTAACGCGGGTGTGACTTATGCACAACGTCCTAGCACCCATTGAGAATCGGTGTTTCTAGGTTGATCTATTCTGCCTCGTACTTACGCGTCGAGTCCGGAGATCGCAACTCGTAGAAGTGCTGAGCAATGAGAAAGCGAATGACCAAGTGTTATGTCACTCCAATCAGAAGGGGTGAGGGTGAGACGCGGTGGGAAGGCGAAGAAAACAAGGGGATGTTACAGATTCACAGAGGAAGCTCGTGTTCCGGTTGGATGACTGAGAAACACGTTTTGGACGCACATCGCTCATGTGCTCATCGGCATATCGGTGAGCACAGAATGAGCAAGGATGAGCATCTCCATATGTCTCGACGTTGGGCGGTGATTGCACGTTCAGTCTCTCGGGCTACACGGATATGGTGAGACTTGCAAGTTGCAGTAGCTGTTGCAGCTTGTCCAATTGTGCAAAACGCTCTCTGATAAAAAGACGTCATGATTTCCCGTGGGACCTACCTTCCAATTCGAGATGCTTCGCACAGCCACGGTGCCTCGCCCGCCGGCAGTGCAGGGTAGCCGCCTTCCGGCCATCCGTGTCGTCCGCCAAGAAGTCCAACGTCGACCCCGAGCTGAGCATCACTGTCAAGAGACTCCCAGGATCACGACGATTCAGGAGGACAGAGTCACGAGTAGACTCGCACGATAACGCGCACGCGTAGTTAAGGGCTCGTAATCGCAAGGAGATTATGGCCGACCGGATATACTCCCTCCTCAAGGCGAACCGCGACAAGCTGCAGGAGCAGTACGATGCCAACGCGGAGAGCATCGCTGTCGTCCAGGAGGCGTGTCTCTCCAGCGTGCTCCCGCACCTGCGTGCCGAGCTGGATCTCGGAGAGCACGAGGCGGCGTGGGCGGAGGAGTGGCTGAGGGATGAAGGTGCGTGGCCCGTCATCATGCCAGCCTTGTGCGCGCCCTGTTGACCATGATATTCCGCACTTTGCTTGATAACCAGAATCCATCTTTCGTCTGCTACGCGTGAGTACAATCCTTCGCAGGGCACTTGACATCGGTCGAGCGGCTCACGCTTTCGTTTTTGTTTGTGTCTGGATGAGTACAGAGACATAACTTCACGCGTTCCTTCGCCATCGAAGCTGCCGGATCGACCCTCCTTTGGCGGCTGCGCTTCCTGCGGCACGTCCTCGTGCGCTCGCCGCCGGCCTTCTTTCACTGTCTCCCGCCGCCAGCGGCAGACCCATGGGGGCGTCCGCTTGTCGTCATCCGCGTCGAAGACCTGCGAGAGACGAACGAGGGCGTCAAGGACGCGATTCTTGCGGCCGTGGAGGCTCTCCGTGCACACCTGCGATGGTTGAATGAGATGGAAGTGGAGGGTGGTACCAGTGGAGGAGGAAGGGGATGTGAGGGGATACTGCAGTATGTGTTGCTTGTGGATCTGGAGGGCGTTTCTCTGCAGGGTTTCGTGAGTTCCTCTTTGCCCCTTTCTTCCGCGCCAGCTGGCCAGCAAAAGCAAAAGTAGACTAAGGGCGGGCACTGATGACTTTTTCTTCCGTGCCTAATTTGCCCAGAACGTGGACTTCCTCTCATGGGTCATGGGTGAGATCATCCCCCGCTACCCCGGAATGCTTGCAGCAGGTATGCCGTCCCTCCTGACCTTCATCACACTCCCAGCGCCTTCTGCATCTACCTATCTATCGAATTTGACAAGTTCCACTCACGGTGTTCATCCATTCATTTCTACATTCATACCATCCATCCGGTTCCGGTTTCGTCCCTTGCTCGATCCAAAATGTGCAACGCTCTCGATCGGCCATCGGCCCTATACTGCCTAATACTCTTTTTCACTCGTTCCTGTGCACGCGTTCATATCCGCGTCGGTGTTGCGCAACGGCGCCGCTCTGGTTCCCGTTTATTCGTTGGCTGTTCTACGCCGACCACTTCACCTCGCCCGTTCTCGATCTTGGCTCCATCATCGACCTGGACTTCGGACCCGGACCACGACCTATTCATCTCTGCATTCGCGCAACAACCGCTCCCTTATGAAACTTTGCGATATCAAAACATGCGCCATCAAACTATGCACTATCGACACCACACAAATCCGGAACCGAATGAATGAAACCCCAAAAACGTTACCGGACCGTCCCTTCCACCAATCCTGACCGCGGTACCAACGGCAACAACGTCATGTCATCGGGATCTCACATTTTGTACCCAACATGCATCTACATGCATCTGCCGATTCGTCGTTCGGCGATCATCATAATGTGGCGTGGTCTCTCCCCACGAACGGACCGTCACCTGCCTGCACGCATGAATAATCTTGAATAATTGAATGCTTCCAGTCTTCCTGATGAACTATTCCTGGACCCACTCGGGCGTCTGGTCTGTGGCGAAGTGCGTGCCTTTCTCTGAGTTGTTGCTCTATGCGTCCCGTTCCTTTCTGATCAGATGGTTTGTTCATCGATTGTCATTGTCTGCATTTGGACACGGCTTCTACCTTTCTTTATTCTCTATTTCGTTATGCGTAACTCGCGCTTCTCTCCTACTTTCGCCGCTATCATGCTTTGGCTTCTATGGCGGCCCGGTACCCTCGGGGTGCTTCGACTTCTTCGCTCCTCGCCCTCGAATTTGCGTGTGTGATATGGGTCTTTCTATATGTGATTGACGGACTTAAACTTTGAACGCAAAAAAAATCCTCATTGGCACATCGCTTCTCAACGTTTCGACGCCTACTCGCTTTACCTACTATGTGACTCGCACGTTGCCGACGTCGCTGTGGCCCCTTCAAACTATGTGCCGAACACCTCACTCCCGACGCCCCACCTGTCTGTCGAACTTTGTTATCCGCTCTTCGACATGTGCCGGCCGCGCCTTTGTCTTCTTTTCATATTTCTTTCTGATTTTTTTCTCTCTCTGATGGAACAACACATGGCCACCCGGGGAACCTGCACTGCGGTCACGAACATCCCACCATTCCACATCCGCCGACGATCTTTTTATCCACGCAAATTCTACATACACACCGCCAACCGCCGATTTCTACATCAACCCTGTCAACCCGCCAACCGGTGTTTGGGGAACTCGACAACGCGCCAATGCAACGAACGCGGATGCGCCATAACGCTTTCCCGTCTTCCGCGAATGAATGGCGCCGTGTGGTTGGATGGATGCTGCAGGCGGCTGCTCCCCGCGTCAGCGATCTCCCGTGTGTTCTTCCCTTCCCGCGAAGAGCTTACGGCGCTCTGCGGCCCCGATGCGCTTCCCCAAGGTCCGTCGATCCCTTTCACTTCTCCCCTTGTTTTGCTTTGCATCAACTCCGCGATCCTACCCTGCACCTTTCAATTTCATTGGGACTCGCCGTCGCGCTGGAAATCGCCGCCGCCGCTCAAAGGCAGTCTCGTCCCTTGTGCCTTTCGTTTCATCAAATTTACGCTCCTTTACATTAATATGGCGTCCCGCTTGTTCTCGTTGATCTTCGCTGCGGGCTTGGCACGCTGCGATCTCCCACTCTGTTGATCGTCGCTCGTGTCTCTCTTTCCTCTTGCGATCGGCCGCCCACGTCGATCGTGAACGTCCGGATCGTCGATTGTTAACGCCGACACTAACACGCCCCTCTACTCACAGAATACGGCGGGACCCTCCCGCCGCTGCACGAGCTTGAAAACATGCTCCTTCCCGAGCCCGATTCGCCCGCCGGCGCAACGCCACCACGCTCCACATCGCTCACGGTGCCCGGGTCTGTGTCTGTGCCGAACATCACCGTCAGCACAGACATAGGCGGCGCCACAAACCAGTACGCGAACGGGGAGGAGGCCGCTATCGAGGTCAGCAGCCCCGGCACGCTCACACGCCGATCCTCCTCTCGCGCGCTCCTGCCCACCTCGCCGCACAACCCGTTCTTCGCGTACCCCGCGTCCTCGTCCTCGCGCCTCCCGTACACGCACCGCCACGTGCACCCGCCACATTCACCCCACACGCCGCACCCGCACCCGCACCCGCACGCCTATCACTCCGGCGGCGGAGGCGCAGATGCGGTACCGAGCGCAGGCTCAGGGCCGCCGACGTATTACGCGCCGCGCCACGGGCGCAAGCGCAAGCGCGATTTGCTGCGCACGCTCGTGCTGCTGTGGTGGCGCCGGTGGGCGGCGGACGTGGGCGTGCTCGCGTTCTGCGCGCTGCTTCTTGGGCTGGCGCTGCGGCTTGGGATCAAGGGATGGGGGCGGAAGCCGGGCGGGCGGAGGCGGGTCGAGCTGAATCCGGCCGCGAAGGCGGCGTTTCGGAAGGCTTGGATCGAGTGGATGAAGTGAGTGAGCGGGCGGGTAACCTGGGTTTGTCAGTCCGGAGGGGTGGTGTGTGAGGGATGGAGGGGTGTATTATACTGTGTGCTTTATTTCGGGGTGCGGTGCTCCGAGGTGGATGTATGCGCGTTGAGCCGCCGTGTAATTGCGTCTGACCATGTGTCGTGGTGTCCACGTTCACTCACATGCACAACTGATACCCTCTAGTAATTTATTCTAGTCCATCAATCATACGAAACCAAACGTGTGGAAATCCGATTCAGAGCATACGTATCTATCATCGCATTATCTAATACACAAAGGACAAAATGATTGCTACATGTGAATGTTTGCATACCTGCCACTGACAGCAAGACAAAAAGTACTCGACTGAGAAAGGTATTGAGATCGTGGTGCCTAAACCTGTCCATCGTCGACTGTCACTGAGCGTTACATGTTCGTACCGACGGCGGGGGGCCGGGAGTAATGATCATAGATGTGCAAAACTGAGGAAGCGAAGCGCCAGAGGAATGAAGGGTGCATTGCACATCACAGGAAGTACTCGGGCAGCTAGAACAAAAGAGACGTGTCAGCGAGCTGCATTGCCAGCGAGGCAGGCCAAACACCAAAACATTGAAGAAACGCCAAAGCCCGCTGAATAGAATAGACGCCGGCATTGCGTTTGCCAAATGCGAAACGCAAAAGGCCAGTGGCAGAAGACACCAACACACCATCGCGGCACCAAAACTCAATAGCATCGTCCAAAACATAAAAGCGAAATGCATCGCAATGCGATGCAGCATCAAATCCAAAACCGATTATACACACCTTGCCCCCAGCACTCTGCGCGACCTGCTGACTCGGCCCGTCCCGCTCGTTCTCCGGTGCGGCCTCGAAAACGTTGAAGTACATGCTCTCGCCCGGGCCGACCTCGAGAATGCTCGCCGAGTTGCCACATCGGTAGCAGTAATTGGGTGCGCTCCAGACCGTGGAGAGGTGCTTATCGAAGAGAGACGAGTAGCCCTCCATGCAGAGCTGGTGTGCGCGCAGGATGTGCGACATCCGGTTTGTTTCAAGGAATTTGTGCACGACGCCGGAGCCGAATGTGTACCCGGCGCCTCTGTTGCGTGCATCGCATGCAGTACGTGCGAGTTTATTGGTTGCATGGTGGATGGGTGGGAGGCCAGGCCCAACGTGGATCAGGATGGAGGATGGATGTGGATGTCGTCACGAGAGTGTGGAGAGACATGGCGATGTGGGAGAAATACACGCGTTCGTCCGGGCCCGTGGATCAGAATGAATAGAAGGCGATTGTCATGGTCGGTTCAACCGAAGCGATGATGTTGAGGGTTATGATATGATAAAAGGTGGTGTCAGCGATGCGCCTTGAGGTGGAGAACATAGAACGAGGAAGAAAGTTTAGCACGTACCTAGGGGAAATAGCAAAATCTTCTTTCTCCGCATCTGGATCCGACCAAACCAGGTCAGCCATGGGGCCCTCGTGGGGTATCTCTATTAAGCGGAAACATTTAATTCATTGATTCAGTGATCTATTCGGTTCAAACATATGCAAAGCGGTGCAGGATGCGCCGCAGCGAGTGGCGACCACGAGAAAAGGTTTGGCACGTACCTCGAAAGCGATCGACGACCTTTATCTGGTCGACCGAGTGTATCGACGGAGAAAGGCCACCGTGCACGCAGAATATCCGGTCATCGATGACGACGGATAACGTGAGGAAGTCGAACATGTCGGTGAAGTATGTCCACACGTTCGAGGAACCGTACTTGCGCACGCATTCGGTGTAGAACCCGTATGTCTGGCAAAAAGACCGAGTGTATAAGAGCGAGATGAAGCACAATGCACACAACGGCCGACTATGCAAGCAAGGACTCCATGTGGTGTGAAGGGGGATGGTGAGTGCACACCTGTGTCACGGCTCTAGACTCGTGGTTCCCGCGGATTAACTGGACGCGATCGGGGTAGCGCAGTTTGAGGCAGGTGAGGAGAGATATAGTTTCGACGGAGAACAGGCCCCTGTCCACGTAGTCGCCTGTATGCGCGGAAAGTATGTCAGCATGGCTTGGCCGTGGAGGATTGAATCGCGATGGAGTGTACGGAGAGGTTAGACTGAAAGTGGTGACGTACCCAGAAAGAGATAGTTGGTGTGGGGCGCGTATCCGCCTATTCTGAATATCTCTATGAGGTCGTAGAACTGGCTTGGGGCACATGATGTGATGGTAAGCGCGGGGGCGGTTAATTGGGCTAGGTTGGAGCAAAGATTGGAGAGTTGGCTGGCTTACTTACCCATGGATATCCCCGACGACAGTGACTGGTGCACTAACGTGCACGACGTTGGATTCGCGCATGAGAACCTCCTTGGTCTTCTCGCATATCTCGCGTAAGAGGGCCTCGTGTAAGAGTTGCTTGCGAAGGAGCTGCTGGATGCAGGCGTCCAGGTCGAAGGGAGCCATCTAACAAAGATACGGCAGGTTGCCTCACTTCGGAATCGGCAAATTATTCCCGTTTCCTGTCCCCGTGGGAACAATTACTCATATCGGGAGACAGGGGCTATCTGAGTCATTGTTTTTTGAATCCGCCGTCGCTTGCCCACAGCCTGGCCACTGCCCCACATCTACTTGCAACCCTGAATATTTGAAGTGGGCATGACGTCGTTCTCCCCCAGACGCTCTTCCGCTTCCCTCGCGACAGGTGCTCAGGCAGAAGAGAAGCGACCGGCGAGCCGGCAATTTAGTTCTTGCACTCCAGGCCTGCGGTTGTGCATTATGAATCCACCAGATCCATAGATCGGCGACCCGTAGGCTCCAATTGTCTTTCCTATCTCTCCTTTTGCCAGGGCCCTCGTGGTTAGGCCAAGTGCAAAGTTAAGTTCATCTCAGTCTTCTCAAACGGCCTTCAGAAAGAATTTCAGAAGCAAAGAGCTCTCCCGTGCCTGCTACGCCTGATCCTCGAGGCCCTCGTCGCAACGCTTCTCCAGACACAACGCCGCTCCTCCTTGCATCGCCAGCACCACTTGGAACCGTCAGATCGGCCGGCTGCAGCTGACGGCACCTATTCTCGTCCATTCGCTCAATATGGGCTCTTCTCGAACCTCCATGAATAGAGGCGCGTACGTGGAGCTAAAAAAAGTACTTTGTAGCGCCCAAGTTCCATCATCATCTGTCCAACTGTTCAACTGGCGGGCTTACGTGCTCGTGTCCCGAACAACTCTTCCTTCCCTCGCCCTCGGGTCATGTTTGATACACGGGGATCCACCGCGCTCATCGCCATTGCTTGTCTGGACCCGCCGGCCACATACTTACTCGAGGACGCTTACAGCCACATACGACACATTGCACAGGGTGAGACGGTCATTCGACGACACCATATCTTGCCTCAGCATTCTGACCATCGTCGGTCTCCTTCGGCGTCTGACATACCAGTCCAGACGTCAGCTAGTTTCCCCAGCTCCATAACACATCTGTCGCTGAGGACCGGTCCCGCTTCGGAAAGTGAACGCACGCGATGTTCATTCTTCTGCGCTGAAGCGCTGATCGCCTGCCAGACGGGCTAGTCCTATCTCCATCTTTGGGAGACCGTGAGCCTGGCTCTGCCATCCCCTCCGAGGACGCCATGAATAGGTCAAGGTATGATTTAATGTACGTTTGGACCGTGCTCCGAGTTGCATCTCTTCCTCTCGAACGGTGTACAAACCATATAGTTCACATGAAAGTCAAAAGCGATCGATGACGTTTTAGTCGGGTTGAGTTAACTTTCGTAAGGAAACTCCATTTTCCCCAGTTCGTCGACTCCTCTTGACCGAGCACCGAACCGCCAGACGCCAAGTGGATGGAATCGCTGGCCAAATGGTGGGTGATGCTCCCACGGCCATCATGGAGGAATCGCCACTAACCGTATCAGAATGACTGTTTGTATGTGTTGCACAGGCTTTTGGATCAGGTAGAATAGCGCAGAGCCGGCCGATCAGGACAGTCAAGGGCACCTTCCTCTTGTCGTTAGATGAAAAAAATGAAGGAGAAAAAGCCATGGTCGAAGCGATGCGTACGAGCACATACGATTTAATAGTGATGCCGTACAAGGGAGTACTTGGTAAATGTAATAGACTCGACAAGCGATATGAGCAATGCTGTCGTGGTCAGAAGGAGCTTACGGCATGGAGGGCCGAGCTCCATGGATGTGCAGTGGCAACGAATTTGTGACCAAGTTCTCTCAGGAACCCTCCTTGGAACTCCTCGCGATCGGTTGTTAGCACCCAATGACATTTCATGTTTCTTTTTTCTTCCACCTAGATCTCCCGAGCAGATCTCTGTCTTCTTCTCAGCGCACAGCCATAAGCACGCCGCGTATGGTCATGGCAGCGCTTCGTGCAATTTCGCGTACCTTCGCTTGCCCGGCCTCAAACTCTTTCTCGCCCTTGCCCTCTTTTCTCCATCCGTCGCCGAAGCACATCTCCTTCGTCCCCGTGGGCGGCGTACGGCATGCGGTCCCCCGGAAAGAGCGAGAACAGCCGCATCAGCTTGTCCACGCTAGATCTAATCGATTCAGAACACGATCTCCTGTTCCGCACCATCCGCCTTTGGTGCCCGGAGCGTTCTTGCCAAACTCAATTCTCGTATGCTTTCTCGCCCAGCTGTCTGCCACACGCCCGCTCGGCGCTCGCCAATATGTCCAGGTTGGAATGAATAATGTTTCTCAGATCTCGCATCCACGCATTGCCACTCACACCCGGGAATCTACGCCCATGCGAGGTAATTATTTTGTAACCACTCTCTTTAAGGTACGATGTCACCCCCCGTCTGTCCGTCAGGTCAAGACAGTCCATTTCGGAAACCATTTATAAGGTCCTCGACGGAAGCAAAAAATCTGGCAGCATCAGTCTCCTCATCCGTCATGGATCACTACCACCACTACTCCGCGAACAACCAGGAGCCTCATGCTTCTAGCCAGTATCAGGGCCAGTCGCCGTCCGCCCCCGTTCCTGCCAATCACCACGCTTCATACCACCCTTCGTCAGGAGCGTATTCAAATGCGTACTCGCAGTCCCCAGTGAGCCAGCAGCGTATGTGCACTTATCCGTCGACACGGTCCCGACGGAGCTGACCGTGTCTGTCATGTTCTCTAGTGCCGTCGCTCAACACCGTCGTCCCAGGCACATCAATGACCCCGCCTGCGGGTACATCTTTGATTCCAGGCTACGCCACGCATGCACCGGCATATGGGAGCCAGTCGTACCCCAGTCCCCAGAGTCCGTCCGCCACATCCTATCAGACCGCCTCCTTCCAGGTGCAGAGCTACGACCAGCCGTCTGGCACTGGTCCAAGCCCTCAGGCTGCGCAGCAGCAACAACAGCACTTCGTGCCCACGCCCTCTCAAGCGTATCAGCACCAGCAGACCTACTCGGGAAGCCAAGGCCCAATGCCGCGCCGCCGGTCCAACGTCGACCCTTATTACTACGTGTCTCCCAACCCACAGACCTCCTCGGCACATCCTGTCTCGCCAACGCGACACGCCCACTCTCATTCGTACTCGCAACCACACTCGCAACCACTTCCCTCACATGGGCGTTCGCATTCCGTCTCCTCCACCTCCTCGCCGCGCGCCCTCCCCGCCATCCAGCCTGCCCCGTACGCCCCGTCTCCCGGTGCGCTGGGCTCCCCTGGCGGCTCCGCCCCGACCGCGGGCCCGTCGTCCCCGCCCTCGATGCACATGAGTGGCTCGGCCTCCCCCACGACGGACCGTTTCCAGTGCGAGCTCTGCGAGCGCACGTTCACGCGGCTGCACGACCGGCGGCGGCACTACGACACGGTGCATTCGCAGACGCCGGGCCACCGCTGTCGTTGCGGCAAGGTCTTCAGCCGTGCGGACTCGCTCAAGCGGCACCACGACCACGGTTGCGAGGAGGCGCAGCGAGTCCCGAGCCACCTGGATCCGGTCTATGAGTGACTCGGAGCCCGCGAGCCCGAAACAAGTTCGGCCTCGTGCTCCCCGCGCCTGTTGCTCGCAGTCTGGGGTCGTGACGCTCCCGGCGTGGTTTTCCTCCGTGATTCCCCCGGATCTAGAGGTGGACCGCCTCTCGAAGATGAGGGTTGCACGAGCCAATGGCAACGCAGTGGCGTTATTCTATTTTTTTTTTGGCGCTGGCGCTAGGGTACGGCTGGAGTTTCTGATCGTCGTCTCGACTGATAAGGCAAGGGCGGGGGACAGATTTTCCAGAACACAGGGGCCAATTGGGTAGTGCAGTAGCGTGGAGCTCCGCTGGCCCGGAGTACTAGTATGCACGAGGGCACTGGCCGGGCCCACCTGGCCCATTGGACCGTGTGCGCCGCCGCTGCGTGCGCGGGTCTCCTCGCGTGTCGAGACTCTTGAATTTGGGTTTTTCTTGTCGCCATGTTTCCTTCCCTTTGGGTCCGCGTCGCCACATCCACACCACCTCCAGTATCATCTCACTTCTTGCTTCCTGCCTAGGCCTCCGTGTCGATCGCGATGGCTTTTTACCCTTGCTCGTTCCCTCCACCATACAGCTTTGAATGCTCACCCATCATCTCGCCTTTTTTCGTCTCACGCGCCATCACCGCAGTCTAACCTCGCCATCATACACGCCCATGCATACATTCTCCTGTCCGTCCGATAAGTTTATTTTAGTTCTCTTTTGATCCATGCATCTTGATTCGTCCTCGGGGGAGAAGAGTAGAACATCCCCCTCGCAACGCAATACACTAATCTCGGACTTTGCTGTACATGTACATATATGCTCGCGTAACGCCGGATGTAGTCACTGTAATGTAATCGTCAATGTTGTTGATCACGCCCAGTGAAATCATATGGGTGATTGGATTACCCCGAGGCCCAAACCGTCTAACCCAGCCTCAAAGTCAGTCGAGATAGGTGATTTACCTCGGGCTTCGTCGTGCGTCGCGTACGGGGATTACAGAAACCCGACCGACAGGCTGTGTTGGAGAGTTGAGTGAGGATCCCTGGATGACTGGCACTGCCGTGCTTAGTGCTGAACCCATGGCGCGACAAAAAAAAATCTTCCATTGACACGAAGCATCTAGCGAGCCCACTTGACACCTCTAATGTACAGCGTAAGAAGCTGTTAGACTCCTGTCATGCGCATGTGCGCCAGGAACATAGAAGGGCGCTGCAAGTACGTACCCCACCATCCGCCCGAGTCAGCGGCGCAGCGCGACTCGGCAGCGAGATCGCTAGGCAAAAGCCGAAGAGATGTCGAAGCTCTCCTTGAAAAATTATCCAAATTCGCTCGCACACCAGCGCAAACAAGCGGGGAACTTGCTGCATCTCAATCAGTGCCGTCATAGTTTTGTACACATATGCAGCTGACAATGAAGCTTGAAGGCCGCTGAAGCGCTGACCCCTCGCGGGATTCTCTGGGATGTTGATTTTGCAGTCCCGTCAGCGGGTGTCTCCGGCCCTCGGCGATAATCTAAGCGAAGTGCATCCATCCCGCACCCGCGTCGTTCTCGGCATCGTCGAATTTTGCAGCGTGCGTCGACGAACTCCTAAAGCGTCAAGCTGAAGCAGATGCTGACCCCAATCTCATGATTTCATGTCGAACTAGATCTCTGCGACGAGCATACTGAATGATTTATCGGGTACAGGAATGCCCACACCACTTGCGTTGCAGACGGGGTCGACTTCGAAGACGCACGAGAGCGCAGGGACTCGGGCGTGCTGGGATCATTTCTTTCTCCGTCGGCCCTTTGCCGCCGCGGTAGCGTCGAGTGCTTCTCTGCTTCTCTGTCTGATCAACGGCGAACGCCCTGAGCACCCACCGACGCATCTGACCATAAACAAGACGTGCATGCCCACCCACCCTGAGTTACGGGTCGCAAGAAGGGATGTCATGCAGATGTTTAGCCCGCCTGGGGTTCGATCAGGTTCGATCATTGATGCTCTCGTCGCGGAGGTAAATTAACCGGAACGGTCTTGCCATAAACGTCGATATGCATGTCTGGGTATAACGGCGGTGAGGTACTATCGTGCTATCTAGTACTATACTATCATATGAGGGTCTCCGTGCCAGGGTAGCAGATTGATGGCAGGACGATTGCCTCGTTTAAATGCACGTTCGCACTTAGGCACTGCTACATATACAGTTTCAGTTTGCTGCCATATATTACATTCGGGCTTCTATAGCTAGACGCTGATCACAGGGTACAAAACTAAAAACTCTATGTGAGGTAAGTCGTTCAAATGTCCGTTTTCGGCCCTCGCGATGTCAACGGTCGTGTCGTCCTTTTTCCTGTTCACGGCAATCCGAAGAGACCCGCATGAGCCCCATCGCTGTCGCCGTCAAATAATGCGTAAGAAGAACCCGTCCTCGTTATCGACCCCAGGGTGAATCCCGTTGACAGAACGTTGTTTGGGTGATTATTCGCCCCCGCTGTCGCTGTCACTATCTTGGGCACTCCCGTCGTCTTCGAGCCCCTCGATTTGCACCCCGCCGCCCTCCTGGCCGCTTTCATGACCGTCACCCGCGGCCTTATCCGCTCGTTTCTTGTTGATCTTCGCTATTACCTTGTCTGCGCGATTGAAGATGCCGCCTGTGGGTGCGCCGCAAGCAAGGCATTTTGGGGTCTTTGCGTAACGTTTGATCGCGCACGCGGAGCAATAGTAGTGTCCGCAGCGCGTCACGACCGGTTCCGTGTAAGGTTTGCGACAGACGAGACATGCGAATGGAACGTCCTCCTCGTCCGAGTCCGAGTCGTCATCTGACGCATCTTCCACCTGCTTTCTCGGATTCTCCGCGAGCTTATCAAGCTGCCAACCGGCGAGGTCTACGTGGTGCCCCATAAACGTTAGCGTATCGTACTCCGGGGAAGATAAGACCGAGAGTAGAAGGTTGTGACGTACATGTTCCGCGATCGTGCAAGAATTTACAGGTGTCACCGAAGCCGCAGTAACCCGTTTCTACGAACAGGGGTCCGTAAACAGAGAGTCAGCCATACGCCGGCGAATGCAAAACAGCGATGCGCACCTTTGTAGTCCTTACATACGTCAGGCTGATAATCGACGATGGTGACCGTCCTGATCGTGCTCGTGTTTCTTTGTGGGCCGACGCGCATCGCCTTCGGGATTTCCTTACTCTTCTTGACGTGGGTCCTATACTTGCTCTGCCCATGATACTTCCCATCGTCCGGCCCATCCTCGTCCGATATATCGCCTCTGTCCAGCTTCTCCTTTCGCTGTCGCTTCGCGAGGATCTCCGCTGCCTCGTCGCCCGCGATAATCTCGAGCGCCGCGTTCATGTGAGAGCCCTCCGCAGTCCACTTGACGTCTGGGCCTTCCCTCACGGGAGCATCTCCGTCAAGTTCGTCGTCCTCGTCGCGCTTCGACGCTGTTCGCTTTGTACCAGCGCTTAGTAGATTACCGGTAGCTTTTCGGGAAGGGTGCACGACTTGTGACTTGGACGAGGAGGCGACGGGCTGCGTAGACGCCGGGGGCGATGTCGAGCGTTTTCTGGTGGTCGCTGGGCGTGCTTTTCCCTTCTTTTTGAAGAATGGTACATTGATGGGTTCCGTAGACGCCATTGAAGATGCTGAGAGACTATGCGGGGTAGGTATGTTTGTTCCAGGAAGTGCACGTCGGAGACGCGGGAACCGGCTGACTGAGGGCAAAATTACTTAGTCAGCTACGGGCCGGAAGTTCCCGGAGCCGTGGCAAAGTCCCTGGGCGCTGTATGTCACTATGTGTTCTCGTTTGTTCCGGTGGCTTCTAGTGACTTGGCCGCCATTCGCACATGTGCATCATGTGCATCTTCCGCATCTTCCGTCAATGTAACTCTCTATATCATAAACGTTATTCTGTCCTTGACAACCCGAAATTCAAACACTGATGCGTTCGTGGCGGAAACCTGCGTTTAATCAATTCAAAAATGTGCAAGGCCACTGGGAATGCTATCAAGCCAAAAGGCCGATCATACCTAGACATGCGCTCGCTGCGCGGTTTCCCAATGCCAATGCTGCCTTCCATCAATCTCACCTTATTAAGCACACCGTTGAGCAGCCATAATGCATTAAAAGTGCAGGGCTTGTTAGCCGGGCCTCCAAGGGTACATTGTATACGGCATGTTACCCCCTGGAACCCCCTGTGTAACAGCGAGCACCGTTTCCCAGTTCCGAGAATACCAAGGATTTCTTGTCGTGATGTCCAAATTGCACACATGTACGCAACATCCTGCCCAGTGTCACCTCTGCCTTGGATGAATCTGTGACAGGGGCCAGAAGCCACCGTGGACACTAAATGTCCGAAAAGACGCATGGCACCGGACATTCAAATATTCGAGAAATATCGAAGCTCTTCCTTCCTGGTTCTTTGGCGGGCCAGCAGGGTGGACTACGACCATGAACCCATTGGCTCCGAGATTGTTCCTTATTTCTCACAATCTGGTCGGGGGCGGTAGTACTAGATCCATACCATTGCACCACCATAAAGCTTCTGAACCTTGATTCACTCCAGGCCGACTCCCGCGAAGAAAACATGAGTTTCCCGTGTGAATTCGCTTCGTTTTCAAGTTCTAGAGCCAATGTCTGGGTCAGACATCACCTATGACGCAGCGTGTTGTAAATATATCCAGGCGACATGCTGTGCAAGGTGCGCTCTCAGTGGCGCCACCGGCGGCGTATTGCGCCTACGAGTAGATGGCTGTGAATACGAACCTCAGAACCTCATACGTCCGAGGGGAAGGTAATCGTCTTCGCAAATTCGGACTGCTGCGGCTCGAAGAGCGACCGCTGGTGACAACTTTCGGTGTAATCAAGAGCTAACCTTGTCATAAGGTGACCAATTCGCTCGGCTTGTCAGGGATTGGATTTCGGCGGACATACATACGGTGTGTGTTTGTAGGTGACAAAGGACGAACCGTGCAGAACTTAGATATTAAGAATGGACATTCGGCACGAACGTTTGGACATTCATTGTTCTGAAATGGGATCTGAATAACATGCAGACGGAGATATCACTGCTTGACAGGTGCTGAATAGACCCATGACATCGCGAGAAGAGATCAACGGGTTCTAAGTAAAGAGACTATTGCTGTTGTACATGCCCGTCGGGGTAGTGAACAATAAAGACGAGTTGCAGATCCCGACAGAACCGACCAGTAGCGCCCTGTTTCCCTGTTCGAGAACATTCCCACACGTTTTCCATTGTTCTTCAGTCGAACATAGGCGCTATCCTGGGCAAGCACCGAGTAAAACAAACTGTGTAGATAAGTCAGCTCGGGTGCGGTCCGATGTACGTTCTTAGATATCTCATGAAGCTCGGGCTTTGAATGCAGTAAGCCAAGAGCGGTCACCAGAAGGTGTCCAAACTTCGACTGCAGAACGTGAGCTTCTCCTAGCTGAACTAAATGAAGAGGAAGGCCGCCGTAATGATCCCTGAACGACGATCACACGGGAATCCAGCATGTTTGCAGGCGGCAGGCGCTCTGCCGGTCGAATACCGGACATCACGCTGCATTTGGACGCTGTCCGAGATGCTACCGCCTATTGGTTCGTAGACTTGGCTTCAGTTGGGTCATTAGCCTTTATGGGGGGCGAGGGGGAGCATCTGCACACTGGATTTCAGGAATAATCCGAACGGGTTTGGTGAACCCAACGTTCTTCTTCAAAGGCAAGGACGTAGGCGAGTCGGAGGTGCAACTTAAGGTCATGGGTTTCAGGCCGCGAAGCGCGACAACGATTCTGTTTATCACGTTCATACTCACACCGCGGATATGCCAAAGTTGCGGAGAGACTTGACTCGGCGAGCTGCACAATGCAGCTCGATCTTTGCGATGCAATACCGCGGAAGGGATACGAGAACCTGTCTATTGTCAACTTGTCCAACGTGGATGGGCTAATGAGCACCGGGATCTTGATGTGGTATTTGCTTCCGAAAGGTGTGTGCGCGAGAGGCAGATTATGATTCCGAGGCCACCTGCGACCGCCTACGACAAAACGAGACAGATCACGTCTCTCGGTGCAAGTATGTCCAAACCACCGCACTGCGCGCATGAGGATGCAACCATCTTTCCGCATATTGCGCAGTCAGACGCTAACCCTGGCGATAATTTGTATTTTGTGCTTTGGACTGATAAGCTTCATGTTGGGTTTCAGAGAAGGTTGATCGAAGGTACCCCAAAATTACGGGCGTCCGGAAAATGCTACTCGATGATGCTGTTGATGACAGTTTGCCGCTGAGATGAGGGCATGGGCCGTTTCCGGAAGCCGTTGGTAATATGATTACCATGGGATGCGCTGTTCCAACAAAATCGCATTAATTTTGGGCTGTTGGTAAAGGAACGAGGCTAGCATTCGGCAACGCGGGCAGCATCAGCCGAGACCATCTGTCAGCATTGAAGCCAATCTATGTCTCCCCCCTTCTCCTATAAATTTTCCTTTTCTTAGAGAAAAAATTCTTTATGGAAGGCGAGGAAAACGTGCTACTGCTCACCTGCTATTCTGAACACGGAGGAACAGCCAATCTACCGCCTCTCGGACACCATTCCTGTGGCCAAGATAGTGAGTCTGCGACGAACTGGAGATTACGGGTAAGCTGCTTACCCTTCGAGCGCCGAGAGGCCCATCACATCTAGGCTCGCGATGCGCTCTTTATGTCTGTCCTCCCAGATACCCTCATCCCCGTCCTCACTCTTTCTGTGCCGTGGGCGGCTCTCGCGTCTCCTGGCCTCCCAGTCGGCGTACTCATTGCGGATTTCTGCGACGGTGAGCGCGTCAGAGGCATCCTGCTTATTGGCGAGCAGCAGGAGAGGGACGTTAAGTATCTGTGGATGGGCAAGGACGGAGTCTTTCATACCCTCAGCTACCCATATGGAGTGACAGGATAAGAGGAACGCACTGAAGACCTCCCAACCCTCGCCCATCCGCTCCCTATCACGGGCGTCAAGCACATAGACGACAGCATGGCAATCATTGTAGTATCTGTGCCAGATAGAGCGAATGCCCTGTTGCCCGCCGAGGTCAAAGAAGTTCAGGATCGTTGATGGCAAGGAGATCTTGCCCACTGTTCGGAAGCCAGATGTTTAGTAGTTGTACACTTGGATGCGTGAGTATGAATGCGTACTGTTCTGGCCAATGGTGGGGCCTATCTTGGATGGTTCTAGGCCGGGCGTTTCATTGTAGAATGTCTTGATCTTCTCAAGCAAGGTCTGGGTTGTCGTGTTAAGCCCGCACCGCTCTGCTGCCCAAGCCGACTTCCGATTGCTCACCGTCTTGCCCGCACCATCCAGGCCGATGATTATAACCGAGAATTCTTCCTTTCTGGATTGACGTTAGTTTCGTTTGAGGTGCTATAGCAGAGTTACATCTTGACGACACACCGAGTGAGGTACTCATGAAAGCCCTTCAGGAGATGGTACATCACAGACCCTCCTGAGCACGCGCGGAGGACTGGCGGAAACTGAACCATCGCTTACTACAAAAGGAAATCCGCGTAAAACATATTAATGCCCAATTAATGCCGGGTGGCCATGGATCCATTTCTAACCAATTTCGTGAGCTGGGAGTAAACCCACCCGTTGATAACTCCAGCGCCACTTCAGACCTTTAAATCAAAGTCAAGTCCCTTTTATTACACAGGAATTTTGCTCGCAGGGGATCGTGTCTTGGTCACGTGTATTGAGTTTTCTAAGCGGCGGTGGCACAAACTAAGACAAACACCGTGGGCTGTGTCTGTGCAACGCTGCGACTGAGCCGCTGCAACATCGTCGCCGAAGCCATGGGCCTCTTTTCAACCTATTACTCCTTCGGCCTACCCACCTTTGCTGCGGTAGTTGTCGCTCTGTACTTGCTCTTCACAGGTACGCCTAGGTGTACGCAGGCTCACCCAGTTCGCAAGCTAATTACTCCTTCCTCATCACTTGTCATCAACCGCGTCCTGCTCGCGAAACATGTGACATGTAACCAAACGTTGTTGCAGACTCTGGAGAAGCCTTCAATGTCGGTGCTTTCTTGGAGCAAACAAGCCCGTTCGTATGGGGCTCGGTCGGCATCGGCTTGTGTATCGGCCTGAGTGTTCTGGGTGCGGGATGGTACGTTTCGTCATCCAATACCAGCAGCTCCCCACTCTGCCCAGTGTATAGGCTGACATTCACGATGCAGGGGTATCTTCCTCACGGGTGCTTCAATCATCGGTGGTGGTGTTCGAGCACCCCGTATTTCCACGAAGAACCTCATCAGGTTAGCTCCAGTTCCTCGCTTCTCATCCGCGGCCCGCATTTCTAACATATGGTCCGGATGCGCAGTATCATCTTTTGTGAAGTTGTCGCCATCTACGGTGTCGTAAGTGTCTTCTCGTTTCGGCACTATGCGCGCTTGACGCATGTCGCGTAGATCATTGGCATTGTGTACTCGTCAAGGCTGACCAATGTTCCCGAGCATCTTCTTTATACCCGCGAGAACTACTACACTGGTGTGTAGAACATCGCTCTCTTCCATCCTTCTCTGCATCTTTAACACACTATCTGCGACAGGTTACGCCCTCTTCTGGGGTGGTTTGACAGTCGGCGCATGCAACTTGCTTTGCGGTGTCTGTGTCGGCATTACAGGCTCGACCGCCGCGTTGGCTGATGCTGCTGACCCCAACCTGTTTGTCAAGATTCTGATTGTGGAGGTCTTTGGAAGCATTTTGGGTTTGTTCGGTTTGATCGGTGAGTTACTTTTGCCACTTGTCCGCATGTCATAACGGGCTATGGCATACGTAACGGCAACATGCTAACATCGGGTTTTTTTCGTTTTTACAGTTGGCCTGCTCATGACTTCATCTGCCAAAGAGTTCATGGCTGCGGCGGAGTCGAATAGCATCAACGCCTCTATAATGTCTTACTAAGTGTGTCTATTCTTAGCACGAGTTAATCATAGCTATCTGTGCTTGCCGCAGTTCTCGGGGTTATTTCGGCCAAGCGGCAAGCAGGTATGATACTACTGTGACGTCGTTTGGAGAAACATGACGAAACGTCACTCACTCCCCAAAACTAAGAACACCTCCCCTTATCTTGTGTGTTCGCCTCAAGTCCTTTGCCTTACACCAACCTACACAACATGCGCTTTCTGAGACACCGCAAGCAGCAAAACGCAAACGACGATGTGGAGAAAGGGGCTCCTGATACGGCTTCGCGAAGCAGCGGGGTAGAACAGAACGGTGCCAAGCCGAATGGCCAAGGTAACTTTCCGTATTTTGAACAGGATGCGCAAATTAGTGATGTCATAAGCAGAGTATCAAGGCGATGAGTATGAGGATTTGCTCAAGTTCGTTGAAAACGAGTCAGCTAAGCTCGAGAGTGGGCATGATGAAGAGGAAGAGGATGACGACGGCCAGTGGGTGCGCGTGTGGTATATGCCCTGGAAGAAGGTGAAGAAGGGCGGGCAAAAGGAGAAAAAGGTGCGCATATGCCCACCATCACTGCATTCACTGCTCCCCTCACGTCCTTGGTCCCAAGATACCTCCAGAATGGTTGAAAACGGATATGTCTCAAGGACTTGGTGACGCCGAAGTGTCAAAGAGGCGCGATGCGTTTGGCTTCAACGAACTCCAGAGGTTCGTGTCGGCCCGCGTATCGTAAGATAATGGACGTCGGCTCTAACACTTGCTCCAGCCCTCACGAAAACCAGATATTAAAGTTCTTGAGCTATTTCCGGGGGCCCATCCTGTATGTCATGGAGATTGCTGTCGTCCTCGCTGCAGGTCTCCGCGACTGGATTGACTTCGGTGTGATTGTACGTGGACTTTAACGATCATCGGCGCGTCCGTTTGAATTCTGACGATCCGGCGGTGCATAGATCGGCATCCTCTTCTTGAACGCGTTTGTTGGCTGGTATCAGGAAAAGTAAACCAGCATCCCTTCCTTCGTTAAAGCGCTCGTTCACTGTTAATCAGGCAGGCTGGTGACATTGTTACTCAGCTCAAGAAGGGCATTGCCATGAAAGCGGTAGTCGTACGTAATGGTAAGGAGTCCGAGCTTGAAGCTAGGGAACTCGTTCCTGGCGACATAGTACGTGAACTACGCGACTACCTAGCCGACGTTAACATGCGAATACGCTTCAGGTTGTTTTAGAGGAGGGCGGCACGATACCTGCCGACGCCAAGGTAACGTGTTGTGATCCAACGTGTCAATCTGCTTACCACTTTATCTAGATCCTCGCAAACTATGACGACAAAGACGGTTCAAAAGCACGCCAGCAGCTTCGCAAGAACTCGAAGAAAACCGCAGCAAACGGTTCCGACGACGACGACGACGAGGGGCACGTTAACAAAGGTCCTTCAGTATGTTCCGTGGACCAGAGCGCAATCACCGGGGAGTCGCTCGCGGTTGATAAGTACCTTGGAGATGTAGCGTACTATACGTGTGGCATCAAGCGGGGCAAGGTCTATGCCGTAGTCTCCGCACCCGCGAAGGAATCATTCGTGGGCAAGACGGCTGCGCTTGTCACAGGTGGATTATCCCTTTTCGCTCACGAAGTATTGATGCTCGTTACTGATTGTGCTCGTTTTGTTGACAGGCTCACAAGACCAAGGCCATTTCCAGCATGTCCTCGGCGGAATCGGTGTTGTTCTTCTCGTCATGGTCATTGCATTCATCTTTGTCGTCTGGATCGGCGGTTTCTTCCGGTGTGTATGGGGATGCATGGTTGTCTTGTCATACATACAATTCTGATGCCCGACTTCAGGGGACTCGATATAGCTACGCCGACGCAGAACAATTTGTTGGTCTACGCTCTGATATTCTTGGTCCGTGTTCCTACTGCCTGACTTGACTAATAAACTGACTCACGCATCGCAGATCATTGGTGTAAGTTGGCAACAAAGTTTCCCGTTCCCGAAGCTTAGGATTCTTTGGTGCTAGGTACCCGTCGGCTTACCGTGTGTGACCACTACGACGATGGTACGAGAGCTAGATTCACGGGTCAGATCATCTGCTGAGCTACCATAGGCTGTTGGAGCTGCTTACCTCGCGCGACACAAGGCGATCGTCCAGAAATTGACGGCAATTGAATCTCTCGCCGGTGTGTCACGTTTCGAGGCACTTGTCTACCCGTGCTGAGTAACTGTTTGTTGACCATAGGGGTTGACATGCTTTGCTCGGATAAGACTGGCACATTGACGGCAAATAAGCTTTCTCTGAACGAGCCTTACGTCGCTCCCGACGTTGATCCTAATTGGTTCATGGCAGTAAGTACGCTTGCATCCTCGTGCATGTATCACCTGGGCGCATTGCATCGTAGGTGGCTGTTTTGGCCTCGTCGCACAATATCAAGTCTCTCGATCCTATTGATAGGGTGACGATCCTCGGTCTCAAGGTACGCTACGTTCGAATGTAACGAGTGCACGCTGACCACTTTCTTGGCCCCTTAGGAGTTCCCAGGCGCACAAGACATGCTTCGCGAGGGCTGGACAACGCACAAATTTACACCTTTTGACCCCGTTTCCAAGCGCATTACAGCTGAGGTAGAACGTGACGGCAAGAAATATACATGTGCTAAGGGAGCCCCGAATGCGTGAGTGCATGTACGCATCGTATGGTTGCATCCAGTTTACCGTTTAACCGTTTTCGCTATAGGATCTTAAGGCTTCGCTCCTTTGACCCCGAAACAGTAGTAGAGTACGGTACGAAGAGCAACGAGTTTGCTTCACGCGGATTTCGTAGTCTTGGCGTCGCTGCGAAGGAGGAGGGGAAAGACTGGGAGCTCCTCGGGCTCATGGCCATGTCTGATCCCCCGCGTTCCGACACGGCTGCTGTACGTACCCCTCATTGCGTACTTTCTTATTTGGAATCGCTCACTCACTCTGGCCATACTGTGCTAGACCATCCGAGAGGCTGGCGAATTAGGCATCCACATCAAGATGTTGACCGGAGACGCCGTCGCAATCGCTAAAGAAACTTGCAGGCAATTAGCGCTGGGCACGAATGTGTTCGACTCCTCACGTCTGATGGGCGGTGGCTTGTCCGGCACGGAGGTATATGATTTCGTCGAGGCTGCTGATGGGTTCGCAGAGGTGTTCCCGGAGCACAAGTATCAGGTCGTGGACATGCTGCAGAAACGCGGGCATCTGACGGCTATGACTGGAGATGTTAGTAACCTGCTATTAGTATCGTGATCTCACAAACGCTGACCTTGCACGGCGTTTCAGGGAGTTAGTGAGTGATATGAAACCTGTCCAAGGGGGGAAAGTGTTAACATGTTCGCTACAGATGACGCTCCTTCCCTGAAGAAGGCCGACTGTGGCATAGCTGTCCAAGGAGCTTCAGACGCAGCTCGCACTGCAGCGGACGTCGTCTTCCTTGACGAGTTGAGTATTGTCTCACTCATGCACTTTCTTTTTGTCAACTAATATGGCTTTCTTCCAGGGGACTGAGTACGATTATCACCAGCATCAAAGTCGCGCGACAAATCTTCCACCGTAAGTGGTCATGCTCATTGCCTCTTCCCCGACGTTGAGAGCATTCAAATAGGTATGAAGGCTTATATTGTTTACCGCATCGCTCTCTGCATACACCTTGAGGTCTACTTGATGTTGGACATGCTGATTTTGAACGAAACCATCCGCGTGGATTTGATTGTCTTCCTGGCGATTTTTGCTGAGTAATGCACCATCTTTCTTTCTTCTCGTTGATGTCTGCTGATCGTGAAACAGCGTCGCTACCATTGCTATCGCTTACGATAACGCACCTCACGCGCGAAAGCCAGTAGATTGGCAGCTCCCCAAGGTCTGGATTATATCCACGACCATGGGGCTACTCCTCGCAGCGGGAACCTGGATCCTCCGCGGTACATTGTTCCTTACTGATGGGACTCATGGTGGCATCGTTCAGAACTTCGGCACTATGCAAGAGATCCTATTTTTGGAGGTGGCACTTACGGAATCCTGGGTTATCTTCATCACTCGGCTTGCTTCAGGTCCGGATTCGGGTAGGTTGCATGTCCTTCTCGCACAACGTTGAGCTTATCGGTCTCGAACAGGCGGATGGGAATGGCCGTCTTTCCAACTGTTGGCGGCTGTTCTCGGAGTTGACGTCCTCGCTACGATCTTTGCCCTGTTCGGTTGGATCTCGGGCCCCGCTTATCACAATGGGTGAATGGTTTTGCTCCTCATATCCCTCAGCGTCTCATGATGGTTTCTTTCCCAGCTGGACGGACATCGTTACTGTTGTTCGCGTTTGGCTCTTCTCTTTCGGTGTGATCGTGGTGATCACCATGGTTTACTTGCTTATGAACAAGTTCACATGGCTGGATAGCATCGGTCGTCGCTCGGTGTGTTGCCTATCCTTGCCTCCCACCTGACGGACCCTGACGTTTGAGGCATGGTTTATAGCGTAGCAGGAAGGATAAGGCGCTCGAAAACTTCCTCGTCGAGCTTCAGCGCATGACCATCGTGCATGAGCGTGAGGGTGACGGTGAAACTTACCGTTTCGCCACTGCCAAAGAATCAAAGAAGCAGTCAGATGAGAAAGACAAGCAGGAACCAGCGAAAGAGAAGGAGCAGGGCAAGGGAGGTCGGAACCCTTCACCGTCGTCGTCCACGGGGCGTAAGGAGGGTAAGGAGAATGCTAAGGAGACGCAAATGACCACCGGATCAAATGATGACAACGGAGAGCAGGCGAAAGGTGACGATCAGGAAACCACTGGCAGCGCATGATCTCAGGCTATGGTGAACGAGTGCCGATTAATTGACGACTCTTCTTATCGCTTTCTCTCGTCACTATCGTAGCTGTACTTATACGTGGACTCCAGTTACATATCGATATTACCCCTACGCATCTTAGAACAATCTAGTTAAATAGAACATTTGGTTGCCACCGGCAATTGTTTTACACACCGACGTGTCGCCTGTGCACTTATAGCTGTCCCATTAATTATGACTCGTCAGAAACTTACACTATTGACGTATGTATTGTTATCAAAGACTAGCACCAACACCACACCTCTCCGCTTGGTCCGGTGGGTGTTCACTTTGGAAATAAGTGTACTTATTGAGGTCTGAGGGCGTGAACTGCACATGGGCGCTGATTGAGATCTGGTTATAGCCTAGCCTAACGAAACCGATGCTGATGGTGCTGGGTTTGTTATTCTCAGCAGCTTGAGAATTGATACTGAGGGTCCAATTGATCCCTGTTGGGCGTAAACAAAACGACGAGGCACGACCAAAGCAGGAAGCATCTTCTCTCTTAACTTCGTGTCTCCTTGTATTTCAATTCCCACTGCATCTTGTCGTCCTCCCGCCGATGGCGGCACCCTTGAAGCTGGACGTCGTGATTGTTGGCGCTGGTAAAGAGATTTATTCAATTTGGTTGACCATGGCATGCTGACAGTGATCGACTGGACGTCTCGCAGGGCTCGCGGGGATTGCAACAGCATTTAGGATGGGCCACGATGGCCACCGAGTACGTGTTGTGGATGACCGCGAACAAAGCGAAAGGGTGGGTTCCTCAAATCAATTTAGCTATACCTCTAAACTTGACGACTGGTGATCCACACAATATCTTGAAGGGATGCACAGGAGCTCATATCCCGCCAAATGCTACCAAAATCCTAACAGATTGGGGATTCAAAAAGGATGTCGAGTCCAGTGGCAACCCGTTATCTCGTGGAACATTTTATTCCAGTATGTCTCAAGAGAGTTTGTGGCTTCGCGCTTGTGACATTTCTGCCAATCACAGTGGACACCGGCGAGCTCATCGGACGTCAAACGTGGAGAGAAGAGGTTATGCGTGAGCTGGGAGCTAATCAGCATTACATGCATGTGAGTGAACAGTATTAGCTTGAATGACTTCTAGTTCGCTTATAGGTCACGATGTTTTGAAAGTACCAGGATCTGTACACTATGCTTTATAAAGCTGCTGTCAATATCGGCGTCAACATACGCTTCGGTAAACGGGTGGTAAACGTCGAGACTGACCTGGAGCGTCCTCGTGTCACTCTCGCGGATCGGACCATTTTAGAAGCCGACTTGATCATTGGCGCCGATGGTCCCAACAGTTTTGTCCGCAGGACCTTGTTTGGTGACGGGCCTGTGAATTTTGAGGGCCATACACTGTTCACGTGAGATTCCACTAGGTCATGCTCGTAGTTATAATGGCTGACACTGGCGTTTATCTGAATAGAGGAGTAATACCCATGGAATTAATAAAGAAAGATACCGAGTTATCCAACTTATGCAGGTCGGATCGTGCAGAGTGGCCTATATGGATTGACTCTTCAAGGCATAGCGAAGGAGCTTTGGTTGTACGTCTTCTGTCTTAGCCTCCTGGTGATTTTGATTTTCAAAATAAACCCGCAGCGCAACGAGACTGAATTTGCTTTGCACGTATTCTACCCCAACGATGAGTTATCTGCTGCGGATGATAGCTGCTGGGAAGGAAAACCTGTGCCGGGTCGTCCTCCCAATACCATCGATCCTAAGTTAGCAACCATTTGCTCTAATATTGAACAGAGCTCACCGTATTTTTTAGGCTACATCGTCTAGTAGATATGTGCCCAGAGATGCACCGTCAGAAGCTGATTATACGACAAGGGCCTGAGGAGTGGACAGATGACTCTGGCAAAATAATTTTGATCGGTCAAGCAGCTCACCCGATACATGTAAGTCAAAATTTCACTCTGAAGATGCGTTTTAATTCCCGATGATTTGACAGCCTTGTTGGGTCCTTTCCTGTTCCGTCCATCTAGAGGATGCGGAGACGTTGGGAACCCTGCTATCTCGCATCACCGATCTTGACCAGCTTCCAGGGCTCCTCGAAGGATTCCAGGAGGTCGGGGGGCGTCGGGCTCGGTATATCAGAGACATATCATGGCAAGAGATAGTTGGCCCGCTTTGGCTTTCTCCTGGCCCTGCCCGGAATATGAGGGACGAAGCACTTCGTAAGGCGGATGACGACTCGGACTGGGATGACGCGATGATGAGGAAACAGTTCGATGGGTTCTACGCAGCACTCGGTTATAATGCTCGCGATGCTGCAGATGATTGGTGGACGACGTGGGGGCTGCTGAGAGAGCGGAGCAAGAGCGTATACCTCGACGAAATCCTGGATAACTTTACGCCTTTCGGTATAACGATGGAGGAAGCAGTACATTCGCATGGCGCGTGAGCGTGATTGACACACAAATATCAATGCCTTGGAGCGATCAATTATCCATTGATAGCATCCGTCCTAAATTATCATTAGTAGTTCCATGCTTGTAACCTCGAAGGAGCAAATAATCAACTGCTATTTCCAAGGTCGTTCATATTGACTTTCCTAAAAATCATATAAACTCAATGGTACCTGCATGTGAGCCTGAGGCCATTGCTGGGCCTGTATATAAGTCGTGTGATATCCTTGTTGTGGCCTTCTAGGGATCAGTGAGACCTTTTCGGGTGAGAGCAGCTAGCAAATGGAGAATTTCACAACAAAAGTTTAGAGACCGAAGCATTACTCGAGGAAGCCAGAGTCAGGGTGGTGTAACGTGGGAATTCGGCTAACGCTGGTATAACCGACGTGACAGGCTCTAATTACCGTGGTTTACTCTTCTTACCCGCACCTCTACCTGACTCGACATACGCGTACTAGATAATAGACGTCGTTCTTGTCAGTTTGGTCTGAGGATCGGATAGAAGGGTGGACTCGCTCTTTACAGGTGGTCCAAACAAGCCAGGAGCACTGATACCAGAGTTATCTTAGAAACCAACAGGTGCGGGCCTAGAAGATTGAGATTCAAGGTCGCATCGCCTACATCAAGATGCTTGAATGCTTGCAGTGTCATCCGGGGAGCTCGAAAAGCTGATGACCGCCGTGGTCCAAGTATAAAAAAGTAGCCAGGAAGCCGGACCGGCCCCTTGGCCTGACCTTTACCAGGACCATACACGTGGTGAAGGTATAGTCACACAGTCTTTAAAATCACTTGGCTTACTCTACTTGAATAGCCCAAACAAGTGAAATGGTAAGGGATCGGATAATAATGACACTTAGCATGCTTTGATGTACTGTATGTATCGTTATTAAAATATTAAAGACTATCCTAAGACTAGCCTGGGACTAAACATATTTCTTTGTTCTCCGCGGGGTCTAGTGCATGTTCGTTCTAGGACTCGAATGCCCTTATTGAGGACTTACACCGGTCCCGGTCATGTGCGCTGTCCAATATTCGTTTGCAGCATTTCCCAACGAAACCGATGCCGATGCACGAGGTCTCAGGAACAGAGCTTGGGAGAATGCGCGTCTGATTGGTTGATTTTGCCCATGGTTATAACAACAAGGCCATCTAAAGTGGGAAGCACCTTCCCTTTCGCCCCGGACCATCCTCCGTACTCCCCCTTCCGCGTCCCCTAAGATACCTTGCATGGGAGCGCCGTTGAAGCTGGACATTGTGATCGTTGGTGCTGGTGAGGAGCTTCTTCAGAGACGGTTAACCATGAGTGCCTGAAAGGCATCAACCCATTAATGTTCTCAGGGCTTGCAGGCATTGCATCGGCGTTCAGGCTGAGCCAAATCGGTCACCGAGTACGTGTTGTAGACGATCGTGACCAGGGCAAACGGGTACATCTCCCAATACAGATCTTGATCTTTAGAGCTGACAACTGGCAATCTACAAAGGGGAGCACAGGAGTCCAAATACCGCCAAACGCCACCAGGATCCTAACAGATTGGGGATTCAAGCAGGACGTTGAGTCCTGTGGGCGCTCGATGTCCCACGCAACGTTTTACTCCAGTAAGCTCGCAGAGCATTTGTGGCTTTGCTCTTTTAACGCTGACGGGAATCATAGTGGATTCGGGCGAGTTCATTGGACGCCAAATTTGGAGAGAAGAGGTTATGCGAGAGCTAGGAGCCAATTGGCACTTCATGCATGTGAGTAAACGATAACAACCTTAATTCGTTTCGGCCCGCATTTGCTCATAAAGCTTTAAAGTATCAAGATTTGTACAATATGATTTACAACGCCGCAATCAAGGCCGGCGCTAATATACACTTTGGTAAACGAGTGGTGAACGTCCAAACCGATTCAGAGCGCCCTTGTGTCACCCTTTCCGATCGGAGCATCTTACAAGCCGATTTGATCATTGGCGCCGACGGTCCCAACAGTGTTGTTCGCAGGATTTTATTTGGTGACGGTCCTGTGAAGCCCGAGGGGCATACGCTGTTCACGTAAGGTTCTACTGTCGCCATTATAGCCACAAAGACTAACTCTCGCGAATTGTTCGATAGAGGAGTAGTACCAGTGGAGCTAATACACCAGGATCTTGAGTTATCAAGCTTAAGGAGGGCAGATTGCGCAGAGGTGCGTACTTTCGGCTTTGATGAATGTTCCTCATGTAAAGAATGATGATATCTGTAGTTACCTGTATGGATCGGCTCTTCGAAGCACAGCGAAGGAATGTTGGTGGTATGTCTTGCTTTGTAACCTACGAATGCTGCCGCTTATTTAAGACGAGAAAATTTAGCGCAACGAGACTGAGCTATCATTGCACATATTCGTCCCCAACGATGAGCTACCCGCTCCCGACGATGACAGCTGGGAAGACGAACCCATGCCAGGACGCCCTCCTAGATTTGTTGATCCAAAGTAAAAAAGCTAGTTGTCGTACATTGTTTACGAAGCTCACTATATGGTTCAGGTTGCAGCGTCTGATAGATATATGTCCAGAAATGTACCAACAGAAGCTCCTTATCCGAGAAGCACCCGAAGAATGGACAGATGACTCAGGAAGATTGCTTTTAATCGGTCAAGCAGCCCATCCAACACATGTGCGTGACTTCTTCAAATGGGTTTCGTAGACAGGCACTCGCTCATACTAGACACAACAGCCCTGTTGGTTACTTTCCTGCGCCATCAATCTGGAAGATGCGGAGACACTGGGAGTCTTACTATCTCGCATCGCCGACCTCGACCAGCTTCCGGGGCTTCTCGAAGGCTTCCAGGAGGTCCGTGAACCCCAGTGCCAATATATTACACAGACAGCGTGGCAGCAGACGGTTGGGGCGCTTTGGCTCCCCTCTGGCCCCGCTCAAGATGCTAGGGACGAAGCGCTTCGTATGAAGGATGACGCCTGGGATGAAGCGATGATGAGGGCACAGTTCGATGGGTTCTTTGCCGCGCTTGGGTACAATGCCCGCGATGCTGCGGAAGATTGGTGGACAACCTGGGGGCTCTTGAGAGAACGAAGCAAGGGGGTACATCTTATGGACAGTTTTTCTTCGTATGGCGCGCACGAATAAATGGCTAGTAGTACGAACGCTTTACTACATTGGTATTTTTCCCGATAGCAGTTTTCCAACCACATAGTTAGTGGGGCTGATGACGTGTACTAGCTGTGCACCTGCTGTGCTACCAATGTCTACCATTTAATCTTATCGCTTTGCAGGGAGTCGTTCAGTGCAAACGTCGACGAACGTAAACGATGAAACTGGGCTATTCAGAATGGGCAATTCTTGCCGTTATATTTCTGAAGCTGATGCATGTGAGCGGTCAACTACTAGGTATCACATACATTTTGATAGATCAGAACTAATGGCACTCAGCCTCAACTCAGCCTCGAATAAGCCAGAGCCTCTCGATTCAAAGTTATTTTAGGAGATATCAACCAAGATCCAGTTCCAAAAAAATCAGACTCAAAAGATCAGGCTCAAAATGTCAGTAAGAGTTTGCCGCAACATATAGATCGTGATGCATGATGCGTTATTTAGAATATGGAGAGGTCGAAAAACAGCTGATGCCGAACATCGTGTTTATTTCCAACGACGAGTATAAATAGTTGGCAAAGCTGAGACACATGGAAAAGTGAGCCGTTGGCCCCTCGGCCACAAGCTCTTGAGCTTGGACGCTCTTGGTCTTGCTCTGCCGAACAGATTCCATCTCGCTATACATATCAAAAAGTAAAATTGCAACTAAATAGTCAAATATCCCATAAAGATCACCAGAGCAACATCAAGCAACTCCTCTTCCTGCCTGCCCAACCCCATCACCTGCGAATATAAAAAAATACACATACTACAGCTCGCGAGCAACGATTAGTAAGCATACATACAGATTAACTATGTGAGAAAGAGAGAGAGAGTTTGTGGATGGAGCGAGCGAGATAAATACAGAGTGGCAGGTGGAGAGAGCGGGCGGTCGTTATGTAGAGCATGGTCCAACTGGACAGAGTCATCGAAAAAAAAAGTCTCATGCGAGACCGGTTTTCTCAATGTGTGTGCGGATGATGGCTTCACCGACTGTCGGAAGGTGTCGATGTCAGAACACTAGATGGAGAGGGCCGCAAGGCGGGTGCACGCACCGTTGACGATGATACCCTGCGTCGCTTTGATATCCTGCGTAACGCGTCTGCATTAGTATCCGGGACAGCCTTATGATACCCAGAGTCAACGTACGATCATACTCGTAAAGTGCTATCCGAGTCCAACGCAGCCCAATCAGCACAGCCTCCTATCCAAAAAACCAACAGGCAAAAAAAAAAAAGACACGCACCACATACAAAGCCCTCCTCGAGATATCGTTCCGCTTGTGCGCCTGGATAAAGTGCGCGCGGAAGTACTCGGACACGTCCGCGTACGTGTTGGGCCGGTCGCCGTAAGACGTGATGCTATTCGTGGTGAAAACAAGTCAGATGATGGGCCGACTCAGGCTGCGCTCCGAAGGAGGAGGGGGGAGGGGTCATGAGAGAACAGCAGGGTACTGACTATTTTCGGACTTTGAAGCCAGCCTCGATCTTCTTGCGGAGCAGGTCCGTCTGTTCGGCCGGAGTGAGCCAAGTGGAGCCACGGCGAAGTGGAAGCGTCGAGGGAAACAGACAGATGATCGATTGAGCGTTATGGGACGAGGAGGAGGAAGACGTCGATGGTGGAGAGGCGTACCTTGTTGAGGAGCAGCACCAGATGTGCGCTCTTGAGCAGCTTATTTGAGCATATCGCCGTGAACAGCTGCAGCGAGTCATCTACTCGGTTTGTCCGTGCATCTTCTTCGAGGTACTGTAACACGAAAGGAATTTACAAATAACGTTAGCAAACGTACGAAGATGGAGACGAATAGAAGGATCATGAACGACAGCGTTACCTGATCGAATGCGCTAATAGGGGCGAGGAAGATGATCGCGGTTGCTGTGAACATACAGCAAGAACAGGCACTCGAGTCAGCATGTGTCACAAAGGTGATTCCAAATTCAACAGAAAACGGAAAACAGAAGAGGAGTCCATGGGAGAGCAAGAACACGATCACACAGGCAAAGAGCGCAAGGAGGCGGAGTTGCGAGGCTGTCGCCATGAACTAATCATGCAATGCCCTGATCATGATGGCGGCGGCAGGACAAAAGACGCGCCCCATTCCGTGCCATGGACACAATCAGCACATCAGCGCGGCTGCGCAGATCCCCGGATGCCGTCGTTGCGCAAAACGTGCCCGGCGCGCCGGTATGAGAAAGCAGATGCTGGGAAAAGCGCCGCTTACCGTCATCAAAGTATGGAACCCAGGCGTGGCGCTGATTGGCACGGAAGAAAGGAAAGGCATCAGATATGGAGGAAGGTGTGTATCGGAGAGGGTCCTCACTTGGCCGCGCTAAAAATGCAATACAATGAGCGTCTCGGATGGAAAGGAAGAGGGTTAGTGGGAGAAAGAAGACGCACCGCACCGCCTACGTCGTATAGTAGCCAATTATAGCGCGAGCCGTACATATCGATGTCGAACGAATGTTCTGCGACTCCCAGAGTCTGCAGACGCACGTTTAGTATGTCGTCTATGCGTGGCGATTAGTTGTGTAGCAGATGAAGGGCAAAGGGGGTGAGCGTACCCATGCTGGGGAGGTAGCCGAGCTGTGTTATCCGTTCGATGCTCTCCATGAAGCTACGCAGAGCCATCAGCCCCAAAACAGCCTGGAGCGCAACAAAAAGAAGGATGACTCACAATGGAGCACTTTCATCAAGGCGGATCCGCCTGTTGTCCATCAATATCCGCACCGCGGGGTGCTTCCACAAGTCCCCGATCTCCTGCTGCGCCTCGGCGAGCGTCCTCGCCGCGAGCTCCGTGACCTGCGCCACCCGCATCGCGCGCCCCTCCTCGCTCTCGTGCTGCTGCGCCCTCCCCCGGGACCCGCCCAGCGGCGTAACGAGCGCCTGCCACCCCGCGCGCACGAACACGCCCGTTCTGCCCCCGGACACCGACACGCCGCCGGAGAGCTCGCGCGCGAGCGGGTCCTCCATCGCGACGAGCGCGAGGAGCTTGGTGCGGAGGTGCGAGATCTCGCCGGAGACGTCGCCGAGGGGCGCGAGGGCCTTCTCGAGCGCCTGGCCCTCGGTGGTGCCGTCGAGGGGGAGGTGGGTGAGCTCGTAGTCGAGCTCGTCGAGGACCATGCGGATGGCCTTGATGATGTTGAAGTAGACGACGGGGCGCCAGTAGGGCCGCTCGGAGTCGAGGGTGTGCGAGGAGTAGTAGAGCTGGAATTGTTTCTGGAGTGTAGATTTGCCGGACTCGGCTTGGCCGAGGAGCATAACTGATGGACGGGGGCAAATGTGAGGTTCATGAGGGAGTCGGAGTGAATGAGATGCAAGGGACGCACCTTTGACCTGTCGCTTGGATTGCTCCTTTTTGCGCGCGCCCTCTCGCTGGTACGATGATGTCAGCGGAGAAGCAGGAAAGCGAAGGGAAGGATGCTAACCTTGAGGTCTTCGTCGATCTTGTTGCTCACCCGGAGCGCTTCTTCGTCGTAGAACTGGTAATCCCTCGTGTCCCTGTCAAACGGCTGCAAGGGGATCTGCTCGGACTTGGAGTAGGCATGGGCGGGAGGTCTCGCTTGTTGTGCAAGCGCCATATCGGTGCTGGGAGTAGTGTGTATGCGGTAGCTAGCCAAAGGGATAGGATAGAGAGAGAGGAGAGAAATGGATTAGAGAGGCAGGAAGTAATAAGCTCAACGCCTGTTGTTTAGTAGGACGAAAGGAACATGCCGATAGCTGGGAGTCAACTTCTCTGCACCACTTTGACAAAACGAGCATTTACCCACTTGTGACCCGTGATTTTTGATTGACGCCCCTTTGTCTGTGCCCATCTTTCCCTCTTGTGGGTGCAGATTTGCTTCATGTTCTGCACAGGTCTGCTGCCTCGTTGCTGAACCGGTTGCAAGGCACAGCGCCACGTCCCAACGCTCCAGGGGCGCACGGAGCAAGATGATTGTCCGGGACGCGCAGCAACATGTTTCGTCCCTGTGCAGTGTGCAGTGCCTTGACCTTGCACTAACTCCTCCTCGTCAACACACCCAGGCACGCCTCATCTCCGCACGGAACCAGCTTCGACAGTTTCTGCTTTACGTAAGTAACCTTCACGCTTGCAAACACGATCATCTCGACAACACATGGCCCGATGTCACGCACTCCTCTGTCTCGCTCTTATATCGCGCAATGTCCGTTGCTTGAAGCTGATCTCGATGTCCTCGTCGACCACGTGCGCGAGCGGTCTCGACGCTCCTCGGAAAAACTTGCTTCGTTCTATCTTTTATCTTTACTCACGCAGTCCAGGTGCTTGTGAAGCACTGACTCCATCTCGGCCTCAAAACTTGACGAGAACAAGGTCGTCTTGCCGTCGCCTGGCATCAACACGTTTGTGACGTCAAACTTGGCGACGCCTGTCAAGACGACCTCGAGATTAATTAACTCTGCAACACCGTTGACTCAGGGACGAAAGCATAAGAGTTTTTGCCAACTTCAAGCCATCCTTTACCGCATCTCGACTTCGGACTCGGACCGTACCCCAGCCTCGCAAGAACCGTCAACAAGATAGCGTTCTCTGAAGGGAGATAGGTGTGTGCGCTTCCCAGCTGCGGTGTCGGTTCAGGGATCTAGCACATCAACACAGGAATAGCCTGACTCTTGTTTCAGTGCATGGTTGTTGATGTTTGAAATCTTACAGGTGCTTCACGTCTCCCAAGCCCCTGGGCCCCACGACAGCGATCTTCGTTCCCTGTGCTATGGCGCTGCATCTTCAGTGGTGCTAAGTCCAAACGGTCCCCAGCACAGAAAAGGATCAGGATTCATAACACTTCCAGTGCCGGTGACCGTCTTTCCCGTACCGGATCGTTCTCAAGAGCCCATTTAGAGTTTCCTTGCTCGTCTTTATCCAAGTAACGGCAGGCATACGCCAAAGTGTATTTCTCCCTCGAGATGACCTCCGCGAGCCTCTGCGGTGCCTGACGGCCAACTATACAGACGCCGGTGCGAAAGCGCGATAAAAAGGATTAGGTTCGTCTCGGTAAAGAAAGAAGTTCCTGCGCACGAGCCCTTTGAGGCGCACACTCCGCCTCACGCCCGTGACGCCTCAAAAGCCATCGCCATCAGCATCATGATGAACACTCACACTGGACTCGGGTAGTACCGCAGCCCCCCCTCTCCGTCTGGACTCTGGGGTGCATATATGTACTGCTCGAGCTTGGACGGGTGGAGGGTGAGAGGATTGCGATCCCACCTTCTTGCTTCCACCTAACCGTCCGTCTTGCGACGCCCTTTGCTGCATCCTCGGATTTTCCCCCTATCTTGGCCTGTTGCAAAAAGAAGCCCGTCTTTTTTTCATGAACTCGTCGGACATGCGACCACATCTTTCTCTTTCGATCCCTTGCGAGTCGCCGTTCGCCTTCACCCAGTGCCGCAGGCAGCTTGACACCATCGACGAGCACGAGCCCGGATGGAGAGCCCTGGGAATGGAAAAAGGAGGGGACATCAGGGACTCTAGCGGGGACACTTCCCCAGCCCACACCGGCTCCGGGACTTCCGCGTCGTACCCGTCCTCCAGCGCTTCTTCCTCCCCCGTTTCTGTTTCCGCTTCCACCTCCACATCCTCATCTCCTTCCATCGTCCCATCTCCGGGGAGCGAAACCAAGCACCCCAAACCGAGCCTGCGCATCAATACCAACATCTTCGCGGGCGAAGCCATCGTCGGCTTCTGCCTCTCCGAGGACTACGATTTCGACGAGCGTCCGCCGGGGATGGTCGAGCCGGATGGTGAGTTACCTGTATCCATATCCATACCCGTATCCATATCCACACCCTTGCCCTTGTCCCGCGCCCCGCAGCGGTTTCATGATATTGCCTGTGTCTGGGAGAGCTGGACACTGACTTTTGGATACCATGTTGGACAGACGATCCGTTACCGTCCGAATCGTGCTGCGAGCCCGGGTATCCACCGGGCCTGGTGCCCGTCAGCGCGTCGCGCGCGCCGGGGTGGGGCGGGCTTTCTGCTACTGATGCGACGAATGAGGGAGTGGGAGCGGATGGGTCTGCGGATCAGCACGAGCGTTCGAGCGAGCGAGTGTGAGTGGGCTTGCTACGGTTGACGTTGAGGCCTAGGGTTTGTGGAGGATCGCTTTTCTATCTATGCTAGATCGGGTCAGACTTCTATCGCGTGGACCACGAGTCGAACTTCGGGTTCGTTGGTGGGTGTATATGCTATCATCTTGTAGAGCTGTATTGTATTCTGTAGTGTTAGTTCTCGTGGTCAGCCAACTTCCTAGTGATATCCTAGGCCTGTCGCACTTTATTGTAGCTCACAAACCCATCTATTTAATCATCATCTATGCATTCTTCGCATCTTATCTTCTACGACATGCCACCTGTGATCTGTCACCCATCATTGGGATCAGCATCCGCCTACTTCCGTTGTCATTCAAAGATCTAATGGAAGTAGCAAGGAAGTAGACATCTGAGGAATCGATAGTCTGGAGCTGAAGTACCATGTTAACAATCAGCGCTACCATGTCACGAGGACCGCTGAAAGCAACAAAACGGGCTGAGAACGCTGTAGATAGCCAGCATGATACGTTAAAAGCACGCGGTACTGGTCCTGTGTCGAAGAGAAGCCAGTCAAAAGTCGAGGACTCGTGATAAGTAAATATCCGACTGAAATCCGCGTGGCATGACACGACGAAGTCGATTCATGTCACGTCAAGTTTGGGAACCTGAAGGAGTTCATAAAAGAAAGATGAAGGGAGCACTGCCCAATATTAAAGTTTCCCGATAACAGGAGGATCGAGAAAAAATCATGTCCCTGGCAGGAATTGAACCTGCGGCTCCTCGGAATTGCGGTCACCACAACGAGGTGATTTAACCACTAATCGACAAGGACTTGTTATGAGTAACTACATCCGCCTACTATATATGGCCACAAGACCCATTTATCACGCGCGGCCAACCTCTGATCTCCACAAAACGCGTCTTGCCTTGATCAAGCACGCCTGCCTTGTCTCGTCCAATTCACATCTTTTCACCTTTAACAGCACGAGCAACATCACCGTCGTCATCAAAGACAACGAGGAAGAGAACAGCATCGAGCATCGAATAAGCCCGGTTATGGTCTGCGCGCTGACTTTGGCTCCTCGTTTGTAGCATATGTTGTCAGAAGTGCTCATCGTCTAAACTCAAGTCCTTCAAGCGTGATTCGACTTCATTTGCTTCAACCATGGTCGCACCGTCGAATCCAGAACGCCATCTCGTCTGGCATCCCCGAGGCCAACCATCGTTCCTCCTCGCAGCCTCATCCCAGCTCACCCTCTACGACTTCTCCCCACGCACGCAACGCATCACCCACCGCACTTCGCTCGCCGACCTCCCGTTCATGAAATGCGTCGCCTGGTCTCCCGACCCGCACTTCGACGACCTCGTCGCCGTCGGCCAGACCAACGGACGCGTCGACCTCATGCGCGTCGGCGCGAGCCAGGAGAGCCAGGCCGGGTTTGGAGGGAGCGCGGAACGGAGGACGTGGGAGGAGGGCACGACGCTCAGCCCGGGGACCGTCGTCAGCCTGCCGATTCGCAACTCGCGCGCGGTGAACGCGCTCGCGTTCAGCGCGGCAGACCCCAACTATCTCGCCGCGGGACTCGACAAAGTGCGCGGCGATCCGAGCTTGCTCATATGGGACGTTGCGTCGTCGGTACCGTCACTTTCGTTCGGCATTGGCGGGGGTGACGGAGCCGCTACGCTGTATGGACGGCCGATGCTCGGTGGCAGTGGACGGCTGCCCCTCACGCGTATGGATCCACTCCCCCGTACCGACTCCCGCGTTATCCAGGCGCACGCGCCGACCGAGGTGATCTCCGCGCTTGCGTTTCTCCCCCATACCCCGCACCTCCTCCTTGCGGCTCTTTCCTCGCGATGGCTTCGCCTGTTTGATCTCCGCGCACCGTCGATACCGACCACGTCGCCAACGTCCATCCAACAGCCAACTTCACCATCCATGTCGTCGCACTCCCCAACAGCACAGTTCCAGACGCCCAATATCGGAGGTCAAGCAACGCTCGCAAATACCGCTACGAAGGCGCATCTTGTCGCTACTTCCGTGCTCGATGCCAATTTGATTGCAAGTGCTGGCGATGGCGTCGTCAGCGTCTGGGATTCACGGCGTCTCGCCACTCCCTTACTGACGTTCAACTCGTCCGACGGAAGCGGAGGCGGCGGGCGAGGTGTTGTAGCCAAGATCGAATGGAGCGGTGCTAGGAGAGGTGTCTTGGGTGTGATGGAGAGGGACGGTGCATATGTCAAGTTTTGGGATGTTGCTAGCGCAGGCGGCGGCGATGGCACTGTGCTCGGAGGGAGCAATGTTAACGCTAACATTCTGGCCAATGCGCCTGGAATCGGCGGGCACGATGGTCGCGGGCGTGCGAATACGACGGGAGGCAGGGCACCGTCGATCACGAAGCGGTCGTGGTGGGCGAGACAGAACACATCTGAGGATTCGTACGACCAAATTGCGAAAGTCGTTCTTTCCAACTCGCGACGATGTGCGTTTCTCTCCCTCCTCTCCCTATCTTAGTCACTTACACATTTACTGCACCAGCCCGCCGCTCCCCCAAGCCCCTCACCTCCTTCGCACTCCTCCCTCCATCCGCGTTTCCCCCTTCCGCCCTCGACACAACTCCACCATCGTCCGACCCAGACGCCCTCTTCCCCTCCGCGCACCCTTCCTCGTACCTCCTCGTCAGCACAAAGGACGCGCTCTCCATCATGCCCCTGCACGATGCGCCCCTCACACCCGCCTGGAGCTCGCGCGGCGGCCTCGTCTGCGCCGCCGGCGGAGGCGTCAAGATCGTCGGCGGGGGCGGCCAAGTTCCCGAAGCCGCCGAGCACCCGCACAATGTCTCCTCGAATGCAACCCCGAATAACAACGCGGACGGCCGGGGGCGCGCCGGCAGCGTCGTGGAGCACCGCGATCCCAGCCGCAGTCCTCGCCCCGGAGCCGGAGCCACGAACGGCGACGGCAGGGCCAACGGCAACGCCAGCACCCTTGCGCCGTCCCCGCCGGCGCTGTTCGGGCGCGGCGACGCGGACGGGTTTCCGGCGCTCGTGTCGCCGATCGCGTCGCCGGGGCGCTCGCATTCGCAGCTGCCGCTGCCTTCTGTCTCAGCGCATCAGGGCAGATCGCGCACGTCGACGCCGCCGCCGACGCGGAAGAAGGGGAGAGATACGGCGTTTAGCCCGTCGGCGCTTGCGAGGCTGTCACTCTCGCCTGGGCAGGAGTATCGTGCGGGCAAGGGCGGGAGGGATGAGCGGTCTCCGCTTCAGCCGCATGTGAGGCTGCCACCGGATGTGGAGAGGAAGGAGCCACGTGTGAGGAGGGGGGATGGGAGCGAGAGAAGGAGGTCGAAGTCGAGGGGGAGGTCGAGGGCAAGGTCGAGGGAGAGGAGTGCGAAGGCGGTGGTGGAGGGTGATATTTCGTTGTTGATGCGGAGGAGGGCGAGGAACGGCTATGGGCTCGAACATGTAAGTCGTCGTTCGGGTTACTTGTTAAGTGGCTTTGACTTTTGGTACGACAGGCAGAACACAACGCTCGTCTCGCGCGCGAAGACGATGACCATGAGCTTGCCGATCTGTGGGATTGGATACATCGTAAGGCATATACCTGTTCGTCCCATCGACAGATATGCTGACGTCTGCTGTAGATGCAAATGACATACTCGGTAACCCCACATCCCGCGTCGGCGGATACGAATTTGCCCACCAAGGCATCCTTGGCATCTGGGAAGGCTTCGCCCCCATTCTCCCTCGCGTCAACCCACCCCTAGCGCCTCCCCCATCGAACCAACCGCACACACCCGCACCGCCCGAACCACCCCATCCCTCACCTGCCCACCATCCCTCAGCAGGCAGCGGTGGCAGCGGTGGCAGCGGCGGGATGCTCGGCAAAACAGCAAGCATGCTGCACCTCAGCTCCGCCATCTCCGCGACGCGCTCAATCGTGCCCTCCTTCACGGGCTCCATGACCGCGCCGAACTCGCCGACATCGAGCCCGCCGCGCAGCACGGCGACGCTGCAGACGGACACGGCGACGGACCAGTCGGGCGGGTCGGAGTTGGACGCGGACGAGCAGCCGCCAGCGGAGTACGACGATGCGGTGGACATGGTGCTGATGCAGTCTGCGGGGCTAACGGCGTGGAAGCCGATGGCGAGGACGGAGATGTTGGCGAGGAGACGGTTGGCGTTGAAGTTGAGTGGGTGGGATGAAGCGGGGAGTGTGGGGGAGTTGGTTGAGATGTGAGTGGATTCTTTGGACCATTTTTTTCGTTTAGGTGTTGATTGTGGATTTTTGGCGTAGATGGCAAGGTGAGGGGCAGTGGTCGCGTGCGGCATGCTGGTTGCTATTCATGCAGCAACACGACAAGGCGCTGAGTGCTCTTATGCAGAGTGATGGTACTTCATGGTCCTTTGTTTCGCTGGGAATGGCTGGTTGATAGTTTGTATTGCAGACGAAACGCACATCATGCTTTCTGGTACAATCGCCGCGCTTATCAACCAGTCTTCAAGCTCAAACGGAAAATCGTCCGCCGCCCTCAAAGGCCACGCACAGCAGCTCGCACGAAAGCTACACGACCCATACTTCAGAACAATGCTAACGTGGCTGACTACGAAAGACTTCACCACCATCCTAGATGCGCAGGAGAAGGACGACACTGGCGATGGCCACGGCGAATGTCTACCCCTCGTCGAACGGCTCGCCATCGCCCTTCACTTCCTCCCAGACGACAAGCTCGCGCCGTACCTTCGCAAGGTCGTTCAACGCGCATCTTTGACAGGAGATATCAACGCCCTCGTCATCTCCGGTCTCATTCACGCCCCTTCATCGCGTACACCGACACCGAGCCCCACCGCCTCCACACAGCCGCACGATGCCCCCGCCGCTGCGATGACGACAACGTGCCTCGATATCCTCCAGGTGTTCGTCGACCGCACCGGGGACGTGCAGACAGCCGCCTCGCTCGCCGCGCACCTGTCATACCCTACCTCGCCCGCGAACGGCGCGGAGCGCTGGGTCGAGGCGTACCGCGACCTCCTGGACGGGTTCAGGATGTTCCACGAGCGCGTGTGGTTCGATGTCGAGCGGGGCAGAGTGCTGCGCGAGCGCGGGGCGGAGGGGAGCGAGGGCGTGTGGGAAGGCAGGCGGGGCGCGCGGTGGGCGCCGAGTCAGGTGTTGATCAGGTGTAATTATTGTAATAAGCCGATGGGCGGGGAGGGGTTTAAGGCTGGGGCCGGGAAGGGAAGGGTGAGTCGGTGGTGTTGGTGGCTTGTGTTTTGATGCTGATTGAAGGTGGGTTAATAGCCGACGGCGTGTCCGAACTGCAGTCGGTCGCTGCCGCGGTGCTCGATATGTCTTATGACGCTTAGTATCGTGCCAGATAACGTGCGCGATGCGGACTTGTCGCATTCGCAGGCGGACTACAGGGGTTCGTTTGCGTTCCAGTTTAGAGTCGCTGTCAACTGGCTGAACCTTTGCCTTTATTTCAGATACCATCGACGAAGCGCTCGTTATATGCCAGAGCTGTCGTCACGGCGGGCATGCCTCGCATATCCTCGACTGGTTCTTCGGGGCGGAGGGTATACGCGCGCGGGGTGTTTGTCCCGTAGTGGACTGCGATTGTCGGTGTGCAGATGAGTTCTGATATGTGTTGACTATTGCAAGATATAATTTATCCGCAAATACTGTTGTACCAGAGAAGTCACTACTCGGAAACACCAACATGACGATAAACGGGAAGTTCGGAGCTGTGCATTGAAACCACGTCAACTTTGAGTTGAGAATTATTAATTGTATGTTCTAAATTACACGGGCCATCATATGGGCATAGTTCCATTCCTTGTTCAGAATAGCTCACATCTTTAGAGTTCCTCTCCTCTGGTCCTTCTCTGGCGTCTGTACCGCGGTGACAAAGTACATCATGTTCATGATCCTCCTCCTCTGATTCCTGTTATTTATCCATCAAAAACATAAGAGTCTATCTTTATCCATCATGATTGTGCCTTATCCAAATTGATGTCACTTTCCCCGATATACCGTGTCCACATTATAATGCAGTATATAAGACATACACGACTCGTTCACAAGCCTTACCGGAGGTTTCTAAAACGCTTCGTCACGGCAATCCGACCATGCCATTTAGCTCCAACTCTCCCATATATATTCCCATCCTTTTGGAGTTACATGCTGATAGCTACTCAACTGGTAATTAGTAACTAGACTGACTGCATTTGAATTGTCAGTGCATGGAGCAATAGTTACCTGTTGACTTTTTCCTTTTAGTGTCAATTGCAACGTTGGTAGTATACGACTATGGTGAGAACCACTGGCTGTTTCAGCCGAGCTTCTCACTTGCTTACGATGCCGTCGAAAGTCCTTTCCTTCAGCCAAGAGGTATGTTTCGTTGTTGGAAAAGCTAGCCGTTATTCACAAACCATATCGGTCGCAGGTGGACTTGATCTGGGTCAGTGAGACTGGTTAAGGCCAACATATTTGAGGGTATCATTTCCTGATTTTCAAAAAATTAACTTCAGAGAGACAAACGGTCATGGATGACCTATAGCTATATGTTTGTAGGTCATTAGGTCAGAAGTTCCATGCATTTCAGAACTGATTTTCGTATACCACGTTATATCGGCTTATTCTACGCACTGTACGTTGCTACACACTAAACTTCATAATTTTGTGCAGAGACTGAGTTAAGAATCACTTTCCAGAGCTTACCTTCGTCAGTAGAAATCTTGCCGTTGCTTTTTAAGTTAGCTAACCTTCATAGTAGCACTCCTCTTGCCTTTTACTATTTCCAACAAAGTAAGTACTACCCGAAGGACATAAACATTATCGCTTATGTTTTTGTTGGTACAGCTGTGAGCTTGCAGAGTTGTCGTACGCCATTAAGTAGTGCTAAGCCATGCACTCGTATCATTGAAGCTGCAAGTAATTTGTGTTTCGCAAACGTGCTGCGGGTTGATTCGGGCCTCTCACTACACAGGTTTTACCTTGTATTTTCTACTCAATTTGGCACTCCAATTCGCTCTGATCGCGATCCTTCAGGGTAATCGTTGAATTTTTACTTATTTTGCCATTAGCTGACTATGAATTCTAGCTGTAATGGTAGCCCGTGTCTGTGCCCTCTAGTACGGAAACTATAAGATCGTTCTTCTTCTTCTTTCTGGAAGCTTTATCGCAGTTCAATCCGTGTCTATCTCCCTCGCGTTTCCAAACTTCCTAGGGAGACACAGCTTCACTGGTATGTAGCATGGTTACTTAATTGTGATTTACCCTGTGGCTCATCACGGTTTCAATTGAAGAAAGCATTGTTTTGGGCATTCCAGGATGTTATGTACTGGCGTTAGTGTCGCCTTACTCATGGCTAAATCCGGTCAACAACGCAATCTCTCTGGCCTATGATGTTATCTTGATTATAATGGTCATTTATCGTTCATTTTGGCACCTAACACAGTGCCTCGTTGGGCGTTAGCTCTGTCGACACGGTGCTTGCCAGTCATGGATTGCTATGTTTTGTATTGTGAGTTTCCTATTAACAAATCACTGGCCTTGCTCAATTGTTATGTAGCATTTTTCTGTATGGAGGTTTGAGCCTCGTCGCCAGCACAAATATCTTTATATCGGTAAGGAATCCTGGTCATTTAGCATGGGCAAGTTTAATGAAATGAGACATGCTGAAATTAAAAATTTCTCTAGAGCCCCGTGGTGGCTGATTTCATTAATGGTGTATCTGTGCTGACACAGACTGTGCTCACATGTCTTCTGGGGCCGTGGTTCATCCTTTCCATACGCAAGTCCAAAGCAATCGGATTTACCTCACATTCTGGCTTGTCTGGAGATGTGGTCAGCTCTGTTGCCTTTCGAAGGCCGTTGTAGCCGCCAGACAACCTGGATGTCTTAGTTCAAGAAGTAGACCTAATTCAGGGCATGTGAAATCCTTTCCAGAATCAGGGGTACATTATAGTTCTCATCATCACGCATTAGCTTGATTCGAGAACTAATCCGCATCAACGATCTTCATTGGCTAGAAAGCGTGTTCGAGAACAAGTACAGTATGCGAGGTTTCAGGTTATCGATTCAGGTTCCGGCCAAGTTCCGGCTTCGAATGAGTCTTAGTATCTCCATTTTGGCATTTGAAACCCTTCTCTACTGTACAAGTTATGTAATGATCCTTGTCAACGGTACTCAAGTATGTATTCAGGGATCCATGGCTTCATACTAGTTATCGTGATTGCAACGTACACTCCTAGATTCGAGCGCATTCCCAGACTTGCGTAATTGTACCTTTTTCTCTATAACAACAAAGCCACACTCCGTGAAGAATAATTCACTACAGTAGAATGTTAGACGATGATTATTTCGAAGGAACTTTCCAGACGATAACATGCATCAACAGCCAGCAGGTCGGTTACTTCGAAGTATTTTTCCCCTGGCTTCTGGGAGTCGTGTATAAAGTAGGACTAAGTAGTGGCATTGACGGACGGTGACTCACGATGTGGTGGTTGGATGGCCTTTTACTTCCCAATTGTCTCGATGAAAAGTGTTCCCCTTAGCAAGGAATCATGCATTATTTATCAGGCTTAGCGAGGTTGGGTCTGGTAGAAGGACATAACTAGGCAGTCGGAGTGGGAAGAGGTGGAATAACATCCCGTTTGTTCTCACGATCTGCACCAGTGCTAGCGACTGAATTCACGAAGGTTGTCCTCCACAAGTGCATGACAGCGTGTACTTCAACAGCGCCTCAGCACAAGTACATCCATAGCAAACGGAAATAGGTGAGCACGAATCTATTGCCAGTGCCGAGACTGACTCTGTCCTGGGCGGCTGTGTGCCAAGCGCTCTAATATGGAACGTTCTTGCGCCAATCTCCTGGTGTCGAGAACGTTCCCAACACAAGGGAACACAAGGGACTCGCGACGGCTATTGGACGGCTACCTATTAAGACCGGTACATGACCTTCGGCTATTAAGGCACTCGTATTACTTTCGTCCAATGCCGCAAGGTACTATGTCAATAAACATCCTCGTCTAGGGCAGATGCTTTGGCATCTTCTCGGATAGAAGGTACACTGCTGTGCTTATCTTGACCTTCTTTCATGGAGGATTGCCGCGGGCCGGGATAGCGTTGGTTCCGCTCATGATCCTCAAATTCAAATCTGACCGTCAGCGAGGTATTTATTCTGCTCTCGCTTTTCCTACGGGACAGAATCCTCAGCACCATCGTAGGATACCATGGCTCTTCAGACATATTCCTCTCAAACTGTTCAGTCAATTTCTACTCTGTCCTTGCCTTTACTACCGCAGACAGTTGAGAAAGCTCCTTACGATGCCATCGCTCGCCCCACTTGTTTTTACCTCCCAGACACGATGACATCCTGGCCATGGAAGACGAAGGTTAACCCTTACGCAAATGCTGTGCGGCAGCGCTGTGCCGAGTGGTGCTCCTCCTTCCCGATGATGGCCAAGGCTTACAAGAAACTTGATCCAAGTGCGTATATAACCGTTTATCGAGCGAGCCTTTAGTTCACACCCGCTTCTCTTTAGTTTTGTTCTCGTCCATGGCGTATGCTGAAGCCACAGCTGGTGAGTATGTGAGCTTTTCATCACTTTGATTACGTGCTCATAATGAGGAAAGATCAACTACTAGTGGTATCCCTCTTCTCGCTCGTGATTGTATTGGTGGACGATAGCACAGACGTCGAAGATGCTGCTGCTGCCCAGCAGACAGCAACCCTTGTCCGAGACGCCTTGCAACATCCTCACCAGGCTCGGCCATTTGGAGAGGCTCCAATAGGGGAAATAGTACGACGGTCAGTTTGGACAGTTTATACGTTCATCTCTTGTGCTGAGCTTCACTTTCCATAATATGTAGCTTCTGGCAGTTAGCCATCCAAACAACGCACGTAGATGTGCAGTCGGCGTTCTTAACCCACTTCGACGCGTTTCTCGAGTCAGTAGTGGCCCAAGCGGGGTTTAGAGACCACGATAGCCAGCTCAGCATCGATGCTTACCTGACCATCCGCCGCGATACCGTCGGGGTGATGCCTTTCTTCCCTTTTCTCAGGCCGTCTGCAGACGATCGCGCGACTGAGAACGTCTGGAACTCTCCTATCATTGCCGAGTTAACCGGCTACATCGTGGACATGTACATCTACGATAATGTACGTCTCCCATAGTTGATCTCGGCCCGGTGGATCTGATCGCTTGACAGGACACGATTTCGTATGCTCGGGAGCACGCCCTCGGCGACATCGGCCATAACATCATCACGCTTCTCATGCGAGACCTCAATATTGATCTCGGCAGCGCGGTTTCCTGGGCCGTCATGCAGCATGCTGTGGCCCAGCGGGCGTTTATTGAGGGGATCGCACGTTTACCTTCTTGGGACGCTGACGTTGACCGGCAAGTCCGGGATTACCTCGATGGGCTCGGTCATTGGGCAAAAGCTTACCACACTTGGGCGTTTGAAGTCGAGCGATACTTCGGAGACCGCGGGAAAGAGGTGAAAGCTACGGGACTCGTTCGGCTGCGTAGGTCATAGGGCGATAGACGGACTGATGGAGACAGGTGACAATGTATTTAAAGTACTTGTAATTGTATTGGTATAGATTCATACTTACATTTTGCCCTGCATCGCGCAGTTACATCAACAAGCCCACGCTTTGCGCGATAAACGTTAAACTGCTGAGAGGATGACACTTACATGCATCGGCGCAACTTGCCGCATAATTTCTTCGCCGATTCGATGCGATCCTAGGCGTTTTCGCGGCCACTCTGTAGCAAACGAAAGATATGTGTCCAGTCGCCGGGGTTTTCATGGGGTATCCTGATGCTGAATTTACAACCACCGGGGAACAAAATGAGCTGAGAAAACCAGCTTGCGACTTGGTCGTGGTTTCGTCCAACTTTGGAATCAGTGAGATCCAACTTCTTCAAGAATGTATGGCCGACGTTAATCGATTTCTCGTCATCCGGTGAGATGGGACTGGGTGGGGTACGAGCGTCTATGGCGAGCGCGAGGTCCTCCAGAAGCGGGAGGAGCTGGAGGACTTCCGCGAGCCCGAGGAGCGTAATTTTGGAGGGTATTATCCAGCCGTATCTGGGGTTGATTCGTATTGTTCTGGCCTTGGGACAGGCAGAAGCGAGACTGGCTAGCTCACCGTCGCTAAGCGATACACTTCGACAGGTGTCGATGGAGATGGCTGTGAGCTGTCGGAAAGAAAGAGTCGGCTGGAGCGTCGAGAACGTAATGTAGTGGTTTGTAAGGACGGGGTGCTCGTACACCGTCAAGGATTCCAGAGTGTTGCTGTCGCAGTTCTTCGCAAGCAGGTTTAGGAGTGATGACAGGTCTGCAGCTGCAGGTATACGGTCGCCATGCTCGACGATGGATTCGAATTCTTTGAGAGAAATATGTGGGCCCCATGCATCCACCATTCTTGTGATCTCCGGATAGGCTCCTACTAAACGCACGTTTTGCAAGTGGGGAAGTGATATATTGAATCCGGGAGAACATGCCGAGAAACTGTTCTCATGCAGATGCAAGGCGAGCTTTTGCATCGACGAAAGCCTTCCTAAACACTTTAAGGAAGAGCCATCAATGATCCTACACGAAAGCGCGGACAAGTACTTCCAATGGCGTATGGCGTCCCATATTGCTGACGTCACCTCTGTGTCATGGAACGTGTAATGCATTAGGGTGAGTGACCTCAGGGAAGGGAATAATGTGCCTAGAGAGGAAATGACGGCGAATGCGTCGCGGAAGTCTTCATGCTCTGGTAGACCATAATTATTAGTACCTGTGTTTCGGGTCTAAAAGCGAGCGAACGTCAGTTACACGCAAAATAAATACAAGAGACAGCGCACGGAAGTCATCTGCGTAATGCTCGGCAGATGCAGTTGGTTCACTATAGGTCCTGCCAAGACGCGCAAAATGTAGATGTTCTCAACTGCTGCGTGATTCCATCCAATTTTCTGTAGTTTCGGGAACAGAAGACGGGGAGAGCGAGAAAGGATATAGAGTGTGTAGGTGTCGACGGCATTCACCGGGACGGAGCTTTGATCTCGGCGTCGACGAATCGGATGTTTATATGGGCCACGAAAGTACCGCACGCGACTGGCATAGTTGCAAAGTGTGGTCCACTCGCTGTCGTGTGGATATCTGGCGAACGTGTAAGCCACCCGAGGTGTTCCAGGAAGAAGAAGATCGATCCAGTCGGCCGGCTTGGGTATATAGTGTGTTTTCTTCTGGACGAGATCGGATGGTAGCGTAGAAATGAGAGGAACGAACGAGTCGAGTGTTTCCCAGAGTTTGTCCAGCGCAGGTTCAGACCATGCGCGGCAGATGGTGGCAACGGTCACGAGATCTTTTTTGTTCAGTCCAGAGTCAACGATGTGACGGAAAACTTCATCAAGTTGCAGGGCATGGTGCATGGGTGTACGATTAATGGGTGTGATCACTGATTATGAATGGTCTTAGGCGCCTTTGGGTGATCGCTCAAGCCAGCGAGCAAATCGAGTGATATGGTCTGAGCAACAGCAATCTCAACGTTGGTAGCAACGAAGAGATCGAGAACTGTGAAAGTAATGGGTTGTATTTGTTCACAGGAAACGGAGTGGCAGGTGAGTGCAGTAAGAGGGAGAGGCCATCGGGCGCAACTCGGGTGAGTTGCCAGATGTGTTTGTCGCCGCTTGGGTGGTGCACAGCCACGCCACCCTCTTGCCTCTCGACGTCGTTAACGTTCGTGTCGACCATCCCATTATCATGCGTGTCGTCCTATCCTGCCTAATCCTCGCAGGGCTCACTCAGGCCGCGCAGGTTTATCTCAGCCCTCAACCACACTCCTTCCCCTCTCAGCTGCCCTCGAAGCGGGCCAGCTTCGTCCTCGCTCACCACCTCGGACTCGACCAGTTTGAGGTACTTGGTGACAACTTGGTTGACTACGCTGGCTTGCTGGGCGAGCGCAACTTTGTGGGAGAGGGACCGTCGGATGGATTGCTTCTGGTCATCGATGAGAGTGTTGCCAAAGGTGTGTTGACCAAGCCGTCATCGCGGCTCCGCAGGCAGGCTCACTTCGGTACCTGCAGATGTCATCCCAACAACAATGGAGCCGTCATTCTCAGCTGCACTGAAGCCCGCGTTGGGCTACTCTCCCCAGCCGGAAAACCTTCACTGGCTCGTTTCTGGCTTCGTTAAGCGCGCGCAGCATGCCTACACCACCGTCTTCTCCACCTTCACTTCCGACTCAACCAAGGGTGTCCCTCGCGTGCTAGACATCTTCGACGCCTCGTCTGCATCCAGCCGAGAATTCGTCACCCAGGCCGCTGCCCTGTTCGAATTCATCGATTCTGAGGTTCCTTACGACAAGTTCGGCGCAGTGGAGCTCACCGGACTTACCGAGCTCGCCTCTACCTATGGGCGTGACAGCGAGCAGTACCAGACCGCCTCGAACGTCATCCGCGCTGCCATCGAGTCTGTGCTCGCTCAGCCCAAGGCCCGGCTCGCAATCGCCACCAGCGAGAACACGTCCGTTCTCTCGCGCCGCCAGCAGCCCCCGCAGCAATCCCCCTTCCCGCCCCAGAACCCCGGCCTCCCGCCGATGACACGCCCCACGACCTGCCTGACGACCGTCAGTGCGTGTAACAACGCGACGAACTCGTGCTCGGGCCACGGTCAGTGCTCGAGCGTACAGAGCGCTGGCCAGGAGTGCTTCGTGTGCGCGTGCGGCATCACGACAAGCGACAGTGGCCGGACGACGACCTGGGCTGGCGACCGGTGCGAGAAGAAGGATGTCAGCGGGTGAGTTGCGTTAGTCCTATCTATAAGTTTCATGCTAATAATATGATTATAGCGCATTCGCTCTGATCGCCGGAACTGTTATCTCGCTCTTGCTGTTGATTGTTGGATCAATCTCGCTGCTGTCCAGCATCGGTGCAACCGAGCTTCCCAGTATCTTGATGGGCGGAGGACATGGGGCAGCGAAGAGAGATTAGGAAACACGTGCATGTCATATTAGCGTTTGCGTTGACTATTCAATTTCTCCAAATTCTCTTTCCCAATCGAAGACTCTGACCGTATACGTGTTCATAAACGCCATACACAAGATACAGTGACGACTGACCTGGTTCCCAAGTCCCAATGTTGTCAAACACTATTACTAGATAACCATAGGACGCCTTCGCCATCTTCCAAGTCAACCCCTTTCTTCCTCATTTCGTCTACCCAATTCATAAAAATTCCGATGGAAGTCGGACTGTTGCACGCCTCCACCATGAAATCAAGCGTGCGTACAACCTCCAGTTTGGGCATGAGCTCGTGATCAAAGGACCGAAGATGAGCTCGCGAAGCGGCGCCTACTTGGGGGGTCGGGCTGTCCGCACCCAGAGACCTCCACGCGATCTCGCGGATGCCGACCCGCCGAAGCGCCTCGTGGGGCCGCCGCTGGAGGTCGAGCGTCTCGACGAGCCCTTCGTCTTCGTTCATGATGCTGTACACGATCTGCTCGAGACGGGGGCACGCGTCGAGGTACTGTGCGACGCGCGCGAGGGGCACGGTGGAGTAGCTGTGGGGCCAGAGAGGCTCGAGCTCGAGCGAGCGGATGTGGGCGCCGTGGTTCTGGAGGAAGCGGGCGAGGTGCGTCGCGTGTGGGTCGCCGGTGCGCACTTGGGGGCGGCTTGAGACGATGACGCGATGTAGAGAGGGGAGCGTGAGGCGCGAGGCGAATGTGAGGCTGTCGCGGTCGTTTGAGAGCATGAGCTCGCGGAGGTGCGGTAAGATGGTGTCTCGTGGGGCCTGATCGCCATCCGCCATCCAAGGAACTTTGCGCAGGTCTAGTACGATGACCTGGGTAAAATGGCTGATGTAAAGAGGGGAGAACTTTGTACTACTTGTGTTGTTCTGCAGCTGTGTCCCGTGTAGTATCGCTTGGTGTATCGAGGCCGCTGCTCGGAGACGGAGAGCCTTATCCAAATCGTCATGTGCGCCGACATGAAGGCTCTGAAGCGAGCTGCCATACATACGTACCAGGGCCTCGAGAAAAATATCGGACAGGTGTTGGTCGCAGGTGATGCTCAGAGACCGTAGATTGGGACACTGCACTAGGATACTGAATATGCACTTGAGGGGAGAGACGTGGCTTCGCAAAGGCAGAGATACCAGCAGCTGCTTTACTAGTCGCCCATTGGACGAAGAACAGCCTGAGATATGGGAGAGCTGAGATAGAGATGCACGAAGGTTCTCAAGAAGGCTGCGAAGAAGTCTCTCGGCGCCCGCGATGGAGTGTATGTCCAGAATTTCGTACAGTATCTCCGTCGCCAAAGACTTCCAGGCACGGCAGACCCGCACGACGCTTGTCTTGGTGCGCATGGAGGTCAATGTGTTGCTGAGGTTCATGACGTTGCCGAGATGTTGTCTGCGCGCAAACGGATTGGGCTGTGATATCGTTTTTACATCCGGGACTTGGGTCGCGGTTCTAAATATCTCCAGCCATAGCTCGGGCGCGAGATCTGCCCAAGATGCAGCTGTTCTCGCGGTTGAGGGAAGATTTGGCGCTGCAACGTCTTCCGACATGACCTGGCGAGTATATCATACCTTCAGTATGTAGATGCCAAATGTACCTGACGAGGACAACAGATTGAACCACTTTACCTGTGTTAATAAGTTAGACTTGATAGTACAAAGCACGTGTTGATGATAAAGGACAGAAATTCGACCACGTTACGAAGGGCGGAGTCGCCTCCTACCCCTGGAAGAGTGGCTGTGTTGCAAGTGCCCAGAACATGGCAAAACATCTCACATTGGGTAAAATTCGGGCCAAGGGGAATATTGACGCGGGTTGTATGAGCAATAAAGAAATTATAGATATACAAACACTAGCACGGTGTCCCTTTCTACAGTGATGCTTTCAAAAGCAGCACATATATCATACATCGACTAAAGAGCGCCCGTGCGCTTGCTACTAGGTCACCAACCACCAAACATGAGAGAAACGGGATGAGGTTGACGAAGATAATCAGTCTATGTCTCACTAGGTTCGTACAACCAAACTACACCCTCCCCGTCCTCGAGGTCGATCCCCTTTTTCTCAAAGTACTCCGTCCATGTCATCAGAGTATTCACCGACGAAAGGCTGATGGACGTCTCCACCATAAAGTCAAGCGTACGAACGACATCCAGGTTGGGCGTGAGGTCGCGGTCGAAGGACCGCAACAGGGCCTTGACCCCAGCGCTCACCACGGAGCGGGGATTGTGGCTCAGCTCCCGCCAGTCAATGTCGCGAATGCCGATCCTCCGGAGCGCATGGTGCGGGGTACTGAGCGTCTCGATACGCTCATCGTGCGCGCTGTACACGATCTGCTCGAGACGTGGACAGTGCTCGAGGTACTGCGCGATGCGTGCTGTGGGGCTGGGGGGACGGCGACACGCGATAAGAGGCTTTATGTCGAGCTCTGTGATGTTTCTGCCGTGCTTCTCTAAGAACTGCGTAAGACATGTTAGGTGCGTATCGTCGTACGATATGTCGAAGCGGAGTGACATGTGAACGCGGCGCAGAGATGGCAGCGTCAGACGAGAAGCAAACGTGAGGCTGTCGCTATCGTTCGAGAGTATGAGCTCATGGAGGGATGGCATAGAGATTTCTTCGGTAGGATTCCCGTCCATTTCAACCCAAAGAACTTTACGCACGTCCAGCACGCTCAGGTTCGTGAATCGAGCAACGTACAGCGGCGTGAGCACCTTTTCTGGCACATTTTGCTGCTGGTACTCGAGTTGCACGTGGTGTACGGGATGCCGAACCCTGGAGCGGAGTGACCTATCCAGGTCGTCGTCTGCCCCTATATGCAGACCGCGAAGCGAGCGACCATACAAGCGTGCCAGACTGTCGAGGAAGGCCGGCGGAAGGGACTGGTCCCATACGATGTTCAGAAAGCGTACGTTGGGACATTGCTGCATGATGTCGAAGATGCACTTGAGGTAAGGCATACGGTCCCGTAACGTCGGCGAGACAAACAGGTGCTTGGCGCAGAGCCCGTTTGATTGATGTAGACCGTCAGTAGGCCTGGGATACGCTGGAGCGGCGCGGTCGCTCTCGATGAGACATTTCAGCAACTTTTGGGCGTGATGAAGAGAGCGTATCTCGAGGTCCTCATATAGAATCTCTGTCGCCACTAGCCTCCAGGCGCGGGAGACGCACACGATGCTTGTCTTGGTGCGCATAGAGGTCAAAGGATTACTGAGGTTTAAAACACTTCCGAGAGGTTGTTTACGCGCGAAAGGATTTGGTTGCGATATTGTCTTCGCGTCCGGAAGATGAGTCGCGAACCTGAATATCTCCAGCCAGATTTCGAGCGCGAGGTCTGCCCATGACGCGCCTCCCTTTGACTCTGAATGAGCAGAGGTAGAGTCGGAAGGCATGCCATCGTCTGACATCGAAACGTGAATGTAATCGTGCTTTGGAAGGATGGCATGAGACGCGAAGGTGCGGCAAGCGGAAAGGCTCGATTTCCTCACCGCGACGTGAAGTTAACACGAGCGTGGCACCGGTATTGTGGGGATCCAAAGTTGACCGAGCCCGATAGACCCTTCTTTCGGTGCGTGGATCTGTTCAAAGGGTGGTCAAGTGGCAGCCGTTGGCAAAGGGCTTCTCTGAGAAACTGGTACGCGTGGATGGTGGAAAAGATCAAGGTGCTAAACGCGTAACAACGCAGAATGAAGAGGAGTTGAAATTGAAAAGGGGCTAAATGTGGCTGTGCACAATGGGCGGGCGCGCTTCCGCTGTCAATGGCACCGACGTGACTCTGTTCTCATTCAAGCCACGATGAACAACACCCACATGTGTTGCATGATAACAGATGACAACCAGTTGACAGCTTTGACAACCCTTTCACAGATCCCTTTCATGGAGCCCTTTCAGGACCTTTCATCGTGCACATCATCGCGGATACGAGGTACTGCAGCCTCGAGACTTCTCCAGTGTTGCTTGTAATGTCTCTCAAAGGGCTGTCGCTGCTTTGTTCCAATTTCTGTCTTGTCGTCGCCACCGATCCTCGCTTTTCGTATAAAAATGGTATCAAGATGTCGCACAGAGCTCAGAGCCTCCTTCCGCTTTGTGCACAGCCCTTCTAAACCTCTTGAACGAACTCCTTCATCGCAATGCCCGTCTCTCAAAGCGGCACCCACCGTGCTCTTCTCGTCGACGAAATATACCTCAATATCATCCGAAGATTGGACGACCGTTCCCTCAGTCACTTGGCGGGGTCATGCCGTGGGCTATCCGAGCCGGCCTTGGACCTCCTTTGGGAGTCTCTCGACTCTCTGCTTCCTCTCGTGACAATGCTACCTCGCGGCATTGTCCGTCGTAAGCCAGATCATTCTCATCCAGCGTACAAACCATGGCGTTCTCTACAGCCCTTCAACTTCGAAGTTGGCCCTTTGCACCAATCCGGCTTTGGCCGTCGCTCAGTGCAGCGGAGGCCCGATGGAGGATACAAGACGTCGCAAGTAGACCAGAGCAAACGCGCGGCCAGGGGAAAATTGGAGGTGTTGGTTCTCCCAGTGGTATGTTCCCGTTTTGCATTAACATTCGTCTGTAGGTCTCATGCCACGCGGCCAGGTCCACGAGCTGAAGCGTCCTCCGACTGAAGAGCAATGGGAAAGGATACTCAGCTATACGGGGCGAGTGAAACACCTCCGCCACGATCCGTCCGATACCAAGCCACACTCCGAGCGCTCTCCCCGTGGATTGGATAGGATATCGCCCGCCTTTCTCATGGCGCTCCTGAATCCCCCTGGTCGGCGACCGCTATTTTCCAAACTCGAGAGCGTGTATTGGAATGACTCGGACCCGGAGACATTCCTGTTTCTGGAGGTGCTGAAACGGTCTTCCATCCTCTCCCTTGATATCACAGGCGTTCGGTGCGGAGACAGCGTCGACGTAAGTGATCATGTATATCTATCCCGTCATGCATTCATGTCTGAACCATTTTCGTTTGATGGCGTGCTAGATTCGAACTCGACGCAACGTGCTCAAAGTCCTGACCGAGCTCGGTGATCTTTCTCCGTCACTTCAGTCTCTTCGCGTCCGTCTTGGCGATGACGCTCCGTTCTCCTTCCGCTCTATGGCCAAGACCATATGCTCTATGCATAACCTGACCTCCGTCGAGTACGACCTGTATGAAGTCGGCGCTCTCCGACATCTAGCGGGTCTTCCAGCGCTGTGGAGGGCGGAGATCCATATGCACACGGGCACCACTCGTCTCCCTCGCGATGGTTTGGCGGGGCCCGCTTTCCCCAGCCTCCAGACTCTCGTTCTTCATGGTGGCCACCAAGAGGTCTCCGAGTTCTTCCGCTTCGTCAAAGGACCTTCGTCAGTCCGGAACTTGTCAATCGACCTGTCATCTTCCAGCGACCCCCCGCCCTTGTCGACTGTGCTAGAGGCTATAGCTACTCACTGTGACCCCCACTGTCTGGAGTCGCTCCAGCTACAGGAGACGGTTGCCCCCGAACTCATGATCCATCAGCGGCATGATCTTCGTATCTCGGAAGAAACCCTCAAGGACGCGCTTCGCTTCAAAACGCTGAAACATTTCATCCTCGACACGTGCCGTGCCATCTCCCTTAGCGATGACTCCATGCGACGCATCTCCCTCTCATGGAAGAGCTTAGAGACCTTCGAGATCAACCGCAGCTCGGGTCGGTGGTACGCCGATGCGGACTCTCGATTCCAGCAGGCGACAATACGAGGGCTGCATCTGCTCGTCAAGAGCCTCCCTCACCTGTCACGGTTGGCTGTCGCCATCGACGGAAGGACTATTACGCGAAAACACCACACTTCCCCGACCCCGACGCACGTCCTTCGCAGGCTCAATCTCCTCGACAGCCAATTTGGAGGAAGAATAGGTAGCGAGGATGTGGTGATTTGCCTTTCGGGAATGATAGACATGCCTGAGTCGTGGCGCACCGAGAAGGCCAGGCTCCGGGTCGATAAACTCAGGCTTACGGAGCCCCAGCTGGCTGACGTGCTCCAGGGCAAAGGAAAGAAGAAATGGGAGGATATTAGGAATGTTATTGTAGAGAACTATAATAATATCCTGTTCTCGTAGATATCCAACCATTCAGTACAGAATCGAGCTTGCGTTGGCTGAAGCCGCGCTAGTACTGGGCTAGCCTGGTGCCAAAGTCTATTGAGGGAGTATAGCCCCTGACGGAAGACCCGTGAGAATGATCGGACCGGGCATATGGTCGAGCGCGGTCAACGCCGAGCCTCCAACTCTCTCCTCTTGACTCGGAACTGCCTTCAGTGTACTGCATTTGTCTCCAAGAGGACTCCGGCGCAGCAGTCGGCAACGTCATAGAACACTCAGCGCAGCACTATAAACAAGGACGTTGCCCATCATTGCAGCCAAACGCATCTTATTTCTTCTCCTTGTCCCAATACTTTATTGGGCCTGGACTCAACTTGCGACAATGATGCAGTTAGGAGCACCGCGGCCAAATGGCAAAGTCAGCGTCGGATAGTTCGTCCATCTCTCTTCTGGTATGCAGGCAGGTACTGACGACATACGTAGTTTTGTGAACTGGTGAGCATTTCATTGTCTTTAACTTCGGATTGCTCAACGCGTCGATGACGTCAGGGGCATTTACGCGCGATCGTTCCCTCCCACTCTCATACCCGCCCAAGATTTGACGTGCGTTTCTCAAGTGTCAAATATGTGCACTGAAATATGAATAAAACATGTAATAGGCATCTTCTCTATGCCTTTGCTGCGCTCGACTCGTCGGGCAATGTCGCTCTCTCCGATCCCTGGGCCGACGTCCAGGCCCACCTGGCGAACGAGCGATGGGACGAGCCCGGCAACAATATGTTTGGCTGCCTCAAGCTCATCTACGCGCTCAAGCAGAACAACAGGCACCTCAAGTCCCTCCTCTCCATCGGCGGGTGGGGCAAAGAGCAGGCGTTTCACGCGATTGTGGTCGACCCGGCGAAGCGCCAGACGTTTGTCAGGCGGTGTATAGAGCTGCTTGAGGACCACGGGTTCGATGGTATCGATGTCGACTACGAGTATCCCTCGAATAGGGACCAGGCGGTCGGGTTTACGCTGCTGTTACAAGAGCTGAGGATGGCACTTGATGAACATGCCAACGCGAAGCGGAGAGCGGGGGTGCCAAATGCGCAGATATGTCGGTTCTTGTTGTCGGTATGTCTTTACACCGACAAGGCGCCACAGGAGTGTCTGATGCTTGACTGTCTAGATCGCTGTGTCCTGTGGTCCCTCAACATACGCAGTACTTGGAGAACCTTTCCCGTCGTCGGGACAGAGTATCGCCAGCGTCATGGACCAGTCCCTTGATCTATGGAATCTAATGGCGTATGATTTCGGTGAGTAAACTCTTTCATTCTGAGGTTAATCCTTACTTAGCCAACGTAGCCGGTGCAAGTTGGAGCAATGTGGCCGACCACCAAGCAAACCTCAAAGGTGAACAGCTTAGCGGAGAAGCCGCCATCAACTGGTACAGCCGGCAAGGCGTCCCCCTCTCGAAGATGGTACTCGGCCTCCCCCTCTACGGCAGGAGCTTTGCAAATACGAACGGCCACGGCCAGCCGCACAACGGCTTGCCCGAATCGTCGCGCTCGTCCTGGGAGCAAGGGGTCTACGACTACCGCGCTCTCCCCATCCAAGGAGGGCACATGCATGAGGACCTGAGGAAAGGCGCGAGCTGGTCGTTCGATCCGAGGCTCAAGGAGTTCGTCACGTTCGACAACGGGAACATCGCCAGGATGAAGGGCGAGTATACCAAGGAGCGGGGTCTGGCTGGGAGCATGTTCTGGGAGCTTAGCGGCGACAAGCGGGACGATACGGAAGGGGACCGGGAACGTAATAGGAAAAAGTTGCAGGGAATCGGGAAGGACTACGTGGACGGGGACAGCCTGGTGCGCGTTGTACGGGAGACGATGGGGCAGCTCGACCACACCTGGAACTGGCTCAGCTATAATGGGAGTAAGTATGATAACATCAAGAATCAGATGGGTAGACTGCAGTAGCTATAGGATGACAGAAGGACTGTTTATTGTACTTTATGCCCGCATCTTAGTACCTCATGTCATGAGCCAGAATGGCAAATAGCCCCTGATTTGAGCTATGTTCGTTTATGCCTCCGAGTTCGGACCTGTCTTGATCGTTCCGTGCCTTGGATTCCCCGCATTTCCCTTCCTGATCGAGATTTATTAATGCATCGATCGCTCATAATATCTTAAAATGTGCGAATCGGGGACAAGATCTAGCAATGTCCGGCGAACGTCGGAAAACAAGAACTACGACAACCAGCAATGATGACCGTTGCCTCGACCTGGTCGAGTCATCATTAACATTCACAGGCGTCCCAAAGTTAACATAAATGAAACGCGACCGCACGAACATGACTGCACTTTTAGCACCCACCTACCGCCATGGCAGACCAAGCAAACTCAGCGACACCTCCGAGTCGCGCTAACGCGCCTATGTATGCAGACTCGGACGCAAAAGCCACAGAGCTCAAGACGCTCGTCGAAAATGGGTACAACACCATCGCAGAGAAATACAACACATGGTCCTCCCCGCGCCCAACCACAACGCGCATGGCCTACATCGACAAGCTCCTCGGCCTCCTCCTCCCGTCCGACCAACCGTCCCCTTCCTCCAAACCCAAGCTCCTCGAGCTCGGGTGCGGCGCGGGCATTCCCTGCGCCAAAAAGTTCGTCGACGCCGGGCTGGACTACACCGGCGCGGACATCTCCGACGGGCTGCTCGACCTCGCGCGCAAACAAGTGCCAGGCGCGACATTCGTCCACTCGGACATGATGGCGCTCGACTTCGCGCCGGGTTCGCTCGATGCCGTCGTCGCGTTCTACTCGCTCTTCCACCTCCCGGCGGAGGAGCAGGGTCTGATGATCACCAAGATCCACGGGTGGCTCAAGGCCGGCGGATACCTGTTGTTCAACACGGGTGGACGGGCGGAGACGAGGCAGGTGGATAACTGGATGGGCGCGCCCATGTTTTCGACGCATTTGGGTTATGAGGGGAATCGAAAGATGATGCAGGAAAGCGGAAAAGGGTTTAAGATTATCGATGACGAAGAGGCGTTAGAGCAGGTAGCGAGGTTGGAGACCTTCCCCAAAGAACCCTTTCATTGGATCTTTGCTCAGAAAGAGTAACACGAGTTAGATTAATGGACTATCAATATATACCACATGTAAGACCAGAATTGACGATGTATAATGTACAATGAATGGTTCCGGTAGAAAGGGCGAGAAATAATGAAATAGAAACACCTACGAGGATAGACCAGCTCTAAGCGACGTATAGAAAGAACAAAGAAATGAAGCCTCGCGAGAAAATAGTATACACAAAGGAGATGCAATTCTTGTCTCCTGTGATCTTCGCAATCAAACAAGATAAAGGCGCCGGTTAAAGGTCTCTCAGGAGCGCGTCTTCGATTTAATCAGATTTGCGACTAGGCATGGACATGGCTGGGTGAGGCGCAAGTTGCGAGGTGATCGGGTAAGACACAGCGTCGATCATATCTTGACTTCTGCGACGAGGCAGGCGCTCTTTCGTATCGTTGGGGAAAGGAAATGCGTCTTGGCTTGCTCCCCGCTCCCTGCCGTTGACCTCGAGATACGGTGAGATAAAGGATCGCGGCAGGGTACGCGAGCAATCTTTATTCATCCAACGGCCTGGAGATACGGATCTCCTATCTATCGAGGGTGCACGACCCAGATGGCGATCCGTGAGAGTCATCGTCGAGCCTACACTGGGGAAAGCAAGATCGGCAAGCTCGTGACCACGTTCGCGCTCTTCGCTGAAGCTGGTGCGCTGGCTGGAATTCGACGACAAGGAGTCGAGTGAGAGACGCGGGGGAAGGGCCGATAGAATCGCGTCTCCAGCTGCGAGGATGGATGAGAGCGGCGTCCCGGATGTAGACGTGTTATTATTAGGGTGATGCGATGAGCCAAAGATAGATCCGTTCTGTGGTTGCGTGAGGTCGTGAGAGGAAGCGTTCTGGGAGGCGGTAGTAGAGGAGGTCAGCTTGGGTATCGGTGTGCTGTCCTTGGGAATGTAGAGGCGAGTGCGTAAGTGGATGGGATCGGATGGCCAGAGGTGGTTGGCGCGTCGCAATGCGGCGATTGGGACGTTGTAGCGCAGTGCTACGCCAGCTAGGGAGTCACTTGGGGTGACCTGAGCGGCGCATATAGTCAGAGATATGATACTTTGCAGCCTAGACTACCCACTGCGTACCGTATGCACAAGTAAACCATCGCTGGTCTCGGACTCGTTTGCCTCGTTCTCCACGACATCATCCGTGCCTAGTTCCGACGAATCCGAACTGGCCTCATATCCATTAACATAAGACCACGAGAAGCTAAGCTTCGTAGCTTCTTCATGGTCCTTGGCCGGAGTTGTGGGCCGATTGGACTGCAGGGGGGATACAGCGAGCGGGTGCGGCTTGGGTGGTGGAACATGGACGGTGAGGCCCTGCTCTGGCTTGTCGTAGACGATGCCGGGAAAGTCTGAGTCCTCTCCACGTTCTATGGGAGAGGAGAAGTGTCCGCCGTCGAGGTCGGCGAAAGGGTTGGCGGTCTCGAGGTCATCTGTGTAGTCGAGACCATTCATACGAACATCAAGGTGGTGACAGGATGCAAACGGCCCCTAACCCTAGCGACGGGTCGTGAGTCGTTCAGTCTGACCAAGCAGACACAAATACCCCCTAGACCCTTTGCACTCTCATTTCCCCGAAACTTCCGATTTGCTTCCGATGCACCACGCCCTTTTCCTCGAGGAGATCTTTCTCAACGTTGCTCAAAGTTTGAACCGTAATCATCTTTGTACATTAGCGAGGGTATGCCGTGCGTTCTTGGAGCCTGCAAATGACATCATATGGGCCGAACTGCCGTCTTTTCTTCCTATCGTCCTCAATCTACCAAGCGACCATATCCAATGCTTCAAGGAGGTCTTACGCAGACACGAGCATATAGTGAGTTCTCACTGCATCAAGGTTTGTTACCAGTAGCTGGAGAATTGGTACTAGCTTCGCGTAGTCCTTTCTCATCCCCTCATGGATTCGGATTGGATGGTCATTCGCTCGCGGACGAGCCGCGTCAGGCGTCTTTGTGGTCAACTCGACTGTGAAATCATCAACAATCCTCGTTTTATTGATGATGAAGTATTCATTGCGTTGAACCAACCTCCGAAACCCGAACCGCTCTTCACGAGATTGGTCACGATAGAATGGCGAAACTTTTGGCCCGTTTCGCACATGCTGTTGCGTGTCGCGGCAGGACCCTCCGTCCTCCATCTTTCTTTTCCAGATTTTACAGAGCGCTTTCACGACGACCTCTTCTCTGATATGGGAGAAGAATGTACAGACACACTCTCTAATCTTGCCACCTTGTATCCTTCTGTCACATCCTTCAACCTTATCAACCCCCCATCCATGCCCGTGCTCGTGCCTCGGCTCTCAGCGGCAGTGGACTGTTGGCCAAACCTAGTCTCCCTCACGTGTGGAGAACTCCTCCCGGACGTCACGCACCGTCTGTTGTATCTCCCCTCTCTACGCAGTCTCACGATTCGCCTCCCCGAGAATATCTATCAAGGCGAGTCGGGCGCGGACGCAGGTACAACTGACCAACCGGCCACAGCAACTTTACGTTATCTTCATCTCACCGGTGATCCCGAAGACACCGTCCGCTTCTTAACGAAATTCCCCCAGAAGCTGCTCACCCATACGCTCGTGCTTAAGACACAGGTAGCCGAATCACCCACAGAGTTATTGCCCCTCTTTGAAGGCGTATCGACCATGTTCTCCCCTCAACACTTGGAGGCCATCACTTGGTTCGGTGACGCGGACGTCCGTGAATTTGAAGATAGCGACACCTCTCACTATCATGTTGCGTGGTTTTTACAGCCGGCTATGACATTCCACTCCATCGAGCCGCTCCTCGCTTTCGACAACCTAGTGAGCGTCGAGCTCCAGACGTGTCGCTCCATCTCGCTCTGCGACGCCGACCTTGAGCAGATGGGGCGATGTTGGAAGCATCTCAGGAGCCTCATGCTAGGCTCGCAGAGAGGATGGGACAGTCTAAACGAACTACCCACCGTCTTCGGCCTCGCCACGCTTATCGAACTCCTTCCGGACCTAGAGACGCTGGCCATTTCACTCAACGGTTATCAACTGTCAAGCATGGATGATGAGGAGATTGACACACTCCGCGCAAGGTGCAGTCAGGCGAGTCGGTCTCTACGTTCCTTGGACTTGCTCGACACGATGTTCGACGAGAGCGCTACAATAGCAGCTAAAGCAATTGCTGCTGTCGTTCCCGAGGCCTGCGAGGTGGACGCATGGAACCCGCGCAGCTTTGGCATTCAGGAAAGGTATGGTTATGAGTTTGTCTCGCAGTACCAGCTGGAGTGGGCGAGAGTGGACGAGCGCTTGAAAATGCTACGTGCAGGATACGATATCTAGCGTGTACGACGTATAGCCCAAACATATAAATCGTCTCGATATCCATGTGGCCGCGTTATGCCGGGTGTTATCCTGCTAAACTCGCTTACTTATTGCACGTTTTCACGGCTCTTCATTTGCCCCTATAACTATGATGCAACCAATTTACATCAATTGGGACATATTTGGCCCCTGCCCCCTCGGCAGCATAATATCCGAGTAGACGAACATCTCTAGTGTAGACTGCCCCATGCTCACAGACAACCCCGAGCTCAGATGCACTACGCCCTCTTCATTCATGAGATTCTCATCCTAATTTTCCAATATGTTTCCCGTCAAAACCTCGTTTCAGTATCGAAGACTTGTCACACCCTTTCAAGACCTGCCTTAGACCTACTTTGGTCAGAGCTTCCGTCCATAATTAATCTTCTTTGCGACCTTCCCAGTGATAATATTGTTCTCAAGAGGCACGAGAGGGATTATAACTATCAGACCAAGGTAAATGTGTCTTCAACATGCCCATTCCCTGGGACTGCATCATTGACAATGTACCTACCAGTCGCATGTTGTTCTTAATCGGCCGCTCACAGATTCAGACTGGCTGGCGCTCCGGGTACGCGCGGGGCGCATAAAGTTTCTCAATGTCGGCCTTGATGATGAGGGGGGGGGCACAACCCAATCATGATCGACGATGACGTGTTCTCGGCCCTCAGTCAGTCTTCCGGGCACGATGCGCTCTTCCCGAACCTGGTCAAGATCTGTTGGCCAAACTTTCACCCTTCCTCACGCATGCTATTGCAGCTCTTGAGCGGCCCCTGTCTCCTGCCTCTCCTTTCCCGATTTTCCGTCTCCATCTTGCCCCGAGTCGCCTCTACCGGGTGGTCCTCATTCTATCCAGGGCTGCATTGACGTAGTCGCTAGTCTCAGCAAACTGTTCCCTTCAACTACGTACTTCGAGCTGAAGGGCAGCCTTTCTGTCAGACCTGGGCTATTATCCGTCCTTTCAGAAGTGATATGCTCTTGGCCGCACCTCAGGACGCTTGTGTGTGATGAGCTTCTGTTGAACGCGATCCATCATGTGGTGCATTGCCCTTCCCTACGTACTCTGGACTTCAACCTTCCCAGGAACGTGTCCCGTGGTGCTACACAGGCGAACGTCTTTACCTTTGACAGAGTGGCGCTGAACAATGTGCGTGATATTCGAGTAAAGGGCGATCCTGAAGACATGGCCTGCTTTTTGAACTCCTTCCTTCGCAAGATAACGCCTTTGGGAGCCACGTTCTGTACCCGTGTAGGCCGTTCATCCGAGGAAGGACCTGTGGCCTTCTTTGAAGCACTCGCCAATGGGATCGCTCCAGATTGCCTCAAGTCCCTTACTTGGAGCGGCGAGGTGGACGTCAAACAATACTACTTCAGCGAGTGGCAGCCGCACAAAGCGATGACTTTCTCCTCCTTTCACCGGCTCCTCGTGTTCGCAAATCTGACACATGTAGACCTTGACACTCGACGCGCTATACACCTTGGCGACGCCGACCTCCAAGAAATCGCGTGCTCTTGGCGACACCTGGAGAGCCTCTTCATCAACAAGGAGACCGGGTGGGGACGCGGCGCAGGGTTGAGGGTAACCCTCGACGGACTCGTCACTTTCTTGGGTTTCCTCCCTCGGCTGCGGGAGTTGTGCGTGGTTCTTGACGAGGACCAGCTAGCAGGGGACGCGTCGCAACTTGACGCACGTCGGAAGACCATGGCGGAACGCCTGCGGTCATATTCACCTCCCAGGGCACTTCATACTGTGGACTTGCTTGATACTTTTGTCAGCAAGAGGGAGGTCAAGAGGGTGGGGGAGTTAATGTGGGGTATCTTTCCGAGGGGATGCAGCGTAAGCACGTGGGGTTAAGTACATCTAGATGTTGAAAGATAGTCACAACCTGGGAGCATGTCCCTTGCACGTAATTTGGGCCCGGGGATGCACCGAGCTGCTGTCCACCGGTGCAACCAGCACGGTTCAGTCGTATGACCTCTTTGCCTATACTCAGCTTGAGGTGTCAGGAAGAAATATCGTCGCCAAGTATCGTCGTTGCAGAGGACAAGTTGAAGATGGTTCGGCAAAGACCGAAAAGAGGGATATCATACAGTGTTTCGCGTCGGAAATGGGACTGTCATAGACTGTCATAAGCACGGTAAGCACCCGGCAACACCACGGCGACCTCGTCATGACAGACGAAGGCTCGCGGCACCTTCACTCACGGCACGTCTACCCCTCGTCCGAGTACGGCGGCCTGCACGCCCCAGAGCGTCTAGACGAAGACTGGGACCACATTCAGTGCGTTATTGCCTGTCCGCTGCCTGCTCCGGTCGCGTTAACCCTCGGCACCTGCTTGGTACTGCCGGCACTACAGGAAGTATGAGGACTTCACCACTATAGGTGTCTTCGCTAGTTGCACTACCCGAGAACGAGGGCTTACGCTGGGCGACGACAGACTGGATTCAGGACTCGCTGGTCGAGCGTAATCGCCGACGGCGCGACGCGCACCATCGGCGCACGGCGGGGCGCGGGCCTGGGGGCGAGATCACGTCGGAGTGGGTGTGGATGCAGGGCAAGAGGCTTCTTGGGGCGGGAGAGTCGTGGTTGGTTATCACTGCTGTCGGTGCGCTCCGCTTTACATTCTGTCTTCGCTATCTCTGTTGACCTGGGCTCTTCTCGCCCTGTGTTCATTGTTTGCTCGTCTCGCAATTGTGGCCTTACAACACAACACCCACAACGCCTCTCTTGATATGCTTATGCTCTTCGCACATCCGCGTGCGTACAACTAGGTATCGGCATAGGCGTAAACGCCGCCCTCATCGACATCATCACCGAATGGCTCTCGGACATCAAAATGGGCTACTGCGCCGACGGCTGGTGGCTCAACCAGCAGTTCTGCTGCTGGGAGATCGAGGGCGACGACAACGCATGCCCTTCGTGGCACCCCTGGAGCACCGTCACGCCCGCCCGGTGGATCATATACGTCCTCTTCGCAGTGCGTTGCCCCCCCGCTCGTTTTCCTTTTGCCGCGTCGCGCATTGTCGCTAAAACACTGCCTCCCGTTCACCCTTGGTTCTCGTGGCCAATATCCTTTGATATGTGGCGCCCCTCATAGACGCTGTTTGCGTTCATCGCCTCTCACCTCGTCCGCACCATGGCCAAGTACGCAGCCGGCTCGGGCATCTCGGAGATCAAGTGTATTCTCGCTGGCTTCGTTATGCAGGGCTTCCTCGGGCTTACCACCTTCTTTATCAAGTCTCTGACTCTCGTGTGTTCTTCCTCTCTCCTCTCTTCACCTTATCGCTCTAATATACCGACGATAGCCTCTGGTCATCGCGTCAGGCCTCTCGGTAGGGAAGGAAGGTCCGTCAGTACACGTCGCGTGTTGTATCGGCTCGCTGGTCGCTGGCATATTTGGGCGCTTTTCGAGGAGTCAGAGTAAGATGCGGGAGATCGTTACTGCCGCTAGTGCCGCTGGTGTAGCAGTCGCGTTCGGTTCGCCGATTGGAGGTGTGCTGTTCTCGATTGAGGTGCGTTTCCCCCCTTTATGGATACGCGACACAGAGAAGCTGACGGTGAGAGCTGTAGGAAATGAGCCACATATTCAGCATCAAAACGATGTGGAGGAGCTTTGTGTGCGCGCTTGTCGCTGGGTTTACGCTGTCTGTGCGTAGATATATGTTGTGTCATGTGTGCTCGTAGTGCTTACTGGCAACTGGTTGTGGTAAACAGGTTATGAACCCCTTCCGCACGGGAAAGCTCGTTCTCTTCCAGGTAACCTACAACAGGGACTGGCACTTCTTCGAGATCATCTTTTTCATCATCCTCGGCATCTTTGGCGTGCGTCTTAGCCTCCCTACCCCTCACTCACCTCTTCTCCTTACGACATTGCTAACCTACACTGAATCGGGATTGACACTGACAGGGCCTGTACGGCGCCTTCATCGTCAAGTTCAACATCCAGGTCGCCTCTTTCCGACGCAAATACCTCGCCGACTACGCCGTGGCCGAGGCGGTCTTCCTCGCGGTCGTCACCGCCGTGCTGAGCTACCCGAACCGCTTCCTGCGGATCGACATGACCGAGATGATGGCCATCCTCTTCCGCGAGTGCGAGGGCGGGGGCGACTACGATAATCTCTGCCAGTGCGTGGCCGTTCCCGTCATCTTCCCTCTATGGCCCAGGTGAAAGCAAGCTGATGTGATTGCGTGGGATATAGGCTGGCGGTCCAGTGGCCGATGGTGAACTCGCTCCTGCTCGCGACGTTCATCCGCATGTGCCTCGTCGTCGTCTCGTACGGGTGCAAAGTGCCCGCAGGGATATTCGTGCCCTCCATGGCCGTCGGCGCGACGTTCGGCCGCATGGTCGGGATCATGGTCAAGGCGATGTACCGGTGCGTCTCTGCCCCCCGACTGGTCCTTGCCTCATTGGCGCACACGCACACGCAGAGCTGACTTGTGCTCCTGGGACGGCACAGGGCGTACCCGCAGTCGGGCATGTTCGCGGTGTGCGACCCGGACTTGCCGTGCATCACGCCGGGCACGTACGCGCTGCTGGGCGCGGCGGCCGCGCTGAGCGGCGTGATGCGCATCACGGTCTCCGTCGTGGTGATCATGTTCGAGCTGACCGGCGCGCTGACGTACATCCTGCCCACCATGGTGCGTACGCGTTTCCCGCCGGCCGGGGGAAAGGGATAGACGCGTGGCGCTGACCAACTTGAACGCTGGGGCGTAGATCGTGATACTGGTGACGAAGGCCGTGGGCGACTATTTCGGCACGCGCGGCATTGCGGACGAGATGATTCGGTTCAGCGGGTATCCGATTCTGGAGAGGGAGGAGTCGGATCATGCGATTCAGAGTGTGCCGGGTGCGTGGTAGCTCGCGTTCTGCCTGGGCTCGAACAAGTTAACGTATGTGGCGTTGTGCAGTGTCGGAAGTGATGCGAAAGGACCTGGACGTGCTCGATGCGTCTGAGATGCGTGTGTCGCAGATCGGTGCGTCTCGTTCTCGGTGGTCTGAGCTCAGGGTGCTGATATAGCCCCGCGCACTCTACGCGTTGCTTGGGTATCATATGCAGAGCAACTCCTCTCGTCGACGTCTGTCAAGGGCTTCCCGATCGTCGAGACGCAAAAAGAGCTTGGCCAAGAAAAACGGGTTCTAGTGGGCTACGTTGGCCGGAGCGAGCTCAGATACGTGCTCGGTGCGTATCATTCGCTCCTCCGACAGTCGCTCGTAACATGACTCTCTCTCCGCCCGTGCATCGCAGACAAAGCGCACACCATGCCCGGGCACACCGCGCGCGACCCCCGCTGCGCGTTCGTGCGGCCCGCTGCTGCAGCGTCGTCGTCGTCCGAGTCGTCCCAGGACGGCCGGCCGGGGACTAACGGCGCGGGGCAGTTCCACGGGCGCAACGGCTCCGTCGAGTCCGAGACCACGTCGGGCTGGGCGCTCGGCGCGGGGGACGATTTCGAGGCGGACGAGATGCTCGGGACGCTGGATGATGCGGATATTGCGATGGAGGGCGGTGGTGTTCCCGGTGGTACAGACGGGAGCGGAGGGGGGCAAGGGACAGGAATAGGAATAGGAGCAGGAGGGACGGGAGGAACGGGCGGAGCGCTGAGGGTGTGGCCGTGGGTGAACCAGACGCCGCTGACGGTGTCGCCGCTGCTGCCGCTCGAGATTGTGATGCAGCTGTTTACGAGGATGGGGTAAGTGGATTTTTGATTTGCGTTTCGTGTCATTTTTTTTCTTCCTCCGCGGTGGTTTTGCTTTCTTGCGGAGGTTTTTCGCAGAAGCACTTTGCGTCATTGGCCGTAGCTGCTCAATTTGCTTGCGGCTCCCCGAACCATGCCGCGCGCAGGAGCCGAGCAAGGCAAGGGACGGCAGATGCTGTGAAGAGCGGCCTGCGGCCTCGCGTCACGCTGGGGCATAACGCGGACGCCCACACCCATATGCATCCGTCTATATGACGTCGATGCTGCCAGTATCCGTATACACACGCTGACTGACGCCTCGGCCACTTTTGTCAATTCCTCCGCAGGCCACGCGTCATCATAGTCGAAGAGCGCGGCGCGCTGATCGGACTCGTGACGGTCAAAGACGTGCTCCGGTTCACGGCGAGCGCCAAGGGCCGGCCGCAGGTGGAGGAGGTGCCCGAGTGGACGGCGGGCGAGCTGGACGCGGTGCTGGAGATGACGTGGAACTGGGCGCGGGAGACGAGCGAGGGGTGGAGAGCGCGCGCGAGGCGGATGGTCGGGCGGTGACCGGTGGTTGGGATATAGATGTGTGACGTTTTCTGTCTTGTCTTTCTTTTTTGCCTTTTTTCATCGGTCTATACCTGCTGTGTTAAAAACATGAAGAGGTGGTTTTCGTTGTCGTGTACCGCTGCCTAGTGTTCCGTCGGCACACAGGTACGTGCTTGTAGTTGGCACTTCATTTCACCGAATAGAAGCTTCTGTTCGTCATAGTGAGGGAGGATTTTTTCCACTGCCGACGGCTTCCTGTGCGGCTAGAGCTGCGTGCGCCGCCTCGTCATATCACGGCGGCGCTGGCTGATGCACGTTGGTGTAGGAGTTTGTAGAGGGAGATTGTCGGTGAAAGGAAGTTCATGTGTTTCCGTGAACGTATATTAAGTACGTGCTGCCCTTGGGATCTTCGCAGGCACGTCTGCCATGGAGCATCTAGACCGCGGCCGAATTCCGCTGGACCCGAAGGAACGTATTCCTCTATACCAAAGACAGACCTAGGCTTGTGTCATGAAGGGCGAGGCAAGGCCGGTGGCTTTGTATGGAGCTGCTATCTTTCACTGACATATGTTCTGCAATGTCAGCTGAGTCGAGTCCTCGCTGCGCCTACTGTTGAGGTTGGTGAGAAGCATGTCGACAGCCCAGACATATGAATTCCAGGGGGATGCCAAAGTCAGCTCACCGCCACTGCCTTCCTCACCCACTCTTGCTGGTTCCAGCCCCGCTTTGATCACCGCCAAAGACGTCATAGAACAAGCGGAGATCGGACCGATTCGGACGTGGCGAATATAAACCCACGCCATCATGGGGGGTTATCTCCTTCCCTTCAAAGGAAATACTTACATCCCAAGCCCCACCAGTCCATCACCCAGTTGCCAGCCACCCGTCCAGCCCCCGCATAATAATGGCCCCCGCAAACGAGAAAGACGTCCTCGAGTACTCCCGCCAGCTCGCAGAGCACACCCTCAACCAGCTCAACACCTGGCGCGCCTCCGTCGAGAAGCGCAAGGTCCGCAACGACGCCGCCTCCCAGCCGCGCGAGCCCTCCATCGCATCAAAGGATGCCTCCTCCCGTATGTCCTGAGCTCTCTTGTTCCCTTTCATACAACGCATCTCCCCATCCAGATAGCATCCGCCGAAAGCAGCCCGCCGCCGTGATGAGCGCGTAACGGCGTTCACACCTGTATCATTATTTTCTTTCCTTGTAAGTCACCCGCCACCTGTTTATCAAACTCGTCTTCTTACAGTGCATTACAGGCTCGCGCCAGGCGCGCCCCTATTCATCATGCTATACATCATCATGCTCTCTTATCATGCTCTCGTCTCGTCTCACAGAACAGCGCCGTTGTCTGCTCTCTGCTACTCCTTATCAAGCGCCCCTCCGTCGTCTCCCGCTTAAGGCCGCACTCATGTTTACGTTATCTACCACGGACACTATATCGCCCACACCATAGCCTCCCGCCATGAGTGTGAGCGAGGTATTCCACCATCCATCTATCCATCGCCCGTAGTTCGCCATCGGCATCCATTATACATTGATCATCGGCACACCACACGTATGTCGAGCACTGCTACCTGTGCGCACCGTGTGGAGAGGGGAGGAAGAACCCCAGAGGGGCCAAGGTGCTAGGGGGTCCTTGCAGGGAGTGGAGAGGTGGGTGGAAGAGCAGTCGAACAGGGAAGGTTGCGGCGGAAGCCAGGATCACGGCGACGTAGGACGAGTCATAGGGTGTGGCGTGCGCGGTGGGCGAGACGATATAGACGTGGACATATATTCTCGAGGCACTAGCCCGTGGTCGCCTATGCTCCAGAGGACCAACAAATGTGTCGTTCGCGCATCGCATGGACATGCGGCATTACGATACATCCGTAACATACCACTATGTCATATGTACACCTGAGCACATGCAGCGTACGGTGACGACGCGGGATAGCGATAGAAGCTGTAGCTTTGCAATGCATTCATTCATGGTTCGCTCCACTGGTACTTGCATTGAATTCCCTGCCTGATCCCGAGAGATGTAACTCAAATCAGACGATTTTTCGCAATCTGGAGTTTGGCTCGGTGGCAAATTCAGATTGACAGATGCATGATTGAAACCATACACGTGAGCACATGTTAATTCATGCCCGACTGAGTCAGCGAGTGGACTGAGTCATCTGTCTCTGTTGACGCTGGCAACAACGTCCGCGCTACTTGTAGCGGCGACACGATAGTAGCACGGAGAACAGAAACCCATCGGACCCTTCAAAATCCTTAGTCCCTGCGTCTCATGCAACACCATCTCAACATCGACCCCACGTACCGAGTACCGTACCTACCACCCACCAGCCAGCCCATCGCTCACTCACTCCTCCATCATCGCGTCTGCGGCGCTCGCCCCCGTGCCTACGCTAGAGTTTCCGGCGCCGCCCCCGCCCCCGCGCCAGAGCTCGGACCAGCGCGGGAAGACGCGCTTGTAGAGCGCCATGCAGACCGTGTCCATCTGGCTGACGGGCCCGTCAAAGTGCGCCTTGAAGTACCCGTGCGTGCCGAGCGACTCGCGGATGTGGCCCGTGCGCCCGTGCTTGGTGTGCAGCTGGATGGGCTTGAAGTACAGGACGTCGTCTGCGTGTGTGTTTGTTCGTGTGTGGTCGTATCGCGTTTGCAGGCAGCAAACATAAGAGAAGACGGAGGCCCGGGAGATGGAGATGGTTGGGGATGCGATGCGAGATGGTGATTGTTAATAATCAAGTAAGGAGAGAGGGAACACGCAAGACGCACCAGCGCTGAAGAACATGTACCGCACCGTCGCGGTCTTCTTGTGCACTTTGAACGGGTGGCCCGTTAGCACGATCCGCTTCGCCATCACCCGCGTCGTGTCCGAGTTCATGAATGCGCCCATCGCTACCAGCTCGGGGGCTACAGCCGCAGAGAAGAAGAAAAATTCAGAAGCACACCCATGTCATTGTCCACGCCGCACATGCGTGCAGGGGTGGGGGGGCGCAAGAGGTACCACAGGCACAGAAAACAGAAGCCATCAAATATTGCCGCCACAGGCAGCGTGCATCGGTGCGGGATCGGGGTTCATTAAGAAAAGGAGGCCGTTTGCAGTGGGGTCCGAGGCGGTGGCGGCGATCAGGGGGAGTGGGAGGAGCAGGCCAGGAAGGGATAAAGGAGGATCGGCCCCAGCCATGATCACCGTCGGCCGCGGGAAGGGAGGCGGTGTCGGGTGACGCGATAGGCACAACAGCATGCCATCCGGCATAGAGAAATGTAAGCGAGGAAAAAAGGAGCGATTCGCAGCGCAGGCGCGCCACCCGGAGCAAGGGAGACGTCGATGACGATACGCAACACAGGTATACAGAAGCAGCGCATGTGCCGAGCAGTACATGAATGATCGACGACACCGGAAGAAGAATGAGCCAAGAACGAAAGAATTGAAGATATCGAGAAACAGAAGAAAACGAGGGAGTTGATCAGCGCGAAGTTCAGGCAGTAGAGTCGCCGAAGAATGCAAGAGGGGACTCACCCTGTGCGTCAGCGTCCGATTCCCTGAGCAAGGCGCACGGTTGCTTGCCGAACACGGCGGGGCCGTACACGCTCGCGACGCTCGTCGTGCCGTGCCGGAGGAAGCGCTCGAACTTATGCACGTTGTTCGCGCCTTTACCGCCTCCGCGCGTATGCTGGCTGTATACGGGCTTGACACGCATGCGACGTGGCCCGACGCAGAGGATAAGCGGGTCCTGCGGTGGAGGGTCAATACGGGTTCACATAATGTATACAAAGACCCACCTTAGACTTAACGCTCCCTTCATACTCCGTATTCCGCTGCACCGTGAAGTGCAACACCGTCTTCTTCCTCTCATGCGGTAACAGCCCAAACACCACGGATGGTGCCGATCCCTGCCCATGCTTGACGATCTCCGCGGCAGCCTCCGCCGAACCGACATCGATATATACCGTGACCCTCGCTCCGGGCTGCACTGCGCCCAACTCGCGAGCGACACGCGCGCGCACGTCGCGCTCTGTGCCGCGATAGTCTTCGAACGCGAACAGCTTCGCATAGTCGCGCGGCAGATTCTCGTACGGGTCCCACGGCGACGTGCGCAGCGAGCGCATGCCGCGGAACCGCGCGAAGCGCGCCCGGGCGGGGACGTCCTGCGGCGTGTCGAGCTCATCAGGGAATTGCTTGTCGTCGGCTTCTTCGCGGGCGCGGGATTTCCAGGTGTGAAGTCTAGAATACAATTAGTGTTCGCGCAGCAGGCATGATGAGCAGGGCCGGAAGGCCAGAGGGAAAGAACTTTGATAGGACAAGTTGAGTAGAAGAAAGTGAACGCACTGTTCCTGCTCCTCGTCCATGTCAAGATCTTCAAACGCGACGCTCTTGCGGGTCCCCACGACGGACTCCATCTCATCTTCCTCGACTGGCATATCGACCATCTCCTCTTCCTCCTCTTCCTCGCCCTCTATCGCTGCGCCGTCTTCGTCGTCATCCTCGTCTTCATAGTCTTCATCCCCATCATCATCCACGACCCACGACGCCTGGTACTCGCTCATGCCCTTCGGCACGCGCTTGATTGTCCGGGGTGTAGTCCCCGAATGGGCATCCGGGATTTCTCCCGAGGCTTGCTGCCCAGCAGGTGCGCTGGCCATCTCCTCTTCGGTCGGCCACGTCTGCTCGTTTGCCAGGTCGTCTGGCATGTTACTTGATACCATCGAGTCGGCATCAGAAGGCACACGTTCCGAGAGAAGTGCCGGCTCGACATCCATCCCGGCGCCGGAGTGCGATTGCCGTGGCAGAGGGGCTGACATGATCTGTGTGCATTGCTAAAGGACCTCAGATGAGGCAGAAAACAAGGCATAGCGCACCTTGGATATCGGGAAATCCCCATATTCGGGTATATGCACGAGTCTATTGGCTGAGAGCGGCGCCCCGCGTACATACCCCGTCACCGCGACCCGCGTGCTCCCTCCCTCCGCGCTGTCATCCGCCCGCACATCTTCGCCCAGCACCCACGGCCGCCCATCTCTCCACCTCACAGGCGCTGGCGCGCCCTCCGCGAACGCGCGCAACGCATTGAGCCTGTCCGCGCTCGCGTGCAGATCGTGCACGCGCGTCTGGCTGGGCACAAAGTACTGGATGAACGACAGAAGCGACTTGAGCGTCCCGCTGCGCTCCTTGGGGTCCATCTCGGCGTCCGCCGCCATCGTGGTCGCCACGGAGGGGAGGCCCTGGGCCTGCAGCGTGCGGAGGAGCGTGTCGCCCCAGCCGTCGACCTCGACGGTTGGCGAGAGCACGAAGAGGACGTAGTCCGCAGCTTTGGCGGCGTCTAGGGTAGCGTAGAGAGAATGGTAAGGAAGGGTGAGGAACTGGAGAGAGGTCCTGAAGCGTTCAGCTCTGCAAGCAAAGTTAGAGTAGTGCGAGAACAAGGTTGACTATATGCGCACCGCATCCGCCAAAGCCCGCTTGCTGGGCAATCAGACGCATCGACATCTAGGGAGCTTGCTAGTGATTGAACTGCATCTCTTGCGCTGACGTCTTCGGAGAGTGGGATGACGGCGACGATCCGAGGTGTACCATCCACGCCGTTGAAGATGCGTGTTGATGAGACGAGGGCATGACGTTTGTTGGCTTGGACCTGTTTCGCGGTGTTTCTCCGATTCACGCGCCGCTGGGCGTCCGTTTTATCTGCCGATGCATTTTTGGGTGACTGACGCTGCACGCGTCCTAATTCAGAAGACGATGTGAGGATAGGTGGGATGGTAGGGTGGAGATGGCGGATGGAGGAGTAGAGGAAGATCGGACCGAGAAACTCACCTTTTGCGATGTCCTTCAGGGCAGACTTTGTCGCATGTTTTGCCTTGAATGGCTTGTTTTGCTGAAAGAACCTCGCGTCCAGTGCCATGTTTGTAGAAAAGATCAGAAACAAGCGCACCTGCTTGAGTGTCGAGCGATGGTGGTGCATTTCGACCATCTATCCAGTGTCCTCACAGATGTTTCTGGGCTCACTTCTTTGTCTTCAGTATGACTTCCGCCGCACAAAGTCTTGACAGTTTGATATGGTGGTGATATGAAAAGTGGTCAAATTGTCTCGGAGTCGGTGTAAGCCCCTGGCCGTTGTCGGGGACGTGAAAGAGGCAAATTTGTGATCGATTGCCATATCAAGAGCGTGGGCGCTTATTTCCTCATGCTCCAACAAGCGCTCGTCCCCGCTCAAGCGAACCTGCTTTCCTTCGAGGCTTACCCTTCCACTTTCACAACTCCTACTGATTATTTTGAATGAATCTCTCTTCGCATATCCGCATCGCAGTCTAGCGATAATACAGAACCTCTGGCAAAAACCGGTAGCCTTTATGTCGTACAAAACCCTGACAAAGACAAAAAATAAAGTGCGTTACTACTCATCTCGCCAGGAGAACCGCCTTGACCACTCCGCCTTTAGACCAGATGATCCTTCTCCATCTTGCAAGTCAATGTATCGCCGTCTAACATCTGCGCCCATGCCATGAAATCCTGGTAAGTCATCCTCTGACGCGTCCTACCAAAGAGACGGATGATGCAAGCCGTGCGAACTCTCTCCTTGGACAACGAGGTCATGGCGCTGAAGACGATTTGCTCAAGGTTTGGACAGGCATTGAGGTAGTGCGTGATACACGCGGGGGGTGGTACGTCCTCGTATTCTGGGTATACCGACTTGATCTCGAGGTCGCAAATTTTGTCTCCGTGCGCGCGAAGTAAGCGATCGTGGAGGACTTGGCCAGTGTCACCGTTTTTATTGATCAACTAGCATGAGAGACGAACACAATGAAGGGAACGGAGTGTCAAACGGGACGCAAAGGCGAGATTGCTCCGACTCGTAAAAATGTTGAGCTCGCTGAGAAGCGGAAGCACATACGGCTCTTTTGTCGCACAGATTGTGTCAAAGACGGTCCACGCAGGTGAGAGCAGATCTAGCACGCGTAGCTGGCTAAAAAGTGCCAAGTAGAAAGCGACAAGTGGCTCATTTTCTTGGCCCATAGGTACACATTTATTTGCCATGATTTCCACTGGCTGCTAAGTGGCATCCTTGCAGGGATGTATCATACCCGAGAGCTAAGTCGGCAAGAAATTGGGTGTGGGGGCTGTGACTGGTCTGTATGCTCACAGATTGCAGGTGGAAGATGTCGTGGAGGAAGCCGAGATAGGGACTTGGTTTGTATGCAGCCAGAAAGGCAAGAACATATTTTACTAGGTTTCAATTCGGGATTCTGCCCTGGCCCCTTGAAGATACAAAGCTGCTTTTGAGACAAAATCCGATTCTCCGGGCCAATGGCGGAGTTATCGTCAATGGTTCGTACAGCATCTCGGCCGCAACCAGACTACAAGCACGGCAGACAAATACAAGATCACTTTTATTATGGATTTGCTGAGATTCATGACGTTTCCTAGAGACTGATTAGGCCCGAATGGATCGGGTTGCGAATTCTACAAGGTCTCTTGCGATTTAGTTGCGAGCCGAAAATTTTCCATCCATGTAAGATCGCCCCATGTGGGTTTCTTCGTCATTGTACTCACCGGCTCAGTGGCCATTGTCGGGCGTGGACCTGAGTCTGTCATCTCAGAACTCTTCTGTAGGATAAGCCTTGATGTAAACGGAATGTACACGCTACACGGAATACTCCACCGCGTCCGCCTTTGTTTGCCGGATTGTGTCCAAATGACAAGAATCAAGACGGCAGCCGACTGCGTTCACAAACGTGCTAGTCGAATTGGCGAAACCTTGCGGAGGGCTTTCTGGAGGTACAGCGTCCCTGAGACTGGTCGGACTTGTGGTGTGAAAGTGACGCGAGGACGTGAGGCTTAGAATGCAATTTTAGCTTACGTACACACTCGCATCACACAGGCACCTTGTTCAGTTTCCAGGAGTTCTTACGTTTCTCCCTTCGTCACCCACTCACGGTATGTTCGAAAACAAGCAACAAGCGCACTGAGTTCCCCGAATCTTGATTGAATCGAAGGTAGAAGTTTGAGTGCAGGAAAACCTTACCTTACCTTCTTACTGAATGGGCCCTAGTGCCACTGTTCAGCACATGCAGCTCATTATCTCACACTCACACCCCTGTATACAATCTTGACAGACCAGCACTGACATGGCGCAGCATCACGAAAATACCGGCGAATGCAATGAGGTCGTTTACACATCTCAATCATGGGGCTCAGAACCGTGACGCTCACGGCGTATGTATACTCGTTTGGCGTCTATGACTCAATGACCCTGTTCTCGCCTGCGGACACATTCCAATAACGGGTTCCTGACCATCTCAATACCAGGCAACAACATCGTGCATGTTTCGGAGAAACATATTACAACTCAAACCTGTCCGACAGTCGCGAGACTGGAACAAGTCCCCAAAAGCCGCTAAGTCCGGGCACTCACGTACTTTGCACGCTCACTTCTCTCCTGCAAGGTCGCATGGGAAAGACGGAGCGCAATTGGTACAGTCACAGGTGCTGCTGGATCACGATCGGAGGGATGTTTATTCAGCTGCGGGGCCCATAGTGGCTATAGTGGCACACACGGTAATTGGCCTCGTCATCGCTCACGAGTTCCGTCTACGATAAACACAAGGTTTAGGGTTCCTTGCGTGCTTCCCTTGCACGGGAAGGGCGCTTGCGCAGTAAGCTGCTAAAGCGGAAGCTTCGCTGCTTCGAGTATAGACTGGAACCACTCGGGTGGGGCGGACGACGATCTTCTCTCGAGCGTTACGGCATCGCGCTCTGCTGTGACGATGGTGAGGCGAGATGTACAGATCCTCTCGCCCGGTGCGCCGGGCACGCGCTTCACGATGCGAGCGATCCCTGCGGGGAATGAGACGGACGTGAGTGGGCGTGGCATTCGCGTGGTTTTTCATCCAGTGGCTTGGTAAGTTACTCGCGCTGGACTTTGAACGGCGCGCACCTGCGCTGTGCCCCAATCTCGGCGGAGCGATGATGAGACGAAGTTCTGACTGAGAAAACACGGTCGTCTCCGCGCGATAACGCAAAAATGATTGCGGGGCGTCATCGATGCATCGCTGTCTCGCCTACACTCGGACAACGCGGCGTGGAAGCAACTGGCAGTCGCCCAAGTGATCGGCGGGGTGTATCCGAGATGCTTTCCAGAAAACGGGAGGCCCACAATTGAAATGGAAACACAAGGCGGCTGATAGCGGGCTCAAAACTCTAAAACACAAAAGGATAACGTCAAGCAAAGGGCTTCCCTTTCTTCAGGAAAAGAGATAACGAACCCTTTGGAAATGAGTGTTGATCCACGCACGATCAAAGGCGACTTTGACTCATGATTAATAGTACCGTATCACTAAGATATATCAAACATCGAGTTCAACCTCCTGGATAGGCAGATGAGGTGGGTCAAAGCTGAGCCGGAGTTGATCTTTTCAGTCTGATGCAATAAACTGAAGTTCACGGTTAGTAAGCATAACCTATTTTCGGTCTGATTTGATGAAACGATATTCACATTAAGCCCCAGAATTTATTAAATGCTCAACTGGCTCCACTGTTGTAAGCAGTAGAAGTGAACCTGAAAATCGTGAAAAAGATTTGTTAGGTGTCGCTCAACTTCTAACCAGCGAGCATGGATCAAGATTAATCATGAACAGGACGCAAGCCAACAGCAACCCATCATCTGCTTGATCCGCCACCCGAGGCTGAAGGTGCAGAATGGGGATACGTTGAATTTAAAAAGCTTGAACTCAAAACGTCTGCACCTTCTGCATCAGTGGAGACTGAAGCCACACGCTGCCACACGGCATCTTGGTGACGACGATGCGTAGCGGGATGCCCATTTGGAAGTCGGAGGGAAAAGAAGACAGCCTTCGGAGTGGCAAGTGTGAGTTCTGACGGAAATAAGCGAACAGCAGGCCCAGGAGAAAGAAGAAGATCAGTGCCTGCACCTTCTTGCTGCAGAGCTTCTGGGACCAGAATCCAGGAGCCGCGCGGCAACTCCCGACGATAGCATTATTAAATATTGCTCTTGATTTCTGACGTCGCCGGGATCCTGACGGACTCAATGTTACGAAGCTCGAACATATATATTCTCCACAGTTCTCCACGCTCAGGCTGCGGAAGATCCTAAGAGTCCTGGGTGCATCGCGGGAGATGAAAAGCAGACGCCGGTCAAACGTTACAATTAAAGGTGGCCCGACTGCCCGGACCACGCATGTGCCCCGAAAAAAAAAAGCGTCCTTCGAGCGACGCTCAGCTTAGCTTGCACCCTCGAACGTACTACAGTACCGCTTCGCCGCGAGACGCGAACAGAACCGGCACCGTGTTTGCGGTAAGCAGGTGCGTGAATATTGAGACGGGTGTGTACGCCGAGGGTGGCCCCATGGGCTGAGGCGAGTACCTCACGAAGACGTACAGTGTGGGGCGGGGGCGGCATCACGTAATGCCCGAGTAAGGACTGAAGTGTGGAGATCTGGGTCAGTGTGGGCTGCATCATCAGACACGCAGCGCGCGTGATCATCAAAGTTCATGAGCGTTCAGGCGCCGCCAGTTTGGCGGCACCACTGGAATGGCGGTTGGAGAGGCCGGCATCGCATAAGATTTGACGCTTTGAAGTCCGTTTCCCCAGCGCGCCTTCTGCGCTCAGGGGTCGTGGGCATCTCGATAGCGAGAGCACGGACAACGCGCTGAAAGTGCTAAGCGCTAAGCGGCGAGCTGACGCGTCACAGGGGCAGCGGCGCGCGCCCACAGCCCGATCGGTGCGGGTACAGGTAATACCACAGGCAGACGTGCATTTTCCAGGCTCAGAAATCAGCAGAAAATGAGCTGGAAAAGAATCGTTCAAAGGGAAACATCACGGAAAATGATTCCTTTCCATGACATTTTCTTACTGATTTTCGGGCCCCAGAATGTGGGCGTTTGCCTGTGATATAACAACTCTGACGAATGAGAACGGGCTCGACAGTCGCCGGATTATCATGGTCTCTCGGGGTTTGACGGGCAATCAAGGGTCGACCAACTTCACATAGAGGCATCGGGACATTGAAGCCAGACAACAATCAACTTAACTATGGATTCCAAAGATACGACGAAACAGGAACATGCAAAAAGTGGTATGGTAGTCGTAGCTAGTACTTGGTGTTACATATGGAACAGTCTCTACGCCCGTGTATGTATTCAGTGTATAAATGGCAAAGTGGCAAATGCAAGCAAAGCGTCGAAAATGAAGTCAGAAGAAACAAATTGATCTAAAATCCAATCCTTCAGAGGCCGAAACTGTATAACAAATGATCGATTCGAGGCAGGGAAAGTGTATCCGCGAGCGCAGCAGGAAAAAGGAGATCCGAACGTCAGACAGAGAACGGTTTAATGATCAGTGCTCATACAGCAACCCGGCGTATAGAGCGGTGGAGGTCGAAAAGAAATTTTACAAGCGTCCGTGTCAAGTCACTCACCCGCCCACCACCAACGCAGCAGATCGTCTGTCGTGGGGACGACCGCAAATCCAAAGTAGCCGCATCTAGCCAGTTATAGCCAGAGCCATATCCAAGTCTTCTCGACAGCGCTGACCGCTTGGATAAGGCAAGAGAGAAAGCGGAGGCGCGACGCCCGGTCAGCGCGCTATACGCGTTAAGCATTACGAACGCCTCCAAAGATTCAGGTGGTCCGAGGTCCGAGCATGCGCAGGGCCTTGTCGTCCGCGGGGTGCCGCCTGTACGGGTGATCGCGTTGGAGAGGGCGCAGTGGAGCGAGTTCGACACGACAGGGCCCAGGCCCGCTCGAATCTGATACGTTGCGCATGGATGACTGCGCCTCGCCTAAGGACAGCGATCCGTTGGGAAGGAGAAGCTGAGCCGGCGGAGGCAGCGAGATCTGGCCAGGTCGTCCGGGCGAGGAGGCTACAGGTGGAAACGCATAGGGGCTGGTCGAGCTGGAGCGCGCGTGGACGTCGTAAGGCACAGCCTCGTAATTCGACAGTGGACGAAGATGAGATGTAGGACCGGGGGAGGAGTGAGACGAGTTTCCTGTAGACAAGCGGGGCGAGTTTGGTTCGTGACGTAGGGTATCATGTTGTGGGTAGCTGTAATGGCTAGGGGTATCGTTAAAAGCAGGAAGGACAGTCCGTGCGGAGGGTTGATAATTGTCGTAACGTTGTGGCATGTCGTCAGACATTCTACTGGATGTTGCCGAAGAAGGACGGTTGTAGTTGTCTGGTGGGAATGGATAGTCGTACGGACGACGATAGTCGGAACTTGTGATCGATGCCATCGACGGACGACGTTTGAAATCCGCTTCATCGTACGAGGGCCGCATGTGCCCCAGGGGGTGATGGTTCTCGAGCTGGTGTAGAGGCGGAACGGAATAGGGGGAGACGGCGTTTACCGCAGGAGGAAATTCGCCATGTTGAGGTGCGTACGGCCCAGCTCGGTACGGGTTTGAAGGCGGAGGACATGGAGACGGAGAAGGGTTTCCGTGAGAAGGGAGAGGCGTGGGGTATGATGCCGAAAAGGGTGCGTATGTGCGGGTGACGGCCGAGGATGAGGACTTGAGGACATCGCTGCTTCGAGAGCGTGGGTCGTCGCCCTTGCGCGTCGTCTTGCTGACACGCGTGCTCTGAAAGGTGCCGTCCGGAACCTGAAGGTTAGCCACCTCCGGAAGGTCGTCGATAGTGCCTAACTGATCCACGGTCGCCTGCGTGAAATAGGCGGCTGTTCCAAAGTTAGTGACAATTGAGGATCAGAAATGGGGGAGATCCACGTACTCAGGTGCCATTTACGACGACCCTTCTCGGTGTTCACCCAGACGGAATAAGTCTGCTTGACGAGAGGGTCCCAGTCCCGAGGAGGTTGCTTATCTGGATAGCTGTGATATGAATGGAATTAGCTGGTGACCACGGAGGGGACGGTAGAAGAGCATACCCAGAGTGCGCCGCGTCGGAAGGTGGCGTGTACTTTTCATAGTAAAACAGAAACTCCTGGCGAGAAGGAAGAAGGAAAGATAAACGGGGACTGCAGCGCGGGGACGAAAATGGGGGACTCACGTCGCGAACGCGCGAGGGGCTCCAGCGGCGCCCTTCGGTGAACCGTTCGATTCCGAGGCCCGTGATTTCAGTGTGGGGACCTCGTTCCTCCCAGGCGTAGACGCAGCCTGAGCAGAGGGCAAGACGCTCGTCGGCGTCGAGACGCCTGGTGATCATGGGGAGGATGTTGAGCTGTACAGCATAGAAGATCTTGTGGGCGTCGCGGGTGGACCGTATGCGCACTTTGGTGCATGTGGGGCGCTGCTGCATCTTTGCCTTTGCCTGGGCCGGGTTGGCCTGGGTGGGCTGAAAAAGGGACGGGGACGGGCGGTCGGGGGGGATGAGCATAATATAAGGAATCCTGGCTTGAGTTTGTTGGCTGGCCAAAGCTTTGGAGGATGGGTTGGTAATTAATTAAACTATTTTTTGACCAGGGGGAGTGCCGGATTGGAACGCCGGCAAGGGAGGAAATTACCGTAATGCGGTTACAGGTGGACGAGAAATGAGATTGATGCCAAATCTCGATCCGCTTTCTGAACTCTATCACTCTAACCCAAACAACTCAAAAATGTTCCCGCTAACACCTGGCTTCCTAATCGCGCGGCGGGTGACGGGTCCGCCCGAGTGCATGCCACCCCCTGTCCCGCAGTGTCCCGCCCGATTCAAGCCCGAACCGCGTCCCCCCGCATACAGACAAAAGTCCCGCGGTCACCGGAAAACAGAGAAATGAGAGAGGCATAAACTTGAAACAGAGTTTCTTCTTGCTTCCCAATCAGATTTCCATCTCTCATCCTGTCGCTGCGGCACGGTGCCACACCCTTCCCACACGTCGACTACCCTACTGTATACTGTCTCGAGTCGGACCACCCCCGAATTTAGTCGCCTTTACAGCTTCGCGGGAGAGTTGGTTTTGCGCTGATGGCAACAACAAGTACATCTCTGGACAAGGACAATCGACGTCAACGCTGGAACGTCATAAGCACGATCAGCATCTTCACACGACGTCGTTCTTTCTCGTACACATAATTTTTATGTCATTGTGCGCAAGTGCCTCCGCATCGCCGTCGCCCAAAATATGCGCGAATCGAGCGCCAGGTGGCGAGTGCCCTCTTCTCTTCTGATTTCCCTTCCCTCACCAGGCGGAGAAGGGACGGGCTATGTTCGCACTCGAGGTAAACAGAGACCCGCATTCCAATACCCCCGCGCTTCTTTCTACCTTTCCCCCCTTTCGAGCTCGTGACCTTGGCCTACGTCATGCGTCATACGCCAAAACCTTGGTTGTGTCCCACATCTAACCATATACAGCATGTTGGTCCAACAAACGCTCTTGTTCTCGTCGAAGACCGCGTCTGTCCGACCGTCGGGATGGACGCACGCTGGCTTCTCTTCTTCTCTATCCTCCGCCGTTACAGAAAAAGCGGGGCGGAGTCTCGACAGCCCGCGGCACCTATCTCGCCTCCCGCATCGTGGGTGCAGACGCCCACCTCCGATCTTCCATTGGATGAGATAGGACTAAGATGCGCGTACCCTCGAAGGGAGAACACACCGTATGTAGGTCGCTCATGCTCGTCGCTCCTTGAGCTTCGTGCAGATGCATCGATCAGCGCGCAGGATCGCCCGATTGCCAGCACCTCGAATCTGCTTCCGCACCCAATCTCAGTCCCACTGTCAGTCCTTGTCCTCTGCATTCCCCGGTGCGAAATGGTTCCGTTCGGCTTGCACATGAGTACCCCCTTCCACAGCATATTTGGACGTGGCGCAAACCTAAAATAATACCAAGATGCTATCGCCAGCCGCCTGGGACGCTCATCGTCCCGTACATTTGTGGAGAAGCAACGTGCGCTGAATTCAGAACGTGTCCTCCTGTGTGGCTTATCGTCGTTCCTTTCTTCGTCCTAGATTTGCTGCGGCGGCGCCGCGCGCCGCAGATAACTTTTTACCAGCTGAGTGGCGGCGTCGGTGTATTACCGGACGGCGGAACCACGCGTTGGATCCGGATGGGTACGCTAGTCCTTATCCTGCCCTCGCCCGTTGCCTGAATATACCCAGGCGGATCCAGATTACACACAAATGCAGCCTGCAGCAGTCCTGGTAGGCTAAAAATTGCGTCCGCTGCACCGCACCAATGTAACATGCTAGCTCGCTTCCCTCGACCATTTTTACACCGATCATAGCCGGGTGCCTTTAAACGTTTTGCCTAATGATCGTCGACCACGCACTGCTTACTTTGCTTGTACTCAAGGTAGCTTAACCCCGAACATATCACAGCGTCCCTTGTTCATGATGCACCCGTTTCACTCCATTCATTATCATTTGGGGTGGACCCTTACGGCCCATCAGCGGCACCACAACTCCTGAGCGCGGCTGATGATCTAGGTGGAGTCCTGAGCTGACAGCTCATTGCTCTCAGGCAAAGGGTCTCGAACTCAGCGAGTCATCCTCGACCCCCCGATTGTCGTCCTCAGCGCACAAAACAGGACAAGTGCACCTCTATCGCTGGATGCGCTTCGGCAAGTTAGCCTTTCCGCCGTCCATCGCGGAGGTTTATTATTTTAAACAATAAGCTCGGTGAAACACGATATCAGATCGACCGATGTGACAGCCATAATGCAGACTTGCACACTCTGGCCTTCCTGAGCCGGTCAGCCATAAGTGCATTGGCTGCTTACAGGGATCCAGATCCCTTGCCCATGCCTGCCCTGGCTAGTGGGTGGCATCCAATGGTGTGTGCCGCATGCATCGTCTCCCCATGGCGAACTCTAGCGTTCCAGCGTGTCGCCTTCTCACTGCTCTTGGCCGCGTTAGGCCGCGCTGGCCAGGCCTGGCCATGACCGTGGCTCTCCTCTCCATTGCTCCATTTCTCTGGGTCCAATGAACCATCCCGTGGCTCGCCAGCACACGCGCGCGAGCGTCAAAATTGCGTTCAAGCGGCGGCGCGGGAGCGACAGATCATCAGAGGGGAACGTTCAAGCTCGTATGTATGTATGTATGTAACCTTGAAGGAGGCACACCCACCGGCGCGATCAGGGTCGGCCCTGCCACATCTACCAACTATACAAACAATACAGTCCAGAACGCTAACGGTACCCTGCAGATCTCCCCCGGTCGCCCCGCACCGTAGGAAGAAGCCAGCCCTCAATTAAACCATATAGAGCGTCGCGACGCGGGTCGCCAGAGCCAGAACCTTAGTCTAACTGCGAATTAAATGGGGTTTGTGGATTCGATGAATGGCTGACGAGTGAATTCAATATGTGTGTGTATGGGTGTGTGGTCCGTGCGATTATAGTCGGGCGGAAGCCTATCCGTGATTGGCTGCGATGGCCTGCAGCACGCGCCAGGTTGGCGCGCTGTGGCACGAATAACGTTAACGAGTTCCGATGCTGGCCAGGTGTGCGTGGAGCGCTGCGGGTGCATATGAAGCGCTGAATTGCAGCGCCTTCGCGTACGGTGCGGTCGTGCGAGCAGGTGGCTGGTGGCTGGAATAAAGAAGTCCATACAATCCATGGTTTCCCTTTCATTCCGCCCAGTTCGGGTACGCATGGTGCGACACGGCGAGCTGGGTACATTCATACATGTGCGTAACTCTACAAGTAAGCGCGAACGGTGTACAGAAAAAGACAACAAGTAGCGAGAGGTGGTCCGACAGTGTGGAGACTGATCTAGATAGATACTAAAAGCTAGACAACAGAGCCTGGACGATAGCGTGCAGTGCGGATCATGATGAAAAGAAGTGCGAGTGTGTCCGTGTGGGCTAATAGCGGGCTAGGTGGGACTGGAGAGCCCCATGGTATGGTATCCTTCCGATGCCATCCGAAGGGAGAGTATAGGGTGCACGTCCAACGTGCTGGTACTGGACCGAGAGTCAGGACAACCCTGCAGGCGGATGAAGGGCCATCAGAGCCTCCTCGTCAACTGGGTGACGCCGGCGAGGCGCAAGGTTTTCGAGGTAGACAAGTGGGGCGAGTTCTTGCCCATTTTCTCGTGCACCCACCGACGGGGGTGCAGAGTTTGATCCTGGCGTAGGCGCAATAAGTGGCATTGACGAGGTTGGAGGTGGCGATGGCTGGCGGGCCACCGCTGGGTAAGAATACGGGCGGTACTGAGGACCGCGGCTGGGTTCGGCCCAAAGGTCGCGATCTCGGCGCTGGCCTGGGTTATGTCGCGCAGAGCGGTATAAGCCCGATGGGACGGAAATGCGAGCAAGGTCTGGAATTTCGTCGATGGTGCGGAGGTAGTCAACGGTATCGTGCGTGAAATAAGCAACTGAAATATCGTCAGGCGACGGCGAAAGAAAAATGGAAGAAAGAAAGGAACGTACTCATGTGCCACTTGCGCCGGCCGCGATTTGTTTCAACGAACACTGAATAAGTCTGTTTCACAAGGCAAGACCGGACATGTGTACTAGAAAATTCGTTGAATATCGTTAATGATAATGATAGAAAAAGAGCAAACTGGCGCCAGCTACTCACGCTCCATCATGATCTGTGTCCATCCCATCTACGGGTTCGGGGTCCTTTTCGTGGTAGAAAAGAAACTCCTAAAGCAGTGAAGGTTGAGTTTGCTTTCCACTTGACTTTGATGAAGACATACATCGCGAACTCTACTTGGGCCCCATCTACGTCGAGAATATTTCCGTCAGCATCGCCAACGTCACAGCAAGTTTGGATAATGACCGGGAGCCGCTCACCTCTTGCCGTCCGTCCAGCGCTCAATGCCAAGCTGTGCACGTTGACGCGCGTACGTACACGGGCGTCGCAACGCAACGGGGCGAAGGGGAGGGGAAGCGAATCGCGCCGAGTCGAGGCGAGGGCAACCGCCGCGAAGGGAAATCGAAGGTCAATTGTAAAGCGTCGCTGAGTCTGAGTCTATTGCCCCGCAAACAACAGTGGTTACGTCACGTACGCCAGTGGCCTCCGCGTTGGGGCCCCGCTCCTCCCAGACGAAGACGCAGCCGGATGTGATGGAGCGGCGTTCCTCGGTATCGAGTCTTCGTTGGACCATTGGGAGGACCTTGAGTGCGACGGCGTGGAAGATGACTTGGGCATCGTGTGGCGAGCTGTTCAGGGGATGGAAAGGGGCCAGGGAGCAGGGCGGTGGGAGGATGGCACGGGCGTCAGTGGGCACCCTCGGGGCAGGGTGGCGGGACGTACCGTACTTTGAGGTGGGTCGCCGTCGGGTACTGCATGATGTTGCGGAGGGGGATGTGGTGAAGCCTGTCGTCCGGTGGGGTTCGATACTCGAGCTGCTGGGGGGCAAGCTGAGCCGGCAGGATGGAGACGGGGGTCGGTATATGAGACAGGATGACGGTGATGGATGCCGTAGAGCGGTGTGCGCTGATGCGGTCTGGATGCGGAGAAGATGATCAGGATGGTGGAAGGGGCTATTGGAGGCTATAGCTCGGTCTTGTCGATAGTCGGCGGATGGCTGTATATCCAAGTCGGTCGAGGTAATGCACAGCAAATGGATGATGGTGCTTGTTTCCTAAAAATGACGGGGGCGTATGACTGACGAGAACCCAGATAACCTTTAAGTAACTACCTGTGTGATCCCCGCACGGCTGATGCTCGGCTACGCTCTCGCCTGATGGGAAATGGATAAAGGCAAAATGCAATGGGACAGGACGCCCATAAAACCCAAGGAACGTCCATGATCAGCTGTGGTCTCGAGGAGGTCGCGTCTGCCCCAAGCTACAGCCTCACCTTCATCCCGTGTTTTCTAATCTTTGCATTATCGCAGCCAACGCATTTCCGGCATAACGTTTGACCGGCGTGATACTCAACGACGGCGCTTGCCAGAAATATGCGGCGGAAAGCGTGCGCTGGGTGGCGATTGAGCTGCGAAAAACAACCTTGCACTGTTGGGCCATCGAGCCGGGATAGGTTTGATAACCATCTGACCTAACGCGGATGTCTGAGGCCAGGACTCGCCATCTTGTCTGTTCTCATGCATCCCTCGGCCGCCCCACCGGTGTTCTGCTTGATCTCCTTCAGAGACCTCACGCAGCGGTGAAGTATATTCGTATCATTGGTCGACGATTCAGACTTATCACCACCGGACGGGAGGCATGTCTCTTGCATGTCCTTCTGACGGTTCGTATCACGCTCTTGTCAAGGGCAACGTCGTACTTGCCTAAACCGATTTACTTCCGTGCCCCCGTAAAAGTAATTTGTTGGCCCCCGCAGTTCGGCGCGTCTTGCCCGTTCGTCCTTAAAGAAATACGCTTTTGCATTGACCCCGAGCCATCGGACCTAGCTCAGGGGCTACCATTTTGATTGTTGTGGCTATCACCGTCTGGTGATAGTGTCTTGACAGCTGTGGAACTCACATAACAGATGGCGACAGAGGAACACAAAGTAACAGATGTTATTTAGACAGCTTGAGATCTCGGGGCCTCGGACGTGAAAGCTCTTGGGTCGGCTCGCCGAGATTGGCTTCTTCAATCGCTCAAGCTACATTGGTCATGAATGCATGACGACCCAGGCACGGCGCAGAGGCCATCAAGGGTTTAGTGGAGTACCATCCAAGTCTACGCCTCCGTCACCCTTAATGGCGAAGGTTAGGTTGGCTGAGGAGCGCACCTCAACCTTGTTTTTTTTTTGCTTCGAAGAAAACGTCATCTTTTCTTCTGAAATTCGCGCTGCACATTCTACTAGTGGAAGGAGATTGAGGGTAGGTTGCAATGGGATCAGCAACGGCTCGTGTTTTCCATGTCGCTAAACGCAAGCGCCAGTGGGACAATGATGAGTTATACATTCGGCAGCAACCAGAAGATGAGAATGGACACACACAAAAGTCTGGACCGCAGATTCAATAGATTTGTTTCGTTATGGGTAAATGCGCGATGGGTGACGGTGTCGTACAAGCTACCATGGGCACGAGCATGAGCACGCGCCGCACAGGAGCGAGAATTGGGGTACTGATAGTCGAGGAAGTCCGTCCTCATAGCTCACACATAGGACCCTATGAGGCATTTTGTTGGCACCGTGGAAGCATCTCGCAGATCCTGGGTTATCCCGGCGGAGTTGCTTGGTTATCACGGCCACGAGGAAAACATTGAGGATGCAAAGACGCGACGAAGCAATAGACTTCAAGCAGGCTAGAGTTAGACACAAGGTTCAATAAGAGGGCGGGGCCCTCAGTCAGGCGAAGAGGGGTTCTGGGAGAGCATTTGCACCCGCTGTTGAACTTGAACTCGTCCCAAGGTAATTTAGGTGATGTGTAAAGGAACTGAATTAGCGAAGAATGCACCTGCGGCGTGCCATACCTTCATAGAACCTTTGCGGTACATTTTTCCCTTGGTCTCGAACAAAATCGGTGAGAGTCATCTCGAGGCTGCCGCAGTCGCACGTCTTCATGACAAGGTTCCGCGACCTGAAATTTTTGCTTCTCGAACAAATGTCAAGCTAACGTCAAGCCACGCGTTCTAGTCACTCTACGCGGGGTTTGGAGTGAGAGAGGTGGTGAAACACACCGCAGGTCCGGCCGCGCCGGCCGCGACCCTGAGGTGCCCTCGGGCAAGTGCCGCGAAACGCGCTTACATAATCAGCAACTGCCTTGATTCGGGCGGAATGACTGGGATCACGCTCCGAGTCACTGCCAGGCTTCTCCGCCCTCGCAAGGCAGCGTCCATCAACCAGCAGCTTCGATACTGTCAACTATCAACGCCAAATACAACTAAGATGTCGGTTCAGCAACCACCGTGGTCGATTCCGACGAACCAGGCAGAAGAGCCCGCCTTGAAGGTCTTCAACTCGCTCACTAAAACCAAGGTGCGCGTCACTTCTCCAATCGCGTCAAGATCAGCTCATGAAGGAGCGTGTTGCAGACAGAGTTTGTACCCAGGAATGGTCGCCACGTTAAGTGGTACAACTGCGGGCCAACTGTCTACGATGCATCACATATGGGGCATGCGAGGTGTGCATTTGAAATTCTAGACGCATATATGCTCTGCGACTGACGTGTTCCATTAGAAACTATGTAACGCAAGACATTCTACGGAGAATAGTGTCGGACTACTTCGGATATGACGTTCACTTTGTCATGAACATCACCGATATCGACGACAAGGTTGGTCTTCTGCGCCCCTGAAATCAAACAGAACGCGCGCCTTACACGTCATCCAAGATTATCCTTCGTGCCCGACAAACGTTCCTCCTTGAACGGTTCCGCAAGGAGACGACCAAGCTCGACTCTTTACTCTTCCAAGAGGTGTACAACGCGTGGGCAGCGTACGTACTCGATAAAGTTGCGAAAGGTCTCGCCGAGAACGACAAACCTTACCAAGGTGGGGAAGACGAGTTCTGGGATGGCCTGCCTACACTTTTAGCGCAGTCGGGATGGAAGCAGGAGTGCCTGAAGAGGGACGAGAAGTTTGACATGCACGTATCCGCGGCTGTGAGCATCTTTTCTTCGCGTTGCTGCCAAGTCGACCGAAACCAGTAACACAGGACCGCGCATTCGCTGCTCTTTCCAAAGCTAAAACGCGACTGGACGCCGGAGATAGCAGCCTTGAAGGGGCACACGAACTCATCGACGAATCTCGTGACGTCCTTGCCCCCGTCCTGGACGGCAAGGTATGCCCCCCGTTGCCCTCTATGCTGCTTCCACAGCTTATCGCTTCTCGCAGCACAAGACCACTGTCTCGGATCACTCCATATTCCGGTCACTGTCTTCTTACTGGGAGGGTCGCTTCTTTGACGACATGAAGCGTCTGCGGGTTCGCGATCCAGACACCCTCACGCGCGTGACCGAGTATGTGCCTGAGATCGTGGAGTTCGTGGAAGGTATCATCAAAAACGGTTACGCTTATGAGCTAGAAGGCAGTGTGTACTTCAATACAAACGTCTTCGACGCCGCTCCAAACCATGACTACGCGCGGTTGGAGCCTTGGAGCAAGGGGAACAAGGAGCTTCTGGAGGAGGGCGAGGGTACGTTTGTTCTTGTCGAGTATTCAACAGCCCTTGACGCCAGCACATAATAGGTGCGCTGGGGGCTAAATTAGGTCAGCGATCGCCGGCCGACTTTGCGCTCTGGAAAGCGTCCAAGCCTGGCGAACCTTCATGGCCATCCCCATGGGGCCCCGGTCGACCTGGGTGGCACATTGAATGCTCAGTTATGGCTAGCGCGGTTCTGGGCGACAACATGGACATCCACTCCGGCGGCATCGACCTCGCATTCCCGCACCACGATAACGAGCTTGCGCAGTCCGAGGTGAGAATCCCCACTTAGTTAGCATTCACGCTGTCGTTGACGAATGAACGCGTAGGCATATCACAACTGCGACCGCTGGGTGAACTACTTCCTGCACACCGGTCACCTGCATATCGAGGGCCTGAAGATGAGCAAGTCGCTCAAGAACTTTATCACGATTGACGCAAGTGTTATATTTACATACTCCATATGGCCCGTTTTCACACTCGGTCGCTCTTTAGGAAATTCTGCAGCGATTCACAGCACGTCAACTAAGGTTGGCGTTTCTGTCGCAGCTGTGGAACGCTAAAGTCGACTTCTCCGAGTCGCTCATGCTAGGCGAGGTCAAAACCGTCGAGGCAACCTTCAACGTGGGTAATATTTGCCTTCCTAAACCATTTTCCGTGTTCTGCGTTCCCAGTTTTTGCGCTTCGGCTCCTCCCCACTCTTCTCCCGATCATTTATTTCGTATGACTCCGTCCGGCGTGTCCCGTATGAAAGGACAACAACGGAAAGAAGACTGATGACATGCACAACAGAACTTCTTTGCCACGGTGAAGGCTCTCGTGAGCCGCTACAGAAGCCCAAGTCATCAGGCGGACGGGCTGCATCGCTACAACGCAGAGGAGCGCGAGCTCACGGCCCGGTGCGTTGTTTTTATCCCCTTTTTGTGCCGCAATTAGTCTCACCGGCAGCTATTTGTTCTCGTTATCGTTTGTCGTGTCTTGTTTATTTTATACGTTGCTTGACTTCGACCCGCATCAAATCGACAGTTTCCACGCGGCTCAGGCTGCGTTCCGCGCTGCGTTGTGCGACTCGTTCAACACGCCCGAGGCTCTGATTATTCTGCGCGATGTCGTCTCGCGTACGAATGTGTACATTAACGCGCAAGGGAGTAGTCTTAACATCGGTCTCGTCGAGTACATCACAAAATGGGTCGCGAATATGTTGCGCATGTTTGGCCTTGGGGAAGGACAAGTAGAAGAGATAGGGTGGGGACAAGATGCCGACGAGGGTGCCGGTGGCGTCAACGTGAGTTTGATATTACTCAGGGATGGTTCAAGCGTTTTGGCTGACGGGCGTCTCCATGGCACGGTACAGAGAGAGGGAATGCTCATGCCCTACCTGCAAACCATGTCAAGCTTCCGGGACAGCGTGCGCAAGATCGCCATCGCGAAGGGTGACACCGCGCTCAAAGAAATTCTTGCGCTGTGCGACAGCCTCCGAGACAACGATCTGGTACCCCTCGGTGTAGCACTCGACGATCAACCAGGTACGTTCTAGTTCCCTTCCTTTCGGCCGTCCCACGCAGCGGAGCGGGCGGCGCGGCATTTTGCACTTCTCGTTTGCTTATCGTGCCGTGCTTCTTCCTCCTTCTCTCCTTCATGAAACCCCGCTTTCTCGTCTTCCTCGAGCAGATGGGAAGGCGCTCGTTAAACTTGTGCCGCCGTCTGAGCTCATTAAAGCACGCGACGAGAAAAAGGCCAAGGCGGAAGCTTTGGCAGCGAAGAAGGCCGCGCAAGTGGAAGTCGAACGTCAAAAACGGATTGCGAAGCTCGAGAAGGGGCGCGTGCCGTCTGAAGAGATGTTCAAGCCGCCCAACGTCGCCGAGGGGACATATTCGGCATGGAACGAGCAGGGCATCCCAATTGCCGATGGCGAGGGAAAGGAGCTCTCGAAGAACCAGGCGAAGACGGTGCTCAAATCTTGGACGAACCAGAAGAAACTGCATGAGGAGTTTTTAGCGTGGCAGAGGGAGCAGGGTCAACAATAGGTGGAACATGTGTTGGACGTAGTACAGGTTTATTGTTGCTCATACTTATATCTGGGTATGATGAAGAGATTGGATTCGAAAGCTGTATATCTATCTAGACATGGGTAATGTGTAATACCAGCAGCACTGGGCATGGATCGATCTCGTTACCACTGGCCACAGGCAACTACCAACTTTGCTATCTTTTCCAAGCCTGCCTGGTCCACCTCGTCGAAGCCGGATGGTGCGAGGCAATCCAAATCGAGCACGCCAATAGCAATCCTCTGACCTTCACGCTCGAGCAAAAGCGGACATACGATCTCGCTCTGCGTCTCGCCGTCGCACGCGATGTGGCCGGGGTACGAATGCACGTCGCGGACGAGCACGGTCCTCTGCGAAAGGAACGCGTCTGCGCAAACGCCGCGGGCTTTGCCTGGCGTAGTGTTGATCAGCTGGCACGCGGGCTTGCCGCAGAAAGGCCCGAGGAGAATCTTGGTCGCTCCGTTATCTGCTCCAGGGGCAGTTGATGCATATGTTGCGTCGGTTTCCGTCCCGGATCCGAGGACATGCAAACGGGGTGGTGGAAAGAGAGTTGGGATCAGGTAGAACCCTGGAATACAGCAAAGACGGCGTTAACACTGCAGGCTTGTGATTGTTTCAACTCAAAAGAAAAAAAACAGCGACGGGGGACATGACGTGGGTTCGAGCATGATGCATGATGCATGATCTACGCATCGTGTGAATGCAAGATGGTGGGCACCGATGTTTTGATCCCCGGGTTTGGGGGTTGCTTCGATGATATGAGGGAAAGGACGCACCACACCAGTTGACCATACGAGAACCATCACCGAAATGGGACGGGAACGCGAGTAAGGCATTGGAGACCACAGAAGACACATTGGATAGGTTCGTTATCTGGAAAAACACTTCAGGAAATAATGTCGCTAAATGTGCGTGAAGTGACGAGGTGGTGCAGGCATGTACGAGAACGCACCCAGTGGTTGTTGCCTCCCAAGAGAGATTCGACCTGCTCGTACACGTGTGCCCAGAACTGTTCCTTTGTGGTAATGTTTTCAGGTACGAAGGCGGTGTCTGCGTGAGGCATCTTGAAACTAAAGGAGTGAAGCGGGAGAAAAGCAAGGGAAAAGGATCGAGACTTCGGCGCAACTTCGGCGAGACATTACAGTAAGGCGAGCGATGAAGTAAGCAACAGAGTTAATCGAAATCAGGTGTAGATAAGATAAGATAGCGGCACTCGCCGAAGATCAACATGGTCGTGACCCACCGTCGCGTTGTTGTCAACATCCTCTCTACACCCCACCATGGCCCCGTACTTTGAAACCGTCAAGGTGAGTTCTCTGAAACAGATGTTTTATTTCTAGGCACTCGCCACAAGGTTCTCCGTCTAATTTTATCAATCAGTCTTTCGCCGATGTCCCGATCACCGACGCCGGCGTCGACACCAAAGAGTTCTTGGACGCCTCGAAGGGTCTTCTTGGCATCTTCAGTGAGTGACCATTGCGCGTTCACTCTCGACCAATCTCCCCAACTCTACCTCAAGCTCTTCTCAACTCCTCTGCCTTCGCTCCTGTGACGGGCGACATCGAGGGTAACATCAAGGTATGCATTATCACACGCTACACGTGTCATACTATGTTTGGATGTCTGATCGCCCATCTCAGAAAGTTGAGGAGCGCTACAACAACAACCCTGGCTCCTCCGCTACCCTCGAGCAGCTCGTGATCAACGAGCAGGGCGAGAAGAAGAAAACCGCGACCCAGGGCCTCATGTGGCTCCTCCGCGGCCAGTCCTTCACCTGCAAGGCCCTCCAGAGCGCACAGGGCAACCCCAGCCAGGAGCTCTCCGAGGCGTTCACGAAGGGCTACGAGGGCAGCTTGAAGAAGCACCATAACTTTGTCGTCAAGGGCGTCTTCTCGGTGCGTCATGATGTGATCGCTGACGCGGCGTTACTCACCTACCCCCGGGCGGGTGCTGCAGGTTGCCATGAAGGCGTGCCCGTACAGGAAGGACTTCTACGAAAAGCTCAAGACGGACCCCGCTGGTGGTCCCCCGGTCGACGAGGCGAAGTTTAACGAGGGGCTGGACCAGTGGTTGACTTCCTTGGAGTCCATCGTCAACCGCCTGGAAGCATTCTACGCCAAGGGCGACTACGGTAAGGGACTCTGAGTGGACCTTAAATGGGACGGTTGTACCATACCATCATGATGTAACATATATCACGAAGAAGGACGAATGCATTGTAAACCTTGCATCGCCATGCGTTTGAGCGTTGGGCGAATGAACTGTTATAATCACTTCAGCAGAACGAGTTACATGGTATCTTATTGCTGCATTGGTACGACTCCTGTTATATACTGACCTACACCTATCGAATACCGAGCTCAGAATGTACCCACAAGACTTTCAACCTCGTCAAGCTCCTCATCCGCGCTATATGAATAGTCGTTGGTCTGCCTTCTGGGGCTCACATTGCGGACACCGTACTTCAGGATTCCATTGATCCCCAGAACTTCGAGGTAGGGGCACGATGCAGCTATGCTCTCCAATATGCCTCGATTGAGAGCAGAAGAACGCGGGGTATCGAGAACGAGACGCCGAAGTATGGACAGCCGCAACGCGGGCTCGATGGTCTCGCGAACGACCTTGTGGTGACGCCGCTCTTCATGCCTCCATGGCGAGTACTCTTTGATCTCGAGGGACTCCAGAGCGTAGGAAGCGCCGAAATGGGCACATGTCTCCTTGATGACCTCTGCGAGACCCTCGGGGCCGGCGTAGGTGAAGGTGACGGACAAACTCGTGATCGATGCGGAGCCGGCCATGATGTCGAGAAGTCGGCCGATCTGCTCGTATCCCTGGGTGTGGTGGCGGATCGCGAGCTTCTTGAGCTTGGGGAAGGACGAGTTGGTAAGCTGGAGCGGGGCGCCGTTGAAGCTGTGGGGATAGAGGTGGAGCGTAGCACTCTCTAGCGATGGCATGGACGATATGGTTTGCAAGACGGACATGTTCACTAGATCGAGCTCCAGGGATACCAGCTTGTTCATCGAGCGCAGGGCTTTCGTAAGGGGCTGCACATAGAAGGGAGAGGTGCCACCGGGGTGTATGCGGAAGTGCTGCAAAGACGGGTAATAAGCGCCAAGTTTGGCTATGTCGAAGGTATTAGTGTTGCTGTGTCCACCCAGGACGAAAGTCGGTTCTGCGAAGTGAAAGTCCGGGACGTCGAGCGAGAGAAGGGAGGGACCGGCTAGATTAAGCAGGAGCGGGAAGGCACTCGAGTTTGAATCCATCCAGTACACGCTCTCCAGCCTAGGAAAGAGCTGGCACTGATACTGGGGCGGGGGTGCTAGTTTGGACAGCATTTCCGGCAGGATAATACCGAACCGTTGACGCTTGGGCTGAGGGCGGATGTGCCGCACTCGCCGGGTGTAGCTGAGCACCTTGTCCCAGTCCGCAGTCGTAATGGAACGCTTGAGGTTATAGCATTTGTAGTACCGCGACGCAAACCTGAACGCATCCTCGCGCTGCAGAACGTCAGAGGATTTGCCATCGGAGGCCGATTGAGCTAATCGAGCCTTTAGAGCGCGTCGCTTAGCCTCGTACAGTGCGTGCTCCGCATCTATCTTGAGGTGAACGGCATCCTCGGGCAGAATCGAGACGAGGGGAAGAAATGAGTCGAGAGACATCCAGAGGGCGTCCAAAGCCGGTTCGGAAAACGCACGACAGGTCCTCGCAAAGCAGGCAAGTGAGCTGGCGTCGAGGGTGCATGTGATGTTGCGGAGGATCTCGTCGACAAGCAGCGCGCGGCGCTGAGGGATGCTGTCGCTGTATAATATGGGCATGTTGGCAAGCGACGCAGCTGGTAACGGGATGGATGGGTGTGTAGAAGGTGGGCAGTGGGAGGCAGCGAGGATGCGTTTATGCCTTGAGAGGAGGGCATTTTTATAGGGTGCAGGGGGCTGCAGCAGCCGTCAAAGACAAAAGGAAGAAGGCAGGAGACGACGCTTAATTGCCCTTTGAAGTGGCATTGGTGTTGTCTTCATTGTCGAGACCTTGTATTTGTGCATGGACCTCGCCATCAGCACTTGAAGGGTGCTGAAAGGGCTGAAGGAAACGATTGTCACCGCGTAGCTATGCAAAAGCCAACGAAAAGCCTTTTTGCACAGCCACATACTACCTCTGGACGTCCCAAGTCCCGTTGTCACCGGCTTGTTCAATGTCAACCATCAAGTTTTCTGAATTTTCCCCTTCGTCCGCTCGGTTGTCCAAAGATAGCTGCAGCTTTGACTCGACGGGTTTCGTGATTCACGACGAGCCAACCGCTCGGTACAGCTTGCTTTCGGCCAGGTTGCAGTTCTGTGCGGATGAATGCAAGAAGGCCATGTAATTGCCGCAAAACTCACCGGTCGGCGAGCTAAGCACTGTATAACAGCTCTCAGAAGTAAGTAGCTTTGTGGCTTGTTTCGTTACGCCAACAACCGCTCGCCTTTCTAGACGCCATTGTCGGTGTCGACGGAACTTTTCGGGACGTACTGGCTGCCGTTGACTGGTCGGCTCTGCCACAAAATCTATGAAGCGTACACGCCGATTCAAGCCGAGAACTCCGTGGAGAATGCGTTGGTGGCACTAGCAATCGGCTGAAGCGTCAAAGCGCTGGCCCGATGCTGAGGCCTGAGGCCTGAGGCTTGGCGCTTTGGCAAGTTGAAACGCTGGAGGAGTCACAGACTGTGAGTGCAACACCCTCGTCTGCCAGTCGGCAATAGATGAGTTCGCCACAGTCATATTTCTCCGAGTATGCACGCACCGTGAACGTGGACAACACTACCCTTCACTGTCCAAGGCTGGCTGGTCTGTCGTGGAGCGGCGACTCGAGCTCGGTCAGACCCGGTCTCGTGCTCCGGTATCTCATGAACACGCCGAACGGGGTCTCAAGGTGCACGGCAATGGAGAAGAGCCATTCCGCTCGGCGCACAGCTTTTCAATCTTGCCATCTTTGCGCACACTTGACCATCAATCTTTCCCAGTCTTGCTAGTATCTTTTTATGATACTCCACGGCGTCACAGAGCTGCATAAAGTGTACTCCTCGGGCGTTGACCGCGCCAAGACTCGCGAAGGTGGCCACGGGACCTCATGTAAGCCCCTTCTTCTCGGGTCGAAGCCTCCCATATTGACCAATCCTTGTACTCGCAGCAGGCGCCCCTTTGGACTGATCGAACCTGAGCCAGGCCATAGCCTGATACTGATGACCCCAGGTACGCTATTTTAGTGCTTGGGAAAGCGAGGTCTAAATTGATTGATCTCTCATAGATATGCAGATGGCATAACAAAGGCAAGGCCACCGCACGCACAGCAACCTCCTGTCCCTCTTTCCTTTCCTCTACATCCATCTCTACCTCCACCGCGACTTCCACCCTGCTCTCTGCCCCCGCCCTTCGCCTCCAACCGAGTTATTGCATCTCTTCCACCATGCATGCTGCACTCAAGTTGGATGTTGTCATCGTTGGCGCTGGTATGTTCTCTGTTCTACCTCAAAGCGCCTAAATAAACGCATGATCTCTTTCTGCAGGGCTTGCAGGGATCGCGACGGCATTCAGGTTGAGCCAAGCTGGCCACCGTGTACGAGTTCTGGACGAACATGAGATGAGAGAGAGGGTCAGTCACATCCAACTCGAAGGCCACGTTGCATGACCTGACGTCCACACGCCGTTGCCCTGTACAGGGTCGCACCGCCGTGCATCTCCCTCCAAATGGTGCTAGAATCCTGGTGGACTGGGGATTTAAGGGCGACCTCGAGTCCCGTGGACACAAGATACGTTACTCGATGTTCCGCAATAGTGAGTTGGTCCCATGCTACCCGACCTGCTGATGACTCACACGATTTCGTTTCACTAGTGGAGACCGGAGACATGATTGGACCCCAGGAATGGCGGGAAGACGTTATGCGCGAGCTCGGTTCCGACTACTATTTCATGCATGTGAGTCTTTCAGTCGTAATCCTGAGCTTCTTTGTCATCTCGCATTTGCTCATCGCTATTCGGCCGCGGCGTTCACAGTATCACGACCTTTATACGATGCTGTACGATGCTGCGATCAACGCAGGCGCACGCATACACCCCAACACACGGGCAGTGAATGTCCAAACGAACCCTCCTCGTGTCACCCTCTCCGATCGGACCATTTTGGAAGCCGACCTCATCATCGGCGCTGACGGGTCTCAGAGTCTGGTCAAGAGAGTTATGTGTGGAGAAGGGGACGTAAAGCCGGAGGGGCATACGTTATTCACGTAAGTTCGAATACTCCGTTATCGTCGCAGGAGTCAGCTCTAACGTAGCTATATGTGTGCAGAGGGATTATACCCACGAATTTGATGAAAGATGACGCCGAGCTGGCGCGTATGGCGGAGACGAATCGTCAAGAGGTAAGTACACCTTTGCATCCTTCCTGCCTGCAAATGATAACCTTGAAACTTTCAGTGGCAGTTTTGGCCAGGCACCTCGAGACACACCGACGGCGTACTCATGGTTCGCTTTCTTCACCTCGTCTCCAGAACGAGGCTCATCTCACGAACTGACTTGCAGCGTAACGGAACTGAGTTCGCTCTTCACATACACTATCCTAACGAAGAAACTCTCAGCCACGAAACCGATGGCTGGAATGACGAGCCCTGGCGCGGGCCCCGCCCAAAGGCTGGCAATACAAAGTACGCTATATCTGGTACAGAGCTATTATTGGTCAAGCTCACCTGGGTCTTAGACTACAGCGCCTGATAGACCTGTGTCCTGAGATGCACGCTCAGAAGCTGTTTACCCGGGAAGCACCCGAGAACTGGACAGACGAGTCCGGCAGACTCCTCCTCATCGGCAACGCAGCACACCCCGTATTCGTACGTGCTCTTTTCTGCCCTTCTCACTTCCACTTTACTCATGACCGATCAATAGCCTGGCTGGGGTTACTCCTGCGCCATTCACCTCGAAGACGCAGAGGTCCTGGGCACACTCCTCGCCCGTATCAGCCACGCGTCGCAACTTCCAACTCTGTTAGAGGGATTCCAGGAGCTGCGCGAGCCGCATCTACGCTTCATCCGCGACACATCCTGGCCGCGCTTCTTCGAGACCGTCATGCTCCCACCCGGCCCGGAGCGCGACGCGCGCGATGCAGTGCTCAGGAGGCCGCACGAGGGCAAGACGTGGGATGACAGCATGCTGCGTCGGCAGTTTGACACGTTTGTGGGTGCATTTGGGTACAATGCGCGCGATGTTGCGGAGAACTGGTGGACGACGTGGGGTCGCCTGCTGAGGCAGCGGAGCAGGGGGACGCTGCACGGAGCTTCGGGGCCGATGTGCAGTGTGCCGTCGTTCCATGTAACGATGGAAGAAGCGGTGCATGTTCGTGCGTCTGAGCTTTGATGAAGGTTAAAACGTTAATGTCTGGGTCATTCATGAGTGCCACGAATTTTATGATGCATTATATTCCACATTGTTATTATTATTGTACGAAAAGCCTACGCAGACATGTATCTATTATAGTCCTTGGAAGCAACCTCTCTCAGCACGGGAAACTTCACTCGAACAGTATATTCATTGCCTGCTTGCTACCGGTGATTATCACTGTAAATTTCAATTCGAAAAGGACATCCATTCATGTCAAAGATGTCCCATCACATTGGCACGTTCCCAGTACTAGAAGTACAAAAATTTCCTCGAAGAACGATATCAATGGTCTCTGTTTCGCTTACTGTTGGCCGTAGACACATGTTTTACAAGCATGAAAGCAGCATAGTCCACTTAATCCTGTGCGCAGCCTCTGTTTACAATGTCAACCAGTTGAGTAGTACACCGTATCTGTATATAATATAAAGACCCGCACCCAGAGGCTAGAACGCGACCAGCAAGAAAATATGTCTCAATATAAATAATATGCTATCAAAGGTTTACACTATTGTTCGAAAGACCCTTCGCCGCAGACAACCTCGGGCACAGCTTATACAAGTTATACAAGAAAAGAGGAATATAAAAACCCAATGCCGTGAATAAATATAGAAACCACCAGAACCCATCGCGCACGCCTCAATCAATCTCATTCCAGCTCGCCTACTACTACTATACAGAAGTGAATCATGTGAGCTGTTAATGTCACCAGTATTGGCAGAACTCACCTGAGTATGCTGGGGTGGAGAACCCAATGTTAGTTCGCGGGGACCTCTTGAATCGAGGATTCCGGGTCATTCGGTAGCGCGGACGGCCTTCTAAAGTCAACGGAGCTGACCATTTCATTGGAGGGTCCAGAGCTTGAGGTTGAACCGATTGCTTTAGGATCGCGCATGGAGAGAATGAACCACGGCCCCAACATGTACAAAACTATCGCCTGTGTAACCGTGCCTGCGTTTTCTATGAATCTAGTTACCGCATAGTCCTGTAAGAAACTAGGTGTTAGCTCATTGTATCCGCAAGGTTACTCATATATCCCAATTGCTGTTAATCCTTACAAATATAGGCGAGGAATTATCCCCAAGTGTATTTAGTATCCCGATCAGAAAGACACTGCATGGGACCATTAGTGAAATCAGAAAAGCATCAGATTACGTTTCTCACAATATGAAATATAATAGACCTTGCTGGGTGAGCAAACCTGCGATGGACTTGACTCCCAACAAGCTACTGTGATTTTTCTGGTTTCTGAGTTGCCAAAATGAACGATAGGCGACCATAATGATCAGGATCACTTCATAGGCCAACGAGATCGCATTGTTGACTGGACCATCCCACGTCGAGTAAGGTAAGACTATTGGATTGGCATAACATCCCGGGACTCCCAATACAAGGATTTCTTCATCTGAAACGTGATCGATGATAAGCCATGGCCCTCAAGAGCTATAATGATACATACAATGCTCATCAATCGGGACCATGCCGCTGAGGATATTAAGTGAGAAGGCTATTGCTTGGGCTAACACAAGGCTTGTCAAAAGGGGCATGGTGACCCTTTTAGAGTTTTCATAGAGGGCACAAACTCGGGCTGTCATTACTCCTGGATTGGGAGTCTGCAATTAACTCATCGTGATAGACAGGTGAGTTGTACCTTGAAGAACCAACAGCAGAATATTGATGGTCCATGCATTTTCCATCTCTAACAATGTGTTGCCTATACAGGCGAAATTTCCAGTTAAACACTTTGTACATTTGCTGCCGATGAGTTACGTACATCTTTATGATAGAAACAGACCAGGTCAGTGCCCTTGACTCAGCTATGCTTCCTATCGGGCAAATGTTGTATGTACTCACGCCTATAATGAGGAGACCCGTGAGAGTTATAATTGACAATACTAAATAACATACATCGTTGCTGTTAGGAATAGGCAAGTTTATGTCTAATACGAAGGTCAGTGAACTTCCGACAAGCAATTAGATCGTTACTGACAAAGAGATACCCTAGAAAACAACTATCAGCTTTGCCATACAGCGAGCACATGAGGCTACGTGTAAGGGCATACAGGACGGCAAATAAGCCAGCATAACGAAGCTATGCAGCATGGAATCATTTCAAGCTGGCATTAAAAATCATCGTGTGCTGATTGACCTACAAAGAGGTAGCTGCAAGACATCCATGAACACTTGCGTCTCTAGACAGAATGTTCTGGATGAATAAAGCAAGTCGTCATCCACGACCAACCATACACGTACCCAAACCGTGACAAGGTCTACCTAGATTGCGGCAACATGATAGATCAGGGAAATCCGAGGCAATATACCACTTTTATGAAACCATTTGAGAGAATACAACGCACCTCTTTCCCGAATTGGAGGGCTAGGAACAGCTTCTTAAAGTAAACACATCTCTGACGAGAATGAAGATCTTACCATAGTCATAGACCACCATTGTTGTAATCGATACTAGTAGCAGGGGAATCATGTTGGTGAGTGTCTCTCCGTTACTATGCTGTTCAAACCTTGACACGAGACTTATGCACATACCAACTACGTAGCTATTGATAATATAAGCAGAAAGAAGAGGTATATCCAGAGGAGAGTCGAGAGTAGTTGACATATTGGGCGTCTTGTGAGATTGCCGTTACCTCTAAAGGGTGGAAGTGAGGTGTAGATATGCAGGTTGTAAGCCTTATATAGTACAGAGCATAGTGCTACACAAAGCGCCGCACTTAGAAACAATGTCAATGAGCGATACCCGTGTTATTCCAGACGTTGCTAGCATGCACGGAGACTAGCCGTCAAGGTGTTGATGAACAAAATATCTAGGGAGCGTACTTTGGACCGAGATGAAATTGGCTTTGGACAATGTAACTAGTTAAAGCCGATGATCCAGCCAGGAGCTGGGTCATCTCAAATACATACAGTACGATGCTGATACGACCCTGCAGTCCTTTGCCACGCGGCAGGTGGGTCGAGCGTAAAACACTCATGAGACGAATCCTACCGTAAGTATCTTCATGTGCACGGTCGCATGATCTCTCCCCTGGAACGACTGGTGATCGAAGAATGAAGCTGATTGTTTCAGGTTATAATAGACGGTTGAAACAAGACTGACCTTTTTTTTGATGTAACTTGGACTCTCCCAACAAGGCCACCTTCTACGATTTGTTATAGACACCTATGACCCACCCAAACTGAAGCAACGGATCTACGTGTCCAAAATATCAACGAATACGCATGGGCAGAACAAATTCTCCATCTCTGTTCCATCATACAGTCTTACCACCGACATGGCATGTTCTGATCTCTTTGATCGAGTGGACAGGCGCGTGCAATAGCTTCGGGCGGCATCACAAAGATGGTGACCATAAATAGGCCACTTTGTGTAAATGCTGAAATTATACGGACCACAATGGAAGTGCGCTTATACATCGCTGTCCATTATCAACAAGTGCTATGCTCGAGAAACAAACAGCCTAGGACTAATAAAGCTCAGATTTCAAACCTCGTCGATGAGAAGAAAGAAACAACTAATAACAGAGGGGAGATAAACTTTGATGAACGGAAGCTGGATGAATCACCGCTCCTGCAGGTCGTTGAGCAGACACAGAACGTTGATGACTGTCGACTTTGTCAGAAACTCATCTCAACAGCTCAACAGAAAGGTTCTCACAGAGGTTGATTAAGTCAAGGTAGAGGATGATAGCGCCGAGAATGTACTCGTCGGGCGAGAGCCGGCAGTTAATGACGTACGTTTCGTAGACAATGTAGCCGTTGAATTATAAGGCACCCGCCTACGGCATAGATGAGGTTGATCGTGTTGCTGAATGGGATGAAGATCCCCACGGTGTCTGTCATCACTGTGGGTGAGGCATCGGTTACGGCTTGAGGAGGAAAGTGACGAAGGGCACATACTGAGTGCGCCAAGACCGCCGAACAGCCGGGGACCGAGACCAGAGAAGTCATACTGGTTGCGGAGAAAGGGCATTAGCAAGCATTCCTGGAGCAACGAGAGCGGACGAAGCCCGTCAAAAGATAATTTACCTTGGACTGCAGAGTATACGGGATCAAAACAAGGAAAACACTGCGAGTGACAAGAAACGCCTACAGAACGATAATGTTGACGAAGGACGCGGTGACGATGCCTAGGGTAAACGCCTCGAGAAGCGTAAAGGTCGAGAGCAAGACGAGGTTGGATGGGTGGCTGTGACGCTTCCAGTAGAGCAGACCGAGGTTGACAAGCGCATCGAAGAGCGGGACGTGGGACGTAGAACGCCCAGCGGCTGGAGATGTGGTGTTAGCCCACGTAGTATGCGGGACAATGGTGGTGGGAAAGGGACGTACTGCTCCTGGACCCATATCACTGCGGTGAAAGACTGGGAGAGGCCACCAGCGACGATGGTGGTTGCAAGCTGATGAAACAGAGAGTAGATGAGTACGCATTAGCGTAAGAAGTCGGACCTGGGCGTACAATCTGGAAGATTATATGCGGTGATTAGCACTCTTTCATGCGCCAAACTGGGGAGTCCACTTACACAGGATGGTGTATACTGTCCGTACGAACGCACTCCGGATCTCGGGCGCAAGGACTAAATTAGATAGTTTAGAGCCATCAGAGCCAAGTGTGAAGAGCGATCAGCGATGGATTGTAGAATAGCGACCATCGTGTTAAGGTCGCAAACTGCGTCACAGTAGAGTGAAGAGCATCATGTGAGGAAGGCACAGGGACACCCGCCGTCGTCTTGTTTGTTTGCCGCCGCCGACGCGGAATTCGACCCCTGCATTGAACTTGTCCTAACTTGTCTCAAGTGTCAATCCACAGCAATGCCCTGCCATACGAACGCGTGACCCGAGTATAGTTAGCTGGTTCCCCAGCTTTCGTCCGGTTATTAATGACGAAGGCATTCCCTGCAAGCGTTAACTCGAGCACGAGCGCGCGCTGGGCCGCAGTCTAATACCAGTGAGTCCCTACAGAAGCTGTAGATGTTGACGCCACTCTCACCCTCTTGGATCCTTGATCAGTAAACCAACCCATGCCACCTAGCCGAATCGACATGCCAACGTCTGTGATAACCCCCAGCAGACTCATCGGCCCTCGCGAGCAACCTTGTACTCATGACTCCGAGATTCCTGGAGATGGCGAGCTCGAGTACGAGCTCAGATACCGCCGTGGCCCGTGCCCAACAAGAGTCTGATGACGCCAAACGAGCGGTGGACCAAGCCCAGTCGGACGAAGACACAAGGGCTGTAGCATAGTCCATCAAAGACCTCACCGCGACGGCGCACTCTATTTCGTGCGCGATGTGTGCCGCCGCAAGTGATCGTGCGCTGACGAGGGGGACAGGAGAGACATGCATTGGGGAGGTCTTGGTTGCGCGACACGGGGCACAATGTGCGTTTTTATGTTCATCTTGGCTTGTTCGTCTGTGCATCGGTACGCCCCCCAGAACTCGACGTACACTTTCATCAAGCGGCTCACTCAGCGCATAGACTATACCCCCACGACTTTCATGGGTTGCGCATTCCGTGCTCGTCCCTTCGTTCGTGTGTCGGCGATGTTCCATCCTCGCTGTCCGCATGGCGCAGGTCAGAGCAGCCACCCCCGCCTATACCCGGCGTACCCATCCCCATGCCTCCTATCCATGATTATGTAGAAGTCCCACCAGCGAGTCCAGGTCTGTTGGACGAGCCTGTTGTCATTGGCGAGGAAGGTCGGACATCGCTCCTCGGCAATGTGGTTGTGCTGGAGATTGAGTTCACAGAGCGCTAGCTCATCCCGCCGACCTCAACATGGCAGGTGACCAGATCGTCGTTACTCTCCTTCTGACAATCACAACCGCAGAATACATCATCCAATTGTAGCGCTACTCCGTCTTTGAGAATATTGGATGCTGGCCAAGCACCTCCAACACCATCCCGGCCTACTTTCTCGTGCACATGTGGCCGCTCGCGATCGGTATGTCTCCGCTGCGTATGCCACGCTCACGTTCCGCACCACATGTACACGTAAATCCAACATCCTCAACATCCTCTAACTCCTGGGCCATCCACCTCGAAGATGCCGAGGACCTGGGCACCCTCCTCGCTCGCATTAGCCACACGTCGCAACTCTCGGCTCTGCTAGAGGGGTTCCAGGAGCTGCGCGAGCCACAGCGACGCTTCATCCGCGACACATCCTGGCCGCGCTTCTTCGAGACCGTCATGCTCCCACCCGGCCCGGAGCGCGACGCGCGCGATGCGGTGCTCAGGAGGCCGCACGAAGGCAAGACGTGGGACGACAGCATGCTGCGTCGTCAGTTCGACACGTTTGTGGGTGCGTTTGGGTACAATGCGCGCGGTGTTGCGGAGAACTGGTGGACGACGTGGGGTCGCTTGCTGAGGCAGCGGAGCAGGGGAACGCTGCACGGGGCTTCGGGGCTGATGTGCGATGTGTCGTCGTTTCATGTGACGATAGAAGGAGTAGTTCACGTTCGTACATCTGAGCTTTGATGAAGGTTGTGATATAGAGCGTTCACGAGTTTTACGAGTTTTATGACACATTATATTCCACATTGTCATTACTATTGTACGAAACACCTACGCAGACATGTGTCTATGATAGTCCTCGTAAACAAGACAACACGAACAAATTCACTCGGCCAGCAAGTTCATCAACTGCTTGCTACTAGCGATACTTGCATCAAGATTCAAGCCGAAGAAGACAATCATTCATGTCAAAGTCGTTCCATCACATTGAGACGTCAGTACTAGAAGTACAAAAAGGTACTCGAGGAACGATACGTGTGGTTTCTGTTTCGCTTACTGTCGGCCGTAGACACATGTTTCACAAGCATGAAAGTAACAGAATCCGCTTAATCGGCCTCTACATACAATATCTATCAAATACACCATATATATACAACATAACGGCTCACAGCTACCCAGAGGCTAGAATGCGACCAACAAGAAACATATCTTAGATTCTCAACCCGGAGAATTTACTATCAAATACGTACACGACTTCTAGATACACCCTTCGCCGTAGACAAGTAATAGATCTCGGGCTTAGCTTATACAAGAAAAGAGGAATACAAAGACCAGTACCGTGAATAAATATGGAAACCACCGGAACCCATCGCGCAAAATACCAGAGTGAACACCTCAACCAATCTCATCCCTGCTCGCCTACTGCTACATGGTGATAAATCATCTGAGTTGTTAATGTCACCAGTATTGGCAGAACTCACCTGAGTATGCTGGGGTGGAAACCCCAATGTTAGTTCGCAGAGACCTCTTGAACCGAGGATTCCGGGTCGTTCTGTGGCGCTGAAGACCTTCTAAAGGCAACGGAGCTGACCACTTCATTAGAGGGTCCAGAGCCTGAGGCTGAGCCGATTGCTTTAGGGTCGCGCATGGAGAGAATGAACCACGGTCCCAACATGTACACAACTATCACCTGTGTAACCGTGCCTGAATATGCTATGAATTCAGTTACCGCATAGTTCTGTAATAAATCTGGTATTAGCTCATTTTATCCGCAATGTTATTCATATATCCCATGTGTCATATGTGACCAGGGATCATCCTTACAAATATGGTTGAGACGTTATATCCAAATGTACCCAGTATCCCGTACAGAAACATACTGCATAGGTCCATTAGTGAAATCAAAAAAGTATCAATTTACGTGTCTTACAATATGAAGTATAATAGACCGTGTTGGGTGAGCAAGCCTGCAATGGATTTGACTCCCAACAAACTACTGTGATTCTTTAGGTTTCTGAGTTGCCAAAATGAACGATAAGCGACCATAATGATCAGGATCACTTCATAGGCCAATGAGACCGCGTTGTTGACCGGAGTATCCCACACAAAGTAAGATGAGCTTTGTTGAATGAGATAACAGCCCGGGACTCCCAATACAAGGAAAGTTTCATCTGAAAGGTGATTGATGACAAGTCAGGGTCCTCAAAGGACTAGAATAATACGTACAAATCTCTTCAAGTGGCACCATGTAGTAGAGGATATTAAGTGAGAAGGACGTTGATTGGACCAACGCAAGGCCTGTTAAAAGGGGTATGGTGACCCTTTTAGAATTTCCATAGAGGGCACAAACTCGGGCTGTCATTACTCCTGGATTGGGAGTCTGTGATTGATTTATTGTGATAGACAGGTGAGTTGTACCTTGAAGAACCAACAGCAGAATGTTGCTGATCCATGCATTTTCCACCACAGCTAACGTGTTGCCTATATGTGTAAAAATTCTAGGTAAACCTGTTGTAAATTTGCTGCCGATGAGTTACGTACATCTTTATCGTAGAAACAGACCGGATCAGTACTTGACTCGACGATGCTCCTATCGAGCACATGTTGCATGAACTCACACCTATATTGAGGAGATCGACGAGAGCTATAATCAATAACACTAAACAACATACATCGTTGGTGATAGTAATAGGCAAGTTTATGTCTAATATTAAGGTTAGTGAACTTCCGACAAGGAATTAAATCGTCACTTACAAAGAACTACCCTAGAAAACAACTATCAGCTTTGTCATACAGCGAGCACATGAGGCTCCGTCACGGTGTAAGGGCATACAGGATGGAAAATAAGCCAACATAACGAAGCTATGCAACATGGAAACATTTAGCATTGAAAAACATCGTGTATTGATTCACTAACAAAGATGTAGCTGCAAGACATCCATGAACGCTTGCGTCTCTAGACAGAATGTTTTGGATGAATAAAACAAGTCATGAAATAACGTCTACGACCAACCACACGTACCCAAATGAGGTCTACCTAGATTGAAGTATCATCATAGATCAGGGACATCCGACGCGATACACCATTTAAAAGAGACCCCTTGAGAGAGTATAACGCACCTCCTGGCTGAAATCGAGGCCTGGTAACAGCTTCATGAAGCAAGCACCTCTCTGGGGAGTATGAAGATCTTACAATAGTCATAGGACACCAACGTTGCAAGCGATACTAAAAGGAGAATCATGTCGGTGAGTATTACTCCGTCATACTGTTCAAACCTTGACACAAGACTTATGCACATACCGTTTACGTAGCTATTGGTAATAAAAGCAGAAAGATAAGGTATATCCAGAGGAGAGTTGAGAGTAAGTGTCATAACTGGGCGTCTTGTGAGATTACCGTTGCGTCTAAAGGATGGTGGAGGTGAGGTGTAGATATGCAGGTTCAAGTAGGCCTTACATAGCACAGAGCACCGTGACAATGCTAGGCAAAGCGCCGCGCTTGGATAAATACCCGTGTTATTCCAGACGTTCCTGGCATGCTCGGAGAGTGACCGTCAAGGCATCAACGTACAACATATCCAGGGGGCATGTTTTGGAATCAAGATGAAATGGGTTTGGACAATGTGGTTCAACTGACAGCCGATGAACCAACCAGGAGACGGGTCATTCACAGGGACCTGTAGTACGATGATGATGCGATGTTGCAGTACTTTGCCATGTAGCAGGCACGTCGAGTACAAAACACGGCTATGGCGCGCTCATCTTGACACTCATGAGACGGATCCTGCCATAAATACCTTCGTGTGTGCGGTCGCGTGATCTAGGCTCCCCTTGAGCGACTGGTGGTCGAAGAATGCCGCTGATTGTTTTAGGTTATAATAGACGAGTCAAACAAGACCCACCGTTTTTGATGTAACTTGGACGCTTCCAACAAGGCCACCTTCCACGATTCGAGATAACGACCTATGCTCCACCCAAGCAACCGATTTATAAGTCCAAAATATCAGGCAAATACACGCATGAGCATAACGCACTCTCCATCTCCGTTTCATCATACAGTCTCACCACCGAGATGGATTTTTCTGATTCCTGTGATAAAGTGGATAGGTGCGTATTATAGCGTCGCGAGGCGACACAAAGATGAACAGGAATAAGCCGTGTTGCATAAACGTTGAAATTACAAAGACCACAATTCAAGGGCGCACGTATATACCACTGTCCATTATCAATCAAGCGCAGTGCTCGAGGAAACATACAGCCTAGTACAAATAAAACTCAGATTCTGATACTAGATGACGAGAAGAGGGAAACACTAATAAGAGGGAGGTAAACTTTGGTGAATGGCAGCGGGACGTATCACCGCTCCTGCAGGTCATTGAGCAGACGCAGAATGTTGATAACTGGCAAGGAGGCGTCAGCAACTCACGTCGCTAGCTCGCCAAAAAGGTACTCACAGAGGTTAATGAAGTCAAGGTAAAGGCTAATCGAGCCGAGAATATATTCGTCGGGCGAGAGCCGACGGTTGATGACATACGTGTCATAGACAATGTAACCGCTGAAGATGAGGCACCCGCCTGCGGCATAGATGATGTCGATCGTGTTGCTGAATGGGATGAAGATCCCGACCATGCCGGTCATCACTGCAGAAAACGTGTCAGTTATGACGCAACGAGCCAAAACAAGAAAGTGATGAGATGATACGCACTGAGAGCGACAAGACCGCCGAAGAGCCAGGGACCGAGACCGGAGAAGTCATACTAATCAGACAAGACGTTAGCATACATGGTTGGAGGGAGGAAATGGACGTTCGTCAGACGTACCTTGGACTGCAGTGTAAACAGCGTCAACCCAAGGAACACACCGAGAGTGATAAGCAGCGCCTGTAGGACGATGATGTTGTCGAAGAACGCGGTAACGATGCCGAGAGTGAATGCCTCGAGAAGCGTGAAAGTCGAGAGTAGGACAAGATTATAAGGGTGGCTGTGACGCTTCCAGTAGAGTAGACCAAGGTTGACAAGCGTGCCGAAGAGGGGGACGTAAAACGCCCACTGGCTAAAGATGTGATGTTAGCCCATGTATGTGGTGCAATAGTGGTGGGAAAGGTACGCACTGCTCTTGAACCCACATCACCGCGGTGAAGGACTGGGAGAGGCCACCAGCGACGATGGTAGTCGCAAGCTGGTGAAAAAGAGAACAGATGAGTACGTATTAGTGTAGGAAGTCGGACCTGGACGTACAATCTGGAAGACTATATGCGGTGGTCAGTACTCGTTCATTCGTCAGGCTGGGGAAATCAGCTTACACAGGATGATGTACACCTTCCTCACGAATGCACTCCGGATCTCGGGCGCGCTTTCTGAGACAGTTGCACCATACTACGCGGTAACAAGTCAGTAAATAAAGAAGAATTTTGGTTGCGAAGAGCTCACCTTGAAATCGTCCGGAACGTCGCCAGCTTCTGGCTGGTCGTAGATGCCTCCACCTGGGGAGCGCTGCCCCGCAAGAAGCGGCTCATTCGCTTCATTCCTGTATTGCTTGTTGGGCCCAGCGGTGCCGTAGGACGGGGGAGGAACGGGATACTGGCTCGAGCTCATCGTCGAGGTGGATGGGGTAGGAGGAAGAGAAAGGGGTACGGGGATAAATAGAGCGCCGAGGGTGCTCTTACGCAGCTGGGGTGGCTACGGAATGCTGAGATTACCAGGACGCCCGGAATGGATCTGGGCTACACAGCTTTTGTGGCTGAGTCAGCCACTTTATGGGCGTCTCCTGGGGTCCATTTCCGCTTCGGGCGGTGAGTGGGCCCGTATGTTCTCGAAGATGCGGAAACCGCATTCTCCTCATTTCGGAGAGTTCTTCTCCTGAACCTACGGGGGTCATGTAACCGGCGTTACCTAGGCAGTGAATATGATGCCGTAGGCAATCTACCTTGCATAGGAAAGGCAACGCCTCGAGGTCGAGGTGAAAGGGGTTTCGGAATATGCCGAATGCAGCGTGTCCATCTGTGTCGAGTGACGTGATCTTTCAGAACGCGTCTGGAAGATCAACTTCATTTTTTGTCGACTTGCTCACCTCGCTCTCCTCCCCACCGGCGCGGTTCTCAGTGCCCGGGTCGCCGTACAACATCGCCACATCGACCCCTTCGTCGTTATCATGGCGTCCAGTGCTGTCGAGCCCCCAGTCGCAGCAAACCTCGCCCCAGGTCCTCAAAAAAGGACAAGGCAGGCAACATTGAATGCAAGTCTCCGGCTTACGGGTGCCAGCACTGCATCTCCAGCAACACTCAACGGAACCGGCTCTTCTAAACCGGGTCCCAGCGCCTTCGCGTCCATCATCTCTCTTCCCCCGTCCGCCATTACACGTGAAAAGCTTCGCGATGTCGAGAACGACGTCGAGATCCTCCTCTCAGCCCACCAGGCAGGCCACATCTCCAAGCGCATCGTCGAGAACCTCGCAGAGGTCCAGTGCCCTTCGTGCGACGCGTGGGTCAAGTCCAACGCAGGCAAGACCGTCCACGACCTCGTCAAGGCCTCTCACTTCTACAACCTACGCACCCATCGCGCCAGTGCCCGGTGCGCCGCCGCGCGTGCCGAGATGAAGAAGGAGAGTAGCAAGGCCAAGATCCAAACTCCCTTATCGTTCCCCATTCTTTCCTCCGACTCCCCTTCCAAGCCTAGTTCGCAGATACAGCAGCCCCCAGAACATGCCACCCTCCCCCAGGCACCGTCCTCACGCCGTTCATCCGTCCACGTCTCAGAACCGCCTTCGGCGGCGCTGATGGACTACGACCTCGGCGACGACTTCCAGCCCTGGCGCTCACGCAAGTCCCCAGAACGCGAGCTCCTCCCCCACGAGTACCTGCCCGATAGAGACCCGTTCGCCGACTACGATAACCCCATATCTCCCCGGACATCGCTGCACCCCGATCAGCCCTTCCTGCTCATGAATGGCTCGGCATCTGCGCCAGACCTTTCGCTCAACTTCCACGATAATGAATCGAATCCACAGCCTACCTCTTCTAACGAAGAGCGTCTGCCCAATACCATTACCATCGCCCCTATCGACACCCACTCGATATCACCAGCAGCCCAGCAACCGCTATCAGCATTCGACTCGTCAGACGCCATGCCATCTTCCGCCATCTCCGAGCTATCCAATCCTCCACTCGAGTCATCCGCCGACCCGGCATGGCCAGAAGATATATCGTTATCGGCGGCGATTGCGTCAACAAGGCTCGCGCTCGAGGAGCTGTTCACGGTGTATACCACGTCGCTCGACCCACCACCAGATAACTCGTCCATCATCGGAGACGCTCCTGAATCGATATCAGCCCAGTCGCCCATGGACGTCGCCCCGTCAATATCGGCCCGCGCCAGCGCCAGCCGTGGTCCCACGCCCTCCGACATCGCACCCACCGCGAGCGCCAGCGCCAACTCACATCGGAGCAAATCTCAGAGCCAAGGCATATCTCAACGACGCAAGAGCACGACCCCCGCCAACTCTGGGTCCTCGAACTCGACCTCAAATCTCAACCAGAATTCAGGACCGGGACCGGGACCGTGCCTCGGCGTGCCCATCGTCTGGCCATCCGAAGCCGGGCCCTTCTTCACCTCCTTTCCGTTTTCCCGGCTGGGTGACGATGTGCCTGACTCGCTCCCTTTCACACTCGAGATCACGGACGGGGGCAACTCGCGCTTGGCGCGCGCCAAGACGTGTAAGGGTGTCGCTGCGCCCCGGAGTGGACCCAAGTGCAGGCAATGCGCGAGCGTCAAGTATGCGGTGGCAAGGCTTGTGAAGGAGGCGATGGCTGGGAGTGATGAGGATAGGGAGGGGGAGGGGAGTGAGCAGGATCAGGAGAAGGATCAGGATGGGAGTGATGAGGAGGCGGAGCCGCGGGCGAAGGTGAGCTAGTTTTAGCCCTGGGCGTTCGTGCATTTTCTGACATGATTTTTTTTGCTCAGCTACGGGGTCGAAAACAATCCACAGACACCACCACCTCGCGAGCACCCAGCGAGCCCCGCCATCAACATCGACAATCCGGCCTGCGCGATCGCGATAGACGCCAATCCGCAACCCACACCACCACCACCAACCCCGGACCGAACACGGCAACCCTCAAACGACGAGAAAGCCATCGCGACACGGGAAGCAGCAGCAAACACTCTTCAACAGCATCAAATCACCATACCAAGCTCCAGCAGTCCGCGAGCGTCGCGAACCTCCGCCGGCGAGACGCGAACGTCGACGAGCGCCCGCCGAGCGCCCATCTGCGCGACCGGCGGCAGTCGACGGGAGCTGTGGGCGGCGGGTCGCTGAAGCGGAAAGACCAGGCGAGCGAGAGCGTGGCTGCGGCTGCGGCGGGCGGGCGCAAGGTCGCGAGGCGGTCGTGATGTCGTGTCGCTTTCGTTCTTTATTCTCGCTCGCATTGGGCTCTGCTTATTTCAACTTTTTTCTTTTATCGTTACCCATTTTACACTTGACGCGTACACACCCGCTCATTGCTCCTTACCTTTTTATATCGCTCTAGCCTAGTCTTCTTTTTCTTTTTATTCATATTCAATTCATGCGCGAATTATTCTTCTGTCGCAGAGTTTAGCTGTGCGTACCTATTACCCTTTCTTTTTCTTCTTTTTGCTCCTCCTTTCTGGATGACGAGACGATATGCCCGCCGCCGCAGGTATCATTATTCGCGCTACGTTATCGTTACTTTTTCGATTGATATTGATATTGATATTATTGATATTGGTCACATTGTGTATTATGTATTTACGTTTCTCCTGTTTTTTCTTCTTCAAGCAACTCTACACGGGTTTTTGTGAAGCCCGATCTATCCCCTCTCATAGAGGCCTTGTGCGTTCTGAAGTCCTTTCTGCGGTGCCGACCATTTCAGTCCTCGGGACGACTGTCGCAACCTCAAAGCGCTCCTTGTGCCGTTGACAAAAGGGCTATATTTTAGCGAACGAATTCGAACGACTGCAGATGAGTATGCTACATGGATGTGTCAAAGGTATGCTGCGCGTACGTATGCGACGAGTGGATACAAATAAATAGTATGTGAGTGTACAGGAAAGATCGTGTTGAGTGAGTGAGTGTCCTTGTGCAAATGGCTATAAATAATAAGAACGGAGGATCTACCCCGAAGTTGAAATTGCCAACAAAGAAAAAAAAACGCTTTTTGAAAATAATCATGAAAATCTAGACGCAGTAAGGAGGAAGCGGCGTGCGCGGTGGAACCATGCTCAGCGTGCGCGCGTCGAAGTACGGGACCGGGGGTATATGGTCGTCGTCGTGGTCATGGGCGTGGGCGTGATCGTGATCGTGGGTACTGGCGGGAGGGGCGTTGAGGAACGCGTAGCACGGGCCCGGGGAGGCGCTGCGCGTCGTCGAGCGCACGGAGCGCGCGGTGGACCGGGTCGACCGCCGCGTGTGGGCGCGTTTGGGCGGGACGATGGACTCGACGCGGAGTTTTGGGTGGGCGCTGAAGGTGAGTCGCGGCAGTCTGGGTGCGATGGACTGCATGCTCCGACGTGCGCTGTGGGTGCTGGTGCTCGGGCGCGAGTGGGTGAAGTCCGCCCCGGCGAGCTCGCTGTGTGGACTGAAGGGGTCATCGTCCTCGGGGTTGAGCGGCGTAGGAGGGGCGATGTCGATGACGGGGGACGCGAAGTCGATGGTGCTGTGGGTGCTGGCAGGAGGCGAGGTGCTTCCGGATCTCGCGGATTCAGCCCAGGAGCGGATTTCCTTATCGTCGGGAATGTCTTTGCTAAAATCAGGAGGCTGTTCAGCTATCTTATCACCCGAAAAGCAGTGGTGGAAACGGACCTGTCATGCCAGCACCCGACAGTCGTACCCCAAGCCCAAGAGGAGACCATGGTTTTCGACCCCTTGAAGTCCTCGTACGCCCCACGATAACACCTCCTTGCCTCGCTTGAGAGTCCGAAACACGCAAAGAACACGAACGCGCAAAACACGCTCGACCACCGTGTCATCTCCATGCCGAACGCGACCGACGGTGTCCCCTGCCACGCCGCAGCGCTAACCCGCGGAATGCTCCCAAAGTTCTCGTGCATCGCCGCAACCCCGGGCCAGACCTCGACCCCGAGCCTTGCATTCGCAACGAGGGGCACGATGCTAAGAGGAACCGTAAACACAACCTCCATCGCGCTGAGGAGCATGAGGCGCCAATATCGGGATGCTGTAACGTGTGGGCTGCTTTCCGCGAGGATGTTGAGGACGTTGGATTTACGTGTTAATGCGATTCGGAACGTGAGCGTGGCGTACGCAGCGGAGACGAGCCCGATCGCGAGCGGCCACATGTACACGAGGAAGTAGGCCGGGATGGTGTTGGACGTGCTTGGCCAGCATCCGATGTTCTCGAAAATGGAGTAACGCTGGGATTGGACGATGTATTCTGCCGGTGTGATGGTTAGAATGAAAAGAACGACGACCTGAAGGATGGATAGTTACCTAAAGCTATGACTAGTAGTGGGAGACCTACGCCGATCGCCAGATCGATATAGAGTTCTCTCCGCCGCTGTTCGGGAGAGCTTGTCAGCAACTCAGCCACAAGCACAGTGAAGAGGTATACATACATCAGCCCATCGGCGCGTCAGTGTTTTTGAAGTCGTCAAAAGGTAAAGTCGTCGAGTGATGCAAAGCGAAGAGGCAGGTATAGCAACGCTCGTCGCAATTACAAATCGTGAAGCTATAAGAATGCACCAGTGAGCCCCCAGCAGTAACCAAAAAGAAAATTGAAGACGCACATATATCGCACCAGACAGGGGCAAAGTTCGCCGTCGTGCCGTTCCACGCAATGGAGTTCACGAACTGGACGAAACACGCCAGGCTCACCCAGATCATGTACATGCATGTTCCGGCGTTCCAGCCTACCGCCAAGCCACCGTCAACGCCCATTTTGCGGCGAGAAAAACGGAATGAACTCACGTTCAAGATGCCACCTCAACGGGATCCCGGCCAGCACGAACCCGAGAAAAGCGAAAGCAGAAAAGAGCTGATTCGGAGGGACCATAGCCATCGTGTGTTTGTCCGTTTCCGATCAGCGTCGTTAACTTAGGAGCAAAAGGGTCTAGAAAGAAGAGGGAAAGAAGGTGTACAAAAAATGAAGGAGAAGATGCCCGACCGAAAGGCAGCGGGGACTTGAACAGTGGCCCAACAAGGACCCATAGGCGCCTGCTTATATGCTATGCCACTGCGGAGGGCTCGAACCAATTGCGCATGCGTATGCACCCGACCATGTCCACTCTCGCGTCCCTGTCGACATCAATGAAGCAAGAAGAAAGCAACCCGCGTCGTTGCCGTGGTCGTGTCCGCCAAAACCGCACGGCCGAATAAAGCAACCTGGAAAAATGCGACGACGGTTTGACAGACAGGGGCTCTCGGCTACCTCCCGCCTTGTTCGCCGCGCCGCGCGTCGCGGGCGCTAAAGCATCCGTAACCTGGAGACGTTGTACTTTGCTCAACGGCTCGAAGCTCTGCCTCGACATCTCGGTGGTGAAATTGTTATGCGAATAGACGAGCCCTTCGGAAGCGAGCCGGAGGTGGGTTTTTGTGGGCGTAAAACCGCCTGGGGTGCCACGGTCGAGACGCACAGTGATGAGCGTTGCAACTTGCCAGGGCACGGGGCGGCCTTTTGGATAGCGCTTTTTGGATGTCGTTGTTGTAGCGGCTGCAGTAGGTAGACTGATGAAGCTGAGGTGAGATGTGAAGAGAGGAAGATGCCCCAGAGCACTGTCCGAGTGACAAGATGTATAGAGATGCGATTGGTTTTAGAGGCCGTTGAAGCGACAGGGGATGTCAAGCCACCACCAAGCGAGCATAGCACAGAGGTGACGACACAAAGCAGAACTCATGAATTACTCTGACTCCTTGTTCTGCTAGGTCTTTCTGTCGCAAAAATCGTAGTTTGGTGATCACCGCTTGTGACCACTGGGGATTCCGATCAGTGAGAGATGAGTTGTTGACCAGATTATGACCAGCAGTGATCAGCGCTGGTCACTGGTGAGCAACTAACCGTCAGCGGTGATTTGTAGGAGACCTCTGGTGGAGCAGTTTGTGAGCACCGTGGAGCCAGCGCTGAACTTGGCCGGTTTGTAGCTGGTCGGTTGCCGAATGCCGCCGATCCCCTCGAGCTCGCCAGTGATATTCCACTGGTCACCCAAGGGTCGAGAGTATTACTACCCCATGTTGTTGTCCCTTATACACATAGTATTATCCTCCCCTGAAGCTGGAATGAGGTGTACACTTGATACCTTACTTGATATGAGTCAATAACCTCGATGAAACAATAAAACACAGTCTATGTTCCTTCAGCATCGATATATGTACAAGGGCCCATCCAAATGTACACAAGCAAACATGGTGTAACGGTAAAGGTGCTGTGTATGATAACAGCGTTCGTAAGTTCGAACCACAATAAAAACCTAGTTAATTATGGTGTCGCAGGCTTTCGCTAGGATGTCGCTTGTGGGCAAGCCCCACTCGAGTGGGGTAGACGTGGGGTAGTACTCTATACAAAATGGAGCACTGTTGGAGCTTTTTTACTGGCGTTGGTGCCAATTGCTGATCACTATGGTCACCTCTGGTCACTGCCTGATCACTACTTGGTCACTATATGATCACCTGCTGACTTTTCCCGAGTGTATCTGATCAGACCCTAGGTGGGTGATCAGACTGACCAGACATGATCACCGGTGATTTGTTCTGATCACCCAAATACAATTTTTGCGACAATCCGAACAAGCAATGGTAGTCGCAGGTGACGAACCAAGCCGTTGTGTTACCAAGCGTTTGAACAGATTTTTGTCATGTCATAGATCATTGAGCGGTGACTAAGATGTGATTGGCAATCATGAAAATACATAGCTCATGTACAGCCCGAAGCGTACGAAGAAATCTCCAATTGCGCGCCAAGTCGAGGTTGGCGGGAGGAACTGGCGCCTTGTGAACTCGACCTCTAGCACGGCCACGGTGCCTAGGAGCGAAGACCAGCCTTCCTCGCCGATGACGACAGGCTCGTCCAACAGACGTGCATCCGCTGGTGGAACTTCCACATAATCATGGACAGGAGGTATAGGGATGGGTACGCCGGGTATAGGCGGGGGCGGCTGTATCTGACCTGTGCCATGCAGACACCGAGGATGGAACGTCGCTGATACACGAACAAGGGGACGAGCGAGGAACGTGCAACCCATGAAAGTCGCGGGGGTGTAGTCCTCGCGCTGGGCGAGCCGCTTGATGAATGCGTACGTCGAGTTCTAGAAACACACCCGTGAGCCAACGAAGATGTTTAAACTAACAGAAAACGCACGTTATACCCCGTATCACGTAACCACGACCGTCCCCAGGCGTGTCTCTCCTGTCCTCCTCGTCGGCGCACGATCACTTGCGGCGGCACACATCGAGCGAGATCCATGTAGTCGCGGGAGATGGAGTGCGCCGTCGCGGTAAGGTCTTTGATGGACTTTGCTACAGCCCTGGTGGCCTCGTCCGACTGAGCTTGGGCCACTGCTCGTTTGGCGTCATCTGATTCTTGTTGGGTACGGCGGTACCTGAGCTCGTACTCGAGTTCGCGATCTTCAGGAATTTCAGACTCATGAGTACGGGGCCTCTCGCGAGAGCCAACGACCCTGCTGGAGGCTATTGCGGACGCTGGCATGTCGGTTTGGATAGGTGGCATGGGGTTGAGTTGCTGATCATGGATTCAAGAAGATGAGAATGGTGTCAATGTACGTGTTCTGTGAGGACTCACCACAATACTAGGTTGAAATGGATCTTGGATTGCGTCTCGTGCTCGAGTTAACGTTTGCAGCGACTAGGTCTTCGTCAATGGTTCCGGTTAACTCCCATGGAAGTTGGGAATCTATTTGTCTCTCGTTTGGGTGATGTGTTCGTACGACCAGGCATTGCTGTGGATTGACGCTCGTGGCGAGGTCAGTGAGAAAGGCCGAATTCGTCGGCGCGCCGCGGAAACAAGACCACCGTGGTTGTCTCCACACCTTCCTAACATGTTGCCCTTCCCATTACCGCGGCTCAGTTCGATTTGACCTACCCTTTTCTACAATCCATATCCAGAATTGATTTTCAAACCTGACCATATCGGCTGGTCAGCTTCCAATATTGCTGGCGCCATACAGATAGCGCTGAGGCCCCTGAGGTTGGGCCCAAGTGCGTAGTCGGTGGGCAACAATCGCTAAGCTCATGCTAGTATCCCGTTCCACCGCCGTCCTACGGCGCCACTGTGTCCAAAATCGAAAGCAGTACAAGAACGAGGTGAATAGCTTCGCGCAGGTCGGTGTTCTGTTGGAAACATCTTTGACCACCCGAAAGTTGGTGATGTTCCCGACGATTATAAGGTGAGCCTAGTGCTACTTTGATTTTCTTCTTCGCGCTAACATGGGAGTGCGCAGTGTGGCACGAATATCTCTGGAAGTGAACCAGAGATTCAGAGTGCGCTCGTGAGAAAAAAATGACTATCATCGCAGGTGCCCTTCAAGCACCGCCGTCATGAACAACACGTCCCTTATTCGCCACTATCACATACATACGCTTACCATCTCCAGCTGCTGGGCCTTTTACATCTTTTCTTTACCACGATTGTCAACCTTGGTCTGCTCTACTGGAAGTGTCGCATCCACCTGTTCAATCCCGTCCTTCTTTCGACCTTCACGCTTCTCGAGGCGTTCACCCTCGGCATCGTCACCGCGTTCTTCCGTACATCATCGTTTGTTGTTTTCTGCTAACCACATTTAGTGTCTTCCTTAGGTTGACGCTGCTTGCGCTGCACTCCAAGGTGCAATTTTTGCCTACTTCGTTTACGCGATGTAGATGCTGATGCAAATGTGCAGTGTGACTTCTTCGGTCTCGGTCTCGGTCTCGGTCTCAGTCTCCGTTCCGTTCCGTTCCTGGCCTTGACTTAGTTCTCTTTTCTTCTCATTAAGTTTCAGGGTTTGCACTTTATCGATGCTGGGCTATATGTTTCATTGAGTGATCTGGTATGAACAGTGATCAATACACGAACTTGGGTTGTAGTTTGTGTATTTCCATTAATGTTTTTCCAAATCGACTTGATGTTTTTGTCATTCTCGCGTCCTCTCTTTGAAACTGGTGCATGCACCACCGGCCTATTCGATCAACAAGATCAGAAAACCAACGTAGTTCATAAGTTTGAGAGACATGGTGCTTGTGTTATGCTGACAGCTAACAAAGTAGTTTGGGACGCTGAATCGCGCCCAAAAGCTACTCGAAGTAGTAACCCAGACGATGTTGATCAGATACCACACCGCAAGTAGTTTGGCGCACTCTCCGTTTTATGCGTGAGTTTCCTTGCGGCTCGGACCTATGAGCCAGCTGCTTGGATGGCGGTTAGAGCTTTCTCTCAAATCGTGTGCACAAAGGCGCGTTTCCGTGCCAATGTGGCATCCGATCGCGACGCGCTTGACCGAAGTTTCAGGAACTTGCTATTTTGGTCCTCTACGGCATCCGCATCATTTTGTGGCCGTCGAGATTCAGGAAAGGCGCAGCCATACATATCAGAGTATCAAGGTATCGATTGCAGGGATTGTTTCATGAACATCTTTGATCAAGGCGAAATGGCCGTCTTTGGTACTTGATAGCTTGAGGCGTGGCGAAACTCCGCCTTAGCGACATGCATATTTATATGAAATGATTGGTCTCTCCACACGTTCTCGATTGTTTGATTGAAAGTTATGAAGCAACTGGGCTCATTGGCTGGAGGTCTGTCTTGTCCCAAGGCTATTATTCCCTTCCATTCCAAAGCGGTCCTTAGCCATATCATTCATCGGTAATTTGACAAATAACCTCTGGGCAGCGCTAGGAACTCCTGATGCACTTGTTTCTCCCACCGATACTGCAATTGCATGCAGCGCATTGATCATGTTCTCTGTATAAAGCAGTTGCACTTCGCATCGTTACCTTTGCCTGTCTTTCTTCAGTCATAGCAAGGTCCCAAGATATCCAGCATGCCATTCATTGACAACTTTCCTTTCGTCATCTTCGAACGTCAGGTAGCGGCTTATCTGACTAGCAGCTATATCACAGGTATGCACATAAGCACTGCGTCAAATCTGACGGGTACACCGTAGTGGTATTAATTGATGTCAATTTCCTTTCAGCATCAACTGCTGCTTTGGTGGTTTATGACTACAGTAAGGTCTTAATTCCGTCGACAAGCAGACTCTTCAGTTCAGGATGTTGTTCACAGTCCTCCACTTCAGCCAAGAGGTATGTTGTGTTCTGTTTGAGGTATAGCATTATTTCGGATGTCTCTCATCTGTAATGTTGCTGGATTCCAGGTAGACCTCATCTGGGTAAGCGTGGACGCCATATTTCGAGACTTCGTTCATCTACTATTCAAAATCTTCTGTCTAGAAACGCAAGTGGTCATGGATGACTTGGAGCTACGTTTTTGTAGGTCAACCAAACATGTGACACATTTCAATACTGATCGTTTCTATTCTGCATAGCTTCGTTATGCTGGCTTATTTTACATCTTGTATGTCATTACACGGATCATCATTTGCTCGTTTTTATGGCGGGGTTGATAATTCTTTTCCAGGGTTCTTCTTTGTCAGTGATAATATAAGTGCCTAACAATGCATTAACCTCTACGTTAGATCTGGCTCTGCCTAATCTTATGACCGACAAAGTAAGCTGCTCGGTGGAATCCGCCAGGGAATAACTCTCATCATTTTCCTTGGTTTAGGTGTCAGTTTATGTGGCACATGTTTGACACGAAGCCCTGCTGATCTAATATTTGATTTACTTTCTTTGTATCTTTAAAAGCTGTAAGTAACTCGTTGGAATTGACAAAATAAAATAGGCAATAAGCTGACCTGTAGATTCCTCATATGTAGGTGACGCATTGTTTTTGGTTGAAAATACAGGGATCGGCTACGTTCTACTATTGGTTGTTCAAGGTACCCTGCTGACTTTTCCTGTTAGTCATGATGGCCAGCTGACCGTGGATCTCAAATCCAGGAGTAATGACAGCCCGCGTTTGTGCCCTCTATGGGAACTCTAAAAGAATCGCCGTACCCCTTTTCGCAAGCTTTGTGCTGGTGCAAGCAATGGGCTTTATACTTAATCTCCTCTGCTATGTAGGGCCACGTAGAGGGACTTGTAAGTAATATTCTAATGCTTGAGGTTCCTGACTCATCAGCTTTCAGTTGAAGAGGGCATTGTGTTGGGAATCCCGGGCTGTTATGTCATTCAAGCCGTCTCGCCTTACTCATGGAACGAGCCAGTCAATAATGGAATCTCGTTGGCCTACGACGTGATTCTGGTCGTTATGGTCACTTATCGTTCATTTTGGCAACTCAGGGACCATAGGAAACACAGTAACTTATTGGGGGTTAAGTCCATTGCAAGTTTGCTCATCCAACACGGTCTATTGTACTTCATGTTGTAAGACACTTAAGCTGATGAATTTCTAATTCTGCTAATGGGTTTTGCAGCATGTTTCTGTTTGGGATACTGGGTGTCCTTGGGAACTCTTACTCGCTCACATTTGTAAGGGTGATCCCTGGCCACTGGATCAATTGGGATATTTTGACGTCTTTGCACATACTAAATGCTAACGCTGGATGTTTATAGAGCACTGCAGTGAATGATATCGTGGAATATGCAGACGTGGTTACACAGGTTATGGTCATTTGCATGTTGGGACCATGGTTTATTCTCTCCACGCGCGACCCTAAAGCAACCGGGTCAGACTCAAGTCCCGGCTCTGGTTTATCTAAGGGAGCGGTCAGCTCTGTGGCCTTTAGAAGATCTTCAGTGCCCCCGAATGACCCGGAAGCCTCGGTTCAAGAGGTCTCCAGGAACCAATACCGGGGGGTTCCAACCCAGAAAACGCAGGCGAGTTCTCTCAATACAGGTGACATCATAAACACATAATATGATTCACTACTATGTAACAATAGGCAAACCAGGATGAAGTTTAGCAGGGTGTGGTTTTTCTCGACTCAGACGTTAATTTTAGGTGTCTCCTTATTTTTATTTACAGCACCGGCTCTTCTATTGTTCCGATGTCTTTCTTGCATACGCTGAGCTCCAGAACTTATTGTTTGTCGGAAGCAAAGATCCTTTCGAACACAGAGCTTAATCATATACACCTGTAACAGCATATTATCCATGTTCGGTAAACATGAAGCGTGACCAGTCTCGGTTAAGGCGCAGCCATTGTGGGACCCTTGTATCTTAAGCATACGAAACAGAGTAATTGATCGATTCTGTACGTACACAGGCCGCTTGCAATGTTATATTGATTCTGTGAGGCTGTGAACATGGATCTAATGCCGACAGTAAGCAAGATCTAGACCACAACCGTCGTTCCTTGATGTTGTAAGAGTTGGAAGCCTACCACGGTGATGGCGTACTAGTTCCGATAAATATGGGCATCTTAATGGGTTTGAGCCTCATGATGGTACAAATTAGAACGCCTTGGATCTGCATCAGCTACCGCAACTCTCAAGTTTATAACCTTGGCAAACATGACAAGGTGCTGCCCTGGAGGAACGTTGTATGTTTTTGGGATAGCGACTCGATCCAACACGTTGGCATTTGAAATACCGGTCCAAGTGATAGATTTCGTGAACACGTTACATCCGTTAAATACACGATAATAACACAACTATGATGCCCTCGTACAGCATCCAGTGCTATACTATATAAAAATGGCCACGATCATCGTCACTTAAGTGTGCTTAATTGTGACGTCGTTGCCGCTGATAGTGGTCTGGGTAAGAGTCTGGCCGTTCTGTTGAATGTCGCTGATGGAAGCGCCAGCGGGCGAGAGCGAGCCAGAGGGCGTGGTCGCGGACGCGTCCGAGAAGGTGACGGTGCCGAAGTTGGCGAACGGAACGAGGCCGCCGTTCTCCTCGAAGTCCTCCACAATCCACTCCGCGTCCTGCTCGCAGAGAGCGGACGAGGACGTGAGGGCCTGGTTGACCTTCTGGCCCGACGTCGTGTTCTCGATCACCGCGCTGCCGGCGGTGGTCGACGTGGCGGTGACGGTCAGCTTGATGACGTCGCCCGAGTTGATGGTCAGGCCGTCGAAGTCCACGGCGCCGGCGGGGAACCACTCGTACCAGGCTGAGAGGTGCAATGTTAGCATGCGAGCCGAACATAGAGAGCGGAGACTGGGGCTTACAGTCGTAAGAGCCGTCGGAGTTGAAGTCAACACCGGTCTGGAGGATGGCGCTGCTGCACGAGGCACCGTCGATGCCGACCCAGGCAGATGCAGAACCAGAGCCCGATGCGGTGGGGACTGTGAAGGTACCAGTCACAGCGGTGATGGTGTTCTGCACGCAACCGCGTTAGCTCGATGATTGTTAAAATGAGCGCAGCTTGGACGACTTACAGCAGGCTTGCTCCAGATAGCACCAGCCCAGTTTGTGGAGTACGTCTCTTGCGTCTGCCCACCAGTTTTTACAACGTCGGCAGCAGCCTGCTCAATTGACATCAATGGCTGCGACGAGCGGCCGGAAGCACGCTTGGCATCACGCATGGTGCGGCGCTCGGCGGACGTGGGAATGGCAATGGCCGATGCGGCGAGGAGGAGGTTGACGAGGGCGAAGGCGTACATGGTGATGGTGCTGCTGGGGGTGGTCCTTGGGAGGGGGAGGGTGTCTACGAGCGAGGACTCTGGCGGAGGTGAGGAGGCCTGGAGTGCAAAGTTAGCGCCCTTCTTATACCGCGAGACAGGGAAATGGCTGGTAGCGCGCTGTTGTCCTCATCACCGCGCAGAAACACGACATCGTCAGTGAGGCCATGCCGTGCATGCGGACATATGATGTCGAATTCGGGATGCACACGAGCGAGTGGAGTTGTCGAGCTGGCAGATCTTCCAGCTCAAGAAACGAGACAGGCTAATCAGACGGCTCTGAAAGTAGTCGAGCTCGTTCACCGCTTCACTAGCAAAATTAGACAAGCATCAGATGGTTTGATCGGCGACGACGATGAGCAACAACGCGTCGATGGAGCCGCAGTCTAGCAGGTGACAGTTGCCCATTGGCTGGCGTGCGATATCAACAGGTGTCTCTATAAATACCGTCACAATGCTCGGTGAGCGCTCGCTAGGCCCGCGTGTGCGGGGGAGATTAGGGAGTGGCCCGCAGCGGCGAGCTCTCACCACGGCAATGTCTCGGTGGACGCGCAGGTGGATTCAGATTCGCGGAGAGAAATCATGGTCAAGAAGGGTGACGCATTCAAGCGCTATCTAAAATCCTATTCGGAGGTATCCGTCGTTTCGGAGCATTCCGGGTGAGCATCCAATCCAAGCTTCCGACCGATCCGGAGGTGTGCAGCAGTGTACAGTACAGCTTGTTTTATTTCCTCATCTTATCAAAACTACTCTGCGAAGCATTCCCGTTCTCAACGCGAAGCTTAGATGACTATTCATGCCGAAACCCTCTCTCCTCACAGCTACTATGGACGAAGTATGAATTTACGTTGACACCCGATTTTATGCCCCACCCGAACTCACTATCACTGAGTCACCGGCTCCTTGTTATGCTGTTGAGGTCAACTCAAGCATGTCCTAGCGCAGAAGTACGTCTACAGGAGCTCTAAAGGTCCATTGATCAGTCGACTGCGTGTCCTCCTGTCATGGCTCACTAAGCTGGATGCTCAGCTGGCTACTGAAGTCTGCGGACACCCGATAGGCTCGCGCTCAATGTTTGAGTTACACCGACCACTAGTACTTCTCTCCCGGCTCTCCAAGCTCCAGACCTGCATAAACGGGCAAGCAGAGATGCTTAGTCAGTTTCCTTGCTTTATTTGGGCTCCTCCGCTTTGTCGCTCAACCTGAAGATTCTCAAAGAAATGGAAGAATACGATGATTTTGTGCGAATGACAGGGAGCTCCCCTTTGTTTAGCCCCCTCAAAGCAAGGGAGCTGCGCTTCTGAGGTATGTCCCTCCCTCATGATAATGTGCCGGTAACTGTCCTCTTAGGTGACTCAAGATGCTGATACACAGTTGGCGGATCCTATAACACTTATGCTGCATTAGATGGGCAACCAAAGGAGACGGCTGGGACCCGAGGCTATTGTCGTTGCGGTAAGCCTATTGGCACCCTTCCGATGTCCTTCGGAGTTGACTATCACGGGCGCTTATTGAGATTTGCAAAGCATGTGCGCCTAATGTAACGGGAATTGCCACGAGGCTGTAGTGGGTGTTGTATTTTGCGTTCTCATCGCTCACTGCGCATATCCCGGGAAAACATGCCATAGTAGCCCTTCTGGTGTTTCGTGAAATGGGCTAGGAGACTTGCTATAATCGGCTGCCGGGGTCGGCTTTGTGGCATTCGAAGATGGGTTCCGTAGTATGAAGGAGGTTAGCCTTGTAGGGGCGGCACTAGTACTGGGCCCCGGAACTCCTTGGTTTGGCGCGTTTGTCTCGACTCATCAAGCCACAGATGATGCTTTGTTGGGAGACCTATTTCTGTCTGATGTACCTCTTGCACCATGAGTGAATTCTCAGCTAACGACAGTTTTCAGTAAGTAGTCGTATTCTAATCAAGTACTCGTTGATGGCCGTATCTCCACGTCAGTGTGAGCCACGGGCGCTTAACGCAGCTACCGCCATCACGGCCGCCTGAAACATCCGTGAGTTCGTCACCCCCTCGGGTCATTTTTTCCTACGCTCCTTGTTGTCCCGCATCGCTTCGAACACTCCTGGAGACAACATAGACTACGAAGAAAGAAGGATGACTCCATAGGCCCGAACCTATCCATGTCGTCGTCGGAGTGCACTGCCGCCAGACGCGGCGCATGGGCGCTTCTGTATATAAAGCTGTGCCCCACGACGCGCCTCTCCCACAGCCATCAGGTTCAGGCGCCCTCGGACATTGTTCAGTCAACGACAGTCATCTCGAGGCAATGCCGATCTATGCTGATAGCACCTTCTCTCAGAACTCCGTCTACAGCGCCTATGGGCCTTCGTGCGCTCGGGCCTTATCTCCCCGATGTGGGCGTCTACAGCTCACGAGCTTATAAGCGGAGGTCCGTCAAGATCAGGTCTGGATAAACTTGATCACAACTCGCAACCAGCCTGCAGCCAGCGCTGAAGATTGGACGTCATCTACCCCGTCTCTTGACGTCTTGAAGCGATTTCCCGTTAAATCGCGCTATCCATCCATCACCTTTGCTCTCCTACTCGATTTTCTTGCCTGCTCCCATGGACCCATACGTACGCTGGCCCGGATACCAGAACAACCCGCACACGTACAACTACTACAACCCACCACCGCCGGCACCGCCGGCACCACCACCGGCAGCACACGCCGACTGGCATCACCACTCCCAGCCAACCCGTACGTTCTCACATATCTTCCTCACAACACCCTGACATTCTAACCATCGCCACGTCTCCACAGATGACCGCTTTCGCGCATCCAAATACCCCACCCTCAACCCAGCCCTAGCAGTCGACATAACCTACATCAAATACGACCTCCGCTCCGAGCCGCTCTCCTCCATCCAGACCTCCGCGCACCAGTCCACCGCCCCGCAGCCAGCCATCACCAAGGGCAAATGGAAGCCCGGCACATTCGGCACGTCCGCGTACGCGTCCGAGGTGCGCGTCGTCTCCAAGGCGTTCCCGTGGACGCTCGACGTGCGCGGGCGCCCCGGCGAGGTCTTGACTGTTGGCACGGTGTGGGACGCGTTGCACGCGCTGCTGCAGGAGCCTGTGGTGGACTCGGAGTGGGGCGCGCTGCTGGTGTATGAGAAGGGCAAGCGGGAGGCGGTTATTAAGGCGGCGAAGGAGAGGGTGGAGAGGGAGAAGAAGCAGGGAAAGCCGGACGCGGGCGCGGTCGCGCTGAAGAGGATTGATTTTCTGGGGGAGCACACGTTATTTAGGGGGCTCGAGAGGGACGAGGGGTTTGAGGATACTAGGTTGCTGCCTGGGACGAAGGCGTCTGCGGAGACTTGGGTGGCGAAGATGGGCAAGGTGTGATTCGGGGCCCGGGTATTGTGACGCTTAACTGACGATCGGACTGCCACTGTATGAGGGAAAGACAACTATGATACACGATTCAAGACATGCATACGATACCCATAACCCCCACTCTAGTGTTCTGTAACTTATAATATGTACCTTCATGTTGAACATCTTGGGACTTTGACCTGGACAACCCCAAGAAGTAACGTATTAGGGGCTATTTATCCTCATATGGAAACATCCGCTACCACGTGGAGTAATCGAGTTTTTGCAGGATGAGCCAGGGGGAATCGTTCCGACGACCGACCAGCCCTGCTCGTGTCCGACCAAGTGCCAGTCCACCACCGATTCTTAGGCTTGTCCCAGTCCGAAGAGCACTGCCATGGTTTCTTTCCAGTACGTGGGACATCGCTCTCTCTCGCAATTGACGTTTATCTGCCCCTAGATGCGCAGGCGAGTATCTCTGCTGCTCGATATGAGCGTGCTTGCTGATCCATCGGCCCTTTCGCTCTTTTCATTCCCTGCTTCGTTTTATGTTAATCTCGATATCGTGCACACCTTGCATAATCCGTGGTGAACCCACAGGATGCAATGATACCGTCAAGAAGCCCAAACTTGACCAGCACTACTCGCGGTGCTACTCCGCGTTCGACTGCATCGACTGCAGCACGACGTTCAACTCTCCGGCGGAGTACAAGGGCCACACGTCGTGCATCTCCGAGGCGGAGAAGTACCAGAAGAGCCTATATCGCGGTGGGGGGCGTGGGGGAACACGGGTGAGTACTCGGTCTCGGTCTGTTCGGTCGGGTGGAGTCTATCTACTGTCCTGCATGCGAGATAGTGGTAATTGCATAGGTGCTAACAGCGTACTTTGTGCTATAGGGTGGTCCTACCCGAGGAGACAATGCAGGCCGAGATACTGACAACGGCGATAGTTCGCAACAAAATGGCTGGAACAACAGTAACGGCTGGACCAGCAATGGGCGGGGCCGGGGCGGATACGCTGGGCGAGGCGGGCGAGGCGGCGCTCGCGGAGGGCGCGGTGGCTACTCGGTGCCTTCATACAAGGGCACCGGCCAGAACGCTACGCCGCTAGGCGCCCCATCGCGGATGGGGAGCGTATCCAGTGGCGACGAGAAGAAAATTGTTCGTACTCCCTTTCTACGTCTACTGGGATCGATCTCGTCTCAATCTTTTCCCTCCTTGTCTACAATCCCCACACGAACACTCACTGCACCTTCAGACCGAACCAGCGGCGCCCCTCCTCCTTCCCTCCGCCCCGCCAGAAAAGCAGCCTCTGCTGCAGCCTGCGGACAAGGTGGCGGATAGCGAGTCCAAGAAGGATAAGAAGAAGCGGGCGAAGGATGCGCAGCGCCCAGCCGAGAGCGAGCCTGTTGACGAAGACAAACAATCGCGGCAGCGGAGTCGAAAAGACAAGGCGGCGGACGACGAGCCCGCCCCATCGCGCGCTGCAGCTGGCAAGGCAAACGCAAAGGCGGAGGACCAAGCCGAATCGGCAGCGGAGGCGAAGCTGAAGAAAAAGAAGCGCGCTCAGGAGCAGACGACCGGGGAGGGTGCGGACGAGGACGGCGCGGAGAAGCGGAAGCGCAAGAAGACTAAAAGCGCTGCTAGTGGTGCGCAAGAGGAGGCCGCAGCATCTCCCCAGGAACGGGCGGAGGAAGGGAAGAAGAAGAAGGGCAAGCGGGCGGAGGAGGGCATCGGTGCTGCTGATGGTCGCGCTCATGCTGCGGCCGACGCTATTGGCGCCGTTGGTGATGCTGGTGTGCTGGCTGGCAAGGAGGACGCCGCGAAGGAGGAGAAGAAGGTTAAGAAGCGCAAGCGAGCCGAGGATGCCAGCGGCGCTGCCGCCGATGCCGGGGAGGGCGCGAAGGAGGAGGGCAAGAAGTCGAGAAAGCGGAGGCGAGAGGACAAGGATGACGGCGTGGCAGGAGCGAAAGGAGAGGCTGGTGGTGCGCTTGGCGATGGGCCTGCCGACATCAAGGACGCGAAGCACAGTGGGAAGAAGTCGAAGAAAGGAGTGAAGGAGAACGGCGACCATCCTGTGGTGCCTACGGTGAACGGTGATGCTGCCAAGGGTGCAGAGGTGGTGGAGGTGGGTGGCGAGGGTGCAGAAGATGGAAAGGGGAAGGCGAAAAAGTCGAAGTCAAAATCAAAATCGAAGACAGGGGACGAAGATGCCCCTGAGCTAGCGACCGTCGACGCGAACGTGCCCGTACAGACGACCGAGGGGAAGAAGAAGAGTAAAAAGGAGAAGTCGAAAGGTGAGGAGGTGGTGGCGAAAGAGGGGGCGAAAAAGGAGAAGAAAGAAAAGAAGAAGAGTTCAAAAGCTGCGACATAGTTTTGTCATCATGCAGCACATATCCATACCCGACGCTCTGAGGCGCTTTCACTGCTTGATCTGGTACATTTGTCGGGAACATTTGGAACGTCAATGCATTCAGGGGTTATTACACTACAGGCAAATACGCTAAGTCTGTGCCCGAGAATAAGCAGGAAAATGACCTGGAAAGTAAACATCTTCCTACAGATTTTCGGGCGAGGGATAAGCACGCGGAAAGTTATCATTTTCTGGTGCGCCAAGAGGCCCATAAGGCAAGTCGAAGCAGAAATTGAATCTCCGCTAGCGCTTAACATCCATAAATGAAAGGAAAGCTTGTTTTTGTCGCCTGAAAATTCACCGGAACATTAAACTTTTTCGGCCTCTATTGGTCAAAAAGAAATATGGAGGAAAATATTTACTTTCCAGTGCATTTTCCTCCTTATTTTCGGATCCAGAATTATCGCATTTGCCTGTAGTGTTAGACCTTGACCAGTTCCAGGGGCGTTCGAGCCCTTCGGGAACAGCCTCGTATTAACCTTCATCCAAGCTAGGAAAGGTTAAACCAATTCAATATTACAAACTTATCATCATTTCAACTCCTCTGCAAGAAACATACGGAGACTCTGGAGAGAGTGAGGGATAGGGGAAGGAAGGCGAGCGTGAGTGTTGCAGCACCGCCACCTTTCCATCTGTGAGATGCCCGATTTGGGGACATCGATTGGTGTAGCTCAACGTTGCCCTCGGCCCATCCACTCTCGATACCTTCTTCCTTTCTCTCCATCTAATACCACATGCACGCAATCCAGGTAGGCTCCAAGACTGCCCATTAGAGTGTAAAAGGACGTTGATTGACCTCAAGATCGTCTAGCAACAATTCTTCGCAGTGCGCGACTATCTCAGCCCCGTACGCTTCTACTGGTTATCTTTCGATTGCAGGGTCAGCTCAATAGGTGATACGTAGGTCCTGAGAGAGAGCAAGTTCAAGGAGCATGGGCGTATCACACCTGGTGCGTATGCTGTCTTATCGTGGCATGGTAAATCGGGAATGCTCAGTCGATTGCAGAGGAGTTCGTCGCTGCGGGCGACTTCCTCACATACAAGTTCCCCGTCTGGACATGGTGCGTCCATTATCCACCATATGTTCACCATTCGATCGACCAAATACAAGATGCTAATGCACATCAATAGGGAAAAGGGCGACACGTCCAAAGCGCGCGACTTCCTCCCCACCGACAAACAGTACCTCATGACCCGCGGCGTGCCCTGCCTGCGGCGCGCCCAGTCTCTCGCATACACCGACGCAGACGAGGATGCTGAGCGCCTGCTCTCTTTCGGCGAGTCCGGGGCTGGCGCTGGCGGCACAGGCGACGAGTGGGTCGAGACGCATGCGGGGCGCAAGGCGACGCAGGACTCGGCCGCGAACCCAGGCGTGATCGACGATATCCCGGACTTAGACGGCGACGGCGACGAGGACGGGGTCGGCGGGATCACGGGCGCGATGGGCGATGCGTCGCTTGGTGGTGCGGGCGCGGGCGGGAAGGTCGATGAGACGCCGGACTTGGATGATATTCCGGATATGGAGGAGGAGGATCTGGAGGAGGGAGACGACGCGACGGCGGCGCCGACGAAGACGTCGGGGATACCCACGGGCGGGGGCGTTATTGATGCATCGTGAGTTTTGGGTCTTTCTTTTCGTCGTCTCATTGCGTGCTTGAGTGAGGACACCCTTGTGCTCACGCAATCAGCAGTCAGGTGGAAGTCGCGAAAGGGAACCTGCTGCAAGTGCGGACGTACGACGTCATGATCACCTACGACAAGTACTATCAGACACCCCGGATCTGGCTGATCGGCTATGACGAGGTGCGTCTCCCGACGTATTTCATCATACGCCTTATCTCCCTACTTGCAGAAGCGAAGCTGACGCGTGATTGTGTTTTCAGAACGGCGCACCGCTCACGCCATCGAAGATTTTCCAAGACGTCTCGGCCGAGCACGCGCTCAAGACGGTCACCATCGAGCCGTTCCCGCACTCGAACACGCTGCAGGCCGCGTCCGTGCATCCGTGCAAGCACGCGAGCGTGATGAAGAAGGTGATCGAGCGCATGAACGCAGGTGTCGTCGAGGAGCAGCTCGCAGCGCGGAAATCGGGCGGCAGGGATACCGGTGCCAGTGCCGCCGGTACAGCGGGCGGTAAGAAGAAGTGGGGATTCGGGCGGAAGAGCGCGGGTAAAGACGATAAGGGCGCAGTAGCCGGGGAGGAGGAAGAGATCGAGGGCATGCGGGTCGACTTCTATCTCGTTGTTTTCCTCAAGTTCATCGCTTCGATTGTGCCGACGATTGAGGTGGACTCGACGACTGCATTCTGATCGCGCGTGCACAACCGCAGTCTCGGGCGCTTTTCGGAGATGCTTTTGGAGGACTGGTGCGGTTATGCTGTCGTCGATGTTGCATTCGTGATGCTGGAAAATTGTAAGCGTATGTAAGGTTTTTGGTATTGTAACATAGAATGTATTACTTGGACATATGACCTTCGAGGACTGCATGGTTGGAAAGTGTGGTTTCTAGGTCATTCTCAGTCATTCTCTTGACATGAGTGTAAGTTTGTTAGATGCTGTCGCTCAAGTCTTGTTCCCCATCAGTTGGTTGGACCGAGTTGAGTTCGGCTAACAATGCGGGGAAGGAGATGGAGAAGGTTAAGTCGCGTGGTGGTGGGGCCGAGGTGGAGCACAGATAAAGTCTTCCTCAGTTACCAGCAAGGAAACACATGATCATGAAGATCATCTGCCTTGAAACGCGCTCAACTCCCCCGACTTGGTTACCCGTTTCACATCATTTCGTTCGACCATTATCTCATTCACCTTCCATTGCGTGCAGCGGCGTATGCTAACTCTCGAATTTCGCAAGCAGGCGTCACTTGAACGCGTGCCAGCGAAATGCCCACCTCGAGGGCGTACTCTTGCTTCCATGTGCTCCCCGCGACTCTCTGGTGCTGGCTTTGCGCCGTCCCGCGTGCTCCTCTATTCGCGTTCACAGGAAACACGCGCCCAAGGCCCTCCAAGAGCCTCAGTCTCGTCGTATAAAAACGCAGCTGGAATGTCAGCGAGAGTTCCCCATCCACCAGCAGAACTTCATCGTCCGTGCTCGTAGACACACTCCCCTCCCCAAGGACCACCTCCAGTAGCACCATCACCATGTACGCCTTCGCCCTCGTCAACCTCCTCCTCGCCGCCTCGGCCATTGCCATCCCCACGTCCGTCGAGCGCCGCGCCATGCGTGATGCCAAGCGCGCTTCCGGCCGCTCGTCGCAGCCCTTGTTGCCCATCGAGCAGGCTGCCGTCGTCAAGACCGGTGGCCAGACGCAGGAGGAGTACTCCCAGAACTGGGCCGGTGCCGTCTGGAGCAAGCCTGCTGTAAGTCGTTCGATCTGCCCAGTGGGCGCAAGCGAGTTAACGATTGATCATTGGACTAATGCGATTGTGTTGTATAGGGCACCTTCACCGCTGTGACTGGTACCTTCACCGTCCCCACCGCATCGGGCTCTGGCTCCGCCTCTGCCTGGGTCGGCATCGACGGCTCGTCGTGCAGCAACGCCATCCTCCAGACCGGTGTTGACTTCAACGCTGACGGCTCTTACGACTGTAAGATCCCCGTTACCACTCTCTATATTCGGCTCGCATGCTAATCTTGCACCTCTCAGCCTGGTACGAGTGGTTCCCCGCCGGCGCCGTGGACTTCGACGGCCTGACCATCAACTCGGGCGACGTCATCAAGCTGACCGTCACCGCCACGTCGACCACCGCCGGCAGCGCGGTGATCGAGAACACGACCTCCGGCCAGAAGGTCAACCAGGACCTCACGTCGTCGTCCGCCCTGTGCGAGCAGGACGCGGAGTGGATCGTGGAGGACTTCGAGGAGAACGGCGGCCTCGTCCCCTTCGCCAACTTCGGCACCGTCACTTTCTCGGACGCGTCCGCGACCACGTCGTCCGGCGCCGTCTCGCCCTCTGGCGCTACCGTCATCGACATCCAGCAGAACGGCCAGACGCTCACGCAGACCACCATCAGCGGCAGCGACGTCACCGTTAAGCACACGTAATCGGTGCTCTCTTTTGGGAGGTTTTGGTGGGACGGTGCTGTTTACGTTGACACGCTTGTGGTATATGGGTCGTGTATTTCTTGGTTTTGTATTGGATTAGCATGTAACGTTGCTACAAAGAATCGTTGAGGCATAAGACCTCGTTTTAGCATCACTTGTGTGACATCTTCGTGGAAAATTCTCGAGCGTGTCGGAGACTGATGGTAAGCGACAGGATGCTACATCCAGAACTCGACACCTCAAATATCTTATACGTCTTGATGGGCTTTGCCATCCCCTCGAGGACGCCGAAGTCTTCAACATAACACACTCGCAGCTTTCACACGCACCTCAACTTCATCTAGATTGCCACTGATAAACGCACAGCGCCCAGTGAGCGGACAGGCATGTGGATAGAGTTGCGACGGACCTGTATGACCTTGTATGACTGCCAGGGAAAAAATCAGCAGAATGGTACTGAAAGCACGGATGAGACGTTCTGCATGCAACGAACAGTGCAAAGTAAGGAGGGAAAAACATGGCACCCGTCTCTAAGTGCTCGTTAGCGTAAACCGATAGGATAGTATCGGAACCCTTCTGTGCTATTTATCCGAGTACATGTCCGAGTAAGCTACGAAACTGATCTCTGACCCGTATCACCGTCGAAGCACTTGTGCCCATGTCTCCGGACACTCCCAAGTCCTCCTCGCCTCTCATAAGCGCGAACACGAGCTGCCAGAACATCGTTCTCCATCCCCTGAAAGATTCTGCCCGACCATTCGGCGTCCTCCGCGTGTGCTCCAGCCACTGTCTTGCCTCCTGTGCGCTGACCGCATCGCTATTCGATGAGACAGATCGATCACACGACTTGAGCGACGGGAGAATGCGGTGAAGCAGCCGAGCGAATGGAACTGCGTCCTCAGGCTCTTCGGTCGCGTGATACATGTCCATCCAGGTGACATACGTGTTGCATGGGAGGCTGCAGCCAGTGGTATCATCGTATACGATACCATCGCTAGAGGTGGGATCACGGAGCAGCGCGGTAACGTCTGTAGGTTCGGCTTTGATGAGCAGCTCCATCTGGCGCAGATCTGGGCATGCACGGAGAACCGCAATCAGGCTAGCCAAGTTGAGCGGGCGCTCGAGCTTGGCGAGATGCAGAGAAGTGAGGCGCGGCCAGTGCACGATGAGGTCAGCGAGCTGCGCGTCGTCGAGTGAAAGGGGCTGACTCTGGAATTTGATCGTAAGGGAAGTGAGATGTGCGAATACGCAGAGAGGGGCGAGGTCGGCGTGTGTAAAGCGCCCAGTGGTTTGGGTGCTCGTCCAGTAGTCAGCGAGCTTGATAGTGGTGAGGTTCTCAGGGGAAACACAAGCGGCAAGAGCGCTGGTGATGAGCGACGGTGATGTCGATGGCCCAGTAATTGGAGCTGTACCTGGCAGTTGAGACACGTTCATCGTCACAGATCGCAGTCGTGCGAGTGGCTGGTCTGCATGAGATTCTGAAAGGGGGTGGGTGAAAAGCGCCCACACAGCTTGAGAGAACGTCTCAAAAGTATCGACCTGCAACCTGAGATCATCCAGGGCGGGGATCCCGACGTGCAAGCCAATCCAAGAGTCCGAAGCTATGACTGGGGCTCTTATCGACGAGAGGTGCTTTACGCCTGAGAGGTGCTCGACAACATCTGCATCAAGAGGACCACAATCAACGCTGCGCAGACAGTTCAAGCGACTTAGCGTGTCCGTCATCTTCTTCATTCTCCCGGGAAGTCGAAGGTTCCCGTTGTCCCAACAGCTGAAGTACTCGATTAGGGGACACAATGTCGGAAGATCGGGAGCCCCATCGAGGAAACAAGACGTCTCGATGTCCCTGACGTATAGGGAGCGCAGCGTCGGTGCCATCAAGACGTAGTGTATTGGCTCAAAGTGCTCGTAACCATATATGTATAGGGTGTGCAGCTGAGGGAAAAGGGTAGGGAAAGGAGAAAGTTTCAACAGGGCTTCGGCCACTTCATCGGCAACAAAGATGTCTCTGTTGTTCTTCTCTACGACGACGGTCTTTACGCGCTTGGCATACGAGTATAGCTTGTCCCAGTCATCCCGAATTACATCGCGTTTGAAACCCTGTTAAGTCAAGATGAGTACCGTGAGGCAGCAGCATGACTGAGAAACTCACGAAACGCTGATTCTGGATGCACCACAAATCCGACGGCATACAGGTGAGGAACCTCGGGAAACATCGAACATCCGCGTAAAGTGCATCAAGGGAGGGCTCCTTCAAGTCCTTGCAGACACTCGCTAGTTGAGCATAGGTCGCTGGCTCGTCGATGTACTCGAAGATCAGCTCCAGGAGCTCCGAGATGAGGAGAAGTTGATGCATGGGTGTTGTCGTGGCTTGGTTAAAGAGGTGCAATGCGGTTAGAGCGATGCATGATAAGTGAGCTAGGCGCTGCGGAGACAACAAAGCTAGCGACAAGAAAGGGCGGACATGTTAAGGGCTGACGTGGATGCACGTCAACCGATGACCGCGACGTTGCGTGCGACGTTGACGCGTTCAGGCTGTGGCTGTGTTCGGTCTGCGTTCGTCTGATCAATTTCAGCACCTCAGCCATTGTAATCGATATATATCATTGGAACGACATGTCCTGGATCGTGATATCGATTGTGCTATCTATTTGCCTACAATCCCTGCCATGTCCGTACCTGAAACTTTCAGACAGCGTACACACAAGAAACATAAGTCAAATTTGGAAATGACCCCTGTCAGCCTCAAGAGGACACGACCATGAAACTCGCGAAGTAGTCATTGACATCTTCGACATGCGACGCTGGTGCTATCGTGCCAACATAGCCGTCTGGTCGGACTATCACCAGCGTCAGCTCTTTTTCGTCAATGCCGAACCTCTCATAAGCGTGCCCGCCCTGGCTCTTTGTCATGCCAATGTCGTCCACTAAAACCCTGCAATGGAAAAGCCGTTTAGATTGGTGCAATGACTCGACTTCCTGATACTCACTTGGACCAATGCGGCCGAAGCACAGCGGGGAGACTGAGCATGTCGACAAGGCCCTGTGATTTGGCAGTGATGGTGATGACGCCGAACATGCTCTCGATCTCTTGCCCGTCCTGGAGGTATTTGTTCAAGAAGCTTGTTGGCTTATGAAGCACTTCAGCCAGCGCTTGAATTTTGACAAGTTGCGCTGATTCATTCACGTCGCCAACAAAGACGAGAACCTTGAACCGTGCATCTGCCACCAGATAGTCGTGGATGTCGTATGGACCATAATCAGCAGCGCGGATGAAAACTTGAGGAAGCATTCGTTGCCCGACGATGAGGTTCTGGGCGCACGATTGGTGCTTCGCGTTCACAAGAACAGACTCCTGATACTGGATACCGATTCCCGAAGCAAACCCAGCAAACTTCTCGGCCGATCTGTAATGGGCGTGTTTAGTAGCAAACCTCCACACAAAGAACCATGGCTTACTTCACGATGTCCTCGTGGCTTACCCCGTTCTGGAAGGTTTTGGTCTTCGGTTTTGCGGAGAAGAGGGTCGAGTGCTTCTTGTCAAATTCAATTAACTCTTGCGCAAATTTACGACGTTCCAGCTCATACTAGACCATCCATCATAATATCGATGAGTCTTGCGATCAGTCAAAGGACCAGCAGGGCGCACCGATTTCAGAAGAGATAAACCTGCCCATCCTCGAAGGACATGAACAAGTTTCCATGCTTGTGAGGCAGACGGTTAGACTCCTTTTTCTGCTGATGTTCAACGTACACACCTAAGTTATGACTGTCATTGATGCTAGCGTTCATTCCCTGTCCTAGGGATGATGTCAACATCCGACTACTCCAAGCACTTATTAATGTCACTAACCTGCTTTCGGAGAATGGGTATGGCATGCGTCGCCCGCAATGAAGATTCGCTCATGTGTAGAGAACTTTGAAGCGACGCGCTGTCCAACTACAAGCCATTACTTGAGTTAGTCTCCTATACCCAATGTCATTATTGAGTTCACGCACTTAGGTAGACTGTCCACCAGTCAACTTCTTGCGTGGTCTTGAGCGTATAGGGATATAAAGACTTTTGAGCAACCTAAATCCCCGGTTGAGTATGGTTGATGCAACGTTAAGTGGAAACATACATGAATCAGCTTCTCGGGGGTCATTCGGTCTCGCTCCACGCGTCCGGTGGCTGGATTTATAACATCTCTGTCCGAAAGCTGAACGTACAGTCGGACCATGTCGTTTTCCCGTGGAATGACCATGAGAGAGCCATTCACGGAGTGAATGTTCGTGCGATTCCGTATATCGGGGAAGTTCGTGTCGGGCACCAAATCGATCGCGCTCCATAGGTGCTCTGGTATGGTTTAGCCATGTGACACGCTGAAAGTAAGTAAGAGAAGTACACCATACCTGTCTGATCTCCGTCCATGGTTATGCCGAGGTTCTTGCGTACCCATGAATGTGCGCCTACAATACCGTGAGCCATGGTCATTTAGTACGACACCAGCTGAGAACTTACCGTCTGCGCCCACTACAAACTTCGCATGCACTTCATCTCTGCGTCCGGGAGAGTCAGATGTCGCTAAATGTTCCAGAGTTACCTAGTGAAGGAGAAAGATTAGTTTACGGAGGCGAAGCATGTAAAAGAAAATGTACCTTAACGGCGTGTGCAGATGGATCTGACAGCTTTGCCTCATCGAATGTGATGGCAGTCGGGGCCATGGAGCGATCGACGGTGAGTCCGTGCGATTTCATGGCATCCAGGAAGATGACCTCGATAGATCCCTGATTGAGGGAAATCTTCAAGAAGGGATGAGAAGTGCCCAAGATAAGGTGGTATGCGTCGTTGTGACTCACCTTGAAAGGGTACCGAGAGCTTTGTGGTGCATCCGCCTGACGACCTGTGCACTATGGTGCATCAGTCATTCAGCATAAAGTCATTTGGGGAATCTAAAAAGTTATACATACCTCAATCTCGCCCTTCTCGTTCGGGTTGTAGAATACCTAGGCAGTACGCTCATTAGGGGATGCGCTCAACGCTGTACGGAAGACGTATACTTACGCCAACGTGCACCAACGCAGCTTCGCGAATGAGACGTTCGGCAAGTCCGTAGCTCTACAGAGACCATTAGGTGACTATGGCTCGAGAGAAGTATACCAGGTCACGTACCTGCAATACTTCGGTTGTCCTGGGCTGTATGCCGTCCGCCTGTCCCGTCAAGACCCTGGTAGGTCTAGTCGCCGGATCCAGTGAGCTATATGGGCCTTGAGAATCATTGCTATTGACACGTACCTTTTATCCACTATTTTCACGCTGACTCCGGCACTCGCAAGCGCGGTAGCGCACATGAGCCCTGCAGGGCCCGCGCCAATGATGAGCACGTCGACGAAGTGTTCCATTGGTATGGCTAGAGTAGTTGTATCGGAGGATGGTTCGAATAAGAAGGCTAGAAAAGGCTGGTGATGAAGTGAGGTTGTGATTAGCTCGGCGGGGTGAAATGTGGATGAAAGCCCAAGGGTACTTGTGCGTTAATGAGGTGGAAAACCCTTTGCTTTATACATGCTACGCTCTCCATGACCGATCATCGCGCCATCGTGAACGACGCTAGCGGAGCGCATGTACTGGCATTGTACGCGCCTCAAAAGACGCACCGCTGGTAGTTGGATAGCAGGAAATTTACGTTAAGCTGTGATGACCGCTTTCCCATACTGGGATTTGTCATGGCCGTTTCCCAAGCCTGATAACTTTTGACAAACCACAAGAGGTAAAGCGCGCATACCCAAACCCTGTGTGCTTCGCTGCGCATTCTCAGGAGGCCGTCAGCGCACTCGGGAAGACCTCGATGTCGTATTGTGATATTGGGCGCATCGTTTGGCAATAATGCGGACGAGAGTGGTGGAAATGAACTGCGCGATGGGTCGGGCGCGCCGCGATGTGCGGATTTGTCGGATGACTAAGCTCTCCCCACGACACAGATGTTGCATCCTTTCCTTGAACCTTCTCGCCCTTCTCCGGACGACTCGCTGGTTGAGGATACGGACGGATGCCAAGTCATGGGAATTGAGAGGACCGATAAATCCTGCTTCCTTGAGACACGGATGAATGAGAGATAAACTTCGTGCTTTGCCTTATCTGCGTCTATGCGCAACGCTATCTTCACTGGCTATCTCAGCAAACTGTGGAGTCCACAACTTTGAACCGCAGCGATGACGTCTTTTCTTGTGTCGAAGTCAAACCATCCCAACTTTATACTAGCACTAATTGCTACGGGGCGGTAATATCTCAGTCACGGGGAGATAGCTCCGCAGCTAGCATTGCCTAGCTTACTTCGGCGCGGATCAGTGTCTGCTCATATCCCAAGTGCCCATTTTGCAAGAGCCTCCGCTGAGAATGGCGATGTAACGAGCGTAAGCGCTGTCTCTGGAACAGTACGTATATCACACGTCTGAAAGAATCCATGGATCGTGTTATCACATTGATGATTCGCGAGAAGCAACAAAAACGCGTAAACAGATGGATGTCGGGATGTCGCTGGGTGGCTTTCCCTGCAGCTCTGGAATAACGGGGATCTACTATAGTCACCGAAAGGTAGTGTTGTGCTAAAAGAGCTAGCATATAAAGCCCTACTGCGGTACAAGAAAGAAAGAAGGCTTCGCTGAGCCATGGCTCCGCTTCGAGCATTAGCGTGGAGAACATTCCGCATTACAAAAACCTTATACTGGCCGACTGTTTCTGTATGCAAGTAAGCTGTGAAGCTCGAAGCTCACTCGCGAAGGATGAAACGGATGGACTTTAATTTGAGTCTGACGTAGTTTCACCTCTGGCATCTCGGCTAGAACCAGACACTAAAATACTATCACTCTCCACTCCTTCGCTTCCTCAACTCTTCCGTTCGTCCGCTGACGAGTCCACTCCATCCACCGCCCCGCCTGTTGCGCGCGCTTAAACCCCCGGTAACAGATGAGATCGCGCGCTGGCAGGAACACAGCCTGAACGCGGGGAACGACGCGCTGGAGCAAGAAGTTGGCGAGAGAAGCGGCGTCCTCGGGATATTCCGTGGCGCATTCCACTCGATGTACTGATTGCACGGAACCTTTGAGCCATGCCCGATAGCAAGACTCTGGCGGGAAGATCTGGATCCAAAGGATACGTCTGCATCACAATGATGATGGAGAAGTACACTAATTCGAATAGGATTTTAATTTTGTTATTACACGGACGAATTCAAGTAACCACATGCTCATTGGACACCGCTAAAAGCGGGGATCCAGTTATGCTCAGCTTTAACGAGGAGCAGGATGCATCCATCAATTTAAGCAACAACGAAGTGTACAGTAGAGAAGATACTGATTCAGAGGAGAAAGGTGCGTATAAGTTGTGGACGTGACACTAGTGTATTACTTAAACTCGTAGCTCTCGCGCAAGTGTGCAATATGTGGGAAACACGCTGTCTTTTTGTAGAGGACTTTACTGCAACATTAACTGAATTCCTTTGATTTAGTAGGGAGAAGGATGCCTGATAGAGGAAGAGATGCCAGGCGACATGAAGCAGACAATAACATGGAGGAGTAGATCGGCCGAGAGTGCGTGAGAAAGCCGATAAGAGCCGTCGGCATTTTTCGCTCAAACTGCGATTAGAAACAAACTTGTCACTATGATACTTACTAGACCTCTCCTTTCGGGTCGAGGAATAATCAACCCTTATCGATTATCAGGTACGACAGAGGCGAGTCCGAGCCGGGAGGCACCTCGGCGTCGGACAATCTCACTACGGGCAAACGCCGATATTACCTACCAGAATATCGATCAAGAATCCATCGAGGTGCAAAAATTTGCCAACTGGTTTTTTCCCGAGGAAAATCCATTGCAAAAGTTATCCTATCAGATTGCCTGATACGGATTAAGTGCCTCCGAGCCCCCGCCAAATGGCTGAGTCATCAATTATATTTTTCCTTCTCCGGTGAATTCTCTGATGAATTTTCCTTCCTCGTGAAAATTGATTAGCGAACTTTTGCTTTTCGATAGATTTCTGAAATGATATTCTCCGAGGTAATAACGGCATTTGCCCCGAGTGTCTACTCTGGAAAGCGACATCCAGACTACACAGTTTGGGATAAGCTCCGAGCGCCACAAACAAACTCAATAATCCCATGGGATGCTTAGCAGGACTCATCCGTGGTCTCTGGCGCTTAATCACGGGGTAGTGAGTTGTTCGAAGACGCACAGGGGTGCTGGGTCTGCATGTCTGATGGGGATTGGTCAGATGGATCATCTGCTACTAGCACAGTCATCGGAGAGTTTAATGACAGTGAGTTCATTATGGGCGGTGTATGAGACAAGCGCATTCGTGACGTGGAATAAGGAGTTTCGCATTTGATCACATCGGAGTCTGCCATGAATAACTGGTGAAAGAACCTAAGTGTGCTAAAGAGCGAGGGCCAACAACTCTACGAGAAAGACCAGGAACAAGACATAGCTTACATGAAGAGAACAAGTCGAGAACAAGGCGCGCTAGTGAGTTCTCCGCTGCGACTAGACCTTGATTGCTAGATTGTTGATCAACATTCTTGGCAATACCACCCAACATACTGAATTACACAAACACATTTCCATGGAACAGCGGAATTTGAAGTTCGGCAATCAAACTTTACTACACGAAGGGTGAGTTTATAATTTCATACACGACATTGCGCTGCCATCTAAGTATATTGTACATCGCGGTTGGTTCAAATTAGTTACATGTTCATGAAAAGAAAATCAAGCTGTTAGACTCTCTTCATGCACGCATAAAACCCGCAAAGTACTTATTCACATCCTCGAACCGTGACGCTGGCGCAATCGTGCCTACGAAACCATCTGGCCTCACAATGACGAGCGTAGCCTTGTCCTGAGCGATGCCGAACCGATCGTAAGCACCTCCTCCCGTGGCTTGCGCCACGTCTTTGTCATCAGTCAGGACTCTATTCATGTGAGTTAGCTCAACTCCGGTACCATATTTGTCCATCATCTCAACACTTACTTTGTCCAATGAGGGCGGAACAATGCGGGAAGTCCGAGCGAGTTGACGAGCCCCTCGGTTTTAGCGGTGATCGTGACAACGCCGAACTTGCTCTCAACATTTTGCCCATCCTTCAAATATTTGCGCAAGAAGCTTGTGGGCTTCTCAAGCTCCTCTGCCAACTTGTGCACCTTGGCGAGCTGCGCTTTGTCGTTGATGTTTCCAGCAAACACAAGCACCTTGAACCGCGCGTCGGAAAGGAGGTAGTCCTGGATATCATACGGACAAAAGTCGGATGCGCGGATGAAGACTTGGGGCAGCATGCGTTGCCCGATGATGAGGTTTGGAGCGCACGACTGGTGTTTGGCGTCGATCCAGGCCGACTCGCTGTATTGGATCCCAACACCAGATGCAAACCCTTGGAAGGTCTTGAAGGCCCTGCGGTACGAGCATTTAAACACCACTGAATGTCTCTCGCTAAATAAGCAGCACTTACTTGACGATGTCTTCATGGCTCACGCCATCCTCGAACGACTTCGTCTTGGGTTTTGCCGAGAAAAGTTCCGAATGTGTCTTGTCGAAGTTGATGAGGTCCTGTGCATACTTCTGGCGCTCAAACTCGTACTGTAGGAAAATTAGATGGGATGTAGTGGTAAACGTTTTGTCAATGTTTTTGATCGAGGAGACCTACCGATTTAAGCAGAGATAAGTCTGCCCATCCCCGAATTACGTGTACAAGCTTCCAGGCTATATATGCATAAGTAAGGCAGGCGATGCAGCGGTATATTTTGAAAGCTTACCCAAGTTGTGACTGTCATTGATGCTAGCGTTCATTCCCTGCCCTAAGAGAAGTCGGCATAACCTCAACGCTCGCAAGATTGACGGCCTACTCACCTGCTTTTGGAGAATGGGTATGGCAGGCGTCTCCGGCAATGAAGACACGTTCGTGAGCAGAGAACTTGCTTGCTACTCGTTGTCCGACTATCATGGTTCCCTGTAGCTTTCGCTCAACTCACTCTTCAGGAAGGTACGTACTGATGTAGACGGTCCACCAGTTAATATCCTTAGCATCTTTGAGCACGTAAGGGAGGAAAGACTGTTGGGCAACCTTTTGTAGAGTGTGAGCTAGTTAATGCACTGGGATGCGAACAATATAAACACACCGCCATCAGCTTGTCGGGAGTCATACGGTTCTTGTCCACGCGTCCAGTGGAAGGGTCGACAACGTCTTGGTTAGAAAGCTGAACATACAAGCGAACCATGTTGTTCTCGCGTGGGATTATCATGATACTTCCATTGACAGAGTGAATGGTGGAGCGGTTCCGGATGTCGGGGAAGTCCGTGTCGGGGACCAGGTCTACTGCACCCCATATGTGCTCTACGTATCTTGAGCTAAAGTCCGGCATAGATTGATGGAGAGTGGTACATACCTGTTTGATCACCGTCCATTGTGATGCCAAGGGCCTTTCTCACCCACGAATGAGCGCCTGGAGCTCAGTTAGTCTTCATTACATTATAACGGATCGGCGACCTACCGTCTGCGCCCAGCACAAACTTGGCGTTTACTGTCTCCTTTCGGCCCGGAGTTGGCGAGGTCTCGAGGTGTTGCAGAGTAACCTAGGTCAAGATTAGATATATACAGACTACCCTAGTATGCATGTCAACTACCTTGACGGCATGCGCGGTAGGGTCAGACAGCTTGGCTTCATCGAAGGTGATGGAAGTGGGGGCAATCGAGAGGTCAACCTCGAGTCCGTTCGCCTTCATCGAATCCAGGAATATAGCTTCCACTGCTGCCTGATTAAGAGCGAGCTAAACCACGAGGTCAGTACCAGCCTATATTTTGCACAAGACATCGTTATCATACCTTGAAGGGAAAGCGCGCAGTCGGAGCCATGTCTGGCTTCCGGTCAGTACACTGTCAGTGGTTACAAATCGAGTTAATCTTAAATCCTGATATTTGAATTCGAGCATACCTTAATCCCGCCTTGCTCACCCGGGCTGTAGAACGCCTATGGAATATAACCAATGAGGCGTACTCTAGATCCACAGTTGTTTTAGACGTACAGCCATGTGAAGCTGGACGGATTCGCGGAGGAGACGATCGCTGAGACCGTAACTCTGAAAGCGGAGGAGTAAGCCAGTTGCTCGCCCAGAACAAGGGAGATTTAAATACGCACGTGAAGCACCTCGGTCGTCCTCGGCTCAGTACAGTCTGCCTGACCCGTCCCCAGTCGAGTGTCTCTAAAACACGACTGGCATTAGCGCGTAATAATTGTCAAGGGTATTGATCAACACGGACCTTTTGTCGATGACTCGCACCTTGACGCCTGCACTGGCAAGCGCGGTGGCACACATGACGCCTGCCGGACCGGCGCCGATGATCAGGACGTCGACAAAGCTTTCAGTAGACATTTTGTCGGTGTATGGTACTGATAGACGTGTTGATGGAGGTGTGGACGAGAGATGAGATGATTGGGATTCTAGCTGACGCGAGGAGATACAAGGAGTAAGTATGAATGAGAGACGCAGAGGAGTCCCAAGCTGAGGTCTAGCGAGCGTAGAGAGCGCGTATAAATAAGGAGAGCAAGAGAATAGCAAGGGGGCGATATCGAGTAGGTAAAAATCCAAGAACCAAGGAAGCAACATACCATAACTAGAAAAGCCAAAGGCCCGAGGACCGAAGTCTTCGAAGTCTCGACCGAGGATTGATATTCAAGAAGCCGGCGGTAGCGGGGTCTTTCCGCGCCGAGTGCGGCAAGCTCCTTACAGTAATGTTGAGATCATGGAAGCCCCGCCTCTCTATCTTCACAGAAGTGGCTAGACTTGTCGACGCTTCTGCGATCCAAAAGAATCAAGCACAAAGGGCTCTCGCGTTGCTTGTTTGACTGAGAGCTTCATTACTAATTAACGTGCCCGGTTCTCTACAAAAGATAGTGATGCCATGTACGCTCCGTGATGCATTCTCGGCGGTCGGCGTTTTTGCCGAAGGCTAGTGGACGTTAGAAATACGGCATCAGCTCGCTGATAGCTGCGGACTTGGAATTCAGTTATGGGCTGTTCGTTCCTGGTCACGACCCATTCGAAGAATAGCCAAGTTCTGTCATGTCTGCAATAGATGCTGAATGCAAATTGCTAATTTGACTGACTACATTGCCTTTGACAGGTTCTCTCTCTCTTAGCACCTGTTCCTGTAACCTCTGCGGCGTGTTGTACATTTGCATTGATGCTGACCAGCCCAACGATTTATTGGCTTTCAAGGTAGGGGCATCCTGGGTAACTCTGTAAACCCTCAAGTGCTACGGGACTCAGGAGCTTTCCTGTTCGGGTTAGGTGTGATGTCCGTTCCTGAACGGATATCACAGTGTTCGCCGATCAACGAGGAATATATTAAATTTAATAGCCACGTTCGCCGTTACCAGCTTACGTTGTTTTACACCTTTTAAGTATCGTGCACTTCAGCGTTTATCGCATCAGTTTTTTTCGACGTTGCAGCACGTTTGCCCCGGCTAGTTGCCGTCATCATTTCCACTCACAATGTACGGGCTCGGAATTATGTAGCAGCAAGATTTATTGCCTGCCCCGAGCTTTTGCGTGCAGCTACTGAACGTTGAAAACGTGAGCTAGCATGTCTTAGCAACAATCGGATACATTACACTCACTGTCTAGAAAGCCTAAGCTTTTGTTGGAGGTGTAATGTCGGAAAAGTCAAAATGGGCGTCTCGACGAAAGCCAAGACCCCCCGTCGCCACTGCGTCTAAGCGAGTCTAAGCGGCCATTCACTCGTTGAGATACGTTGCAATGCCGTTGAGACGCCGAAATAATAAGAATTTCGCCTAATTTTGGCCATGCAGATGCATCGTGATCGGCTTCTCGCTCGTCGGGACGCGTCGCAATGCCGTCAAAACGGCCTGGGATGGTCCTTGCCGTCGCCAACGCATCTAAATGGGTAGCGAAAACGTCGGCACGCATTTAGATGCGTTGCCACGGGAAACTGATTTTTCCGACATATTATATTCTCTCTGATGATATCAGGTTTCAAGTTTATCACAGGTCACGACGTTTACGTTTAGTAGCAATCTATCTGTGTTGAGAAGTGCGGTCTGAACATCTAGGTTAGTGCTGTATTTTATAGTTTACAGAACCAATGAACCGGAGCATGGCGGGGACCTGTCTTGTTGAGCTAAATATGGCACGTCGTGATGAGATGATGCCTTGCGAGCGACCCAATATCAAGTTTCCTGGCTAGCGTAACTGCCATTATGACAAACGGCAGTGTAGAACTAACCCATATCAGAGATATCACGCAAGACTTATAAAGAAAGCGCCACATCAATCGTTCAGGACGAATTTCCACGGAACTGAGTATCTTGATACGATCTGCCTAATCTACATCTAGAAACGAGGCACAAGTCAAATACAATAACATGCGTCTGAAAAGCGGATTTAGGCATACCTCATCCAGAGTGTCAGGAGCTCTAAGAGCATGGCAAAAGTAGGAGCATGGAAAGTTCGTTCAAACGCTTATGTGCGCAGTTGATGCAAAGAATATTGCACAGGATAACTTCATCAATTAGTATGCATGCGAGAGCTACTCAATACGTCCAGAACGCTGAAGTCGAAGAAATATACTCAGTATAGCTCAATCTGGTTAAACCGGCAATGCGGGAGACAAATGTAGACGAATGTGAGAAATATCTCACTCTCAACAATGATCTGCTTCACGCGTGTATCAATTATTCCAGAAAGATAGTAGCACTAGTAATCTTCCCTTATTCTTTTTTATGGATATGCCTCCAGGAAGGTTATAGTACAGCAGGTAAGAAGGCAGAGATATAAGGTTGCTTTCTCCCCGTGTATTACGCTTGTTTATGCATCGACCCATTTAGCCAGTATCTATACTGGGTTTAATCGGGCGGTGTGAACTTGGTATTGCACAGTTTGAGTAGTTCTGATGGCCACCTGTAGTACACCGTCTACAAGCATCAGAGCGAGCTAGTACGTAGCTGCGTTAACGATATCAGCCGAAGTGATGTAACTACACTCATGGGGGAACAGACCTCCTGAGCGTAGTGGGAACTTGCCTTGTTCGGATTACCGACGCCTGTAGCTAAACAAACTGCGAAGCTGGCCTGTAATGGATGAAATGGGTAGAGTCTCCTCTGACATACTTTCGCCTCGCATCTCGGCTAACACCAGACACCAAAACATCGCTTTCCACTCCTTCGCCTCTTCCACTCTCCCGTTCGTCCGCCGACGAGTCTGCTCCATCCACCACCTCGCCTCTTGCCCGCTTATAGCACCGGTGGTCGACGAGATCGCGCGCTGGCAAGAGCACAGCGCGGGAACGACGCGTCGGAACAAGTTGGCGAGAGGAGCGGCGTCCTCGGGATCTTCCGTGGCATGTTCCATGTTCATCCATTCGATGTACCGATTGCATGGAAGCTCTGAACCATGCCCGATGCGATCGGCATAATCGGGATTGTTTGACTGAGAGGGAGTGACTCGCAGCGCTTCCACGTCGGACAACCTAACACGAAAAGCGACATCCAGATTACGCAGCCCAGGACAGGACCGCAGCACCGCAAGCAAGCTAGATAAGCCCATGGGATGCTCGAACTTGGCGAGAGAAAGGGTGTGAAGGCGTGACCAGCGTGCGATGAGGTCAGCAAACTGATCATCGTCGAGTAGGATCCGTTGTCGCTGAAGCTTGATCACGAGCGTGGTGAGTTGGCTGAAGACGCACAGAGGTGTTAGATCCGCGTGTCTGATGCGGCCAGATGGCTTGCCGCTCGTCCAGTAGTCGGAGAGCTTGATAACAGTGAGATGATCATGAGAAACACATGACACAAGCGCATTGGTAATGTGGGATAATGAGTACGGTGTTGTTGAGGTTGGGCTCGGGCTCGTGAAATTGCGCGCGTCAGTCGAATAAATCGTGATAGAACTGAGGTGTGCCAGGGAACGAGAGCCGCCAACTATACGAGAAAGAACAAGGTCACGAGGTGGCATGAACAAGGCGCGCATGGCTCGAGAAAACGTGACAAAGTTGCCGACCTGTAGATCGAGTTCGTCACAGAGAGCAATGCCGAAGTGCCGTTCAAGCCATGCGTCCGAAGCGGCCACCGGGAGGACCAGAGATGATACACGCGGCATGCGAGCTATATGCTCGAGTGCTTCTACATCAAGAGGGCCACAATCGACGCTCCTTAGGTGTTTCCAACCCTTCAGGACGTCACTGATCCATGCTGTAGGTTCAGCGCGATGTCGCCCGCAACTGAAGTTCTCGATCATCGGGAGGCGAGCGAGCGGACTGTCGCTGGCGCTGGTGGGAGATGACATGTCCATACCATGTTGCATGTTCATTGTTCGTAGAGTCGGGGCCATGAGAGATGACACGTCCATGTCTCGCGCGGTAAGTGTACGCAGAGTCGGGACCATGAGAACGCGGTGCATTGGGGTTAGAATAGGATATCCATTGATGTGCAAGGCGTGAAGCTGTGGAAAGAGAGATGGGAACGGACAACTGCGCAGCGAGGCAGCAACCTTGTTAGAGACAACATCCCTGTTGTTGATCACGACAGTTTTGATCCGCCTGGTGTAAGAGAACAGCTTGCCCCAGTCATCTTGCGTAAAATCGCGTCTAAATCCCTTTTAACACGTTAAATGTGATAACGCAGGTAAAGCAGGATGAGCAGGAGACGTACGATTGTCTGTGAATCTTCCATGTGCCACAGATCCCGTGGTAGACACTTGAGGAACTTGGCAAAGGATTGGATGTGTGCATACAAACCATCGAACGCAAGCTCCCGGAAGGACTGGCATGTTATAGCAAGCTGTGCATAGGCCACCTGGTCCTGGACATGGTGGAAAATGAGCTCCAGGAGCTCGACGATGCGAAACACTTGGTGCATCGAAGATGGAACAGGTCGAGCTAACGTTACGCCAAGCCCTGTAAGAAGGTGCAAAATGTTGAACAACGAGACGTTATAAATCGTGGGGACAGCGCTCAGAAGTTCTCTTTGAACATAGAGACAGCCGCTGCTGACGTGGCCTTGCTGTGTGCAACGATGTTCCACGCCTGCTCCGTAAATTTTGAGGACACAGCATCCTCATGTCGACGGGTGTAATCGCGTCCCGTCAAAACGCTGCGCTCCCGTGGGAAACGGTTAGGCAGATAGCGACGGAGTCTAAACATGCCACAGATTTTCTCGCTTTTGGACTCCACACAAGATGGCCATTAGCCTACTCGACTCCATGCCTTTTGACCCCTCGTGGATCACTCAAAGAATCTTCTCAAATGTAACGATACTCTACCAAATGAATCAAGGACCCACGCAACGCATCATCACGGCCTTTTGGCCCTCCGAGCCCAAGGAATGCATGCGACGTCGCAGTTCACGAAGAGTAGCTCTGCAGCTGAAAGGAGCTCGCCTCTAATGCTTCTTTACGTGCGCCCTTGCACGGAATATCGATCGCGTATGCGGCTTTCTGTATGTGGTCCAGACACCAGCTTCTGTTGCTGCAATACGCCGTCTACCCCGCATCAAGCGCTTAGTTACTCGCAAATTAAGGGTACTATTGTGTATCCGAGTTAAGTCAATGAGCTCTCTGGGACCTAACTTCGACGATCATCGACACTTTGGGCGTCTCGTTTACGACATTATCGAATAATGGCCTTTCCACCCCACGCCATCTCGCAGAGGTACGGCCTTGGTTTGCAGGGAAATAGAGGACCATAAGGCGTTTAGCTACGCTCGTCGCTCTCAAACCGAATTTTGCGTGGGTCATATACGGGAGACTCTGTGGTATATAAACCTGCGCAATTTTCTCTGATGCCTCTCATCCTCTCTCCTCATCTCGAGAGGGACGGACCTTCTTCACAAGCATGCCTTCGATCAGCTCGCCTTCGCCTTCGCCTACGCGGTTCTACCTACCAGATACCATGGCCTCTTGGCCGTGGAAAACGAGAACCAACCCTCATGCCGACGAGGTGGGGGGGGGAGATGCGTCGAGTGGTGCAGCGTATTCCCCATGATGACCAAAGCTTACAAGAAGCTCAAGCCAGGTATAATCTTTTGTACCCTCCATCCGCGATATTTTGCTCATCGCCGCATAACAGTGGTGTTTGCTTCCATGGCTTATCCTGATGCAACCGCAGGTCACTTATCGCTTCTGTCTGAGTCGTTCAGTAGACTTATTCAACTAGTTCATTCTTTCGATCATCTTCTCGTCGTATCTCTCTTCGTCCTCGTCATCATCTTGGTCGACGACTGTACGGACACCGAGAACGCCGACGTAGCTCGGCAAACTGCAGATCTCGTTAATGACGCATTCGAGCACTCAGATCAGCCCAGGCCTGCAGGCGAAGGGCCTATAGGGGAAATCGTGCGCCGGTAAGCCCGCCCTCGCGCAGATCCTTGCCTCGACCATTGTCCTGATGTTATTGCTTTTAGGTTCTGGCAGTACGCTATTGGGATTATCAGCCCCAAAGTCCAAGTCGCCTTTCTTAAGCACTTTGGCGAGTTCCTCGAGTCTATCGTGACACAAGCTGGGCAACGCGATGAGGACGTCCGACTTAACGTCGATACCTACCTGAAGCTGCGTAGGGATAACGTCGGCGTCATGCCCTTCTTCCCCTTCCTTAGACCCACGTCGGGGCCCGATCTCCCCGAGGAGATATGGGAATCTGCGGTTATCGCTGAGATGACTGGCCATATCGTCGACATGTACATCTTCGATAACGTATGCCACACCTTCCCTCCGCTTTGTGTCAAACATACTCACTCGGTTTAGGATACAATTTTCTACGGCCGTGAGTACGCTCTGGGCGATACCGGGCACAACATCGTAACACTGCTCATGCAAGAATACGGCATCGACGTCGGAAGTGTCGCATGGGCCACCGCTCGCCACGCAGCCGCTCAGAAAGCATTCAAAGATGGCCTAGAACGCCTTCCATCTCATGGTGCCCAGGCGGATGCCCAAGTCAAGGAATACTTGAACGGATTGGGGTACTGGATCCGGGCGTACCATGTCTGGTCTTTTAAGATCGAACGCTACTTCGATGGTCGTGGGGACGAAGTGAAAGTTAGTCGTCTTGTCCAGCTTAAGCCTCAAGCAAACCACATGCAGTCTGCACACTAGATATTGTAGACGAAGCTGGTCGCTATTGCAAAGAGCCTTGTTGACCATGTGTACTAGTGTACCCAAGTAAATTCCGATCGGGCCCGAAGCCCGAGACCTTCCTCATAAGCCGCTAGTGACTCAAGCCACTTCCACCTTTTGCATCTCAGCAAACACAAGGCACCAAAAAATGGCTGTCCACTTCATAGACTCCTCCTGCCTCCCGTTCTTACGCTTCTGCGTTTCCTCCATCCACCGCCACGCCTCTTGCCCGCTGACGGCGCGCAGCCTGTACATTAAATAACCTGGATGAAATTTGTCATTATCGCAAAGTGTAGTCCATGTATTATAGTTTCTTACCAACCGTATAAGCAAACTTAGAGTCGGGCTCGAGAGGATCCATGGTAAGGGCAACGGCGATGTCAGAATAGGGCGGACAACGACGGCGACGACAAGAAAGGAGTACACGGTCCTGTAAAACGGGGACGGCTGTGCGCTGGTAGGTCTACCGTATTTGTTTCTTGAGCGCATGCGGGACGCCTGTGCCATACACTGAAGTCAGTCTCTTTGCAAGGGGAACAAGAGGCAAGAAAGTGGATAAGAGAATAAGGAGATGTACTCGCCGATATTATTCGTACCGTACATGACCAATGCGTAGTGGGCCATCAGCAGCGCATCGAGCTGCGTCGACGGGGGATACTCGATCAGCTGGGCGATGCGCCAAGTGAAGTCGTCGTGGCTCTGACACAGCGCAAAGTCGAAAAAGGAGACCGGAAGGAAAGAGGAGGCGCCGAAGTCGAGGACCACGATCCTGCCCTGGCCGTCCTTCATAAAATTTCCGCGGTTCAGATCAGACGGGCAGAAACGCAGGCCGTAGGCCGCGACCTCGGGCCCGAAGTTGGCACGCATATTGCTGCCCTCCTGCACCAGAATCTATATCAAAAATCATCATGCATCAATGCATCATTCATCATCCGCAAACTAGCGGAGGTGTAAGAAGGACGGGGCGAGACGAAGGAGAACACTTACGCCATTGATATGACTCTGCAGCAGCGCGACGGAATCATACGTGAAAGAGGACCTCCACTCGGAAAAGAAGCGGTGTTCAATCTGACCTCCGCCGATTGGGCCGGGCATTGCGTTTGGACCGCAGATGGAAATGAGGGACTGCACGGCGGCGGCGGCCTGCGGGGCGTCGGAGTTGTCGCACGTCGTTCCATCGATGTACTCCATGACAATGAAGCCGGATCTGCCATATTGGAAGGCGAGGTAGACGCAGGCGACTTGCACGGCGTCGTCGGGGTTGCAGTTCAAGACTTGCCAGACGTGGTCCTGAGTCAAGGCCTCGTTCATGGTGATGGACGGCCCATACTTTACCCAGGCGTAAGGGGCGCCCCCGCGAGACTCGTCGAAGAGAGGGACACCGTTAAGGGGGACTGCGTTGGGGTCGGGGTTGGGGTTGGCGGATTGGGCGGCGCGAGCGGTGCTACGGCACTGCTTGACGATTGCCTCGGGTTCCGGCAGGCTGATGAGCTTTTTGTCGATGACAATGACGGGCTGAATGGGCTGTTTCTGCGACATCGTCATGCTGAGGAGGCAGAGTAGAGTTTCGTGTCGGTCACCAAAGAGAATCTCCTATAACGAACGCAACACAGCGGCGAGACAAGGCACTCAGAAATAGCGATAACGACGACAAACAGACGTTCGTGGAAGGGACGGCTGAGCGAGAGGAAAGCGAGAAAGAGCAAAGATGGATGCGAGAACTGTGCGAGACTTGCTCTTTCCGATCTTCGGCAGTCGGAACGGCAGCAAAACCCCTATTAGACCTACGCCGTTTTACACATCCTTTCGAGGACAAATTTGCGGTCACTACAAGACAGACACTTCGTGAAACGCTGTTGCTTTCAGATTTGCTACATATACCGTTCTCCCAATAATCAGCCTGTCTAACTAACCCCGTTCTAAAACCTAGCTATTCCACATGCTGTACAGCGATGAGCAGCTGCAGGACATTACGCAGGACTCATTGCGGAGACTTGTAGGGCAATGCACGTACGCAAAAATTCCATCCAACACACACCCACTACGCTTTGAGAGTACCGATAATGCCATCTTCCACCTGGGTAAATCCTCGCGTTTTCGCATTGAGGTGCAACATGAGCCGGAAGAGATAGGGGATCTCTGGTTGTCTCTAGTTACTGACGACCACACTCGGCCAACTCTCGAGCTTACTGTCACTGTAGACGTGATGCATGCCGAAGACATGCTCACATGCTTTGTGCAGGCTCTCCCTATTTCCTCTGTTGCGTTCGTGGAGGTCAGTTCGTGCTTTCGATGGCCAGACGGGTTGCACGGAATCTTCGACCACCTTTCATCTGCTGAAACTCTCAAACTCGCTGACATGACTCACGAAGAAAGTCGCGCAGTCATAGAAAGCTTGCGCCCTCGAGAAGGACGGTTACCCGCTCCGCAACTTCGCAAGGTCATAGTACAGGGCAAGGAGGGAGGTACAGATTGCCCGAGTCTCGACGCTTTGCGGCAGTGCATCATCGCCCGCCAAGCTCTGGGATGTGGAATAGAAAGGGCTGTATGCGGGAGGAATTGTGATGTCGTAACAGGCGAAGTCAGCTCCCTAAGCGGATTAGGAATCGACGTGGACTGGCTGCCCTATCTGTAACGTTTTGAATGTAAGTCTTCTTCGTGAACGCAGTTGAGCTTCCACTGACAGTACTACGTGCAGGTCGCTGCATGATGTATAACCTCACGCGCAAAACGAATACCAAAGCTGTACAATATATGAATCAATTCGGGTGAGCCCTAAACGAAAGCAACTAGCTGTTGATTACATGAGGAAAGAGTCAGAGAGCAGGGAGCTTTACTTCGTATAAACCACCCTTTGGTCTCCTGAAATATATAACATATCCTTCAGCAAACCTCAAACACATCTAAAACGGTAAGACGTGCGTATAGTTGAATGGACTACCTAGTACGGCACCCTCTCTCAGCTCAACCTGGGCACTGTGCACATCTTCCCTCATGCAATTCCTTCCATCATCCCTTCAGCTATGGAAGAGTGATAGCACAGCGATAATTATTACTTCACATACGATACGCTACGGATCCATGGTATTGTCACTCAATAACTACTAAAGGTGAAGGTTTGGGTATCGAAGGCGTTTGAGTCACAACAAACCGTAAACGACGAGACCAGTGCACCATTCCACGAAAGACGTTGGTGAACATCCCGTCAGTATTGTACACCACGCGTGAGCGTAGTTTCCAGAAGCTCAGGCCATTGACGAGGTTATCGAAGCGCTCAACAACCTCGTCCGCCGTAGGCCGCTTCGTGGGGTCAGACTGCCTCATGTCCTCGACCAGAGGTGTAAGGAACTCTAACCCACGAGTTTCCTGAAGGGGTGAGACAGGACACGCGTGCTTTTATAGAACGCGACATACCATCAGAAACCGTTCCTTGATCACGTTCCCGACGCAGTATATGTCGGTTCGGAACGGGTTTTGAGGAGGACAATTAGGTTGATGTTCGGGAACGCTCTTGTCCCCACCCTCAATTACCTCTTCCTTGGGATCGGACACAGACGCATCGTAGCGACGCGAAATGCCAAAGTCAATATAGTAATACCTTGGAGGCCGCTTCGTGCGGGTGTAATAGTTCACATCTCCGCTGAAGTCCCGCTTCGTACTACGCTGAACGGGATGCCACCCTCCGATAAACATGGGCGTTGCATCCATCATGATGTTGAGTTCGGAGCAATCGCTAGAACTACACGTCAGGATAAGAGGGATATGCTGGGGATCGATTCCTTACCGATGAGCAACATGATGATCATGCATAAACTTCAACCCCTGGTCATGACTGATGTTAACGAGCGCGCTGGGACGTGTAGGAGAGGAGATTACGCTCACGTCAAAGACTTGCCCACATAAATCGAGAACTTCTCCCACGGTATCAAACGGGGGGTCGTCAAAGGTTCTCAATAGCGGCATGACGAGAATCAAACGGATATCATCATCTGCGTCATCGTGTGGTACGCGAAGGACCTCGTACAGAGGAACGCAATGATTGGCAGGGTCCGAGGCTAGAGGCTCCGAGGATAGATATTGTCCAATCTCGACTTCATGAGGGTGTCGGGACTCGAAGATCATCTTTAGCATTACGAATTGGCCATCAGACAGGCGCACTGCGTCTAACAGCCTGGTATCCTAATACATATTCTCGTTAGCATAATCTCAATGATGGAGGAAATTGACGTCTCGAACCAGCATGGGATAGCCATCTTCACAATGGTAGAACGGCTTTTTCGAGTCGCGCCAGGAGGGAATCCAGTCTGGGGCGTATCGTTGGCGAAGCTCGTACCCGTTGTCTTTGAACCATTGGTGTCGCTCAGCCCACCACAGCTCATCTTCACCCAGGCGGGAGGGCGTATTCCGAGGAGTGTCGCCAAAGACTCTTGCGTACCGAGAGTCGCTCGTGTCCGTCATGCGTCAAGAACCATGATGGTTCGGGTCAGATCAAAAGGAGGAGCATAAACATGGATCAATAATTACATAAGCACAAATGATGTTTGTTTTGCACGCGTTCGGCCGCGCGGCGACTTCAAGGGTGCTTGTTGACCAAACGAGTGTGAATTTGAGTAAAAGAAAGGCGCTTTCCCTCTGGCGCGGGTCAGTGGGATGCAGTGTCTGATTTCGATCCAGATATCCTTGTTCGCTACTTGGCAACCTTGGTAGTAGGACTTGTATGCACGTTTTTAGGGCCGCCATCCTCGATAAGGTTTGAGCTCCAAATAAATCCTCCATTCGTCTTTATTACCACAAAAGACCAACCCTCTAACCAGTTCGAAACATCCCTCCTCACGCATTCACCGATGCCTTTCAAGAAGTTCATCCTTCCAGTTTATCTGGGACCTGCGTCATCATTTTCCGAGTCCTCTCCAAAATTCTCAGAAGCCACGTCGGAGAAGGGGAAAGTAGAAGGCGGCGCAGTGTACCTCGATTTAACGCTCGAACAGCTGGAGAAGATGCAGATGTTGGCGTTGCAGTCGTCGGAGTTGGCAGAGAAGGCGGACAAAGAGATCAGGAGGCTCCGGATGACTTATGACATGTAAGTATCTTCGCAGTTCTGTTTATCACAGGAAACTAACGGGAGCCAAAGTCTTTTAAATCGACGAGATGCACTAAGAAGTACCCCACAACGTCGCAGTATCATGGACATGTTTGCAGCGCGGCGCGACAAAAACAAGTTTTATGCGGAAGCGCAAGGGCTGTATAAACTCAGCGCGGTTAGCCACCAGCTCTTCGCAATATTACTCAACGAGCCCAATAACGCTAATTTCTCGCCGTTCACGTTAGAAAAAGTCAAATGAGTACTGGGGCATTTTCAGGATTGCGGAGAAAGATACGAAAGACGTAAACATGTCGGGTACGTGGTACTGTTGTTCTCTTCATGCGCAGTTGGCTAACATAATGCAGACAACGGAGTTACGGCTGACACGCCTGTCGTTGGGATCCAAATTATCCAAGAGGATTCAGGAGAAGAGACTTCTGCAAGAGACGCCATCCTACTTCACGACGCTGCCAGATTCTTTGCAGAGCCTGAGACACCCATAGCGACAGGCCTAGGTGACGACAGCCAGATCACCGAGGGCAACCACGCCGTCGACGACTCGAACAAACCACTTCGAAAAGAGACTGACCAAGCCAGTATCAGGACAAGTAAGTATGATAAGTTTTGTGCTACGTCGTACAGTCACACTAACAAGGAGTAGTTCGACAAAGTGATGTCGTATCACATCAACCGCATTCGGTCTCCTCACCTCCTTCACCTGCTGCCTCCTCGCGAGCCGAAGTTCTCTCTCCTCAGCCGAGTCGTGCCGGATCTGGATCTCCGACTCACGTAACAAACAACTATCACAACTATATCAGCTACGTTCTACCTTCAGACTATGAGACGGCAACAGGTACATTGCGTTTCTCCCCTCCACCTACTTGGTCGCTCGACTAAAGCAGCTGTTTTAGATGTCCCGTATAGATATACGCCCTCTCCGACACCGAGCATTATCAATAGCCTGAGCGGCGACGGGAATGTAGCAGCCTGCAGTACGTATACATCGTCACGCGGGTCCTCACAAGCCTTTGACATCGGTTGAATAGGTGGCATGCCTTTCGGTGGTGGCGTCGCGACGGGAGATTACAATACCACTCAGTTCGGCGGCGTTAACAATAGAGGAAGCGGTACGCGCCCATTCAAACAGATTCTCATTGTCAGAACGCTGAGATGCCATTAGTTCGCAGCTATCCTTCCCCTCATGCTTAGACTGCGTGTCCATCGATTGTCTAACCCTTGTGGAGTTTCCGCTGTTCTTGTAGCCTCAAAACGTGCCTAGATTAAGTTATGCACCCTCGTACATACCCACCCTTTTTGTATCATATATCAGACTTTTGATCCATCTTGCTTCACTTGCTCTCACCAGCGTGAATGACGGATTTTTTAGAGCGAATATTGAGGAAACAAATCGTTGGTGAAAACCATCCATAATCGGACAATGATCGGGTAGCCACTGAGGTGAACTAAATCAATGTCGGACCATGTCACCATCACAAGGACTCAGATAATAGGACATAACGTCACCTTTCCACCTTCATCTGATACACGCTTAGCCATTCTTAACCTTCCTTTCCATTGCTCAGATTCTCATCAGTTCTGTTATTCCAGAAGTCGCTTCTATTCACATGGTGTGGTAACACATAAATTTAAAGGCCCGTAACGGGGTCAATGAATAAAGGCGGGCAAACGTAGTACTAACTTGGATGGATCCTGTTGTTCACGACGAGGAGGGCGGGAGGATAACGGTCTGAGAGAAAGCCGTGTGAACGCCCATATGTAATTTGATTCCGCCATGGCGTAATGTCAAACTGATTTCATCTTTGGGATATCAGCTAAGATTCTCAGCTCCAACGTACGTAGCGAAGGTCCATCCCCTCCTCCCTTTTGCAAGTTGCAACTGCTCGCCGATTATCTAGCGTGACGTTGGATGGGCTGTCGGAGACGTGTCCCGTTCTGAATCTTCAGCTATCTTCGGGCGAGTGGCTTAACGGCTGTGTGAAAACCTTCTTTCCACGCTGCTTGTGAATTAATCCTCGGTTGCAGGGGCTTAACATGTTCAATGGACTGTTCTAAGATAACGGTTGTGGGCCCACCAGGCTACCGCGCAAGGTGATTGACTGCCCGTAAAACTCTTCTAGGTGAGCTACTAGGTGTCTCCATTTTAGGCACATATCAAGCCTCCAACTTTTGACAAAATATGTGAATCATGTAGGTGACGGCTTCCAGGCTTCTGGCCAGGGTCCACAGCAAGATGCATCTTTGGGATGCACTTCTGTTCGCGGACTCTGAACATTTGTGGGCGTCCTCGGCAGTTTTCAATTTGATGGGGCTAACATGTGACATGTGACAGCGGAAATGATTCGGTCACAATTTCCGAGGCGTTCAGACTCCGTGAAACTCAGCTCTGCCAGCGACATCCACTCTTGCAGCGGTTTGGCAGCGGGCGTCGGAAGTCCGCAAAGGTGAGCCATCGCTATTGTGTTGGGCGTCTCAGATGTGCCCAGCGCATGGCATCCTCAGATTCCCTCTCCGAGCTCATATAGATCTTTGGTGAAGAAGCCGTTTGGTGTAGCAGTCCCTCCCAGCTGAGTAAGGGAGAGGCTTGGTGAGTCGATCGATACCAATGGCTCGATGACTCTGGCTATCAGCTTCGGTCTCGATATGCTCCGGACTGGAAGCCATCGTGGCACCGAACCAAGAAGTCCATCTTCAATAGCGAAGATGGAGTGCCGACATGGGTGAGTTTCTTACGTATGGTCCTTCTCGGTGGTTTGCTCAAACATGCGAATCACAGCACGCCCATCTGTCGGATGCCGTCCGCACTTCGGACGGCAGGTTCGTTATGTTGAAGTTGCTCAATTCCAGTCTTCGAACCCCTCAGAAGCTGAGGTAGGTAGATACGAGGCTGAGATAGGCCAAAAGTTCTCGTCAGAACCGCTGGCAGCCGATCCTAGCAACCGCTGCGTCCCGATATACGATGTCCTATATCCTCCCAACGAATGAAGTACAGGGCAAGGAGGGAGGTACAGATTGCCCGAGTCTCGACGCTCTGCGGCAGTGCATCATCGCCCGCCAAGCTCTGGGATGCGGAATAGAAAGGGTTGTGTGCGGGAGGAGCTGTTATGCCGTAGCAGATGAAGTTAGCTCCCTGAGCGGATTAGGTGGACTGGTTGCCCTACCTGTAGTGCCTTGAATGTGAGTCTGCTTTGTGAATACAATTGAACTTCCGCTGATATTGCATGCAGATCGTTGTATCAAAGATGAACGTTTGAACAGTCAACCTCAAGCGAAAAGTGAATTTCAGAACTATATAGAACATGTTTCAGTTCCGATAAGCCCTATGTGTATGTGTTTGAATCAAAATACAAAGCGTTCCCTTTTGGCGTGATCCTTCCGACAATCGCTTGATCATTGAACATTATCCCGCAGCAAATAACAATCGCATCTTATGAATATATGACGCACACATAGCCATGCGGACTAACTAGTGCAGTACCCCGCTTTTCAGCTTGATCTAGCCTGTACGACGTCCACCCTCCCTCGTGCAACCACCGTTCATCAACACTCCAACCTACCTCATCCCATTGGCACCTAACTTTCCCCGTTAAATCATCAACAACAACGGCGAAGTTTTAGTCCTCAGACCTCTCGCACACTGTTACATGAACCGCAACGAGTAGTACGAGGTCCAGGATGTCGAAGCTGCCATAGTGCTCGACCGTGACGTCTCAAAGAGCGTGGGCTACATGCGTCAGCGGACCATTCTCGCAATCGCGTTCTTTCTCACAATGGTATCGCAGGGGGCACATTCCGTTCTTTTCCCTCTCGAAGCTCGGACAAGCATCAGGTTTGTCAAGACATCGACGATAGGGCGCTGCCCATGTGACGATTATTCAGCATCCATAATATTATCAACAAACCTTTAGGACGAAGGTTTTGGTATCGATGGCGTTCGAGTGACAACAAACCGGACGCGACGAGACCAGTGCGTCAGCCCGCGGAGGACGTTAGTGAACATCCCATCAGTAACATATATCACGCGGGAGCGTAGTCTCCATGAATTCATGCCCTTAACAATCTCGTCGAAGCGCTCGACAACATCGCTCGCCGAAGGCCGCTTCGCTGGATCTGCCTGCCTCATATCGTCAATGAGAGGCTGGATAAACTCCAATCCGCGCGTTTCCTAACATAAAAACGTTAGTGCATCCCACCTAAATAATACTGGACCGCTTTACCGTCAATAGGCGCTCTTGGATGGCGTTTCCGACGCAGTAGATGTCGGTGCGGAACGGGTTCTGGGGAGGGCAGTCGGGCTGGTGCTCTGGGACGGTCTTATCACCGCCTTCGATCACCTCTTCAAGAGGGTCCGCGACGGACTCGTCATATCGACGCGAGATGCCAAAGTCAATGAAGTAATACCTGGGGGGCCGCTTCGTCCGAGTATAGTAAGTTACCGTATCACTAAGGTCTCGTTTCATATCGGGTTGCATGGGGTGCCAGCTGCCAACGAACATAGGATGTGCATCCATCATGATATTGAGCTCTGAGCAATCGCTGTTGTCTGGTATAAGAAGTAGGATACGAGAGATGAGTAGTTCCTCACCGATGAGCGACGTGATGATCGTGCATAAACTTCAAGCCCTGTTCGCCGATCTAGCAAAACATTGTACAGCGCAGAAAGAACACTTACTGAAAAGACCTGGATACAGAAGTCGACGAATTCACCTACAGTGTCGAAGGGCGGATCATGAAAGGTCCTGAGAAGTGGCATAACCAAAACCACTTCATCGTCATCGCCGGGCACACGAAGAACTTCGTATATGGGCTCGCAATGGTTGAAAGGGTCGGATGCGAGAGGCTCTGACGACAGGTATTGACCTATCTCGGCTTCGTGCGGGTGTCGGGACGTGGTAATCATCTTCAACATGACGAACTTGCCATCAGAAGTGCGTACTGCGTCTGCCAGTCTGGTATCCTGCGGAAGGCTCACGTGAGCGATAGAGTATGCAGAGGGCTTAGGATTTCGAACCACAAGGACTTGTCCGTCTTCACACTCGAAGAACGCCTTCTTCGACTTGCGCCAAGATGGTGTCCAACCTGGGGCGTACCGTGGACGGAGTTCGTAACCATTTTCCTTCAACCACTGGTACCGGTCTGCCCACCACGACTCTCCTTTTCCAAGGCAAGATGGGGTGTTTCGAACAGCGTCCTCACCAAAGACCCGAGCGTACTGGGAGTCGGCCGTGTCTGCCATGCCTTGAGTTCATGCAAGAAGGCGACAGGAGTATCACATCAAACACATTGCACCAATATGGATCAATAGATTACGTAACTGACAGGTATTACCGATTGAAGCGGACTACACGCCTTCGGGCCGTCTTGTGCTTGAAGCTTTGAAGATGGCCGCGACTCAATGACATTCAGCCTGGAGGAAGGGCCATGCCCCGAAGCAGACCGCAATCAAAGATGCAAAGGGCGTTCGTGAGAACCAGTGGCGCACCGTCGTGGTTGCTATGTACGTGTAAGAGACGGATCTTTCAGAGCTTTTGTTCGGTACATGGAAACCTTGTCAGTGCGGCAGCTTAGCGCTAGCACCAGAATTGATAGCTGACTCCCGCCACACTCAGATGCGCCGGATTGAAATACGCTTAGGTTCTTCTCTCAAACCCACAACCCTTACCCTCAATCCAGACGAAGCTTACATTCGACTCACATTCCATCTCCGAGTCACCCCAGAGTCACTTTTTTTTTACCCCTTCATGCCGTCCAAGTTCTTCATCCCAGCAAATCTTGGAACAGCGTCTTCATTTTTCGGCGCTGACACCTTCAAGTTCTCGCAACTAGTAGGAAAGGAAGATTTTCATCATGGAGCCATTCTTCTGGAGATGACGATGAAAGAGCTCGATACTTTACGTATGATGGCAGAAAAGTCGCCCAACCTCTTCGGGGACGTCGACAATGAAATATCCCGACTTCAGCAAATGTTCGATACGTGAGTCTCATTAGGCCCCCCTCCTCGACTCATGGCTGATAGTCCGCTATAGACTTTCCCTGAGACGAGATAGGTTATCCAACACCCCAAGAAGTTGGAATATCCTGAAGACAAAGAGGTTGGTGAGCACCTTCCAGACCGCCGCAAGCAACCTGTACCAGAGAAGCCTAGTGAGAATCATGTTTGATCTTGAAGAGCGTGGCGCTCATCATATTTGCTCAGCGGAAGTCTAATGAGTGTTATGGCGTAATGAAACTATCAGAGAAGGACACTAAACCCGTGACAGTACCAGGTAACAGCTTGTGCAAATGCAAGCTGCCGAAATCACTAACGAACGCGGTTTCTAGTTGACAAGCTTCCGCCCAACGCCCCTGTCATCGGAATCCAAGTTAACCACGACGAATCGGACGCCAGTCCGTCCGAGATCACGCTTCTCTCGGGCACCGCTCAAGTCTTGAACGCGTCTTCCGATAGCACCAGCACCACTCAGGTTTGCACTGTCTTCTAATATCCTGATACCAACGGATGATTTTCTGCTATAGATAGATAATGGCGGCGATTCTGAACAGGATTCGAGCACCTGCAGGGCTGAGGACAGCGGATTAATGAACACAGGCAACGCGACGCGCGACAGCGATCTCGACAGCCTTAGGACGCGTACGCTGCCATGTGATACCGGCGGATGGTGTTTGGCTGACATCGTTCTCCAGTCCGACAGAGCGATTTTCAGACAAAACAACAAGCAGAAGCCACAACGCCTCCTTTACCGGTGCCGCCCCAAGCTCAACAGTCTCCCTTTCAATCTGGGAGAACGTCTCCAGCCTCTCCTCTGTCATCCCCTCCGATAATCGTACACCAGCACTTTTTTGGGAACATATACGGACTTGGTCAGTGGGATGCAGCCGTCCGAGCTCTTAAGGTGAAAAGCTGACGACGTTCGTAGGAGATTCGGCTTCCCCCACGGCGGCCTCATCATTAAGTCACTTTTCAATCAATAGTGTGTCGGGCGATGGCAACGTTACGGGCGTCTGTGAGTTTTATTTGTTCTTATAAATGGGTGTCAGACACATTTATAACTGTGTAGCGGGAGTACCCTTCGGTAGCCCCGGAGGCCAGTACAACACCTTCCAAATGGGAGGCACATACAACAGAGGCACCAGTGCGTCCACAGAGTAACTACTATTCTACGAGCTTACTCATAAGCACCACCAGACTCGGGTCCAAACGTCACTCCTCTCACAGCTGAGGCACCTTCGCCCTCTCACTAAGCTTCCTCTCCGTATCTCATCTTCTCATCAGTTCTGTTCCCCGAGCATTATGCACATACGCTGTATCGTTAATTTATGCTCAGCACTTCTTCCCAATCAAACTGTAACTTAGACGGGCATGTTCATGGTGGTCAGTAAACAGGGGCGGGTAAACGTCGAAAGTTTTATGGGTTTTACTGTTCAGGGCGAGAAGGGGGATTTCGGGAAGGTAACGCTGGGGCAAACCGTGTGAACGCCTAGATGTGATTTGATTCCGCCATGGCGTAATGTCAAACTGATTCCATCCCTTCTCTGGGGTCACCGGTCACAGCTTAGGGTTTCAGCTCCAACGTACACGGTAATATATGGTAGAAGTGCAACTCCTCTTCCCCTCTTGTAGTTTGCAGCTTGGCAATTGTCTAGCCACGTTGACTAGGCTATCGGAAGCATATGGTCTCCGTCTGAGCTTCCAGCTATATTCGGGCGACGAGTTCAACAGGTGTGTGATAACCTTCTTTCGAGGATCGCTTGAAATGTATTGATCTCATCGATCCCTGCGCACCCCTCTGGCAATTTAATCCTCGGTTGCAGGGGCTGAACAAGTTGCTTTATTCTAATAACAGGTTGGTAAGGCCCACATGTGCACCACGTAAGGTAACTGCCCCATACACTCTTCTAGGTGAGTAGTTATCTTCCTTTGAGGCCCGTATCATAGCTCCAACCTTTGACAAGATTTATGAATTATGTACTAGTACGAGCTCGCGGCTTCCAGGCTTCTGGCTAGGGCCCAGAGCAGGATGCGTCTTCGAGATGTACTTTGGTTCGCGGAGTTTGAACATTTGTGGGTGTTCTCGGGAGTTTTCGTCGGCAGTTGTGGTCCGTTTGTAAAAAGCGGCATAGCGCACTTTCAAAGTGCGCTATGTGGAAGAGTTGGTCTCACAGACTCATTCGAAGCAGTTCCCGTGGTAGAACACATTTGTTTTTAAGTGTTCCGTTTCTTATCCTTTTCCGACGAGCAGGTGCAGAGTCTCATGTACTCACAGTGCGAGGGTGAGTTGAAGGGCTGGCAGAACCTAGCATCTCAGGAGGGTAAACGCCGTGCCCATGTCAAGCCAAAAAGACTGAGCGTACAGTCCAGGACAGTCTGCTGCTGCTTGGTTACATATACATTATTTATCTGTGAGATGCGATTGGCTCCTTCTGAAGGCAAAGCTACAGAAAATCAGGAGGTTTGAAGACGAATCGCACAAATTAGAAGACCTTGTTTTTTTTTATGCGAGTGGATTTTATGTTTTACTAGGCGCCCACAAAGACGGACACGATAACAATGACGTCATTTGCTCCCGGAACCTATCGACTCCGAATGATTCGGCTCTGCCCGCCGCCACTCCGGCGCCACAGGGCCGGTTCTGATTCTTACACTCCCAGGGACGCCCACAAAGAAAGGATTTTGCAAGTCCGCGAATGAAGTGCATCTGCTTCTGGGATGCATTAATACATCTAGAAACGGGTTCCGGTGACGACTGTCCCTGTGCCCAAGAAGGTTCCTACAAGTTAGGTCGTTATGAGGTTTGTGTGCCGCTGAAACAAAGGCAGCTTATTCCATATATATAGCGCGGTATGTTTCAGAGATTTTACTCAGGGGATTTTTTTCGGTCACGGTTCAAATAGTTTGGACAAAGGCATCGAGGTCTCCGGTGCCGAACCTGATGGTTCAGACCAGGTTTTGGATCGAGGGCACATGGTGAAGCGGGTATGGCTTCAAGTTATTCGCATCACTGTTTCGGCTTGGTTTCGGCTCTCATGTAACTTTATTACTGTAATGCATTACGATGCGGCAGTAACAAGGTGAGGGCCAAGAATTATCGGCTCACGAATCTTGTGCGGTTCCACTCCATCGATTGCCTTTGACGTCAGCGAACTCAGCGTGAGCTGCGACGGTTATAAGCACATGATTGGTGAGAGGAAAGCTGGCTTAAAGTCGCTCACACACTGACCCGCTTAAGCGGAAGACATTCAATGCCGAAAGAATGGATTAATGATGCGGCGACAGAACTTAAAAGTGCATCTTGCCTATTTACTTCACAGGGGTACACTGTTCTGAATTTGAGCCTCAGTGATGCTCCGCAGCACGGTTGTCACCGTAAGCAGCACCTTGTTCTCTTCTGTGCACAAGTTTCACAGTAAAGCTACAGACGCAAAGCGCCGCATTTGGTGGTCGTTGTAAGTTGCATCCTTCCATGCGATGGGGAAACTCTGAGACTTTGACTCTCCCATTCATAGGCTAGAGATCGAGCCACCCTTGGTAGCAGCTAACAAGATATATTTAAGCGCAGAGTAACATGAAGGGGATATATACAGACTGTAGGAGAGGGCTACGTAAACATATCATAGTATCAGAAACGTTTCATTGGGATGCCGTAGGAAGTGCCGCGGGGGGAGGGGAAGCGAGAGAAGCTGAAAGCGCATGTGAGCGTTTGACAGGATATCCGGTGAGCGGATACGCACAGCTGCCTTTGTTACTTGTGCTGCCGACCTAAAAGCTGTCATGGCTTCCCGGAGGTGGACTACTGCCAAAGGTGCAATCCGAGACATTCCCGTCGCCACTCACATCGTTACAGTTGCCGGTGCTTGAGTTTGTCGTACTACTCGTCTGATAGATGTAGACATAATTATTGACGACCGAATGAGCCGAAGAGGCCGACTCGGGGGAGGTCGGATCGGAGTCCGAGACTACTGACGGTGTCCCGCGACGCGAAGCGTCGAAAGCGCGACCTTGAAGTGAGCGAATAAATACAACATTCGCGGAGATATCAGCAAGAGAACGTACTCGTTTCGCCATCGTCACTATTCCTACCCGTATCGCTTTGTGGCTTGACAGTAGCTTAGATTGACGTTACAAATGTGCAAAAGTCTGCTTACTTACCCCGTCTAAGCCCGTGGTCCTCGAACTAAGAAAGTTTACTGTTTCGTCAAGGACTGCCTCGTCGTCCGAGGACAGATCACTACCACAGCTATCTACCTCAATTCCGATTATTCTCCCTTTTGGAGGCCTTCCAGCTAGATAAGTTGCGCTCGTAAGCATCAGTGGACTTAAAGGCATAGGTGAAACAGGCGTCTTACCACTTGGGTCCATATGTTCGATGTCGCTGCGAGGCACCTCGAATATTTCAGTATCTGCATGATACTTCGACCTTCTCTTCAGAGTATAATCAATACAGTTTCTTTGCAGAAGCTCAGAAAGCGGCAGCTTACAGAGGTGGTCACATAGAGTTTTCGTGCGCTCACGCAGAAGTCACGTACTTCAAAGTGCATTCTGCACTTTTCGAGGACCTGCCAGAACTTTGGAGACTTCTTTGTCTTCAGGTCGTCTCTTTGAGTACGCAGCCTATGCTCCGCCCTCATAATTAAAGGCATGTACATCAGGTAAAAGAAGTAATGATCTCACCAGTTGTACATAGTGTGAAGCTCATTGAGGTCCTGTTCAACTTGCGGACGAACCTTTGGGGGGGAGCTTGTCATCATGCGACGCATCTTCTTCAGCTCCGTAAACGTGAGCTTCAACATATATTCGCCATTGGCGACGGTGTGTGACTTGTCCGACAATTTTGAAAGGTTGACTTCTACGGAACTCTCGTTGAGTAGTTCTATGTCGCCGAGGTCAACTGCAATGAAGTACGGCATGGGAGTCGATATATGGATAGTGAATTTAGGGTAACAGTCGATGGGATAGGATGGCAGTAACCAGGCTTATCTAGTCACACAGCGATATGAAGCAAGCGCCGCTGTTGCTAACCCTATCGGGGGTGTCGCTAACGGCCAAAATTCGAACAATAAAGCCGCTGTGATTCGTGAAGCGGTAATAGAGTTGCTGGTCAACCGACCATGCCTTGCAGATTACTCCCTCCTTAGCAGCACCGGTACACTCTGATCGGCGATCACTAGATTTGAGCGCCATGAGAAATGGTGCCTGTGTCAAGTCAACACCTAAGATAGGCGTTCCTTGTAAATTTTGGGAAGCGAGCACGAATACAGCCACACGGTCATGTGATCTATTGATCCATATTTTTGTCCCTGCTATTGTATGCGTGCATCTGGGGTGTGCTTGACGCATGGCAGGCTCAGATTCCCTCTCCGAGCTCATTGAGGTCTTTGGAGAAGAAGCAGTTCGGCGTAGTCCCTCCCAACTGAGTAAGGGGGAGGCTTGGTGGGCCGAGCGATACCAATGGCTCAAGGACTCTGGCTACCAGCTTCGGCCTCGATATGCTCCGGACTGGAAGCCATCGTGGCACCGAACCAAGAAGTCCATCTTCAACAGTGAGGACGGAGTGCCGACATGGGTGCGTTTCTTGTGTATGACCCTTCTCAGTGGTATACTCAAACGTGTGAATCATAGCACGCCCATCTGTTGGATGCTGTGCGCACTTCGGACGGCAAGTTCGTCATGTTGAAGTTGCTCAAGTTCCAGTCTTCGAACCCCTCAGAAGCTGAGGTAGGTAGATACGAAGTTGAGATAGGCCAAAAGTTCTCGTCAGAACCGTTGGCAGCCGATCCTAGCAACCGCTGCGTCCCGATATACGATGTTCTATATCCTCCCAACGATGACAACAGTCGAATCCTGGTCATGCCACTACTCAGGACGCTCGACGACCCACAGTTTGATACGATTGGCGAAGGCGTCGACTTTTGTGACCAGATTTTCGTGGTAAGCTCTTCGAAACGCGCGATCGTTGCACTTTCTTACCACTCCACCAACAGGGACTGAAGTTTATGCATGATAACCATGTTGCTCATCGGTAAGAAATGTGGTGCCCTTTAGTCCTTTCTGACCAAAATATAGTGACTGCTCGATGATCAACGTTATGATGGAGGCTACCTCGATGTTTGTTGGAGACTGGCACCCCATGAACCAAAACAAGACACGAGACTTCGCCGCTTATGTGAAGTACTACACTCGAACGCAGCGACCTCCTCGTTATTATTACATCGACTTTGGTTATTCCCGGCGTTACGATCCGTCGACATCCGATCCGCGCGAGAAAGTCATGATAGGCGGTGACGATACAGTGCCCGAACATCAGGGAAACAACCCTCCGCCTCAAAACCCTTTCCGCACTGACATCTATTGTGTTGGAAACGTCATTCGCGAGTGTCTTCTTAACGTGAGTGGTTTTCCGGAGAGTCGTCAGCTCCGTTGATTCTCATCACGGTTTGGCAGGAAACGCGCGGATTTGAGTTTCTGGTCCCATTGGTGGCAGAAATGATGCACAAGGATCCTAAGCAGAGGCCATCCGCCACTGAAGTGGTCGAACGGTTCGACAATTTGACTAAGGGGCTGAGCTCGTGGAAGCTACGTTCCCGCGTAATTTACAGAGGGGAAGATGTCTTTACTAACACGCTCCACGGGACGACTCACTGGTTCCGCCGGGTTCGTTTTGTACTCACTCGAACTCCATCAATACCCAAACGTTCGTCGTGAACATATCTTTGCAATAATAACATCGATTTTGCTGTGATCATCTGCGTTCTGAAATACCCGAATATGCTTGATATAGTTTTAGCTGCAGTGACTGAGTAAACTACACTGTTTCTCTGCGAGTGCTTGAACGCGCATCATCGGTTGCGTCGGAGCCTTGTTTATCATGGTCTGACCTCGACTTCCGCTACATGTTGCGACGCACCGAGCGCGTAAGTAGCCTTCAATGTGAGCCACCTAGGCTAGCTTGGTGTAAAGCCCAGCTCAGGATCTGGCAATGTTCGCCTCGGAGACCCGAAGTTGTGTCGTGATGAACATTTTTGCAGTACTACCTGACAGATGCCGGTATCGCACTCAAAGAGAACATGGACGTGATATGATACATTTATAGTTCCAAATCGGCTTTCCAATATGGTGTACACTGATTTTAGTATGTGACGGCTGTAGTTTGATTCTACAGCTCAGAAAGCGAGTTCTTCCATCTTATACAGCCCTTCTTCGAGTCCCTTGATTTCTGTAACACCATCGTTAGCGATTGAATGTAACATCTGTTGGGGCTTGACGTACGCATAGCCAAATGCAAGCTGTGGAACCTTGCCATAGCGAGGTTCCCTGAAGCGTCATCTTAGTCGACGAAAAGTTACTAGTCGAGGCAGAGAAACGCACCAATGCCGAACCAGATACCTTCGTGCCCCGACGGCCTCCAAATCCCAGAAACTTGCCCCTCTTTGTCAAAGCCCCACACCGGGCCCACCTTCTTCGCCGCCTCGGGCGGACATATATCGTACATGGCATCCCGAGGGTCTCCATATCTACGCGCAAAATATATGGAGTAAGGTCCGCTCAGGTTCGGAATCAAGGAAATACTTACCCCGTGGCGAACACGACGACGTCTGCTTCAAGCTCTGTCCCGTCGGCAAAGCGAAGGCCCGTCTCGGTGTACGACTCGATCGCGCTTCCGTTTTTGACTTTGATGTGACCTTCGATGATGTGCTGGCTCGTCCCGATGTCTAGAGTGTTGTTCATGTCAGCAACAAGCAACAAGCAACGAAAGCCGGGGATGCGTACTTAAATAGTACCCTCCGGCTCTAGCATACAACAGAGGGACAATTCCCGCGTTACCAGGACCAAGGTTGGTCTTGAACTCAGTCGTCGCGAGACCATCAATGATTGTCCTATATAAGCTGTTTGAGACGAGCATTCGGCAACATTGTCAGATATACTCACTTGTCAAGGGTATTGGCGACGTGAGGCGCTAGTCGCTGATGGAACCCTCGGACTGCGGCATTAGGATAGGCCGCAGCATAGATATCCGCGAGGTCCACAGGATAGCCTTCCTTGAAGTCCGCTTAGAGAGACATCGTCAGTGAGGTGCGGTAAACCAAGGAAGATGATAGACTTCACATCGGAGGAGTTTAGCGGACTCAACGTTTATGACAAAAGTAGATGAGCGTTGATACATCGTTACATCAACGCCGTGGTTGTAGAAGTCTTGACAAATATCGTGTCCTGATTTGCGTCAGCTAGCTCTTCCACAAAATGAAAGGAGACATAGGACGCACCCGAGTTACAAGCGCCTACGACAACCGCTTTCTTCCCTACGTAGTCCGCGGCAGAGGTATAGTGAGACGAGTGGACAACTTTGCCTTTGAAAATTTCCTAACGCAAGCGCGTCTTAGTCATGGGGCTAGTGGTTGAGAGCAAAGGGCATACCTTTCCAGTGACATTGGGAACAACAGGCTTGCCGCCAAACCCCGTTGCAAACACCAGGTGTTTTGCTGTTAGTTTCCGCTTCTCCTTCCCGCCATGGTCGACGTCCACGGTCCATGTCTTGGTGGTATCGTCCCAAGCCGTGCCGGAGATATTCGACGCAGTCCAGACGTTGAGCTCGAGAAAATGGGCGTAGCCCTCTAGCCAGTCCGCGAGCTTGGGTGGAGTTACAACGCGGGCCACAAACATTACAATCGCTTGAAACGTACCTTTGGTGCTGGCGTATAGACGGGCCACGACGATGGAAAGCTGGAGCGAGGAATGAGCATGTGCTCGCGTGGTAGCAGCTGGCCGACTTACCCGAGATACGGTGTCTCACAGTACCCTGATCAATCATGTTGCATTCATTATAACGCTCGACGATGCGGGAATGTTAATGGCACTTACAAACCGGGTCATGAAGACACAACGCCTTGTAGCGAGTTCGCCACTGCAGACAACGATGAGTTAGTCTTCAGGACGCTGAAGAAGCTGGCAATTGGCATACTACATCGCCTACGCGAGGTGTCTTCTCGATGATAAGAGCAGGAATACCCAGATATTTGAGTCTCGCTGCGATCTCGAGGCCGACGTGCCCAGCGCCGACGACGACGACGGTCGGGTCGTTGTTGGGGAATTCGTTCTCCTTTGTTCGTTTGGTCTCCCAGGTGCCGTGATCTGGTTTCTGGTTCCGGAGGTGCCCGACCTAATCATTGATGCGTCAGGTGCTAACCGATTGTTTTGCCCAGTTACGCGTACCTTCTCAGGGAAGTCTTGTAGCCCATCAAGACAAGTCAATACCGTGTAGGCCTTCCACACGCGTGCGGAGCCGGAGTCCGATACAGATACGGGTACAAGAGTGCATACACCCGATCCGCGGCCAACCTTAGTCTCAAAGGTGAAGTGAAGGCGGAGGAGCACGAGGTCGGGGTATGGCCTTTGTAGTTCGGGTGCTCGGAGGCCATCTTCGGAAAGGTGTAAGGCTGTGATGCCCGTCGCAGCGAGACGAGCGTTCAAGAGGTTTTGTATCCCCGATCGCCCGCCAATTGTTCTCAGATCCCACGTCAGGGCGAGGATATCCTTCCAGAACCCGCCATCCAGGAAAAGATCGGTGGCGGCGGTGGCGTTGTGTGACTGGATGGCATCAGAAAATGCGCTGAACCAGGAGCGGGCAGTGTCAAGCGCGGAGATGTTCCCTGGATCTGTCACCCCTAAGCGGTCCAAAGTTGGAAGTTGATGTTCGGGCCAGTCGATCATGTCGGATGCTAGGAGACAATGCAACGTCAGATATCTAGGTGGCGAAGATTGGAAACAATTTTGGGCGCTGCAAAAGGCGACAACTCTCAATATGTTGGAACGATGACAGAGTGTCCTCTCGAGCCTTGCCATAATCTTATAGCCGCTGTAGCGGCGAATTCGGCTCAGCGATAACGCCCTGACTTTCCTTTTTGAGACCGGCTATGGTGGACGGCCTGCCTAATATGGATTATCGCCACCCGCGCGGACTGTCTATTCTGACGGTATTCGGCCTAAAACACTGATTCGTGCATTGCACATGCACCCTATGCTTGCGTCACTCAGCGATTTTTTGTAAGGTAGATTGCATACCAAGGACATCTCAAACCTAAATTTAAGCAAGTTGGGCGAAGGAAAAATATTCCACACGCGTTGCACAAAAGTCTGTCTATTCTGACGGTGAATCACAGTAGAGATAGTGTGCCAATAAAATGCTGCAGTAGACTGAATGTCTCTCGTAGTGATGTCGTCTGTTGGATATGTTGCGCATTCAAAAAGTGAACATCGGCAAACCCCGTGATCCCTGCGGATGCATCTCCGCTTGGAACCCAGCGACGCTGGCTTATCGGGACCGGTGCCGCGGATGTAAATTACGCATTCAATTAGGTTCAGTTTTATAGATGCATCTCGTTCATTTGCCCCCGCTTCTCCTTTGTCTTAGTCCTTTGGAGGTTAGCAACCCCTGACAGGGCTTATTGTCCTTTGAGACGGCGATCAGCAGATTACAAGGACTCCAGAGTGGATGACACTTGACATACTCACACAAATTCATTGCTGTTTGACGTTGTAGGTCCATGGTTGCTCGGTGGGTCGTTGGCAAGACGGCCACGGGATGCTCAGCAGAGCATCTTCAATTTCTCGCCCAGAGCTCACGATTCTCACAACAAATGAACAACAATGGACTAATTCTTCTGTCCGTATTGTTTTCTGCACTGCTCGTCTCGTCCTTGCGAAAACCACAGTTTGTTGCCCTGGCAATCCCAGTGGTGACTTATAAAGAGTTGATTTCTTCAGGGTGGTACGTTATCCTTTCTCGCTTCTCAATATCTCCCAGGTGCTCTCTTTCTCGCTGACATAGAATATGGCCTCTCGTACTTCCGGTTCTCTTCTTTACTAACACACAAAAATCTCGCGCTGACCGTTTTCTACAAATCGTTCAGATAGCTCTATCGACATCCTCAAGAAGAGGAGCCAGAAAGCCCGCGCTAACGGAAACCTCAATCCTCGTCAACTCGCTTTAGAAGCCGCACCTGGTGAGCAGTTCTGCATTGGTATCTGCGGACACTCTACCGACGTAAATGTCATCTCAGGGAGCGAGTGCCACCTATCTTCCATCGAGCGACTTGCTCTAGCGAGCGCCGGGCGAGCTGAGAAAGCGAAGGCCGAGGCCGAGGCTGAAGCAGCACGACGCAATGTCCATCAAGGTCGTCGCGGACCGACACCCACCGGGAATGCAGCGCCTCAGCGACCGGGATATTACCCCTACGTAGTAAGCACGGGCAACAACATCAACCTGTATGGCAACTCCTCTATGGAAGACCCTTCCATCCAGTCCGGCAATGGAAATACGGGCGGAAGTGGGTATTCTGAGTGTTCTCATAAGTGTGCTATTGACCATCTGTCCATTAGCCAAGATTGTCCACAATTATTACACCCCTAGAACGACTAAGGCTGCTGCCTGATTATCGTATTATAGTATAGGAGATGGAGAGCCTGTATCACAAGATTCGGTTGGACTTTGGACATGTGTATAGCTAGTATCACAGCCGCCGAATGTTTTTATCTTCTTTCTGGATATCTCTGACGTGTTATTTATCTCGTGTTGTTTGCATTGCATCTTGTTACAACGAGTCTATATAGAAGCCTGTCATGACTGAAACAAAGCGGGAAGAGGTCGCTATTAATGATCAGTCAAAATTATCAAAGGGATCTCTATCCTTAAAGAAAAGAAGTTTGATTAGTGCACCTGAGATTCTGATGCGGCACCACCTTCCAACAATTCAATAGAGCCAAAGCGAAGGATCTCACCATTTACTTATTCGTGTCGAGTTCCCGCACACGCTTCATCCGCTCGGCAAGGAGTTTGCGGGCGAGAGTTCTGTCGCCGTTCCCGCTCAGGCTTCCCGCCCCTCGTTTCGAGAAGGGAGACGAAAGGTTGTGACGCCATGCTTAGTAAGTAATAATGGAATTATTCCCATTGGTTCGACTCGACGTCTGACAGACATCGCCTCAGACGCGCATCACTTATCCATGCTCCTCCGGAGTCCTCCCCACGAGTTCGCCTCCAGCCTTGTCATCCAAAGGCCACGAGAAGCGAGGCATGCCAAACAACAAGCATCCTCAAGGCAACCGACTTCATGAAGGTCAGTTACCCGCTTGTATATTGTTGTGGGCGCGTATGTATTGATGACGGTACCTATTTGAGCACAGCCGCGCTGTGGTAACCTCGTGTGCGCAGCCTTGACCAACAAAGACGCGTCCCACAACCTGTCAAGCTCCTTTGTCTTGCCCCATCCTTCTCCCTAGTATGGAAACGTTGTCGTTTCGTTGCTCACCGTCATCTGGCGGCGTCCTGTTGAGCTCATGGGTACAAGGAGTTTTCAGTTATAAAAGCGACTAGAAAGGTGAGGGAATGGTATCACAATTTGCTCTCCTCCATTAGCACTTTCTCTCATCGCCTTGTCCCAAACCCCACTGCTAGCTTACACCATGTACGACTTTCAGATCCGCGACGACAAACGCCGAACCAAAGGCAGGCTTGCGCAGATCGAATGGGCCAGGGATACCCTTAGGACCATGTACGACTACACGAACACGCGCCGCGATAAAGCCAGCGACAAGGGCATCACGTTGGCGGATGACCGTTTCGACGAGGAATATGACGCGTAAGGATATTCAGTCATCACATTGCGAACTCTTCACTCAACGGGGATTTCAAACACGTAGGCTTGACCAGACTCAAAGAGCATTTGAGGAAACGTTAAAAGCTGAGACAACGATGCAGTCGTTGAGGAGCCTTATTTGGAACAAAGACGTTGACGTGGAACAGCACGTTAAGAAGTTAGAGGAATTTTGGGACCGCACTCAGGTATGTCAACTCGCACATTCCATCAATGGTTCCTTGCTTACTGTGGGTTGATTATATAGGTATCATGGGCTGATCTCGACCGCCGTCTCAGACAATCAGCCCTCTCTGCCGCGTCGCAGTCAGCTGCATCTCTTCCTATTGGCGAGGGAGGTAAGCCACACTCTACATATATGCGCCTACATGGCTTTTACTTACAGCGACTTCTTTAGCGGCTCAACGTAGCGGCACCCAACCACTTTCCGTAATGTCACCTCAACCTACTGAGCAGAGGTCGCAGAGCGCACCTTTGCCTTCTCAGCCTATTCCATCGGACGCTGCTAGTGTGTTGCCCACGGAGGGTCCCACCGATAGGCTTCAGAGCCCGGTTCCCAAGTCTAGTGCCTCAACTAACGGGACGTACTCTTATTATGACTCGCACAGCAGAGGAAACACATTCCAGGTTGGAGGCAGTAACAACAACGGTACTGGTGCGTCATTCACATCCCAGCTTTATTTCACCTAGGTGACCGAGCGCCAATCCGTCAGCTACGCAAGTTCAGCATCACGGCGGAACGACTACCTACAAAACTCTGCCTTCCCCCATGAATGAGAGGTCCCCGTCTCAGTCTGGGGCTCAGGTAGAGGAAAGCAACATTCCAGGAACAAATGACAACGGTAGGGCTCGTAATACCGGCTGGGGCTATGCCGTATCCGGCGACGGCGTCGTGACCGACGGTGTGGGTGTCTCCAACGTCCATGGAAATGGCCATGTCGTCGGAGGTGACTGGAGTTGGTTGGCAAAGATGAACTCGTCGGGGAATGGAAACTCGTTTCAGGTCGGAGGTTCTGGAAACGTCGGTAGCAGTAAGTTCCGAGTACTGTTGTGCAGACTAGCCACTAACGCGACGATGCATTTCAGCTTGGCAAGAGACATACCACAACTACTAACCTCAGTATAAGTATCGATAGTACAGTATAAAGCAGACTCGGGAGATGACGGAGTGGTGGGTTTGATGTAGAACGATACTATCTAATAGACATATTCGATGATGATCCTGCTTGGCGGATTATCGAGCGACACACTCAACGCTGCTCAACATACTAACCAGATCGTAACGTTGCATTAAACCACAAACAAGTCAACTGACTGTAAAGCAAAGGATCAAGCAGAAAACTACGGCACCCGTTTTGATTTGCTGCTCTGCCTTCGCTGCGTTTCTACACCTGGGTTCAAGTCAGGAACAGCGGAATCTGAAGTCTGGCGAGGACGAGCCGAATTATTTTACGTGGCATAGCAGATGCCTTCTAAGTAATGCATCGTGGTTGAGTACATTAGGTACGAGTCTAAGGAGGATAATCTTTTGAACTCTCTTTAGACTAGCACACGCATGAAGCCCGCAAAGTACTTGTTCAGATCATCATAGTGTGACGCCAGCGCAATTGTGCCTACGAACCCGTCTGGTCTCACAACAACGAGTGTGACCTCATCTTGAGCAATGCCAAACCGCTCGTAAGCGTGTCCACCTGTGGCCTGCGTCACGTCCGTGTCGTCAGTCAAGACTCTACATGTGAACCAGCTCAACAATGATACTCTGCTCTTTCAACAGCTCGACACTTACTTGGACCAATGGGGACGGAATAGAACGGGAATACCAAGCATTTTGACAGGACCCTTTGTTTTAGCCACGATCGTGACAATACTGAACTTGCTCTCGATGCTTTGCGCGTCCTTCAGATATTTGCGCAAGAAGCTTGTAGGCTTCTCGAGCTCCTCCGCTAACGCGTACACCTTGGCAAGTTGCATTTCATCGTTCACATCGCCAGCGAATACGAGTATCTTGAACCGCGCATCGGCCACTAGGTATTCATGAATATCGTATGGCCGGTAGTCACATGTTCGGATGAGAATCTGAGGCGGCATGCGTTGCCCGATGGTGAGATTCGGAGCGGACGACTGGTGTTTGGCGTTTATCCAGGTCGATTCTTCGTATTGGATTCCAACACCAGATGCGAATTCTGCAAAGGTCTGGAACGCCCTGCGGTCCAAGCATGTATGCACCGTTGTAGGCGAATTACGCGCTAAACGATTGCTGTCACTTACTTGAAATTCTCTTCATGGCTCACACCGTCCTCGAACGACTTGGTCTTTGGTTTTGCCGAGAAAAGCCCGGCATGCGTCTTATCGAAGTCGATGAGGTCCTGCGCGTACTTCTGGCGCTCGAATTCATACTGCGTGTGTAGAAATCAAATTGATTAGGAGTTTTGTGGCAGAAATGAAGCGATGAAACCTACCGATTTGAGCAAAGAAAAGTCCGCCCATCCCCGTAGCACATGAACAAGCTTCCAGGCTGAAAATGAGCGATTCAGGCCGTGCAAATCAAGATGCATGTCATTGACTTACCCAGATTGTGAGTGTCGTTTATGCTAGCGTTCATTCCTTGTCCTGGAGAAAGGGGTTATCATCCCAGCGCCCGCAAGATCTTTAGCTTTCTCACCTGCTTTTGGAGAATGGGTGTGGCAGGCGTCACCAGCAATGAAGACGCGCTCATGCGCAGAAAACTTGCTAGCCACGCGCTGTCCAACTGAGATGATGGTTTATATTAGAGTTTCTTCGACACTCATCTCGTAGAAGGTACGAACTGACATAGACTGTCCACCAGTCAACGTCTTGAGCATCTTTAAGTATATAAGGGAGGAACGACTTTTGCGCAACCTAAGATGGAGTGTGAGTCGAGCCCATTGCAACGCAGAGTACAAAAGATACACACCGCGATTAGCTTTTCAGGAGTCATGCGGCTCTTATCCACGCGTCCACTAGCTGGGTCGATGACGTCTCGGTCTGACAGTTGAATATACAACCGGACCATGTCGTTTTCGCGAGGGATGATCATGATACTCCCATTGACGGAGTGAATGGCAGTGCGGTTCCGGATATCAGGGAAATCCGTGTCGGGGACTAGGTCTACTGCGCCCCATATGTGCTCTACGTGTCGTGAGCTAAAATCCAGTACGGAGTTTTGGGGAGTGGTATATACCTGTTTGATCGCCGTCCATTGTGATGCCAAGGGCCTTTCTCACCCACGAATGAGCGCCTGGAACTCAGTTAGACTTCACTACATTATAACAGGTCGACGACCTACCGTCCGCCCCTAATACAAACTTGGCATTTACCGTCTCCGTTCTACCCGGCGATGATGAGGTCTCGAGATGCTGCAAAGTGACCTAAGCCGAGATTAGTTATACAAAATATCCCTGTATGCATGTCAAGTACCTTGACAACATGCGCAATAGTGTCAGATAGCTTGGATTCATCGAAGGTGATGGAAGTGGGTATAACCGAGTAATCAACCCCGAGACCGTTCGAATTTAATGAGTCTAGGAATATAGCTTCAATAGCTCCCTGGTTAAGAGCAAGCTGATCGCCGATATCAGCGTTAGGTACCTCGCACATGGTTTTGTCATCATACCTTATAGGGAAAGCGCGCATTTGGAGTGATATCCGGTTTCATGTCGGTGCACTGTGGGTAGTTATACAGTAAGCTTGTCTGTGACGCTGACACTTGGAGCTGAACGTACCTCGATCCCGCCTTGTTCACTAGGGTTGTAGAATGCCTATGAACCAAGTTCGATGAGACGTACTATAGATAGACCTCGGGTATATATTTACGTACAGCCATATGAAGCTGGACGGCTTCGCGGAGGAGACGATCGCCGAGCCCGTAACTCTAAAGAGGGTGGGATAAGCATCGCTCGCCTAGAACGAGACAAAGTTTATACGCACGTGAAGCACCTCAGTTGTCCGTGGTTGGATACCGTCTGCCTGACCCGTCAACAATCGAGTCACTCTAGGGCCCGAGTAATGTTATTAGGGGATAACACCTCTCATAGATAAAGTCTACCACGAACCTTTTGTCGATCACTCGCACGCCAATGCCTGCGCTGGCGAGTGCAGTAGCACACATTAGACCTGCCGGACCAGCTCCGATAATCAGGACATCGACAAAACTTCCAGTAGTCATTGGTTCAGTGTACGGTACTGGTAGACGCGACGAGGGGAAAGGGGGCTGGTCCATGAGCGAAGACTCGAATAGGCCTATAAGAAACGATTAAGAGGAGGTCATCAGGGGTCAGCTAACCAAATCACGATACAGAGCTCCCTTGTGACCAACCCATTAATTACCACACCGCGATGCCGACATCCAGCGAGATTACGGTAAAGGCTTCACAACGCCCACCTTCGGAACGCCCATGCTCTTGCTAACCATCTAAGGATAGAGGGAGATAACGAGATGATTGGTTTATTTCGCTGTCAAGCCTGGATGGTGGCTTCGTCTACCAGATTTGTACTTGGTGGCGCTTCGTTGGCATAACCAGATCCCCGCCCCTTAGTGTAGATACAACTTGTCCTATCTCGTTGAAGGAGCTGAATCGATGATTGATGCCACAACAATCATTGTCGGGCTGTCAGCTCAGTGTAAAGCCCGCTGCCTAGAAGGGGGCGACACGACTCCGCGTGGCCACTTGTGCCTTCGCTTGTGCCTTCGTCAAGTTTTCGTGGAGGCCTTGGAGCGGTCACCTCGTTTGGGTGATAATTTGACATTAGGTCCTTTCTCTTCGGCACGCATCCTGCAACTAACTGCTTACTGATTGAGGTTAGGATTCTGCGCAGCAGAGGCGCATCAAAACGGCGGAATCTGGCGGCAAGAAGGTGGTCTTTGCAATTTGGTAGACCGCTGACGCGTCGAGCGCGCGTTGTCTGCTGTTGCTGTGGTGACTAAGCCACGCCCGATGCGGCACTGCCCCTGAGTGACCCAAGCTTTTATCGTCCACCACACTGGTCGTCGACGAGGTTTTCAATGACATTATACAATATCAGAACACTGTTATAATCTACCTTTTAACATGTTGTCTTAATTGGCCTGTTCAAGTATCTTAATTGCAGACAAACGTCGGAAACTAACCATGAAAGTGAAAACCGAGCAAGTTTGTGCGTCAAGAAATACTATATTCCAAGAGTTACATCGTATGGCATCTATGCCAATGTTGAATTGGCAGGAATAACATATTATACAGCTTACATTACTAGTAATTCTAAAAGCTGTTAATTGCTTGTGAATCACAACCTTATTGCCGACCAATCCAACAGATCTAAGTCTCCACCAACAGTTGGCAGCGTCTTCAGCTCCACCTGCACATCAACCATGCCTTTTTCAAACACATTCTCCCACATCTCTATCCAGCTGTCCGGTGAATGATAGAACATCAAACCAGAAGAGCCGATGCTGGTGACGGACTTGATGGCCTTGACACTGCTCCCTTTGTGCCTGCCAAAGATCATAGATCCAGGGATGGGAGATAGCAGTCCCGCGAGCGCATGCGCAAGGTGCTGCTGCTGAGCCTCGTCGAAGACATGGAAGAACATTCCGGCGTATATAGCTGAAACATGCCCATGGAGCGAGTTGAGCGATGTGAGAGTGTTGAGGTCAGGACGTGGAGTCGACGGGGTTTCGTATGCGGGAGAAACCACTTCAAGCATAGCCGGGTCAAAGGCGTCTGCTGCAAAGTGATGAATCGGGTAGGTCGCTGGAGTAGTCCTGAATAACTCGTGTCCCATTTCCAAGAGCTCTGCGTAGCAGTTTATTACAGAATGTATTACATTCTTCACGGCCATGCTTACCTGGTCTGATGTCAGAGATAATTACGTTCTTAGCAGGAAAGCCGTCGTAGACCGCTCGTCTGGCGTCGACACCGACTTGGGAGGTAAACTGTCAGGACATGGATTGAATAACTGGGATCAGGTTTTCACTCACAACAAGCTGCAATATCTAAGAAGACAGCATCTTCGCGTTCTCGACCGATCTTCAGCAGCTGTGGATATACCGGGAGCTTGCCCATGGAGAACCTGCGCTATAACGTTAACCAAAATACATATCGTTTAGGCCAGTTAATGCACTCAAGGAAGCCGAAAAAGCGAATACATGGATATGGCGCGAACTGTCGGAATATATGAGCAAAACAGTTCATAAAGAAGGCTCAATAAGTCACCTCGTACGCCTTCTTTTGAACGTGGAGAACGTGTTGTTTGAGCTCTTCATCGTCTTGTATGCCCGTTTGCGCTTTGAAAAACCCAGATTGCTCTGGAGTGAGAGCGTAAAAGCTATCATCAGGCGGCGGGATGGAATCCATTCCGATCTTCCCTTTGGGCACGGCAACGAGTCCGTGCTTCGGGTCCTTAGTCCACGGTTGGGCGGCTTGAACCATGGTTTTCGAGACGAAGTTGCGTTAAATCTATCGTTACTCAACTGGCCTATATATCTGCATACTCGGCGTCACCTGCCACTATCAGATAACTTGCAGAGCCCAGCCTTCTTGTCGATGGGTCGAGGCACTCCCGATCTTACATCACATACATTGCCATTCCGAGTGCCCCATCATACGGTAAGATCACGGGAAGTAGAGAGGCCCCCGCATACTATACGGCATCGGGAATCAGCGGTACGCGTTAAACACATTCAGTTTAATGAAGTGGCAAATTCCGGCCTACTAGTCCCTCAGATTAGCCAGGATGTTGAGTAAGATGTACTCTCCGAGTGAAAAGGGCGACGCACGATATGTGGCTGGATTTAATTGGCTTTCATAGGATATGACAATGACGTTGTTAGAAGCCGAAGCTAAGACGTACCATAGGACTGGAGAAGGATGACGTTGAAATTGGGTGAATTGCCTGTATCGTTGCCGAAAGCTGATTAGAACTTTTCAGGAGGCGCTGCACTGATGGAATGTCGTAAAGTGCCTGTGGTTCTGCGTATCGAATGCAGATATTAAGCTGACAAGAAGGTGCCAAGGTGCAGAGATGCCGTGCCAGAAACCTTTTCGTCAACATCCGTCGGAAGGTCGTTTTAAGATCCCCGACAACGAGCTTCATATTTGAAGTAACATTGTATGAGTGCGAATACGGATATACGCGATGTCTAGGTGGTCCACTTGTTGTATGGATGGATGGATCCGCTTTGCAACATGAGCCAAGGGCTGGAGGAACGCAGTCGTAAAGCGCCAAAATAAGCGCCTGTTTGACGGTGTGGACCATACGGGTACCTGACTTAGGTCTGGGTGGATAGGAAGACGTCTTATCATAACAACTACTCACAAATAACATAAAATTGGAAAAAGGCAAGGATCCAGGGAGGATAGGCCAGCGCACCTTGGAGAACAGGCTTAAAGATCATGAGAAGGCACTGATCCGATATCTACGTCAAGACGCCACATAGTGGCGCATGACCAGGTCCCGTAGGTTGACGTGATATACCAGCAGCCGTTCCCCCGGTTTCGTCTGGATAAGAGGCGGTGGTTTACGTGTCTTCCGCTCCGCTTAGCCAGCATTGCAGTATGGGTTGTAGCGCTGTCTCCAACTGTCTGGCAAGCTGCGCGGCGGTCGGGGTAAGCTAAGGACAGATAAGGCCAGGAACACTGACACAGACGAAGGGAGCCCTGGATTGGGAGGCAAGTAACGTTCCACAGCTGATGAGCCGATTAATATAGTGGACAAGCGATGAACGAACTTCCCCTTGCTGTTAGCACAATACAGTAAGCTGAATTCAAGCAGCAAGGCTGCACAAAGGGGCTGTTGTTCCGGTTCGGAGTCATATCAAGGCCGAGATTTGAGCACGTGTTAGCATGACGTACACCTATACACACGACCACCATACATACGCTAGGGTACATCTAAAGTAGGACTGTCCGTCTTGAGGCTGTACGCCTCCCCAGTACATTAATATGAGTATTCATTCATTCATTCATTCATTCAAGGCCGAGATAGAGCTTGATAACGGGCACCGTGGGTGTTGCCCTAGGTGTAACATCAGGAAAAGACGATTCTGTGATTCAGGTATCGTCTCGAAGCTTCAAGAGAGTGTATCTTGAGACCACGACATCCTCATTGATGGACGTGCGTAGCCAAGATGGTGGTGAATGACTTTGCCACCATCGTGAGAAGATAGAGCGACAGATAGTGGCGGAGTCCCAACTACAACGTCCCTACATACAATCATAATGGTATCAGTGAGAAGCTCCATTACGTGCCGATCCTCGTGGATCGCCTCCTGAAGTCTGCCGAAAATGAATTGAGGGTGCGAGATAGACTCTCAAATCGATAAATTTTCATGCAACCTGACATCGTGGGCAAATGCGGAACGTGCCCGACGTCGCCTTCTCATTCGAAGCAGCTTTACAGCGGAAGGTAGTTCGACACTCCGGCCTGAACCTTTTACTTCACAACTATTTACTTACACGCTTCGTCGATAGTGTATACAATGTGCCGGTGTGTTCCACCGTGTGTCTTCGGCCGCTAAGTATTCGCCTCTTACATTGCTCCAAGTACTGCGTAATCATGGAGAAAAGGGGATATAGGTGTTCAAGATAAGCGCTTGAAGTGTACGGGCTTTGAAAATTTGACCTCCTGGGTTAACGAGTACATAGATTCTTAGGCGCCCCGCTTCCGGCGGCAACTTTCAACGTTCGTCTTCTCACTAAACGTCATCCCGCAATGGTACAACCTTCATTTCGATGAAACCTTTGTGGATAGCACGTTTGGAGTTCCACCCATATGCAACCCATATGTTCTGCTTGTCACTCTCGGACCGACTCCGTGTGAGTAATGCTGGAAAGCTCTGACGCATATAAACGTACGCACATTTCCCCAGAGGCTCTCATCCCCTCACCTAAAAGAATAGGCCTTCCCTGCATCCCTCACATTGATACTAGTACTATGCCTTCGATCACCTCGCCCATGCCTAATCGATTTTACCTACCAGATACTATGGTCACTTGGCCGTGGAAAACGAGAACCAACCCTCATGCTGACGAGGTAGAGGAGAAATGCGTTGAATGGTGTAACGCGTTTCCCATGATGACGAAGGCATACAAGAAGCTCAAGCCAGGTATGGCTTTTGATACTCTCGATCCGCGATATTTTACTCATAATCTCGCAACAGTGGTATTTGCTTCCATGGCTTATCCTGATGCAGCCGCAGGTTAGTCTTCCCTTAGATCTCGTTTAATGGTCCTGGCGGCTCAACTAGTCCATTCCTTTAGATCACCTTCTCGTCGTATCTCTCTTCGTCCTCGTCATCATCTTGGTCGACGACTGTACGGACGCCGAGAACGCCGACGTAGCTCGGAAAACTGCGGATCTTGTGAAAGACGCCTTCGAGCACTCCGATCAGCCCAGGCCTGCAGGCGAAGGGCCCATCGGCGAAATCGTGCGCCGGTGAGTAGAGCATGCACAGGTCCTTGCATCGAGCGCCATCTTGATGGCTCTATTTTTACTCTCAGGTTCTGGCAATTCTCTATCGGGGTAATTACCGCTAACGTCCAAGTCGCTTTTCTCAAGCACTTCGACGAGTTCCTCGATTCCATCGTTACGCAAGCAGGCCAACGCGATGAGGACGTTCGACTCAGCGTTGACAAATACCTAAAGCTGCGCAGGGACAACGTCGGCGTCATGCCTTTCTTCCCTTTCCTCAGAACCACGTCAGGACCTGACCTTCCAGAGGAGATTTGGGACTCTGCGGTTATCGCTGAGATGACTGGCCATATCATCGACATGTACATCTTCGATAATGTACGCCACACGCTCTCTTCGCTTTGGGTCAACCATATTCACTCGTTTCAGGATACGATTTCCTACGGTCGCGAGTACGCCCTGGGCGACACCGGGCACAACATCGTAACACTACTCATGCAAGAGCACGGCATCGACGTCGGAAGCGCCGTCGCATGGGCCACCGCCCGCCACGCCGCTGCTCAGAAAGCGTTCAAGGATGGCCTGGAACGCCTCCCATCTCTCGGTTCCCATGCGGATGCCCAAGTCAAGGAGTACCTGAATGGGTTGGGATACTGGATCAGGGCATACCACGTCTGGTCCTTCAAGATCGAGCGCTACTTCGATGGCCGCGGGGACGAAGTGAAAGCCAGCCGCCTTGTTCAGCTCAAGCCTCCCGCAAGCAGCGTGCAGTCTTCTGCACATTAACACGTAGTATCCAGCCTCTCCTAGTCCGAGACAGACCTCACATGACTAGAAGATTGCCGTTCTTGATATTAGGACAGATGTTGTTGATTACGCTGTCTTCCCAAAATTTGAATGTACACCAGTACTTTTCCTGATAATACACTGCAAACATCTCTTGATAACAATGACATCGTTATTTGGAAATTATTGCAAATATCAAGGTGAACACGGCTGCTTGGGCTTCAATAGTTAGCTCTTTATTACTTTGATATCTATCAAAGACAGACATGCAAGGTGCCGTTTACTGGTAGCCGTATAGCTCTGTTTTTATATGGTTTTAAATGACGAGGAACCCGGGTATCTGCGTTCATCTTATTATTGAAAGTACTTTTCAAGTAATAATATCGCTATTATTTGGGAAATGTTTGCAGTGATACCAAGTGCACAATACACGAGACCGGCTACAGACCGGTCGAATACTTATTATCACCACACGCACGGGGACAACCAACAATCAATTAGATACGTAAACCAAACACACCCGATAGCTCAAAGAGAAATATAGAGATCAACAAGAGAGAGAGGACGCAATCATAGTACACGCAGTCCATGCTACACAAGAAGACGGAGGTAGGTAGGTAATCCTAACGGATACGATACGATATACCGGACCCAGAATCGCATGAGGATGAGGGTGAGGAATGGAGAGACAGAGAGACAGAGACAGAGATGCATGTATGTACATATACGAGACAGGGAAGAGTGACGATGATGAGGTGATGGATGCAGTGATGACGTGCGTACGCGTGTGTATGTATGCTCATGTTCAAACAAGGTGTGATAGGTCAACCGCACAGGTCGCGTCGCGAGGAAACATGTACAAGGCCATGCATCCGCCGAAACACGACCCGCACGGCGTATTATATGCAAGCAACAAGGACAGGGGACAGACAACAGACAACAAACAGACAACATCAGAGAATCAGAAAAAAAGATAAAATCAGGGAGGGAAATCGTATGAACACAATTACTAGTACGCGAGCACATGTCGACGGCGACGAGAGAGATGGAGATGGGGGAGGTATGAGCATACGGACATTGTTGGACGAGGGGACGGTGAAACGGATGCATCAGGTTTACAGAGCATGTCAGTCGGGCCTGCAGCGCAGCGCAGATCTAGCGCCCGCCGTCCTTGACAGCCTTGATCCGGAACTCGGCGACGATGCACACATGACTATATCAAATTAAATCTCGTCAGCACACCGCAAAAAAACAAAAACAAAAAACAAAAAAAGAGCAATTGCAAAGCCCAGGGAACAAAAAGAATGCTCTTGAGGGGACAGAAACCCGATAGAACAGAAGTGAAGAAAGAAAGACCAACTCACTCGCTCGGAAAATGCGCATTCGGAAACCCAACACACTTGTCCAAATACCCCGCATCAATCGGACCCAGCACACCCGTCACACCCAGCGTGCGCTCCGAATACCACAAATAATCGAGCACGCCCTGGTACGACGGCGTATGGTTCGTCACCACCGCCTCGCCGGGCCTTGCCGCGCGGCCCATCGCCGCGCTCTGCCCCGCACCCGCGCCCGCACCCAGGGACAAAGACGGGTTAGGCGTGCCGTGCACAGCGTTCTGCACGGGCGAACCCTCCGGCGCAAGCGGGGACATCTCCGGGTCCCCACTGATAATTCCATTCACACCAGGCGGCGGCGGCGGCGCAACACCCCCCGCCAACACCCCACGATCGCCACCGTCCAGCCCCGCGGCCCCATACGCGCTGCGCAGACCCAGCCTGTGCCGCGGGCCCGCGGCAGCGGCAGTGTACCGCCCGTACGTGTGGCCCATCCAGTCCGCGTGGTTCGGCGGGACGTGCCCCGCGCGCAGAAACTCGTACACGCCCGACTCGGCGACGCTGTTGAAGTCCCCGACGATGAGCACGGGGAGGAGCGCGGGGTCCGGGTACGACTGTGCGTGGCGCGGTCGGCCTGGCGTCTGCCCCTGCGATTGCGTTTGGGAGGAAGGCGTAGGGGGCGCAGACGCCAAAGGGTCCGCGTCAGGGGAGAATGAAGCCGAGTCGACGGTCACATAGTCGCCCGCCAGATCGCCCGCATCGCCGCCCTCGCCGCCGCCGCCTTCCGCGGAGCCAGGGAAGACGGGATCGAGAATGACCTCCTTGCCCGCGAGCTCGCGCACCGCGCGCTCGACCTCCTCGGCGAGCATCGCCGCCTGCACGAGCTTGACATCGCGGTACGCCGGGTCCCAGTTCAGATGCGCGTTCGCGCACACGAGCCGTGCGCCCGTCCTCCTGTCCCCAAGCAGTGCGAGCAGCGCCATATGGTCCTTCCCCAGCACGCGGTTGAACATGTCGTCCGTCTTCTTAAAGTCCGGGCGCTGCATCGCGGCCGTGGCGAACTCGAGCGGGCGCGAGTCGACGAGGACGAAGCTGCCGACATGCATACGAATGCACCGGTGAGAAAACCGACCAAAAATCAGATTCATCGCAAGAGAACGCACCGATCACGCTTGTAAAACGTCGCACACCCGTCCGCCATCGCCCGCTCACCGTCGCCCTGCGCGCGCCACCGCCCCTTCCACCAATAAATACCCTCATACCCCGCCTCGCCCATCGCGCCCTGCCAGAAATCCTCATACCGCGCCTTCTCGACCTCCTGCAAACACACAATATCCGCACGGTGCCTTAACACCTCCGCCGCCACCAGCTCCTTGCGATACTCCCACGCAAGCGCCCACGCGGGCGTATACCCATACAGCCGCTCCGTCGCGCACTTCTGCGCCAGCGTATTATACGACAACACGCGGATCGCGTCGTCCTGCGCGCCGCGGTCGCCCGCGTACGCACCGCGCTCGGCGGGCGGGAGCGTCGAGATCCACGTGCGCGGCGGCGGGGGCGCGGGGATCGGCGCGGTGTCGCGCAGGTAGGAGATGAGCGCGGGTGTGCCGTCCTTTTGCACGAGCGCGCGCAGGCCGCTGTCGATCGGGTTGCCCTCGATCCCGAGCGTGCGCAGCTGGTGCAGGCTGCCGAGCTCGACGGGCAGGCCAGTGAGCATGTTGTCGAACAAATACAGCTCTTTGAGGCTCGTGAGCATGCCGAGCTCGGGCGGGACGCTCGAGAGGGCGTTACCACTCAAATCGAGAAGCTCGAGGTGGCGCAGGCGCGAGATGGCGGGCGGGATCTGGGTGAGGTCGTTGTGGTTGAGGTAGAGGTTGATGAGGAAGGAGAAGCCGAATAAGGCCGAGGTGGGCGGGAGGGTCTTGAGCCTCACGCCGCCCATGTCGAGGGCGGACCAAGTGTTCTGCGGCGGCCTCGCGGCCGTTGGGCGCGGAGCCTGGGTGATCGGTGCCACTGTTGCAGAGGGATGATTCGCACGGGCGGCTGCAGCTGAGGGCGAGCCATCTGTGGTAGAGGCGCTGCCTGGTGGGGCGCCATCGGGTGTGTCTTTGGCGTCGGGGTCGGGGGCGGGTAAGATGGGCTTGTTGGGGTTTGTGATGGGGATGGCAGCTTTGGCGACGGTGCGAGAGGCCATGGCACTCGCTCGGGCGCGGTGGTGCGGCGAGCGAGAGGAGCGGATCATCTGCAGGGGCATACGTCAGCATATGAGGAAGTGAGTGGATAAAGCGGGGACTTGCCTCGCATTTGAGGAGCTGCTGCTGCCAGTGGGTGCTGATGATCGTGCTCTGTGCGCTGCCTGGGCTGCCATTGTTTAAGCCGTGCGAGTGGAGGGAGTGTGAGTGGGCGTTTGCTGTGGGTGGGGAGGAGAAGTGGGGGAGGCCCGAGAGCGAGGGGTGCTGGTGGTGGTGGGGGAGGGGCGGTGGGAGGTGGGACTGGTGTGGGTGGGCGAGGGGGTGGTTGTGGTTGAGCTGTGGGTGGATGGCTGGCTGGAGGTGGTTGTGGTGGATGGGGGTGTGGTGGTGGAGTGTCGGGGTGTAGAGCGGGTATGGATTGTGACTATGTTGTATGTTTGCGTGTCTTGTCCAGGCGTTCTGGTCCTTTGCTACGTTTCCATTTTGTTGAGAGTAAAACATCGCATCGAACAGAACATAAACAAGATCGGAAATCGTCCACTCTCTCTCGCCCAGTCACTGTTACCGTCACGGTCACTGTTATGGTCACAGCCCCTGTCTTTATCGCTCGATCGCATAATAAAACAAGAGCGTCTTTAACAAATAACATCTTTCTCTCTTACCACCATGGTCCACCAGGCCACAGTCACCGCACCCGTCAACATCGCAGTCGTCAAGTAAATCCTCACCCAAAATCTCATTTTTCATTCTAACACAATCCAGGTACTGGGGCAAACGCGACACAAAGCTCCACCTCCCCACCAACTCCTCCCTCTCCGTCACCCTCGACCAGGACTATCTCTGCTCAACCACTACAGCCCGCGCAGATGCCGCATTCAAGAAAGAGGACGGATCGCCCGAGGACCGCGACCGTCTCTGGCTGAACGGCAACGAAGAAACCATCGCAGGCAACGGGCGTTTCGAGCGCTGCATCTCCGAGATGCGTGCCCTCCGCACCAAGTACGAGCAGACAAAGCCCGATGCTACCAAGGTGCGTCCCGAAGCTGCGCTCATAATTGACATCCCTACTTATAATTATTGAACTTTAGCTCGCCGACCTCCCCCTGCGCATCGCCTCACACAACTCCTTCCCCACCGCCGCCGGCCTCGCCTCCTCCGCCTCAGGCTACGCAGCACTCACCGCCGCCCTCGCCGCCCTCTACGAGCTCAACACCTTCCTCCCCTCCTCCCCCGCCCCCGCCCACCTCCCCATCCCCGCCCTCTCCAAGCTCGCGCGCCAGGGCTCCGGCTCCGCCTGCCGCTCCCTCATGGGCGGCTTCGTCGCATGGGACATGGGCGCCCACGCCGACGGCCGCGACAGCGCCGCGCGCCAGATCGCCGACGAGGCGCACTGGCCCGATATGCACGCGATCATCTGCGTCGCGAGCGCCGCGAAGAAGGCCGTGAGCAGCACCGCGGGCATGCAGGCGACCGTCGCGACCTCGCCCTTGCACGCCGCGCGGTGCGGTGTCCCCGCCCCCGGCGCGCCGGTCGCCGCGTATGCCTCCGGGCGCGGGCTCGTGGACGGTCCGGGCGGGACGATGGCGCAGATGCAGGACGCGATCAGGCGGAAAGACTTTGATACGTTCGCGGAGGTGGCGATGGCCGAGTCGAACCAGTTCCACGCTGTCGCGCTCGACACGCGTCCGCCGATCCGGTACATGAACGACACGTCGTGGAACATCGTCTCCGCGATCACCGCGTACAACACCCTCGTCGCGCAGCGCACGCGCGGCCAGCGCAAATACGCCGCCGCGTACACGTTCGACGCGGGCCCGAACGCGGTGGTGTACGCGCTGCAGAGCGACGTGCGCGAGATCATCGAGCTTCTGCTCGCGCTGTTTCCGTTCGCGGAGGGCGCGGCGCACGACGCGCGCACGGGCATGCAGGCGGGCGAGCGCCCGTTCGAGGACCGCCTCGGGGTGTTTGGAGAGGAGGGGTGGGCGGGCCAGGCGGGTGTGCCGGAGGGGTGGAGCGAGGGTGTAGGCCCGTTTGAGCCGGGCGAGGTGAAGCGGCTTATTCATACCAAGGTTGGGCCGGGGCCGAGGGTGTATGAGGGCTTTGGGAGGACGGATGAGGCGAGGGCGGTGTTGGGTGCGGATGGGTATCCCAAGAAGCTGTAAGGGTATATGGGGTTTTGGATAATTTACTTTAATGTGCACGAATAAGGACCTTTTCTTGGCGACGACTAGAAAACACGCCGATGGTATCCATTTGCTATAAGCACACAGCTCCTAAGCTATCGACACCCCACGTACATGCCCAAGTCCAACCGTCGAGCCTGCCTACAGCCAACACATACCCCACCACCGCGACAACAACCACAAGCCACACCTCCACCCGTGCAAACGACCCCTTGAATGAGTTTAAGTCTGCCGCACCCTCGACACGAGGGCCCACTATCTCCTCAGCATTGGCATGGGCAATCACCCGCATCTCATCTCCAACCGCCCGCCAAAACACCACCTGCCGCCTCCTCTCTCTCGCCTCCACATCCGCCGGGTCCTCCGGCACCATGAGCACGTGCACAGCAAGCCACAGTAGCAATGCCCCCGCGTGTGCTTTCACCTTCGATGTGAGACGGTGCGATGCGGCGGCGGGTGTGGGGCATGCGTTTGCAGCCGAGGCCGAGGACGAGGTAGCGGTGGTGGAGGAGGTGAAAGGCGCATCGTCCTCCCGCCCCGCAAAGCGCGGAAAGGCGCGATAGAGCACGCGCGCGGTCTGCCGCACATCGTCGCGCGTCGCCGCGTCGCGGTGTGTCACGTCTAGCGTCGTCGCCATCGCATTGCCTGTATAACCCCGAGGCGTACTCAGCAGCAGCCGTGCAACATCGCGTCTGCTCGCGCGCTGAGGCTGACGGGTGTGTCTAGGGGCGCGATGTGCAGGCGGCGGAGGCGGGGGTGGTGTGTGGCGAGCGTTGTGAGTTCTGCGGAGGAGAGGGAGAGGGCGTGGTGCGGGGAGAAGGTGGTGAGGTCTTCGAGGTTTCTGAAGCTAACTGAGTGTGCGTGGGGGGCGAGGAGGGGAGAGAACGCGTCGAGGAGGGCGATGGGTGGGTGTGTGCCCGGGTGGGTGTCTGTGCGCTGGATGGAGAGGTTGAGGACTGTGAGATTGGCAGGCGAGAGTAGGGAGGCGAGGGCGGAGGAGAGAAACAAGAGCGAAGACGTAGACGCAACCTCGCCCAAGAGATCGATAGTAACCGAGCCGACCTCGGCTGGAAACGTCCGCCGAATGAGTTCATAACCCCCACCGTCATCCCCGGACTCCGCAAACAGCGCCCCAAGCGCCCTCATCCCCGTCTCGCACGAATCAACGCGCAATCCAAGCTCGCTTACCGCCCTAATCCCAAATCTGCGGTCCAGCCACCTATCCCGCGCCTCCACCGGCACCACGAGATACGCGATCCTCCCGCCTCCACGCGCCACGAGATGCTTAATCACGTCCCCGCCCAGCGGACCGCACTCCACGCCTTGCAGACACCGCCACCCGCGCACGGTGCGCGAGACAGCGCACCCCGCCTCGTCAAGCGCGAGCTGCGCGCGCCGTGCGTCTGCCCATGCGAGCGGGCAGCGGAAGCGCTCGATGTGCGGGCACCGCGTGGATAGGTCTGGGATGTCGTGTAGGAGGCGGGAGATGTCGGTGCCTTTGATGTGGAGGGTGCGGAGGGAGGGGGTGAGGAGGAGGTGTGCGATGAGCGGGGTGTGGGTGAAGTAGTGTATTTTGAGGGTGTGGAGGTGGGGGAAGAGGGTGTGGGCGGGGGAGGAGGAGGAGGGGTGGAGGGAGAGGAGGGAGAGGGAGGAGGCGAGGAGGTGTGTGCAGAAGGCGGGTGCGAGGACGGGGTACGGCGGGGAGAGGTGTTTGCGCACGACGAGCGAGCGCACGCGCGTGGTTTTGCGAGCGAGGAGCGTCCAGTCGCGCGCGGTCATTTCGCGGCGGAAGTGCTGCCCCGTCGCTGTGTCAGCACAATTCTCAAACACCACAGATCGTCGGGTAGGCATGTGAGGAAGGTGACGAAGCAGTCGATGTGCGCGTATAGGGCGTCGAGCGCGGGCTCTGTGAAGGCGTGCGAGACGCGTGCGAGGTGGAGGAGGGTCTGTTTGTCGGTGGCGTCGCGCGTATCGAGGTGAGAGAATATGAGGGCGATGAGCTCGGGGATGTGCAGAGCGGGGTGCATTTGTGCGACCCTCTAAGTGACAGGCATTGTTATGTATGTGAGCGTCGCCATTGGGTGACGTGGGGTCGACGTGTGGGCGCAGTCGGTGGTGTCAGACTCAGAGTCACAGGATAACAAAATCAGTGCATAAATGCTGTAAAGTGCCTAGGAGAGTCAGAAAACATAGCACCAGTCAACTTACATGGCAGTAGGACCACAAGCGCCAGCAGCACAGCCACGTGCCACGGTCCTACACCTCTTGATCTCACCACTCGCCCATCTTCTCATACCCCATACCACCTTCAGCACTCAGATACCAGGAGCGGCAAAGATGGCCTCCAGCTCGCTCGACGTTCTCCCGTACTCCATCGCGAGCTCGTCCGAACACAGCGGCCAGTACCTCGCCGAGAACATCATCATTGATGCCCCGCTTGATCGTTCCAGTCGCTGGAGCGGCGCACATCAGGCCCCCAACGCTAAGCAGTGGATCTTGCTCAAGCTGAAGACCCTCAGCGTTGTCAGTTGAGTCTGTTTGTTTCGTGTGATTGGGTTGCGCATGGCGCTGACCGCGCGTCTGTGTCGTTGTAGAGAGTATCACATTCGGAAAGGTGATTTACTTCGTGTTCTCTTGGAACAAGGACAAGTTTAACTCGTTTCTCGGTGCGATCTAGTTCCACACCAGTGCGTTTTCTTGCTTTTGTCCCCGTGTCCAACACTCGCTGACACGATGCAACTATCGACGATCAGAGCACCCATGTAACATGAAAGAGTTCAAGATTTTCGTCGGCCTCACCCCCGACCACATGATGCAAGTCCTCCACTCCACCCTCAAAGACGACTCCACACCGGAGACGTTCCCGCTCGCCTACCACACGCGCGACGACGTCTGCTTCCCGACCCAGTATCTCAAGATTGTGCCCCTCACGTGCGTCCTCTCCTTTGCTCTGCAACGTCTACGCCGCTGAGCATTGAGTCTGGTGCAGTGCACACGGCCAAAGCTTTCACATCTCGATATGGCACGTCGCACTCGCCGGAACCGCAGAATCGGGCTACATCAAGAGGGTCGAGTCGCGCTACCACCAGGTACGTATCCACTTCACATCCAACCTGGTATTCAGAACACGTCGACGAACGACCTAACCGCGTTCGACCCAGCACCGCGAAGAAGTCGTCCTCCGACGCATCCTCAAGCACCTCCGCCAACGCCGCCTCCTCACGCCCTTCCACTCCATCCTCGCGCGCTCAACGCTCTACTTCGAACACCCGCTCGTCACCGCCCTGCACGCCGCCCTCGTCCTGCGCGGCGACTGGCCGCACGCCGAGGCGCTCGTCCGGCAAGCCTCCGACTCGGGCCTGTTCGCCGCGTACCTGCAGGCGTGCCAGCCGCACGCGCGCTGGACGCGCATCCGCGGCACGGACGCGGACGGCGACGTCCCGTGCCGGCGCGGCGGGCACGCCATGTGTCTCGACTCCGAGAACGGGCTCGTGTACCTGTTTGGCGGGTGGGACGGCGCGAAGAGTCTCGATGATTTCTGGGTGTATGATGTGAGGCGGGACCGGTGGCGGATTCTGAGCGGGAGCACGGCGATGGAGAAGAACGGGCCGGTCGCGAGGAGCTGTCATAAGATGGTGTTTGATAGTAGGACGGGGAGCATTTATTTGCTTGGGCGACTGGGCGATGGGGATGTGTTGCAGGGGAGCGGGGGAGGGGGAGGGGCCGGCGAGGACGATGCGGCGTCGTCGACGAGGGCGGAGGAGAACGCGCCGCGCGAGGGCGGTGCTGGGGAAGGGCGGAGAACGGCGTTTTGCTCCGAGTTTTATAGGTACAGGACGAGAGGGATCGACCAGGGCAAGTGGGAGCTGCTCTCGTTCGACACGGCGGTGCGTTCCTCACTATGCATTTTCACGACTGTTCTTGCTCACATGTGGAGATAGAGCTCGGGCGGCCCGCCGCTGATCTTCGACCACCAGATGGTGATGGACAGCAACACGCAGATTCTCTACGTCTCCGGCGGACGCGTCGTCGACGGCGACTGGGAGTCGCCCAAGTACTCGGGTCTGTACAGCTACAACGTCCGCACGAGCAAATGGAAGCTCCTCCAGTGCGTCCTCCCTCCCTCCCTCCCCCTCTATCTCTCACACCAGCCCCCACTAACACACACCACCACGCAGACCCACCAACGCCTCCTCGGGCGGAACAACGATCCCCCCGCGCTTCGGACACTCGATGGTGCTCGACCCGATCGCGGGCACACTGTTCGTCTTCGCGGGGCAGCGCGACGACAAGTACCTCGCGGACATGTACGCGTACGATCTGCACAGCGACACCGCGTACGAGCTCTTCTCCAACTTCTCCGCGCCCGACGACTCGCCGTCGCATCCCCGCCCCGCGTCGTCGTCGTCGTCGTCTGGGGCCAGCGGACACCGCGGTGGTGGGTACAGCGAGAGCGGGGCTGGGGCGCATACACACGCACACGCACATGCACACGCACACGCGCGAGGACGCGTGCGCGATCGAGCTTCCGGCGGCGACAGCAGCAGTGGCGCTGGAGGAGGAGGAAGCGGCGGAGCACGGGGAGCAGGAGGCGGAGGCGGAGTAGGACCCGGCCCAGACGCATGCTTCACGCAGCGCGCGGTGATCGACCCCGCGCTCAAAGAGATCTACGTCTTCTGCGGGCTCACGCGCGCGCAGCAGACGAGCCCGCTCACGGTCCTGCGCGCGGACGCGCCGAACTGGGTGTATACGTATGCGAGCCCGACGAGGCCTGGCGTGTGGACGCAGATTTTGCCGGAGGTGCCGGGTGGGTTCCGAGGTGCGGAGGGGGCGGAAGGTGGAGGGGACGGGGAGGGAAGGACGATTGAGGCGCCGTTGCCGCGGTACGCGCATCAGGTGGTGTATGACGAGGGCACGAATACGGTGTTTATGCACGGCGGAAACGCAGGGGAGGGGCTCGCTGTGGAGATGGACAGGGACAGGGACAGGGACAGGGATAGGGACGCGGATATGGAGAGCGAGATGGATGTGGACGGCGATGTGCCCACGGAGGACGGCGGCTCGCCGGATGAGAACGTGTCGCCGCCGCGCTCGGAGCGTGCGTCGCCCGCCGGTGGGGACGCGGATGGGGAGCGCGAAGACCCGGGTGCGGGGGAGGCTGATGGCGACGATCGAGGGAGCCGGAGTCGGGGAGGGAGGGCGCGGGTGCGGGCGAGGGCGAGGAGACCGCGGTCGAAGGAGATGCGGCTCGATGATTTCTGGCGGATGCGACTGAGCAGGGCTGCGCCGGGGGAGGTGGTCCGGCAGGCGACGTACGAGATCAGGAGGCAGCAGTGCGTGTCTCTCCTTTCCCATTCTGCGTGTCCAGATCTTGACATGAGCGATGGTGTAGGTTCCGAGAGATGTGCGAAGGAGAGCGGGGCGTCAAGGCGCTGCGCTTTCTCCAGACGGAGGTCTCCGCCGTCGTGGACCACGCGAGCCCCGAGGAGACGGCTGTGTTCCGCTCGCTGCTCGCGCACCTCTTGTCGTCCCCCTCGTCATCGCCACCTTCGCCGGAGGCAGATACAGGGTCGTCGTCCACCGCCGCTCCCCGGACAGGCGGGGAAGACGTCGACGTCGACATGCGCGTCGGCCCTGCCGCAGGACACGCTCATCAACGCAGCGCACACGCTCACACGTCCCCCGGATACGGAGATGGAGAAGAGGAGGAGGGGGAGGAGGGGGAGGACCACGAGCAGGAGTGGACGTCTACCCTCGACGAGGACGGCGAGGACGAAGACGACTCGGAAGAGTACGACTACGACATGCTCACGGAGCGCTCGTCCCCCGCGCTGCCTGCGTCCGGCCGGCCGTCCCGCTCATCGTCTCGCTTTGGCGCTGGCGCGGGTGCGGGTGCGGGTGCCGTCGCAGCTGTGCGCAAGGGCGGCAACGGCGGTGTTCACGACGTGCTCGCGCTGGGCGTCGACCCGCTCGAGGCGAGCATGCGCAACGAGAGTCTCAGAGGCCGCGACGCCGGCCGTGCAGGCGCTGCAAGTGGGAGCGCAAGCGCAGGTGGGAGCGGAAATGCAAGTGGGAAGCAAATAGAGGGAGGTGCCGCGGGCGCAGGCGCAGGCGCAGGCGCGTTGGGTGACGAGGTGAAGGCGCCAGGGGCAGAGCGGTGGGAGCAGAGGACGCGGGTGTTTGAGGGGCTGCTGAGGTTCTTTGGGGAGGAGTGTAAGCAGCCGGACGAGAGCTTGGTGGATGGTGTGGATTTTGATGATTGAGGTGCGGGTTTGTAAGCGGGTTTGGGGGCGTCTCTTTCCTGAGCTCTCTTTTCTTTGTTGGATAGAAGGGTTGAGGTCGACGCAGGTTATGTTTCGTGTTTCGAGGTTTAACTGTAGATGCGGAAGTGGAATGTCTCGTCTATGCATTTGTATCAGTGCCGTCTGTTTACTACAATGTTATCCATCTGCATACGTTGAATTCTGCGAGACAGATCATCACGGAAGCTAGTTCCTCTTTCACAACATACAAAGTCTCACCAGGAACACCGCCTACTTACACATAAAAATCTACGAACCTCATTATTGGGGCAGTGCTTAATTGTCATCCAAGCCTACAGATCGTAATCACTTTTCGAAGTCAACAATCTTCAGTGCAAAAGATGAGTAAGTCGATGCAACACTGCGAGGCGGGTCAAACCATCGGCGAGGGTCGGCGTCGAAGAAACAACAAGCCTCAATTGGGTATTCGAACTTTAGCAGAGGCAACCTCGGTGGTGCAATCCGAAGTTGATGACAAAGTCGATGACAAAGACACGCGGGGTTCCGTACGCGCTGCTGCATTCAAGTACGCGTCGGCCCTAGTCGAGGCGACCGACTTTCGCAGACCCATTCAACGATGAGGATAGTGACTGATCAATCAAGGTCGTCAGCACAATGACGATCGTGTTATCAAGCCAAAGTCTATGAGACGCGCAAGCTCGAAAGCTCTACGCTGGCCGCCACTGACCGTCGGCGGTGGCAATAGTAGGCAGTATAAAAGCTGATATCTAGGACACGCAGTACTCCAGCTCGCCAGCTACACACCTCTCAGCCCACACCCACACTAAGTACACCCAAACAAACACGACATCAAACACTCGCATCGAAATGACGACGACCAAACGCGTTCTGTTCGTCCTGTCCTCCGCCACCGAGACGCTCACTGGTGCTCCAGCTGTAAGCCGACCCTTGCGCGATGCATCAGTGTGCTGATAAGACACGAAATGAAACAGGGATGGTACCTCCCCGAAGCCGCGCACCCCTACTACGTGCTCGCCGCCGACCCCGGTATCTCGGTCGACTTCGCCGCGCCCAAGGGGCCCAACCCGCCCGTGGACCCCGCCAGCGTTCAGGTGAGACCCGCCTCTTGCTCGTCCAGGGCACTAGGAGCACTAGGCACTGTGCTGAGCGCCATTGTGATTGCGCATAACAGGGATTCCCGGACGACATCCCCTTCCTGAGCGACCCGGCGCCCAAGAGGCTGCTCGAGACCGCCAGGGTGCTCGCGACGGTCAGCGCGGCCGACTACGACGCGGTGTTCTACGTCGGCGGGCACGGGCCGATGATGGATCTCGCCGCGGACGAGGCGAACGCGAAGCTGTTGATGGACGTGCGTGGTTACTGGCGCCTGTGTGGAGAGGACTGATGGACCGACGGCTGACATGCGGCTGGGTTTTGTTCGCAGTTCTGGAACGCGAACAAGATCGTCTCTGCCGTGTGCCATGGGCCTGGGTAAGCACCAAGCGGATTTTGTGGGTAGAGTTGGAGAAGATCCTTACCGTAGCATGATGACAGCGCGATGGTCTTGGCCAAGCTCCCGAACGGCGACTCCATTCTGAAGGGCAAGAACGTCACCGGTCTTTCGAACGCAGAGGAAGAGGCGATCGGTAAAACCAAGGTAGGATACTTAGACCTTCAGGCTCTCAAAGGTGTCGTCACTTACACGGGCCTTCTTTAGGACGTGCCGTTCCTGCTGGAAGACAAGCTCAGGGAGCTCGGGAGCAAGTACACATTGGCTACCAAGCCGTTTGAGGTGCGAGAGCGCTCTAGTTGAAGTAGAGTTGGCAGCTAACGTAGAAGCAGAACTATGTGGTCGTTGACAATGGCGGGAAGCTGATTACGGGGCAGAACCCTGCTTCAGCGAAAGAAGTCGGCCAGAAGATTCTGGAGGCGCTGAAGGCCTAAATTTCTTCTGTTAGCAACATGTAACCGCGATGTAGAATTAAGCAATCAAGTTGATGTATACTCACCTGCTCAGAGCCTGAGACGTGTGGTGAGCGAAACGCGGAAGTCCAGGAATGTTGCAACTCAAGGCACACAAGGCAGAATGGGCGCCCTTAATATCCATCAAGAATAAACGCATAGATTGGAAAGAGGACTTGTGATTTTATTCATCAAGATTGATCGACCGGCCGAACTTGGCGTACAAAACGACCTTGAGCTCCTTCATCTCCTTCTCACATGCCTCCGCTGACGAAGACAGCTTCTCAAACTCCTTGTTGAGAGAATCTTGGTCTTGCTCGAGTCGCTTGAGAGCTTTCGGCTGGCGAAGATGTAGGAAGGCTTCGCCGATTTTGTACCTGGGAAAGATGTGGGACGTGGTGATGTGAATGTGCAAGCGAAAGAGACGGGGGGTGGGGAGGCGTACAGGACAATCTGATCCTCGTCTGTGAGCTCGAGCTCGGTCGAGAGGTCGTCTAGTGCCTCTTTTTCTTGCTATGCGATGGATGGTGTGGTTGGAACGTTTATCGGAAGAGGTAGTGCATGTATGCGCACCTTGAGCTCCTCGACCTTTTCCTCGATCATGCGCAGACGATTGTTCACTTTCGAGAACTGGTTGATCCGCTGCTGATCCTCTGATGTACAATGGCGACGTCAGACATGGGCTGCTGTGCCGACCATGGTTCGTGGTGTGCTCACCCCAGGTGACCTCGACGCCATCATCGTTCTCCTCGTCCTCGTTCAGCTACGCAAGGGGTAATGAGATGCACATTAGCGCGAATGTCGACGAAAGGTGGCTTGAGAGTTTTGCGTACCATGCGCATGTTGTTCATTCTCGTCAAACTGTGGTGGTGAGTTGGAGTGAGATCGGGGTAGAAGACCGATGTCCTGGAAATGACCGAGGCAAGATCAGGCACGTCAAGCGGAAATGGGCCTGCACTGGTTGTTCCCTGTGGCCCGCAGCGTTGGTTGAGCTCGTTTAACACGTGGACTGTGGATGGCGCTGCGGTTGTGTGAGGCAGCGTCGGGCCACGGTGAGGGTCCGGCTAAGTTGCCGTGCGTCATCGTGATTGTATAAACTCAGTTGCTCTCCTCATATCCTTCTGTCCTCTCCCCGTCCAGCCACTAGCGCCTAAGCACCTCCGTCCCTTCTCCCATCATGTCCTCCGTCAGCTCCCGTTTGAGCTCGTCAACAGCAGCTGCCAAGAAACTCGTCACTGCGTCCTCGCCATACGAGAATGCCAAGACCGTCCTCCTTGTCTACTTTGTCCTCAAGCAGAGCTTGCGCGCTCTCCGTCACCTTAGGGCGCGTGGTATTACCTCAACGTTTGGCGAGTTCTGGAGATGGGTCTGCGAGGTCCGTAACGCGTCCCCCTCACCCCTAATGGATTCTCCTAAGCATAAGATGGCATACAGCGCGTACTCCTCCTAGTCCTCCAGATGCCCTCTATGAAGAAGAAAGTCCAGACCGAGATGAACCGCGCCAAGCTCGACATAGAAGCTAAGCTCGTCCCCCAGGGTGCCGACGTCGTCCGCCATCTATCCCTTCCTGCTGAGGGCAAGTCGCCCGAGTGGATCATGGAGGAGATGATCAAGATGGACAAGGACCAGGCCATGTCGGACTGGAGGCACGGCAAGCTCTCCGGCGCAGTGTACCGTGCGTGCCCCATCTCGCCTCCACTCATCCTTGGCTAACACGAGAATGTCGCAGACGGAGGCGACGACCTGTCCCGCGTGCTCGTCGCCGCCTTCGAGCGGTACGCCGTCTCGAATCCGCTCCACCCCGACGTCTTCCCCGCCGTGCGCAAGATGGAGGCCGAGATCGTCGCCATGTGTCTGCGGATGTACAACAACCCCGACGGCGCGGGCACGATGACGTCCGGTGGGACCGAGTCCATCGTCATGGCTGTCAAGACGTACCGCGACTGGGCGAGGGCAACAAAGGGGATCACGGAGCCTGAGATGTAAGTTGTGTCTCGTATGTGGACGTGGAGAGGGAGCACTGACGACTGTGGTTTGTCAGGATTATCCCGGCTACGGCGCATGCTGCGTTCGACAAGGGTGCTGCGTACATGGGTATCAAGGTTCACACTCTCCCTGTGGACCCTAGAACGCGCAAAGTCAACATCAAGCGTGTACGACGAGCGATGTAAGCTTCATTCGTCCTGTATGCTTGCTGGCACTCATCTCCCCTGCCCAGAAATCCAAACACGATTCTTGTAAGCCTCAACTGGTCGTTTCCCAATCCCAAGCTAATGACGCCATGCTCCAGCTCGTCGGTTCAGCCGTCAACTTCCCCGACGGGAACCAAGACGACGTCGTCGCGCTTGGCAAGCTTGCGTCCTCGCACAACATCGGGCTGCACGTCGACTGCTGTCTCGGCAGCTTTATCATGCCTTTCCTCGAGCGTGCCGGCCTCTCCGAGGGCGAAGACGGCGGCAAGAAGTATAAGCTCGAGCCGTTCGACTTTAGAGTGAAGGGCGTGACAAGTATTAGCTGTGATACGCACAAGGTGCGTCTGTTTCGATGCGTATGCTCTGACGTTCGGTGCTAATGATAGATAATGCATGGCGTGGACTCAACGCACAATAGTATGGATTTGCGCCAAAGGCGGGTGCAGCGAGTTCTTCCATGCTCCAGCTGCTGACGTCTGATTGTCTTTCATGGCTTACGCGCTGAATAAAACAACAGGGCTCCTCTGTCATCATGTACCGCGACGCTGCACTGCGGCGACACCAATATTACATCACGCCCAACTGGACTGGTGAGCGCCGCTCCATACTTCATTCATCCGTCCCTTCCATTTCCCCGGCTCCCGCTCCCTACCCTACCCTCTTACCCGAAGCGACTGTCGTGAACCCTCGAACTGAACCGAACATAGGTGGTGTCTACGGCAGCCCAAGTTTGTCTGGCTCGCGGTAAGCTCCGTCTCTAGGCTCTGGCGTGTCGGGGTCCTGGTCCAACGTACCCTCGTACTAAATTTGCGATGCTGAATAGGCCTGGTGCGCTGATCGCTGGAACATGGGCCGCGATGCAGTACATGGGATCCGAGTGCGTGGTTTCTTATTTTGTCGACATTCTTTTGTCTTTTGTTGGTTGCTGTACCTACATTTCGGGAATTGTGTTCATTCTTTCACTCCCCCCCTCACTCATATCCTTACCGCTCAAGGCCTCGATCTGGGCCCTTGCGACCGCTTACAATGGCCTGGTCCGATTGCATGCAGACCATAGTTCCCTTCTGAATTTGTGTTTCACCCCATACACTCGCGCTTTTGACTTTTCCCAGTCCATTTCGATTGCAAATCCCCTGCTATGATTTTACGCCCGCCCAAAGTCTCCGTTGCCTCGTCTTACCCCGCCCACCCCTCGGCCTTTTGACGAGCAGCAAGCTAACATCCTGCCTATCTCATCTCTCCAGCGGCTACCTGAGCTCGTGCCGCGAGATCGTCGGCGCCGCGCGCGCGATCGCCAACACGATCGCGGACTCGATACCCGAGCTGGACGTCCTCGGCAACCCGCCCGCGTCCGTCGTCGCGTTCACGTCCAGCGATCCGGCTGTGAATATTCTCGAGGTGGGCGACGCGATGGCGAAGCGCGGGTGGCATCTTAATGCGCTGAGCGGGCCGCCGGCGGTGCATATCGCTTGTACGGTGCGTCTCTTTTTTCTTTTCTTTCCCTTTTTTTCTCGGTCGATCGCTCGCCTCGCTCTGTTTTGGGAACGGAATGGTCGGATGGGTCGGATGGATGCTAATTGCGGACTGAATTGCGCTGATGCTACCGATACCGCTCCCGCTGCGTGGGCTTCGCCCGCTATCTCGTCTCGTCTCGTCTCGTCTCGTCCCTGCTGCTGGATCTCTCCGCCCTATTCATTGCGCCGCCTTCGACGAAACGAACGGCTGACCCGACTGAACCGTTTACCAGAAACTCACGGTCCCGCTCGTGGACACGTTCGTCGCGGACCTGAGAGACGCTATCGAGGACGCGCGGGCGGCGCCTTCGGGCAAGGGGACGATGGTTGCGCTGTACGGTGCGTGTGGATGTGCTCTGCGTTTCTCGTTTTTTTCGGACCTCTCTTTTTTCCTTCTTTCTCTCTTTTTGCTCCCGTTGGAACCTTTTTTTCCATTTTGCTTCAAGTGTCATGCTCTTGAAACTCTCTTTTTTCGTGACGTTCCCCTGTTATCGCGCGGCGTATCGCATTTGTGTTCAGGCTCCGCCGCGTCTCTCAGACCTCAGAAAGGCCCGAGCGTTTATGGACATTGGACAATTCAACAATCCGACCGAAGCGTGGGGCGCAGCGATGCTGAGAAGACGAGCTTTTTTTAACGCTCGCCACGCTCGGGTCCCGCCTGCTGCCCGCGGCGGCTGGCACGGCTCACTTTGCAGCCTTCTTCTTTCAATTTCACCCTGTTTTAAACTGCGCTTCTCTTCTTGATCTCTCTGTCTTATTTATGGATGCTGACTTTGCATTTTGCTGCGGACAGGTCTTGGTCAGTCGAGTGCTGTTGGCCCCAGCATGGTCACGGAGCTCGCGGCGACGTTTATCGACACGCTGTATAAGGCCTGAAGAGGAAGCTTGGTGCGCCACAATGCAGATCCATATACCATACCGTGAAACTCCAGAAGTCAGGAAGCAAGGATGTCAGGATGTCTGCTGCGGTTGTGGAGTGAGAGCAAGGTTTGTGGTCTTCGCGTGGGATCGTTCGGACTTATCGGATTGGTTTCGCTGTGTCGCGTTTCTCGTGGGCTTGTCGTGTATCTGCTTCTCTGTGCTTATTTTATGTCCACGCATATGCCACTGTTTGCATATGTACGGCTCGAGTTCTCTCTCATCTGTCGTCGTATCTCAGCACGTCCGCGGTGGCCAATGCTGTACGAATTCTCGGCGATGAAGGCGATGTTCATAACTGCGCATGAGCAACGCGGACACCGCTGATCTGAGCGCGGCTCCTCGCCAAGAGGACATCTGGAGCAGTTTGAGGGCCAGGGACGATCATCATGCATCGCAGCATCAGCGCACGTTCCGAGAGCCTCCACAATTCAGGCTTCCGAGTTTCCTCCCAAGGTTATATTACAAGGTTAGCCTTTGGGCCCATTGGCACACACTCACGCCGCGCCCAGTGCAAGTCGCCGCTGTAGCAGCGCACCACATACGTCATATACCAGCTACAGCAGTTCAGAAGGTTGGAGATCGCCTGCCAATCCGTTCTCTGCGTCGCTGGCATAACTTTATGCACCCCAGAGTCTGACTAAGCGCGGGGGAGGGGACGCTGTTCATTGGCCGGGAGATGATCGATGAAGAAGCTGTGGTTTCATGAAGAGCGCGAGGGGAGGCCTGGTGACCGATCGTGTCCCGCGTCCCGTGGCCGTGGGGCATGCTGTAGAAGCGCGGAGAAGCCTAGCGAGGGGGGGAGGACCTGGGACACGCCTTCATGTGGCCTGCGAGGCATGGGTGGCTTTGTAATACGGCGATGTACGGTCTTCGGAGGGTGCCCGGTGCGTCTGGGGCGTCTCGTGGACCTGAAAGTCGAAGAGGTTCGGCCGTAGCGGCGAAAGCGAGCGGGTGGACGAGTGCCTAGCTATCGGATGAGCTTTCACCTGCTCGAGGGCGATAGTCCGCTGTTCAACAGGCCTGAACGCGAAGTGTAAATGTCCATTGTCTTTCGGTCTGACCGGTGACCGGTGACCATTGACCGGACAAGGCATTGTCGCCTGGGCTTCCTCGACTAGATGTTACGTGCCACATAGAAGTGTGGGATTGCTGCGTTGCATGGTAAGAGCTTGTTATCGATTAGAGTTCTCGACTCACGCTGGGCATTCATCCTGTACAAACGGTATGAGACGAGCACATGGTATGTGGCTGGGATCGAGCATATTCGTCAACTTCGCGATGAAGGTCGTGCACGAAGCTCGGCTCCCAGAACAACTCAACCTTAACGTTGATCTTCATATGACCCTGAATGTTCTCGTGAGACTCGGCCCAGTAGCAATCATGACGTATGATACCCTGAGGAAGAGAAGCTGCAAATCAAAAATAAAACTTATCAAGGTATCCATCTAGAAGTCGACAGGAGTAGCCCAGTCTCAGACACCCACCTGAGAAACCCGTTGAGGCTGGAATGGTCTAGCTAGTCGCGAGGATCGTCATCGGCGTCTTCATGCGTCGAGCGACAATTTTGTCTGTTCTAGAGCAGTCGCGAATACCGTGTTCGCGAGATAAATCCAAGATAAGTAAAGAATACAACGGCTAACGGCGTACGCACGGGGTTTATGCCGCCATGGCGTCGGTCCATGGGAGGCGTCGGTCCGTCTCGCTGGCAAGACATGGTCAGATGCGGATAACAACGTCAGTTTCGAGTGACGACGTTAAAGCGCATGATATTTATAGCACTTTCCCGAGCCCGAGCCCGAACGACGCGGATTGTGTATGCACCGTTGGCCCATGTTTATCCCGTATGAATGCGGTGAGTTGTGTTGTCAAAGTGAGAAACCTACTCTTTGAATGGGCAAGCGAGCGGCCTGCTGTAGCGTGAGTTCCATGAGAAGGATGCCAGCCACCGGTTTACAGGTCTGCATTGCGATGTCGGCAAGATCAAAACCACTCTTGCTCGGCGATCCCTGAAAGTCGAATGCTTCAGCCAAGCGGAGCAATCGCGCAAATCTCGATAAGAAAAGACGAACGAAAGGCTGTGAACATATATACCGGTTAGAAGGTCGTAATGGAGAATCGTACCTCGTCCGCTGCGCTGCGCCTACGCCACACCGGTTCCTGATAGTTAAGCATGTTCTCGATCGATAACATAAGCGGGGAGCCGCCGGCGCCCTCGTCGAGGAGGCGGTTGCTTACCTCCAACAGGCACTCGTTATGCAGATCACCACCTGGAATGGAAGTGCACGCAAGTTTTGCCGACATGAGAGATTAGTCGACAAGACCCACTGACACCTCGCGTCGAGACCTTCCCATGGTCACTACTGACGTACATACCCTCGAAAAACCTTGATAAAAGCATTCAGCAGAGTCAGCGTTGGAGACAATTGAGGCGAGCTGTGGCGAAGTGACGCCATCCCAGAGTCGGCGAGACAACGTTGACGCGCCGTGCCTGGATACTCGGATCGCTTTGTTCGCTGGTTCAGGATGAGCACACAAATTTTCGAGAGCCCAGAGCGCGTCGGTGGAACGGAACGGAGCGGCACGGGCGCGTCGGTCCGTCTTTGACCTCGGGCGATAGCACCGCCACCGGCGAGCACCGATCCGCGCCCTGACTCGGAGTCGGGTCGGACTCGGTGGGAGAGGGTCGCGTTGAACTTTTGGTCCCTGATCTTAAACATGACTCCGACATTTGTCAAGGACGCACTATTTTCGTCTTCGTAATTGAATGGCTCGGAGCAGGAAACAGGAACACACAGCGCTGCGCCGCGCCCTCGGAACTCGGAAGGAAACGGACTTGAAGCCTTCGACTCGTTAACACTTGTTTGTCGCCTCCGGTGCACAGGCGACGGCCTTCCGCATCCGTGCAAGCCGCTCCGTGTAAAGGCGCGTTATGTTGGCTTTTTATGGCCAGCGGTCGCACTGATCCAGAAATTGCAGGCGGTTGGTGATGGAATCCTGCATGGGTCTGTTCACCCGCGGTTTGAAAACGCTGCTGGTGCGTTCCGAAGCGCCCAAGAGCAACCAGATCACAATATTAATGCTACCAGACGTCATCAGGGGCTGCACATCGTCGAACTTGAAATTTTTCCGCCGGGTCTGAGCTCAACACCGGCGACCCTGTTGAACGGCAAAGTTATTCCGCGGTGAACAAGCAACGACGATAGCAGCGCGAGATCAAAGTCGAAGTGATCGATCGATCGGGGGCCATCTTATCTCGCGCTCATTTGCCATTCCTTTATCCCGGGAGCGACAGATATGTCAATAATCAACGTCGCCTTTTACGTCAAATATTCGCTATCGCACAGCAAGCCTACAGCCTAATACGTTCTCGCGCTGATCCATGCATCCGCAGAAGCTGTCCAAGCTCATTTCGGAGCTCGACAAAAGGGCGTATCTATCTGATAGAGACTTTGTTCGAAACATGTATCCATCTTCCAGATTGCGTCGAATGATAGTGCCTGTCCGCAGTGTGCGTATCAACAAATATGCAGAACATGCTCACCTCCAGCGCGGAAGATTATTGAGACGATCGCACGTTCGAAGGCGAAACGCGCGCTGAACAGTCCACGCGTTGCATGGCGGAGAATTGAAATGGCTGTCAGCCTGACTGGACGACGAACTGGGTGACATAGAAGAGACTGGCGCGGTACATTCGGAGCGGTTGTCACAACGAGGCATACAAGGATCCCATCGAAACAAACATCAAAGATGGATTGAATGCATTTATATATGCAGTCTCCGTGAGACGCGTCCAGAGGCGTCCAGTCAATTCTATGTGAGTGTTCTTATTTTCCCAGTAACGAGGTGCGCGGACACGAACCACGTAGGCACGGTTCTACGACCGACGGCAAGATATCGCGAACCGGCGGCGACCGGTCCGCTTCAGGGCTACAGTTCCACCTAATCTGACATGGGCGGTCGGCCACGCAGATTTGACAGGTTGACACTGACATCTTGTGATCGGCGGCCTCGGCATAGCAAGGTACGGAACCGAGCGCGTTTGCGTGTCAGGAGATAAGAGCAACACACACAAGGTGTTAGCGCATGTGCGTCGAGGCAAAATTGAAATGAAACCCGAAGGCTTTGTCAAGGGGGTGCGCAGGCGCGAAGCAGAGTACCTGGGGGGCCCCCACGAGCATGCTTTCATGCCATGATTTGACATGCACTAAGCTTACCGTGCGTGATGCAGGGAAATCAGAAGTCGAGAAGACGCGTCTGCACCGACATGGCGGGGCGCGAGAGATGGAGCGGAAGCATAATTTGAACTGTCTGTTTGGCTTCGATACTCACATCTGCGTGCTGTATGTGCTGTATGGTGCTATTAAAAGGGCGCGTGCGTGCGGCATGCCACGGCGCCCATCCAATATGTTGTTTGGATGCTGTATCGCGACAGCGAATGAATCAAAACTACCCTAGGAGAGTGATGAGTGCGCGGAATAATGCGACGATGTGTTCCGAAATCGAGATGAACTTAGCGTTATCGCGCGGATAAGATGAAGGCTGTAGCCGAGGGATGGACAAGCCCTGGCAAAATTTGCCCCGAGAATTTCCAGTCGGTGACAGATGCATGGAAACCCGGTCGGCTGAAAGAGCATCCAATTTCAGTCGCGAATTGTGCAATATGCGCCATGCGTGGTGCGGTCAAAACAGTCTCGAACGACGACGCAGGCAAGGAAAAGAGGTCGTTGCGTCGTCGTGGAATGAGCATTGCCAAAAAATCTGACGAGCATGCTCCAAGGGCGTGGCGGCATGAGACCGGCGGCGGACGGGCGGTGCTCGGACCGGAGGAAACCGCAAAGGCACCGGAAGATTGGCTGAGTGAAACTCGATGGAGACCCCTGGCACCCGGTCTACAGCCGAACCACGGAGAAGAGAGGAGGAGGACACAGCGGTCAGGGAGATAAAAAGAAAATGGACGTGTTGTATTATTGTCCCGCTCGAGCTCCTTCTCGTTCTTTGAGATCTATTCCTGGGCACAGCTTGCCGGGCTCAAGATCCAAGCCACCCGGCGTTGGAGCACTCACCACCCTCTTCCTCTCAACTGCGCGCTCCCCCTTCCGTTTCCACGCCCCAGTTGGCGAAACATCCTTCCATTCCCTCTTAGGCCCTGCAATTCAGCGCCGCTGACTCGTTTGCCACTTCTCTGCTACTCTGATGGCCTTCTTCCTCAGTACTAGACCCTCTTCGCCTTCTCGAGAACATATAAGCCCTCCCCCAGAAGAAGACCATGCCTCCCATGCCTCTGCCCTCTCTGCCGCCCTCCACAACATCCACATGGGCACGTCCCCCCACCACGCTCAACATGAACATGACTCCAAAGACAAGCCACACTCGAACATCGAGATCGCCGTCAACTCCGATTGGCTCACCCTCAAGGGCACCGGTGTTGACGTCGAGCCAGCACTCTTGTCTGGTCACATCGCCTTGTACCTCACCGAGTCGACGTCTATCAAGGAGATAACGCTTCAGTTCCGTGGCAAGGCGAGACTGCCTACCTCTGCTTCCGACACGTATGTCCTATACATCGTCGTCTCTGCTCTAACATCCCTACTGACTTGGTGACGACTATGCAGCTCTTCGTCAGGAGCCACCTACGTCGTGTGCAACCACGACTGGTCGTTCCTCGAGGGGGAGAAAAGGCATAGCCACACGCTGAAGGCGGGCCGACATGTCTTCCCCTTTCAGCTCCAGATCGGCGGATCTCTCCCTTCGAGCATCGCAACTGCCTTTGGTGGCGCGTCCATCAATTACAAGCTTCGTGCTGTCGCCGTCCGGCCCGGGTTCGCCCACAACATGCAGGCCATCCTCCCGCTCTACATCATGCGCTCCTTCGCACCAGAGGCACTCGAGTACCAGCAGACGCTCGAGATCGAGAACACCTGGCCAGAGAAGCTCATGTACTCCCTCATGATCCCCCACAAGGCGTGGGCCATCGGCGACAAAATCACCGCTATTGCCAAGTTCTCGCCGCTTGCCAAGGGTGCAAAGGTCTTGTCAGTCTCGACTGTCTTGAACGAGACGACCAAGATCACCCTGCCCGGTCGCGTCGGCCCCGTGGAGCACACCCGGAGCGTCGTCAACGCCAAACATGATATCTTGAACCACAAAGCTGTTCCCGTGATTGAGCAGTACCCGGGCGTTCGCGTCCCCGTCCTCGCAGGGTCGTATGTTGCGCTGACGACCACCGCGAGCTCGATACCACCTAACCCCACTCTCGGCGCCGAACACCGATCACGGAGTACGGGCTCGATTTCTGGCAACTTATATGGAGACCTTGCTCTTCGCATCGTGCCGACCTCAGGGTCGGGCTCATCGAACGAAGGAGTTGCGTCTTCCTCATCATCCTCCCAATCAGGTCCACAGCCATCGTCCAGCACAGCACCTACTTCGCAGCCGTCAAACTCCTCGGAGGACCTGGAGATGAACGAAGAAAATGTCGTGACTCCGATTTCCATCACTATCCCACATTCCGCCACTCCCAGCCACGCTCTCGATCCCATCCATGTTAGCCACCGCATCCGTTGGTCGATTCTCATCAGCAATCTCGACGGTCACACATCCGAGCTGCGGTGTTCACTACCAGTCCACATCATAGACTATCGCCTTTTCGACGAGGTGGCCTTGAACACTGCCGCGACGCGCCGCTTGCTCCTCGAAGGTCCTGACACAAACTCCGAAGAGTCGCCGGAGTCCGAGCTGCCGAGTTACCCCGCACACGTCCGCGATCGCATCGCAAACATGTATCTTCCAGACGCAGCTACGGTGCGAGTGACGAACCCATGGGTGGCGAGCCACATGAGCCCGACCAACATTGGAGAACAGGACGCACACCGGCTCAACACCGGTCCATGGACGCCCTCTGGCGCGTCCTCTCCGCTCAGCGTTCATCCTGCCACATCACACCTGCCACATCAGCCCCAGAGCGGTGGGAGTACACCACTCGACTGGGTCAACTCTGAGCTACTTCTGTCGCTATCAGGTGATGAGCCGCCACGGCCAACGGTCACGATCTCCCAGGCTCTGCAGGCGAGCTCGTACCCATCACCCCCGCACTCTAATTCCGACCCCACTAGCCCCTCGCTAAGCCGAGGAGCGTCAAGGCGACCTTCGCGACGGCCGAGTCGCGCGCCCAGCCCTGAGCGCCATCTCACCATGTCGAGTATTTCGTCTTCAGCATTGCCAGCGACTATGCCAGCAGCGCCCGAGACATACGTGCACAACGCGAGCAACGCGTCGCGCAACATGGCAGGCGTGTTCACCGCCACGCTCAAGCCCCTCAACACGAGTTTAGCAGCATCCGCATGGCGCGGCGCCGGGGGATACGGCACTTCGCGCTCAAACTCGTATGGGAACCTCGCCTCGCTCGCCCCCACCTCGACGGAGCACCGCGTCTCGTCCTCGCAGCAGCCCCACCACCCCTCGTATCCCAGCCACGCGCACTCACACTCACACTCGCACTCGATATCGCACATCCACTCGGGCGTGCATAGCCCGGCCGCCGTCCAGTCCCCCTCCGCAACCATCCACGGCTCGGGGTACTTCCCCGCACCGGGGCACAGCAGCGCCGTCGGCGGGTCTGCGACGGGGTGGAGTACCCCGCGGACGATGCCCCCGACGCCTGCGCTCGACGCGCCAAGCGAGAGCGCACTGTGGCACCGGGCGTTCACCGAAGTGCCTGACTACGACGTCGCCGCGCGCGGGTTCATCGGGGGCGTGCCGCCGCTGAGCAGCATGCAGGGGCTCCCGTCGTACGAGGAGGCGGGGCGCGACTCGCCGACTGGCGGAAGCGGATCGACGTCGCCCGGCGCGAGAGGGGTACTCAGCCCTGCTTCTGCTAGCGGTATGCAGCTGCGCCTGCCGCCAGGTCGGAACGCGTCGGTGTCGCCGGCGTCATAGCGTTCTTTTGCGCTGTTTCCTTTCCTTTCCTTTTATTTCGTTTCTCGTTTTATCTAGACTTCACATCTCCTCTCTATCGCATCATGATTCCCGCGTCGTCCTTTTTTCCATGCACATAGACGCGACGGACGCACCATATACTCGCACTCTTGATTTAGACACATCTCGTTCTCTTCTCTCTCCATATCTGTCGTTGTTCGCCCGCTCAACCCCTCTGTCCATCTCGTCATGATTTATTTTCCTACCATTTTTGTCATCCCCGTCTCTCTTTTTTCCTTCTCATTTCACGACATATCCATTGTGACTTAACGGCCCCTTGTACGATGGTGAACGCAAATATCCGGATGTACGAGTAGACCGTGACAGAGAGCTTTGCTTGTGATCGATCAAAAATAAGGAGGGGGAGAACCGCAAGGCATAGATCGACATCGGCCTTGAAGGACAGTCGAACAAGACCGGGGAGGTCAACTTGAGGGAAAGCAGCTTCAGCCCATTGCGGCATGTACTGCAACGTCACAAGCCATAAAGTCAGGTCTTCTAACACCCGCATGTGCATCAATGAGTTCAATATATCGTGTACATCTGAGTTTTCGTGGATCATTTGGGAGAATGTCAGGGAAGCGAGGTTAGAGAAGGGAGCGGTGATGCTCTGAAAGTCGATGGGGCATATGAGAGCTGGACAAAGATGGAACTCTCTAAGCTGAGGGCAGTCCTCGGAGCGAAAGGGGGCAGTTCTGAGAGTTGACGTCGGAGTGTCGTCTGAAAGGTCGACCTTGATAATGGATAAAATGGGTGCAGAGAGGACGGCATCCGTCAACAGAGTAAGCTCTGGCACTGACCCCCTGAGATAAAGTCGTCGCGTACGACCCATGTTCCTAACCAACTCGTTGTATGCTCGAGACCCAGGCTGAACTGTATGAAGATCCGCGTGAACGTGCAGAGACGTGGTGCCTCCTGCACGGGCGAGCATCGTTTCTCCTCACCACGAGCAACGAACACATGTAAGCATGGAATAGGAGAACTCAACCCAGAGCGACGGCAATGATAGTGATGTGATACGCCACTGTTGACAGACTTGCGTGACCGAGATCCATGAGGGTGGTCCGCAACTTCTGTGTTCCATGAATAGGTGAAGAGTAGGATCATGTTCGGGAGAAGAGCATTCGTCAAATATCAGAGCGAGCACGTCGTGCGACAACTTGGCCAGAGAAGCGGCCATAATTCGATCCGGAACCTGCTAGGGGGGGGGGTGAAAGTTCTTCAGCATAAGAGTACCACTAAGATAACCTACGGGTTCATGAAGATGGAACGTACGGCGTACTAGGCGAAGGTGAGCCCAAGGTGAGGCGCTGGGTAAGACATTCGCGAACGCGCCGCGCCGCGCCGCTCATCGGGCGCTAAAAAGTCCCACACACTTGTCCACCATGTCACGTGCACTTTCTTCCATGTATGGATTTTCATTATGACATCCAAATGTACCAACACTGTCCGATTTCCTCTTGCCTCGGTATAGGAGAATTCTGGCGGGATACCGGTGATTCAAAGACCATGATCACGAACTACACTCAAGCTATACGGTTCCGGGCTGGAGTCCATCCAACGATGCCTTTTCAAGTTGTTTACTAGTGAATGTCACAATGCACAGGCGGACAATCCCTTTCCACTCTGCAGTCAATGACGTCGAGCGATTAGCTTACACATGACGACTCATACATATTTGCTACCAAATGAAGGAGGCTGCATATGTGCGATCAAGGTCAGGGCTCACGATCAAACACAAGAGTCCTAAGCCTTCTTCTCCACGGGGGAGACATCCTCGCGGACCTCACTAGGCTCCACCCCTTCCGAACCACCAAGAGCAGCCTTATGTGCGATCTTCTCTATCTTGTCCTCGCCGTCGAAAAGCGCTGCTGTCTCCTCGAGCGTCCGATTTTTGGTCTCGACGAGGTAGAAGTAGATAAAGACGAGTTCGACAGCCAGCCAGCAGACGTACACGATCTGTAAGGGACCAAGTCAATCAATAGAACTGCGATGAGCTGAAACCCCCCACGTACATAGTACTTCCACCCAAGCGCCTGCAACGCAATCGGGTTCACATACTGGTTAAACACCAGCGCAAGCGACACCGTGAATTGAAACACGTTGAACCCCTTCGCGCGCAGCTGGAACGGCAGGATCTCGACCGTATACGACACGATGAGCGAGCTGTACGCGAGGTTAAATGCGGAATAAAACAGGAAGATGAACGCGATGACGGCGTGGCCCGCGGCTGGCGCGGCCGTCTGCGCGTATCGCGCGAAGCAGATCACTTGCGCGGTGTAGAACAAGAGCATCCCGAGCGTCGATGCGAGGAAGAGGGGGCGGCGACCGATACGGTCGACATATAGTGCAGCGCTGACGGACCAGATGAGGTTCCAGACTTGGAGGATACCGTTGATAAGGAGCTGTGTTCCATGTTCAGTCCGCGTGAACAGTTATTGGGACGAAGAAGAGATGAATAACGGGCTGCCCACCTGGGTGCTGGAGCTGGTAATCCCAATCTGGTCGAACACCTTGTTGAGATAGTATGAGACCAGCCCATTGCCAGACCACTGCAAAAAGAACGCAATTGCAAGGATGATCCGCATGCGCCTGCGATTCCCCGGCGTCGCTATAAGCGTCTTCCATCCGACGTTCTTCGAAACTTCGCGGTCGAGCGTGATGGCAGCTTTGATCTCCTCGAACTCGTACTGCACGAGTGGGTCTTGTTCGTTTCCGTCTGCGTGGTAGTACGCGAGCATCCCGAGAGCCTCAGCTTCGCGGCCTTTGTTCACGAGCCAGCGGGGAGACTCTGGTGCGAATAGGACAAGGATGAATTGGAGGACCGAGGGGAGGCCTTGTAAGAGGGAGGGCAGGCGCCATGCCCAGGTCGAGCCAATGAGAAGGGTACCGTAAGTGGTCCAAGCCGCGCTACGCCCCAATCAGTCTGTTTCCGATATGTGCATATAGACGATCCACGCCACAAACTCACATGGTAGACCCAGAGTACCATAGTCCATTGTACATCGACGTCAGCGGTGCTCGATACACCGGGTACGCGATCTCGGTGACGAGCATAGGTGCCGCGTTCGCAGAGAAAGTCAGCCCGAAGCCGATGAGGAAGCGCGCGCCGATAAACATGTTCACGGACTGCGACGCGGTTTGCAGTGCAGTGCCGACCAGCATGATGGTCGCACCGAACCAGACAGTCTTGCGGCGGCCAATGCCATCAGAGACGTATGGCGCGAATGGGTATCCGGCGAGTGCGCCAATGTTCTACAGGTGTGTGGGATCAGCTGGGGAAATTTTCGAGAATCAAAGACAAGACACGACTTTACCTGGATGGCGTTGAGAAGGCCCAGTTTCCCGCCTGAGGGGTTGTCGAATGCGTCTCGCCACTGGGCGAGGGACTGCAGTCCGTTCATCATGCTCCCATCATAACCGTTGGTTGAGGACGTGATCAACAGGAGAACGATCCACGCATGTAGTACAATCAGCCTAAGCGACAAGAACAGTGTCGGTTATGCAGGCGTAAATAGGTGATCACGAACGCATACATACCGCTTATTATTGTACCATTTCCTGCGAGGATCGATGAGATGAGCGAAGGTGGTTTGTTCAGAGCTGACCACTGCTGCTCCACCCGTCATGGTTGTTGTAGCGTGCAAGAGAGATGGATTTGCGGGGGATCCAGGGTTAAGCGTGTGCTCCAGACAAGCGGGAACCAGCTACATTGCCGGAAACCAGGAATGGTAGAAGAACGGGAGCGAACGAGGTTGCGTAGGTTTGCGCGCAAGACGCTGGTGGGGCATGGGTCGCAGAACGGCGACCTTGGAGTTACCTGAGTGGGAGAGACAATGAGTACGCATTTTGCGCCCTTACGGCATACATCACGGACCACTTACTGATGGAATTGGATGCGTGACCTTGATGCATACCACCAGCAACGGAGCGAACGCTGATAAACAGCCACCACTGTTTATCGAGATCTTTCATGTTAAGACAGAGCAGGCGTAGCTTTCTTTTTATCAAGTTGAAGCATCGCCACAGAAGGCAATACCTGAAGGTGTCGAGTATCAGCCAGAGACGTGCATAAGAACAGTTAGGATATCTGGCACATGATGCATCAGAGGCACAATTCTAGGTTGCTGTAGATCACCAGCCTCAATGAGGATTCAAGAGTCAGCTAGAAACTCACTTTCGTGGCTCAAAGTACGCTACGTGGTAGCAATGAGCATACCGACCATGTCGGGCGCTTAATAAGCTTCAGGCGCCTAATTCGCTCCAAGCTCTAGCTGTACCATATCAGCTGCTGATATCCGTTTGGATCAGATGAGATCATATGTCATAGGAAGAGTATGATGAAGTTGAGGATGGATGGACGTGAAGAGCAAGGCTGAAGAGGAAAAGTCGCCAAAGAAAACGCGCAAGAAGCTGACGTACTAGCCCGGGCCGTATAGACTCCGTTGCACGATCACGTGTGGGCGCCACTTGCACAAGCCGCGGCCGACACTTGATCTCACTTGATCCACTCGATGAACATTCTTCTAAAGGTCAGCTGCCTCGCCCATTCCCGCGCACGAGGTCATGTAAATCTATAAGACCATCGTCGTCCCCAACATCCCTTCCTTGACCTGTGCATGTCACTATGACCTGGCTTCGCACGACGCTCCTCGCGTTCAGCTTGTCAGCACCGGCCTTGGGCCAGGTGTTCGACCTCTCGCAGCTCTCATGGACGCTCAAAAATCAGAATGGAAGCATCGCCATACCAGGGTCGCTGCCTTCGCAGGCGCATCTCGACTTACTCAAGGCAGGGATCATCACGGAGCCACTACTGGGTATCAACGGTGCGTCTCAAAGCTTAGTGCATTCAACCTCTCGTTGTCTGACATGAAACGTAAAGACTACACCCAGAGGTGGATCATCTATGACAACTGGACCTATACTGCCGACCTGTCGAGTGTTATCAATGGCCAAAGCACTAACTCTGGTTCAAGCGACACGACGTTGCTCGTGTTCTACGGCATCGACACCGTTGCAAACATCGTGCGCTCAAATCATGACTTCCATCACTTGTGCTGACGTCATGTGCTCGTAGACATTTGCAGGTCATCCCGTTGCGTGGGTCGACAATCAATTCAAGCGCTATGTCTTCGACGTTTCTGGCTACCTAGAGTCTCCAGCTGGAGACGACAAGAATCTTACGATCGCCCTCGAGTCTGCTTGGTATTACGGCCTCAACGTCACGTCGCGCCCCGATGCGGAGTACTTCCCGAACAACGCGAACGCAACAACCTCGGACGACGTGCGTCTCCCATGACTATCTCAATACAATTAGCTGACTTCGCCGCTAGTATGAGGTTCCTAGTGTACGTCAGTGGATTCGCAAGATAGATGACGACTTTGGATGGGATTGGGTAAGTCTCCCTCTATCGCCGTGCTTCTTTTCCTCCTGACGCGCGCAAACGTGCCTAGGGCCCTGCCTTTGTTCCCACCGGCGTCCACAAGCCCGCATATCTGGTGACTCTCGCGAACGCCAGTAACCCCACGTCGCCCTCCACACCTACTCCTGAGCAGCCCTTCCCTTCAACTCCGGGTACCGGCTCGCCCTACATTGGCGAAACCATCTTCCTAGATGAAACGTCTGTAGACATTTACAAAGTCGGGCAGAACGGTACTGCGCCGCCTGACGAATCTGCAGACTGGGTTCTCAACGTCACATTTGGCCTGCGTTCGACGACCGCCTACCAAAATCCGACAGTAACACTCTCGCTCCCCGAACTCGAGCTCACCTCGCAGCCTCTCGACCTCGACGCTATCCCGGCGCAAGTCGGCGACGTCACGTACAGGAGCGTCAACTGGACGATCCCAGACGCGAAGCCGGAGCGGTGGTATCCTGCTGACCTCGGCACGCCCAAGCTATACAATCTCACCGTCACGTTCACACTCTCCGGTTCCAGCTCCTCATCGTCGTCCGACAACGCAACCACGCTGACACAGACCATCCGCACCGGCTTCCGCACCATCTTCCTCGCGCAGACGGCCTACAGCGACACTGACATCGCACAGCGCGGCATCACACCGGGCGACCAGTGGCACTTCGCCATCAACGGCCAGCCGTTCTACGCCAAGGGCACGAACATCATCCCGTTCGACCCGTTCTACTCACGCATCTCGCCCGCCAAGGCGCGCTGGGTGCTCGAGAGCGCCGTCGCGTCCGGGCAGAACATGCTCCGCGTGTGGGGCGGTGGTGCGTATCAGCCGTCGGATGCGCAGACGGACGGGGGCGTGTATGATTTTTATTCGGCGTGCGATGAGCTGGGCATTTTGGCGTGGAGCGAGCTGATTTTCAGTGATACGCTGTATCCCATTAATGATTGGTACTTGGAGAATGTGGAGGGCGAAGTGAGGCAGAATGTGCGGAGGGTGAACCGGCACCCGAGTAATGTGCAGTGGGCGGGCGGGAATGAGATCGAGGGGATTGTGATGCAAGCGAATACGTCGCTTGCAAACGGGACTCATTATTTGGATGAGGTCAGTTTATTCACGGTTGTCATATTGCTACTGCTGATGATCCTGTAGTTTGTGGCGTTGTTCCAGGATTACCTACATGACATCGTTGTGTCTGAGACGAAATCGGTAAGCTCATCTTCTGTGGATTGATGATACATCGTGCTTGTCTTACATTTGCTCGCAACCCAGGTCCCTTATACGGACTGTTCTACGACGCATGGCGTCCTCAGCCTTGATCCATACGTCCTTCGATTTGCAAACGGGACAGAAGGCTACATCTACGGTAACAGTGGTATGTTAAGATTCATTTCGACGCATGATGTGTCACTAACACTACTTGGCTAAAGAACGGTACAACTACGACCCCACCCAGGCGTTCAACCTCAGCACCTATCCGGTCTCCCGGTTTGTGAACGAATTCGGGTAAGTTTAGTCACGAGCATTAGTTTCCCTTACACTCTTCGCTGACCGACGTATCCCATTTCGCTAGCTTCCACTCCCTCCCCTCCTTCTATAGCTGGGAGGAAGTCCTTGAGTCACCCGACGACTTCTCCTTAAACTCGACGGTCGTCATGTCGCGGGACCACCACCCGCCCGCCGGCAACCTCTCCTTCCCGAACCCGAACGCGCCGCAAGGCCAGTACCAGATGTCCTCCGCCGTGGAACTCTGGCTCCCCACGCCGAACACATCCGACTCGAATCAGACATTCGCGCAGTGGTGCTACAGCACCCAGGTCTTCCAGTCGATGAACATGATCGCCGAGATCGCATGGTACAGGCGCGGCGCGGGGCTGGGCGAGAACAACCTCGGGAGCCTCGTCTGGCAGCTGAACGACATCTGGCAGGGCGTCTCGTGGAGTGCGATCGAGTACTCGGGGCGCTGGAAGGTGCTCAACTACGGGCTGGCGGGCGTGTACGCGCCCGTGATCGTCAGCCCGTTCTGGTTCCCCGAGAACGAGACGCTGACGGTGCTCGCGACGAGCGATCGGTGGGAGAGCGTGAACGCGAGCGCGCAGATGACGTGGTATGATTGGAGCGGGAAGGTGCTGAATTCGACGACGAGGAGTGTGGAGATTCCGAGTTTGAATAACTCGTTGGTGTTTGAGGGGACGGGGCTGAGCTCGATCCTTCCGCAGGGCGCGAACGCGTCGGACGTGTGGTTGCTGCTGAATGTGACGGCGACTGTGGATAACAAGACGGTTACGAATGAGCAATATGTGCGTCTCTCTTCCTCCGTCTGTTATTGTTCAGGGATGACTTACATATTCGATCTAGTTCACCCCTGCCTCACTTGCCGATGCCAAGCTCGTCGACCCGCAAATATCTATGACGTCTAGCTCAAACCTCACTTTCACACTCTCTGCCAAGGGTGGTGTCGCACCTTGGACATGGATCGACCACCCGGCTGGCACGGTCGGGTACTTTGTCGACGCTGCGACTGAGCGCCCATCAAACGGCTTCTACCTCATTCCCGGTCTTGACCGCACTTGTGAGTCCCTTTTTCTTTTCCTATGGCAAGCGAGGATGATTCATGGGGCGTGTGCTTGACAGTGCAATTTATGATGAGCAAGGAGACCTCGAGCAACTCGATTCCGGAGCCGAGCGACTTCGTGGTGAGGTCATTGTGGAATAACACGCATGCATAGCAAAGGAGACTGTTCGAAGGTACTGATTCAAGGCCCTTGGCGACGGATTCTCCCCATGTAATCATTGTATTGTATGAATAAGAAGCTTGATCTATACTTCAGAAATGGCACAATCCACGTTTAGTCTGAAGGCGATAGCAGTTTATTGCCTTGTTTGCAACAAGATATTCCTCACGCATTATTCGGGTGGCGCTCGGGGAGCTCAATTGACAACACATGTAGTGGGAGCAAGAGACTCGTCAGTCACCCAGTGCAATCTATTGCCACGCAACGTGGGCAACGAGCTCAGTCCACGGCTTTGCCACAACAGGCACCCAGCAAGCTCAATGCGGTCTGCCAGGGAACTTGGCCACCCGTCGTCAGGTCATTGAGAATCCATATGATGTATTCCGCCTCAGTCCGTACATGAATTGAGTACTTTAGCGGTGCTCGTTTTAACACAAAGAGGGGCGCAGTTGTTCTCAGGGGGGATGATCGTTGCTCTGGACGTACGTAAATCACCTTGAAATGATCAGCCCAATCACAACCCTCTTGGTCGGTCTTATTGTTTACATCAATGGGACGCTGCAATGTGGCATTGCCGTACGACGCACGGATACATGGCTGCAACACAATCCGTCATAACATTGTTTGCCTGACCCACCATCTGGACACCGTTTCAGTCGTTGCAAAGTTCATCGAGAGAGAAGGTTCAATAAACGTCTACAGGCCTTCAATCGGCATAACAAATCTACCAGTCCAGAATGGGAGAGCGAGACGCGGACGCTTGGATAGCTCGGCGCTCCATCTACCATTGAGACGGTTGTATAGTAGATTGAGGACAACCTGCGGGATCAAATAGTAGCATTGGACTTGAACGATACACGTGGATAGCATGACGAGGAATATCAGGGCTAAGGATATGGTCCCGGTTTAGTCGTTCTAGGTTTCCCCAGGACACTATGAGCCGATTGGCATTACTGGCTGAGTCAACAAAACAACGCAGAAGCGGGAAGGCTAGCTCTGTCTTCAAGGCATCTACTGTAGAACTGGAACGGCAGGTTTGTGCGAGTAAATATAAACAATCCTATCAGGCCAGTGCTTTACCACACGGCCAAGCCCTATAAAAAGATTCCCATGGCGCTTTGATGCGCGAGATCGTACCTTCCAAGCAGAGAGTCCCTGAATGAGGTCTTGCAGCCGCCTCACGGCTTCGTCGATGGTCGGTCGCTTGCTCGCGTCCTCTTGCATCATATCCTTTGAAAGATTCCGCAGGAAGTCGAAACCGTTTCTTCCCTATGGGACAACTAAGTATTCCGCAGTCCAACGAGGGTCGACACTCCCACCTTGACAAACTCCTTATCTACCCAATGCCCAAGACAGTAGATGTCTGCAAGGAATGGATCATAAGGTTCCTTAGAGCGAGCTTCTGGGACAGTCTTCACTCCACCGAGAATCCGGATATCGATGTGTGGTTCCCCTTCTTCGAAACGTCGGGACAAACCAAAGTCAATAAGGTAATACTTAGGGGACTTCCATGTACGACTTATGTAGCGGGCCTTCCTGGTGAGATCGCGTGTGTATTCCACCTGCGCTGGATGAAACTCCTCCGTGAACATGGAGCCATCCATCATAAGGTTGAACGTAGATATGTCCCTGATTCTGGTCAGCCGGAATGATATAAGATCAGCGCATAACCATACCTATGGGCAACGTTATTATGATGCATAAACTGGAGACCCTAAGGCGCACTCCGTAAACCATTTGTAAGGCAGCTGTAGTGTGCGCGCCGAGACTCACCTCAAATATTTGCTGAATACATCCCAACGCCTCTCCAATGGTATCGAATGCAGGACTGTCGTACTTGCGAAGTATGGGCATAACTAGGATTTGGGCACGATCCTCGTCAGGCACCTCAAGAGTCTCCAAGAGAGGAACACAGTGATTTCGCGGATCCGACGCCTGGGGCTCCTGGCTGAAGAACGCCTGGACTTTTTGCTCATAGCGACTGTATGATGGCCTGAGGAGTTTCAACAGGACCCTCGTCTGATCACAGATACGAGTAGCATCCATGAGTCGAGCACGCTAGGTTGTCAAAGTCAGTTCAGTATTCCGAAAGACCGAGTCGGTACGCACAGGCATAGACAGAAAATCATCGCATAACATCAAGTCCTTCTTCGGATCTGCTAGCCATGACGCCGTCCATCCAGGAGCCCAGCGAGATCGCAGTTCATAGCCAGACGTCTTGAGCCACTCGTAATGGTTGACCCAGAACCTCTCTTCGTCGCCAATCTCGTGCATCGGAGTGAGTTCTTCGGTTCCAAAGATTTCCTTGTTCATGACTCGACGCTGCTCATCATACGAGAGGGCGACCTGTTTGCTGCCAGAAGCAGCCATGTCAACAGAGTGGAAAGCTAGCTCAACAGAGGGGAGGAGTAAGGGGGGTTCAGCGCGGTTGTGGTCAGCAGGCGCGACATGCACGTAAAGCTCTTGTTGGATTTGACAAGCGCGGGAAAAGCCTGATGTGATCTATGGGTCCATATGTAAAAATGATCGGAGATGTAAAGGCGCGGGATTCAGTCCAAATCCGGCAGTCGGAACTTTGAAAATACAACAATAATCTGGGACTTCCGCAGGCTGTACTGTACGTACATGCCAGGTGATGATGCGGTTACGCGTGCATCTCGGAACAAATCCCAGAACTAAATTACAACTTCAAATTGGTTAGAGCGACTGGTGGCGCTGTCTCTTGCCTAGTACAGGATGGATATTGTCGGCCCTACGAGAAATCGCCCTGAGTCGGAGAGAACTCAAAGAGAACCCTCAGAGTCATTTTATTGTTCTCTTTTGAGTAAGTGTTCCTTTCGTAGAGAAGAGACGATGCTACAATCCCCCCAACGATTCACAAGCTCAGGACACCGATCGCTGAAGGTATAAAATCAAATGGAACTAGTGCCATCGCTAACCTAGTCTCAGGCAGACTCTCTATCACCCGTCCCGCTCGTTTCTCTCACTCCTTTACTCATCTTTTCGTTACTATGGGGGTCGACGTTCCCAGTAACGTTGTCAACATTGTCTGCAAAAGCGGCGAGTTCATCATCGGTCATACCTTTAACGGTCAAATGAAGGCTATCGAACGTCGCATGAACATTTCCCGAACACTACTCAAAGAGATGCCCGAAAGCTCGTATGATCCAAATGTCGTTTCTCCCGAAGAGTTGGAGAACATCAAGAAGGAGTTCAGAAAGTACGCGTTTGCACGTATCATGGCGCTAATTCTCATATGTTGCTTTTTCAGTTTGGAGACTCTGTATCAGTCTTTAGTTAGACTTCGGACCAAGTGGTCCACCTCTCACTTTAGTGTTATGGCGATCAGCCAAGCGCATAAAACTGCGGCTGGGGCGAAATCTCTCAAATTCGGATTGAGGGTACGTTGTTGTATTTCATTCGGCTGGGACGTAGACATTAATCGGAGACCTCAGGAAGTGTCTGAACGAGCAGCCAATCACGAATCGTTACGCGAATTTGAAGCCCAGATTGAAAAGGCCACATTAAAGGTCAAGGTGTCTGATGCCAGGGCGTTACCTTCAGCTGGATCTGAAGGTGGTCCAACGAATGGAGCATCAACTTCTACTATCATCATGGCAACAGAGAGGGAAAGTCAGTCCCAGGTACCATTGCGCGTGGACATCTCCCAGACAGCAAGAACTGATTCTGCTGAAGGTGGTCCTAGGGAGTGTGCGGTTCTTGGTTAGACAAACTAGTATCCTTTTGATCTCTGCCTAATACCTTTGACGCACAGACTCGCCTACCTCTGAGCCGACGGATCCGGAATACATGAAAGCACGCCATGAGTTTCTAGACAAGGCTGCCGACGTACTGATACGTACTGTGGCATTGGGTTACCCGACCCTCCATGTCGACGCTGATACCCTCAAAGCGGCTGTTCATGCGGTGGTCCTTGACAGATAAGTCTAGAGGACACGCGTTCGCTTGCCATTTATCACCAGTATTTGTAACGTTAGTACACTAAGTTACATTCATTCGAAGAGTACACCCGTCAATTTTCTACATAGTAATCGTCTCATTGTCTGGTCTCGGTTCTACTTTCACGACGTGATCCGAGCGTGCATACCCGACGAGCATTATCATGTGCGCTTGCACGAGTCTTTGTATCCCGCCATGACACCGCAAAGTTTGTGTGGACCAAAAGGGACCAACAAGGACCCATATCTGTTTCATGAGTCTTGTGATTCGCTCCTGTAGCAAGCTCTCAGAATCGTCAGAACTATCTGAACGTGTGAGTCGGTAATGCATTTCTGATGGCGTTGCGATGCTATCGCTGCCAGTCGGCTCAATACGAGGTTATACCATACGTGTGTACCTATCAACCGACTGTGAGCGGATAAAGGAAAAAGCCATCAGCTATCCAATACAAGGACGACAATAAATACGTTTTCCTCCCGTGATGCCCAACATCGAATTTGGTAACAACAAGCCATCCTCTAAACCTTCTAAACCTTCAAATTACTCCATCGACGACAGTGATACCAAAACAGAACCCATCTTGATTACCACAGCAGAAATCATACAAGCTTCTGCACCATATTCTCCTAGTAGGTTATCCGCTCGATGGATGAATTGTATAAACATTGGGCTAATATACGCGTGTCTGACTGGTGGCGGCGGGCGTCCGCCACTAGAGCTTATTCCACGGTCCCTATCTTCCGGACCCGAAGAGGCACGCAGCATCCTTCCTCACCCATAACTCTGGGACGCGGCGTTATCCCGTTTGTGAAGTTCATTTCTACCTCGCGCTCGTCGGACATCTCGAAAGCGAAGTGTCTTACGAGTACACTCAGCACAACCTATTGTACGTCATCAGTGTGGAAATTGGAACCATAGCCACTAACGCTTACTTTCATCTCAGCGACAGCCAGACCTTTTCCTAAGCACGTCTTCGGGCCGTCGATGAACGTGAATATGCGGCGATGGCGAGAATCGTCAGAGCCATGATCAGTTATCCACCGCTCGGGTTTGAACTGCCTAGCGTCAGGCCCCCAAACATCCCGAGACTGGTTTACGGCCTTGATGGGTATGAACACAGTAGTCCCCTTCGTAATCGCAATTCGATCTGTTAGTTTTCCGGAGGCTGTTGTTACCGGCTTCCTCAGAGGAATGATGTCGTCTTTCTTTGCCTAGTCAGAAAGCATATTAGTGTTGCAGCACCTTGTTTAACGAAGGCCGTGCTTACAACTCGAATGCCATCTGGGAGAGATGGGTGAAGACGTAAGGTTTCAGAGACGACGCCGTCGAGATATGGTAGTCGGCTGGCCAAGTCTTCCCAAGTAATCTCGTCAGTGGCAATCTGAAAAATCTCTTGACGCAGCTTGTTCTGCACGACTTCATTTTGAGCCAGCTCGATAAGTGCCCACTGAAGGGGAGATAATCTATCAGACAAACGGCAATACTAGAAACAGACTGCTTACAGTCAACGCAGCTGAAGGTCATCGTAAGTCAATACGCAAGGTGAGGGCAAGTCTTGAATGTACCTGAAGTCGTCTCGTACCCAGCGATCAGCATGAGCTTCATCTGGGGGTTGTCAGTTTCCATGTATATGCCAGTAGGTGGGAGACACACCTGTGAAATGATTTCCTCCTTATGCATACGGCTTTTGGCGCCCGCTTCTTCCAACGTTGCTAAAACAGGGTTAGGTTTTCGTTGAAGTTCTTTCCACCGATAATGCTTACCTAGGACCTCTAAAAGAGACTTCACTTCCGGGCTACTATACCCACCTTGAGCATTATCAAGCAACAAAGTAGCAATGTGATCCAAGCTTTGGTTAAGCTTGGCGAGCGGCGTAAATGCCGGGTTTGGGAGCTTGTCGGAGTACGGAAGGAAAAGCATTAATGCAATGAATGCCAACTGGAGCTTCGACATATTCAGCGAAGCGGTGGACTGAAGGGCGTCAGCAACTTCGCTCTCCTTGCCTTCAAGGGTGCCAAAGTCGTGACCGAAACCAGCGAGTCCAATGATGTCTAGCCTGTCGCGAAACATCAGCGGAGAAGTATTGAGGATAGGGCCTGCATTACGATATGCGACTCATCCTGTAAAGAGATTAGATATTTTCACACAAAAAGCAACGCAGATACTCTACCATTGCTGTACTTCGATGATCGCTCCATCAACGCCGTCATCAACAATGTCATTCCAAGCAGTCTTTGCCTGAACAACAATCAATACCAATATCGGAGACAGACTAGTAGTAACCTTCAAAGCGCAGGCAGAAAACACGGGAACAAGGCGCCTAATGGCGGTGTTGTTGAAGGCAGGCGCCAAAACACGCCTCTTTCTACAATAACATGCGATTCGCAATATCAATATTGAAAGTCTACGGTCCTACGTCTGAGAGCTCACCGCTTATGTTCCTCGCCACGAAGCGACAGCAGGTTGCCCTTGCCGAGCTGAAAAAGTATATCAGCAACCATGCGTCATCACTATCAACCGAAGCAGCCCAACTCACCATGAGCTCGAGCGAGATCTTTGCAATCTGTGGTGCGTCGTAGTCCTCCTCGTCGCTCGCATAGACGTGCTCTAGGCCCACCGGATCGCACAGAACGGTCCAACGCATTCCAGCAACCACTGGGAGACTAAATACACCACCGTACTTGGAAATCCACTCGACCATCTGGGGACTGCGGTCCTTGAGCTCGAACTTGTCGTTCGTACCGTACAGGATACTGCGTCGCGGGGGGCCGCGTAAATGTGTCGTACGTCGACGAGCCTGGACATGCCCCCAGATCTTCAGCGTCACCCATACCGCAAGGATGGAGGCTATGGTCTTGCACGCAGGCAAAAAGAAGGGAAGCGACAGCATAATGTCCGATGAATAAGACGATTCAACAGCGATGGTGCGAAAGAGATTGCAGGGGCTTGGTTTGACTCGTGGAAACCAACGAAGAGCGAATATATAAGAACGCGGGGGCTGCGGCACAGTCCGTTCAGCTGAGACTGACTGACACTTGCGCAGTGATGCCGAGAAGTCGTGCCGAGCGTGAAGCAGAAGAGCGCCCAGTATAACAACGAGGAGTTGAAGGCACGTAAGTCTGTGCTTGGCGTATCTCGATGTTGTGTTGATAGGGAATGACGTACCTGACGTGGGGACACCCTCGACGATGCTGCTGAGAGGGTCTCAGCCCGTGTGCGGAGGATAACATGTTCATCGTGGAATGAACGACAGCTTAGGCGCTCGTCATCATCAGGCACATTACTGTGAGCCGCGCCGCAGTCCGTCCCATGCTTGGCTTCAATCGGCGAGACGATAGCAACTTCCAAGAGCGCGACCTGGAGACGGGAGCTCGAATGTCAGTGGCCACCACTCCTTATGCGTGGTTTACTAAGAACAATACCATGAGAATACCTCGGGTGCCTTCACGTTATATGTCGACGGATGTCTGGTCAGTGGGATCGAGCCGCAACAACGTGGAAGATGGAAGAGCATCTTGATGGCGGTAACGCTTGTGCTACGCTCGATTCCATGGCGCTGAAATGCTTGATAGGCAGCTTAGTGTCGGAGAGAAGTCGTAACGATAGGTTACAACATGTTACAACCACAGATCTCAGCGTGTGAGCTTGGTGTGAGCGTTAGAAACCCCGTGAGAAAACTTGACAGGCGCCCACGCTTCGCTTCCGAAACCTCCCGGAGCCCCTGAGCGTCGTACTCAACTCGAAATCCAGAGTCACGACGAGACACACAGAAGTGTTTAGGATTTGTATGGACATGAACTAATGATATCGACAAGCTTTAGTCTTTACTGATAGAAATATGCAAACAATGTAGAGGTAGGGAGTGACTATAGTAACAGCGACGGATGTGTCTAGTCGCGCACGACGCGGCGCGCATCTAAGTTATATGTAGATTACGTTTTGTGTGAGAGCTCGAAAGCAAGAGCATTTTAGGTCGGAAACAAGGAAACAATGGAGAAAATCAGAGCAAGCAAGGAGAGATATCGGAGTGGGGCGAGTAGAAAAGGAAGGATATGTTCCTGATCCGGGAGAGATGAGACAAGGATTACATTTAGAAAGCAAGACAGACACGAAGCAAGCTAGCAAGCAAGCAAGCAAAGAGTAAAGCAAACAAGCACTATAGAGTCATGATGAGAGAGCACAGAGATAGCGTCGAGTCCACCTGCTCGACTTATGCACGACGCGCCGCCTTCGCGGGGGCTTGCCGCGTCGACCGCCTGGGCCGACCGGAGCCAGTGCCACTACCAATGGCCTCACTGCTGCCAATACCACCCCACTCCTCGTCCTCGACCGCCTCTTCTTCAGCAGGCTTAGTAGCAGCAACCGCGGCAGCGGCGGCGGCGGCAGTGGCGCCTCCACGACCACGAGTCGACCGCGTCCGCCCACTACGCGTCTTCGCGGGGGATGCCATCTCCACGTCGACAGGCTCCCCATTCGCATTGGCCATAAGCACCGGCGCTGCGGCCAAGGCGCTGCTGCCATGGCCGCGACGATTGCCGTTCAGAGTTCCAGAGGACGATGACCTGGAGCCCGAAGCAGAGGACCCCGACGAGGCAGCCGCCCGCCCGCGCTTCTTCATGTTGCCCCTCGCTGGCTTCTCGGTCAACTCGCCTCCACTTGGGATAGAGTTGAGCTTGCGCTTGTTGCCACGTGTGGTGGGTCCTGGCCCCGCCACAGGCGCAGGTTCGGGAATAGGCTCAGGCGGCGGAGGAGCGGCGGCGGCGGCAACAGCGGCGGCGCGATGCTGCTGCTGGTATTCCTGCGACGCGATGACGTGCCACGAGGACTCATCGCGAATCGGCTGCTGCTTGCCGGGACTATCGCGCTGGTCGTGCTCCTGCTGCTCCGCGACGGCCATGCTCTGCCTCTGTAGTGGTATCCGGCGCATGCCTCCGGCCGATTGTGACGACGGCGAGAATGGAGTCTCGATAGCAAGGGCGATTGGTGTCACAAACCGGCTTGAGCCGGCTTGGTCACCGGTCGGGGGCGTATCGTCGGTGTCGGGGGCACCACTAGCTACAAGAGACGCGGCGGGCCCGCCGATGCTGCTGTTGAGCTGCATCTTCCGGAGTCCGCTGTCCATCGAGGGATCCGCATCATGCATCTCTGCGTCTGCTCCTTCCTCGCTTTCGTCTGGAATGCTGGAGAGCGAGCTTTCACCCATCCCGAGTGATATCACGCTATCTTCGGCCAGCTGGGAACGGGGCTCAGAGGCGACGGAAGGCGCGGGTCCTTCTGCGTTTGATAGGCTGTTCTCGCGCGCGTATGTGGCGAGCCAGGGGTGCTCCTTGGCCTCGGACATTGACATACGATGCTTGGGGAAGTATTGGAGCAGGCTCTGGACGAAATTTAGAGCTGTTCATAGTATGTTGCATTAGATAATTTGCTTCATGGCGTGATAGAGAAAGGCGCAGTAACACACCTTCTTTGCTAGTATTCACGCTCTCCAGGATGGCCCAGTCAATTGTGCGCTCGGCGATACGGACCTTGATGTCTTGTATTGATTCGTCTTCAATGAAAGGTGTTTGCCCTGTGAGCATGGAGAAAACAATAACGCCGACACTCCACGCGTCGACAAGATGGCTGTATCCTTCCTGGTTCTTCTGCGTCACAACCTCGGGCGCAAGGTATGACGGCGTGCCACACATCGTCTAGCAATCTCGTTAGTGTATAATATAAGGGATGGGCGAAAATTTGACGGACCTTCAAGCGCGTCATGCTATCGACGACCTTGGCAAGACCGAAGTCAGCGACTTTGACGACAGGCGGGTTACTGGACGTGAGTAGCACGTTCTCAGGCTTCAAGTCACGATGAACGATTCCCTGAGCATGAACATACTGCATATATGCGCTGTCAGAGACGCAGAAGCGGAAGAAGAATAGAAAATATGCACAGTAAGAGCGTCAGCGATTTGGTACGTGATATGGCACGCCAAAGGCTCCTCTGCGAGCAGGTCAGAAAACGTCACCGGGATCGCTTATAATCACGCACCCAGCCCATCACGAGTGCAAATGTAATCCAGTAGGTCTCCTCCGTCGACCAGCTCGAGCACCAGATCTGTTGAACGAGGATAAGTACCCGCTTAATCGAAATCCAGAGTTCACCACGCACTAATATTCGACTCTTGGAAGAACACCTCTTTTAACTGACAGATGTTCTTGTGGGTGAGCTTCTCGAGAATGCTAATCTCCTTCACGAAGTCCGCCGCCTTCTTCGCCTCGTGGTCGCTGGTGCTACTGTGGCTCCCGGAGCTCGCTTGGGCGCGCCTGAGCGTCTGGGCATGGATGATCTTGATGGCGTACCACTGTCCCGTCTGGCGCGAGAGACCTTTCATGACAGTGGCGAAAGAACCTTTGCCAAGTTCGTGACCCAGGTCGTAGAACGCATGTAGGCCGCCCTTGGGCGGGCCCGAGGCCATATGACGATAAATGAAGCCTGGAAGAGTGGATATCTCGCATGAGAGAGGTAACATTGGGCAGTATAGACGACGCACGATAGTCCTCCGAGGGTGACTCGGGTTGAGACCGGTGCTGCCCGAACGCGATCTCGTTCCCGTCCTTCAAGATTCCAGACTTCCCTTTCCCAATCTTCTGTCCGTTGATCTATATACACAAGCGTTAGTGCGCATATAGCCATGTTTGAGTGGATAGACGCGTACCCAGGTGCCGTTGCTCGAGGTATCATACACCGTGACATGCGACTTTTCGTCGGTCCTGCCGTCCCAGCGAATCTTACAGTGCTTGTTACCTAAACGCCGATTCAAGTGGTCAGCATACACTCTCAAATAGTCGGGAGATGAATGAGACGTCGCGGATACTCACTAACTTTGAGGCCGGGGAGAACAACCTCGTTCCCTTCCTGGTTTCGGCCAACGGACACGACGGGCTGAAGCTTGAAGAGATCGATACGATTGAGCGACTGGCTGCATGGCTGAAGTACGCCCCAAACGTCGTTCTTGCCGCCTTCAGTACTCTGGGAGCCATCTTCCGTGGACTGAGTGGCCTGCTGCGTCTCGTGTTGGGTCTCGGTGGCCTCAGTGGTCGCGTCGTCGGCCATGTTCGCGTCACCCGCATGGTTAAGGAAGTCCTGGATAGCAGCTTGCATGGTCCCAACGTGAATCTGGGGGCGATTGAAGAGTGGCAGACAATGGGGGTGTTGTGGATGAAAGGAAGCTGTAGACGCGCGTTGGGTTGAAAGGGGGGTTTTAAAGAAGGGTTGAGTGGCAACTTGCTGTGTCGTGCTGATTTTGTGGGTAGAACGCGACAATGGGGGAAGAAGGATATATCTCGTGCCTGCGACACGCGTTGGCGAGCGAGGTCACGCTTTGGACGTTGACCACAGGGGGTGCAGCGACAAACCGGCAGTGAGAAACAAGCAAGCGACCCGCGACGTCTCTATTCCTTTTCTAGAAGTAGGTGTTTTGACCCCGTATTCGATTCCGCGCGTTGCTCTTGAAGCTGTTACTCTTGTTCGAGGCGTGCGATGACAACGAAATGGACAACAGCGAAGATGGGCTCGATGGAGGACGAAGAGGGCACGGTAAAAGAGAGGGCGCGCGAGACGGAACCAAACATTTATTTCGCTTGCGGTCGGGGTCCTTGTGGTCGCCATGTCGCTTGTACGTAATTCTATGTTAGCGAGTTCTCCGCTCTTGGTCTCCACAGTCCTTGCCACAGCTTGACTATCCTTCAGAGCATCGATTCCTGTGACACATAACCTTGACCATACTGAACGAGTTATTACGGCTAGGTTTTGTTAATGCCAGTATGACCCTCACGATGAAGTTATGGCCCCTCTCAGGATACGATAGCATGAACCAAACTTTTGGCATATCTCCACTGACCCGCCACAAGGCGCAAGGTCGTTGTACTTGGCGACATTTTTGTCCTCCTAACAGTTCATTATTGCCGCTACGCCCAGATTGGCCGATCGAGAGTCGAGACGATCTTGTACTTGAGCTACCCAGCTCGAGCTCCCGGATGTCAAGGCAACGATGCTTAAGATACCCCGGCGCTCAGTGGATCGCAACCATAAATCAGACACCTGGGTCGACTCTACCAGGTTGCAACGGATGTCGCACTTGCTCGGATGTTCTCAATGTTGAAGCTGCAGAGCGTCCCCGCAAGCGAAAGGGTTGCCAAAGGGCATTGGGGAGCTGTGACACTGGGAGCGTCAGCAACACCCAAATCGGGCATGCCGCCCTGAACGACGCGGCGGCTGCCTCTTGGCCATCGCCCACATTCATGTCCGCGTCAACATGCACCTACAATCCATCTCGGTACGCTGAGCACTTCCCCACACGATGGCGCCCTCTACGCTACGCACACTTCTTGATTCGGTACCGGAGCTAGCCTAAATGCAATCTCGGCATACATCACGGTCTTCACAACGTCACAACAGACTTCCTTGACTGTCGTTTCATACCAGCAGTGCAGCTCTCTTTCTTTTCTTCTAGACGGAAGAACTATTCCAGTGTCTAGTGTCTCAGCCCCCTTGCCCCCCTCTCTGACCACTCTTCTCATAGGCCAATTACTGCATGTGCTCCGATCGAAGCCAGGCTCAGCAACAGCAACTGCCAAGGCAGTCCTCTGCCTCCTGCTCCGTTCTCCGAATTGTCTACGCAGTTCTTGCATGCGGAAATCGACGTTTTGTTGACATCATACTTCACGTTGCACTGAACCCAGCTGTCATCACCAGCGTTAGATCCGTCCGCTCCACACTGCTGAAAGACACTGTTGAAGGGACACCCAGTCGTGCCGTTGGCAGTCGTAATGTTGCTTCCTAGCTCGGAGCAGCAAATGGACTGGATAGTGGTGTTGCTGGCGACACATCCTACGGCGGGGATATATGTCAGCCTTGAAGCAACTTGACAGAGCGAACCCAAGATTAGCTAGGCTTTCGTACCGATAAATTTGGTGCTAATGGGAAATGGGGTGCTACTGGGGGCGGCCATGATCAATGTTTGCACTCGATCGCAAGGATGTCGATGGAGATCGTATGGTATGCCTTCATCATCCTACCCTACATTCTCATACTTAACGGTCTCACAATGCTGTATAATAGCTTGGCAAACTCGTTGCTCACAGCATTGACCATCCGGATCAGGCACTAGGCGGTGCCCCTTGCGATCACCGTCATCAGCTGTCACCACACACGCTAATCATTGATCCGGCAGCCCCCGGTATGCCAAGGATGGTCAGTACCCTGTTTGTGTATGTGCGTGCGTCGTTTTTCGACATTGCTGTTTCGATGAGTCTCGGTGTGGCGGATCACGGTGTTGCGTGCGCGCTAGCGAGGCTTACTGGAACGCGCAAGGAAGACCTACCAAGAGACGAGGCTGCGGTGCCCAGCAAGGGATGAAACTATATGACTTTGTTTTCAGTGACTCCGCAGGTAGCTCTTTGAGGGACTCGGGGTGTGACCAAAGATAGCCTGGAGATGGTTCATGAGGGCTCGGCCATGTCTTCGATGAACTAACACTGTCAAAGACTGAGGGTGACACTCGCTGCCCGCGAGATTGCCTCATTTTGCTCCGTTACTCCGTCAAGCGACCGGCTCAGAGTTTGTCCTCGGTACCGGACGTTCTTGTTTGCCGGTCCTTGAGTAAAGGTTCAAAGTCGTGCCCGGTCGCAAAGCATTATGCTTACTCTATAAAGGTCGTCTCGTGCTCACCGCGAACACACGCTTAGCCCGCCCTCCGCACGTCCAGGCAAATGGCCGCTCAGCTAGAGCCCGTCGACGACGCTATGTCAGAAAGGACCTCGGTCACGCATGTTCCGTCGGCGCGGGACCTGCCGCAAGCCCCTGACATAATGCTCTCCCGGGCTGATGGTGAGATAGCCATTGCGGATTCCAAAAGTGAGAAGGGCGAGGTCAAGGTGGCGATGACGGAGTCGGAGGATGATTGGGAGGTGGATCCTATAAACCCACGGAACTGGCCATCGACGAAGAAGTGGGTATCCACCGCAATTGTAAGTCTCAGTCCACTCCTTGTGTGTCACAGAGTTTAACCCGACAATGGAGGTCGCCTCGTTCACCTTCGTCTCTCCTCTCTCGAGCTCGATGATGGCTCCTGGTCTACCCGAGATTGCCGACAAGTACGACATCACGAGCTCAACGGTTGGCGCGCTCTGCCTGAGTATCTTCCTGCTATCGTATGCGCTGGGCCCGCTCATCCTCGCACCCTTATCGGAAATGTACGGCCGTAAATGGGTGGGTCGTGTGCTGGTCAAAAGTGGCCTTTGGGTGGATCAATCTCATGCTGGCGGTCCGCTGTAGGTCCTCTTTCTTGGCAACATCGGTTTGCTGGCGTTCAACCTGGGATGCGCTTTAGCACCTAATGCTGGTGCGCTCATTGCGTTCAGGTTTCTCGGTGAGAGCCATGGCATGATAGTATTGCTGAAACCAGACTGACTCGCTAACCTGCAGCTGGGCTTGCTGGAAGTGCACCCATTGCATGCGGAGGAGGAACAGTGAGCGACCTCTTCTCAGAGCGAGATCGTGCCACTGCTATGGCATTATACTCGTTAGGTCCTCTCCTTGGTGCGTTCGCATAGTTCAAGCAACTTGCGTAAAATCCCATTATCTATAGGTCCTGCCATTGGGCCGATCATGGGCGGCTTCATCGCCGAAAACGCTGGCGTCTCATACGTCTTCTACGTGACCGTTGCTCTCTGTGGTATCGTATCCATCGTGGGCTTCTTGTTCCTCCATGAGACGTATGCGCCCATCATCCGCAGGCGACGTGATGAGAAGGCTGAAGACCCCGAGAAAGCGGCCATTCGACGGGCGTATCTCACAGAAAACTCGCCTAGCAAGTGGCAGTACCTGTGGGTGAACATCATGAGGCCGGCAATCCTATTGACACGCAGCTTTGTATGCTTCATGCTGAGCCTGTACCAGGCGCTGTGAGTACTCCGTTCATTTTTACATACAATATAAGGCTAACATTTCAAAGGATGTATGGCATTTACTACCTCATGTTCGCAACGTTTCCAAGTAAGCCGAAGATCCTAGAGGGGTGTCGTTCCGGGACTAATCGCTGGATAGATCTGTTCACGGATGTATACCACTTCAACACTGGTATTAGTGGCCTTGCTTATATCGGACTCGGCTTTGGTTTCGTCTCGGCGACGCTGTTTGGAGCTAACATATCCAACAAAATATATCTTCATGTGAGTTTTTTGACATAAAGTTCCGACACGGTCTAACTTGAACTCTCGTGTTCTTTAGCAACGTGCCAAAAACGGCGGTGTAGGAAAACCAGAGATGCGCATACCTGCTCTCATGTTCGGTTCGCTTTTCGTACCAGTGGGGTTGTTGTGAGTATACCATCAATTCCAACGGCATGAAGTGCTTAGCACCGTCACGGCAATTAGTTGGTACGGGTGGTCTGCACAGGCACAGATCCACTGGATAATGCCTATCATTGGTACCGGTATCTTCGGGTTCGGTCTTATGACAACTTTGTAAGCCAGCTCGCACTTTCTGAGTGGTCCGTGTGCTAACAACTGCGATTAGCCTGCCTATTTCCTTGTACCTCGTAGACACATTCGCTTACGCCGCTAGTGCAGTAGCCGCAGCATCGGTGTGTCATGATCCCTCGGTTTTACGTCTCAGACCTAACCTATCTTCAAATCAGGTACTTCGTTCGTTCCTAGGCTTTGTGTTTCCGCTCTTTGGCGAGCAGATGTACGCAAAACTCGGGTACGGCGGTGGTAACTCTCTACTCGCGGGTCTTGCTATCGTGCTTGGTATCCCGTTTCCCATCTGGATATATTACAACGGCGAGCAGATTCGAGCACGTAGCTCTCTGGCTCGATGAAAAGATCAGGTATACCCCGCTGTATTTTCGTGCTTTCTTTTATAGACTAGGGACCGTTTCTCTGTAGTGTGTTGGTTAATCTGCGGCATCATTTTATTTACGACCTAGAGTTCAAGTCCTTACGCTCATAGACGTGTGCCCGTAGGCTGGTCCGCCGGGCGCTTGACGAACAATATGCATAGTCAGAGTTATAGTACAGTATGTAGCCTAGCAACTCAAAAGCAATCCAATGAACTTGGTTACAGTGAATTCGCTCCACTCTTCTGGACCAACTTCGGAGATTCAGTGTACCTGTAGTTGTTCAATTTTCTTTTGATTGACTTTGCCAAGCTGTCAGTCTGCGCCGACCACTCGTCTGAGGCTGAAGCGATGACCAAGAGACCCTCAAATGTTTACATCAATGTGCTTGCCCATCCGATTCCAGGCTTCATTATTCTGCCTTCCCTAGCGCCGCCCTTCTTTCCCCGCATTTCATGATAATTGACATTGACTGGGGGGATATATCCGAAGAGACATGATCGAGACTGTGGAGTCTAGTACCAGGCCCATTTGAAGATCGAAATATTATTGTATCATTGACTTGCCAAAACATCACCTATCGTTTCGACCAATACCCTTTCCTCCCAATTCTTGAAAGCATGTTTTGATACAAGGATGGGTTGCTTCTGACCTCTGGAGAGCGATGCTCGAAGGTCGAAGACAACAGGGGCCAATAACCATGGAGAAAGCCCCCGAAGGACGCGTGCGCGTAACCAGATGGTGGGAACCCTGAACGTTCTGAACGCTCCTTTCCCCACTCCTGCGACCCATATTTCACCGTGTCTCCCTTGATTTACCTCTGTGTCTGCCGACTCGGTAATGACAGACACGCCGTCAGACGAAAATAGTGCCAACGTACTCGCCATACCATCTTTCCCAGAGGGACAATTCGACGGAGAGGAATGGGGCGAGGATGGCGATGACTATGAAGATGAAGATTATGAAGACGATGAAGATCCGGAGGAGATAGCGCGACGGCTGAATGAGCAGCTTCTGGCGGACATCAGCAGAGCTCAGGCGGAGAGCGCGCAGGCAAGTGTTCAAGCTGGTACCTCCAACAACACCACTGCGTCTACAGGTCACGACCCAATACCGCTCCTACCAGACCCGTCCGTTTTCATCAATGAAGCACAAGCATCAGCATCAGCCTTGTCAGAGTCTAACTCAGCGCGAAAGCATGAAGCGGCCATTAAGACCATGCGTGCCATCCTTGACCTTACGTCGGGCGACTCGCTTGCACGCTCCGCCCTTGCATCCACTAGCATCCCCAACTCCGACGATAATCTCCTCTCAGCTTTACAGAACATATCCTCTGCTGGATCCGTCCCTAAGGACCTCGCCCGCGCACTAAGTCATGTTCTTGTCTCCCTGGCACGCTCAGATGCGCTTTTCGCGAACTTGCGGCACTCGAACGCGCCAGCCATGCAGCTGGATCTCGGCAAACGCAAACGTGATGACGCTCAAGACCCCGCATATGCTCAACCTCAGGCCATGGACGTTGACTCTCGACCGTTCAAGCGCCCAGCATTGGCCCCACCCGACCTCCAGTCCCAGATCGCAGAAGCAGTCCATGTTGTAGGGTCCACACTCACAACCGTACCCACAGACCGTCCACTAGACCCCGCTCTTATCTCTTCTATTCAAGCCCAATTACACCAGATCTTCCTCTTCGCGGTAACATCCTCTTCAGGTGGTGGTCCTGAGATGGGCCCCCTACAAGAAATTGGCGGCCTCATCCAAGCCATCGGTGTCATCAGCGGGACCCATATAGGTCCACCCGCGCCCCACCCTCCACACCCGCACGACCCTCACCTCAACCCCTGGGGCGCCCCGCCTCCCCAACACGGAGACCACCTCTTCACCGACCTCACGACGGCCGTATACCCCTGCCTACACCCCGCGTGCACCAAGACCTTCGCGCGCTTATACAGCCTCCGGGCGCACGCACGCATGCACACCACGCACAGACCTTTCAGGTGCGCAGCGTGTCCGGCTGCCTTCGCACGAAACCACGATCTGAAGAGACACACCCATCTGCACGACCGGCGCGGGTGGCAGTGTGGCGGGTGCGCGAAGCTGTTCTCGCGGCGGGACGCTATCAAGCGACACAAGAACGCGAGCGCAGCGCGGGCAGATGGGAGCGGTGCGCAGTGTGTGGAGGCAGAAGTACGGGAAGTCGAGCTTGATAGGGAGGGTGACGAGGAGGATGCGAAGGAGGGAAGGAGGGCACGGATGTGGAGCGATATCGCGGCTGTTTCGGGGGCTCCGCCTGGGGGTGGGTTTGTGCCGTTCGACGGAGGCACTGTGGGAGGCATAGGTGGGCCGGAAGAAGGAGAGATATCGCGGGAGGTCGTTGGCCGAGGGCAGGCGGCGGTCATGAGCCTGCATGGGCTCTTGCAGGCCAGGGTATCAAGTGCTCTCGGTGCGCCGGTGGGCCAAGGAAACCCGCTTGTCGTGCCTCCCCCTCCACCGCAATATGACCCCAGCATCATGGGTGGACAGGCTACGCTTGCGAGCATCATCGCGCGAGCTCAAGCGCAGCCGCCTCCTGCAGTACCACCGGCCAGTGCTGCCCAGCCTATACCGTCGATTGAAGCTCCGCCAGTTGATGTTGCTGGGTCTGAGCAAGCTACGTCGGGAGGGTCTACAGCGCAGAGCCTTGCACTGCTTGGTCTCTCCGAGGAGCAGGCCAAACTTCTCGAACAGGCTATTGCACATGCTGCATCCGCAGCACAGGCACAGGCCGAGGCCGAAGCCGCTATGGAGGAGGAGGAAGAAGACTACGAGGACGATGAAGACGCGACGCTCGATGGAGAAGGCGAAAATATGGCTGGGGAAGCTGGGGCATAAGCGATCTGGAAGCTTTCCATGCAGGCTATGGCGTTATCACGGGCTCGGTGGTCTGGTATGTGATGACTATCCAGTAGCTGCCTTCTTGTTGACGTTGGTCACAGCGAACGCTTCCAGCCTTCCGTGAAGCGCCTGCTACTGCCATTTATTGGCACGCCGATTGTATGGCAAAGGCCACTCCCTGGTCTATCACGATGGCCCTATTCCTACTCCCCAAGACGGTTGGATGATTGTATTCCATCCACTTGGGCAGGGAAATGGCGCCATGTGTGCGTCAGAGGTTATCTGTACCTCTTTGTGCTTCAAGACTTCGGTCCCCGTCTCAGGCAACGATCAGCATAGCGTGCCGCTCCGTCCTTGTCAGTTGGAGCTAGAGTATTCCAGGTATATCTCTCGCTGGCACGTTTGTACCTCGGGTTTATATGGGAACTACCGACAATCGACATGTTAATAGAGTCGACTCGTCCGATGACCGGAAACCTGCGGAGGAACCGTAAATAAAAATGCCTACTCTTTTCAATCGCAGTGAGACCGTTGTTCTATTTTTGCTTCTGCGAGTTGGACTGATGGTGACAAAGTGCGAGAGAGAACGCAAAGTGTTATGGTGGCACTATCATGCTCATACATGCGTGGACATGGCGGTGTCTGCTATGTATCCATCCGCTGAGCAGATCTAAAGCCGTCGTAGAAAGCGCTGATTGGCACACGGAAGAAGCCGATAATAAGCCGATAATAAAATGGGGATAATCTCAACATCATTACCCTAGCGCTAGTCGTATGTAGTATGTAAATATATACCCCTACTACTCCGTTGATAATTACTACGCGACGGTTTCTCATTAAAAGGGAATGTTGAAGCGGATTTGCACCTGATGCTCATGTCGGTCGACTGCACTTCAAGCTCACAACAAGCAGCAATGAGAGGATCAAGAAAGTCTATATACCAGTGTGTTGGATATGGGTGTATGCTATGATATGCGATAAATACTATGGTCTGGGGTAACATGCAGCATGCGTGATGCTATTGCGTCTGGTCTCGGCGATGCTATAACTGCGTGACGGACACTGGAACATTGAGGAAGAAACAAGAAAGAAAAAGATGAGGAAAATGAGAGAAAAAGGGAGAGAGAGGTATCAGGAGCGAGCTTTGCCCTAACGGCGCTGCCGTCTGGTGGTTGTAGTGAAGGCATAGGAAAACAGTAGGCAAGAAACAAGAAGAGGGGCTAAAGCGAATAAATAAGATAGAGAAACAGAGAGGGAAAAAGCGAGAAAATGACGTATGGATACGGGTACGAATGGAGGAGATGGGTGTCGTGTCGGCGTGGTGCTACATGGGGAGTGGATACATGATGCGGGAAACCTACTCGTACATCCCATTCATCGTTCGGGAGGAAGGCTATGGTGTATTATGTATGTTGAAGCGAGGCTCGGGACATCGTGAGGGCGCGCGTGCTTGGCGATGCCGAGAGCACAGGATACCTCGTGCTGTGCTTCCTATCGTGCGTGAAAAATGTGTGTTGCGTGTGTATCGTCTGCGGAACTGCGAGTGCGGAATGCAAGACATGGGTTTTGTTACATGTCTATGCGTCTTCTCAGCCCTCGAGTGTCTTCCAGCAGTGCGAAATTAGAACTCACCTGAGTGTGCCAATGGCCAAGAAGCTCCTGTTCTCCCTTCACATCTTGTTCGCCAACCGCGGTCTCGGCCGTGCCGCGAGGTACTGCTCGCGTCGACGCGCCTCTGCCGCCCGCCAGTATTCCTGGCTCTCTGGCGGCTCGTGCGACCACGCGTCTGCTATTGCCTGCGCGGGTGAAATGCTCGGGGACGAAGGGTCGTGATGGAACGTCGGGGTACGGAGGTCTAGGGAGGCCTGAGGGCCGGGGCGGCGCCGAACGTTGGACGTCATAGGTGCGGGACTTTTGTCTCGTCGATTCGCGGGCGAAGTTGGACGCGCTGGGGGCGGCCGCTGCTGCTGGTGCTGCGGAAGATGACGGGGCGGCGGAGGTTGCGAGTGCTGGCGCTGATGTTGGTGGTGGTTGGGGGGACGAGGCTCGCTGTTGGCGGGAGGAGGGGGCCGCGACGGGCGACCCAGCAGCGAGGTGACTAGACCTATAGTGGAATAGTAACGAGACGGCAGAGGTGTCGGCTGGGCTTCTTATCCGAGCACAGACTACTACGCAAGCGAGATGAGGACAGCCTGGACAGGCGGGAGGCTTCGTGATGACGATGAAGAACGGAAGGTGTATAAGCGAGGACGGGACGGGGGCGGCACCGTGCGAGGCGGACGGGGCGGACGGGGCGGCGACGTTCTGTCGGGCTCGGGCTTCCAGCTTCAGCTAGCTTTGTCTCCAAGCTTGATCCCTCGAGCTTAGATTGCTAAACGTCTAAGCTCCAGGAGTCGGACTAGTCGCGAATTGTGCAACGATGGGAAATGGGGAACCAGGTCCCGGGAGCGATCCACACCTTGATCTTTATACAAGCTTTTTTTTCGGTCCTCCGATCCAAAAATCTTATTTTCGCGTCAGACTGCTAGGGCAGTGGCAGGCATGGCACGCGAGCGAACCAGCAGCCCAACGCGAGACACGCTAGACAAATGCACGGCAGACAATCAGGACGGACAGCTTCCAGCCGGGTCAAGGAGCCCAGCGTGCCGTCTCCATTGTCTGGGCCAGATATGGACATGCGTTCGCGCTGAGGATTCGGGGACGAAAAGGATACGCGACCGAAAGAGGAAGGGTGAAAGAGGCTGGCAGGAGGCCGGCCGGGGAGGAGAGTGGACTTCGCGGGTGGCCATCAGCGGAGGTATATTCGCGTAGTGGGCAACGGAAAGCCCGGAATGGCAGGACGACAAACGACTTGCCAATTAAGGCAGGATCAAGGACGCGCTCATAGGGGGGTCCTAACACAACCACGCACTCCTGCAAACCACCTGCCACCCAGACGCGCGCACCGGTCTGCGAACAGCGTACCCGGGTTGCATAGTTGCGTGTGCCGTTGCAGTAGCAGCAGCGCTGAAGCCGCGAGTTCACCTAGAAACCCGGTCAGCCACCACGCTGGATCAGAATCGACGAGGTAAAATCAAAACGCGCGTGCCGCAGCCTTTGCGACGCCTCGCTCCAGTCCGAGGCACAGCTCCTCCGAGCGCGACTGGGCGAGCCTGCGTCTACAGACACCTGCACCAAGCGAGGCACAGTACGTCGCGGTTATTTCGGGACATTGCATCACCGCACCGTCCGCAGTCAAGGGATTTAGCAAGAGAGAGCTGGGATCAAAACACGCGTCTTGCTTGCTTGCTTAGCTATCGTGAATCCGGGGAACACGCGACATGCTGCTGCACCTTGCACCCTGCAGCGATGCATAAGTGCACCGCCGGTCTAGAGGAAGGTACCACGGGCCTGTGAACCACTGTATTGCCTCGAACATGTCAGGAACAAGCGCGCTGCGATGCGAACTCGAAGCCAGGCGATCCACACGAGGAAGCATGCGAGGATATTCTGAGACACAGTGCATCGAAATTGCGTGCCAAAGACGAGGAACAATGGGTGGTCCTAAAGCCGACTGGTTGACCATTGTGCTCTATGCTAGTGAGTGGGACTGCGAACGCGTGAGATTGGAAGTTGGCACGGGAGAACCGTCGTCGATTCATCTGCAGGGATCAGCGCCACACTCCGCACGCTGCGTAATTGTGTTGTCGCATTGAATCAACAAAGACAGCGAGGGAGTGATAGAGTAGATCTATAGAGAACGCTGATAGTGATGTTTGAATGAGATAATGGACGGATGATGTTGCGGAGCATGGACGGACAGACGGACGGAGAGAGCGGGTATGGAAACTAGAAAGAGCCCCCCACGTACACTTCAGGAGGGGCGATGGAAGCTCACCGAGACGTCGAAGGAAGCCGCACGCACGGCAGACTCAGAGGCTTCTTCTCAGGTGCCGATCCAGCACAACGGATGGGCCGAAGACGTCTACATTACATGTACCTCGGATAAAACGACGACCGCCAATAAGAACGGCTTAGGAAGGTCTGGAAGACGCACCGGGATCCACCATCATCGTATAGCTTTTCATTTGTCAGTTCATATTCCGGTTTGACGCCCACGACCCCCACGATAACGCAGTTCTGCCTGTCAGCGAGTACGCCCGGTGGAGAGCCACAAGCCATGTGTCGTGCGCGATGTGCGACTGTGCGATGCTCGCCGCTAAGTCCGGTAATCCAAAGGGTGAAGCGTAGGAGGAGTAGGAATAGAACATGATACCAGCAGTGCAGCGTGTTCTCCAGGTGGCACATCATTGCGTTCGGCGTGGAGATCAGAGAGGTACCCAGAGCACAGGAACTTGAGAAAAGGCTCGAGCGTGCATGAGATGAGATAAAATTGAACGTGTCTCTGAGAAGCGATGCAAGGAACGACCGAGTTGGAATGACGGAGATAGAGTACCTCTGTAAGTGTAACAGCAACACGGGGTGTTCGCCATCCAGTCAAGTCCCAGGTCGATGAATGGAAAGTCGCAGTGCTGGTGTGAGTTAGGGGCCTGTTTCTTTTCCCGCCGGCATTCTCCTTATGCACCGCACCGCCAGGGACAACGTTAACTGCCTCCGCTCCGTCGCTTTTTCCGGTGCACCCTCGACTCAACTTTCTCATTTACGACGCCACCAAACGCCTCGCCGTGTCATTCTGCGCATCGTCATTGGCACGCCGCAGAGTCACCCAAAATCCAATCAAGCCAAATGAGCACCCCAACACCCAGCTTAAGTCCGGGCTGTGCTCCTCGTGCTGCCGTCCCCAACGGCTGCTGCGAGCACGATGCATGTCCTATGACTATCTAGCCAGTTCGTGCCCCAGACTGCGCTTCTGTGCCTTACGCGAAGGACAGGCCGTGTTCTGGGGCCTCTCATGTCCAAGGCACACGCACATATGCTCCTCGAGCGCCTCGGTCCTCTCGTGCGTCGCGGCGACGTCCCCGATCGATCTCGGAAGCATCGCGGGGGTCATATGCTCTTCCGGGCGCTACACCAACGGGCTCGCTCGGGCGACGACGATAAAACCTTGTCCCCGTGATCCTCCTCGAGTAAAGCAGTCGTGTCACCCGATTGCTGCCAATCCAGCACGGACAATTACGTGCGCTGCGACGCCACCAGAGAAGCGTCCGTTCGTGGTGATGACAGCACAGATCCTCGGAGGGACTCGGAAAGTCTAGAAGCTTAAGCCTCCGTGTTTCAAGATGCCCAAATGGTACGTGCAGAGGCAGGCGAAGAGGCTGATGAAAATCTGGCACTCAATAGCCGATTACATACTGCGCGCGGTACCGCGAGGCGCAGATCAGCCGCGTTTAGCTTCTCGGTGTGAGTAGCCAGTGGAATAGTGTATCAACTTTGCTCGCGCTCCGCGGCGTAGTCCGTCAGTCTAAGCCTTTTGGCTAGCAGAAACCCCAAAATGACTCATTAGTCTAGCATGACGGATGTTCCCTGCGGTAATAGACCTAGTGGGATCATTCCGGGACCCGTATAGTGTCGAATATCATCTGCTCGCATCCGTTATAACCTAGGGATGGGAATGGTTTTTGTCACCGGGTCAGTGCCGTCTCAGTTGCACACCGGCGTTGTTCCCGACCATCATGACATCTGAAGCAACGGCGATAAGCTCTTGTCGTGGTCAAGGACGAGCTTCGACTCGGAGTGATTTGCAGCTGGGAGCTGAACTGAACTAGTGTAGCTCGAACATCTTTGCCACAGGTCATACGTACTTCTAGGAAAAACAAGCTGGAGAAAGAACAACACTCATTCTATAGAATGGAAGAGTTAAGAATGGAGGTGTCCAGATGTCGGTGGGGCGCAGTACCTAGTTCTGAAGTTCCGCGCAATACATTAGACTACGTCAAGAAATTTCTATGCGTCTTGTACCCACGAACAGCAATTGTGCAAGAACCGCTGAGCTCCAACACTGCAACAAGCTAGCAACGAAGGCAACTGACATGTGAGCTTGTCCTAACTTGTCCTTGTTAAAGCATTGAGCGATCCGAAGCTCCGACGGTCCGAAGTGTTATCTTCGGAGCGGATCGGAGCTCGGATCGATGGGCCAATGTCAGACGCTGACGGGATTAACAAGCACGCCCGGGCCGACCAATAGCGTCTTCCAGCTCCTTGGACGAGCAACAAATCTTGATTTCATTTCCAAAGACAATAAGGAAGAAAAAACAAAGTAACGACTTATAAGAGATGGATCACTACATTCATGGGCGGGTTACGAGGGATGGTGAGAAGGCGTACACACATGGACACGCGGGGCCCCGCGGTTGAATGAAACGATGCCTGACTAACGCTATCGCCGGCCTCGGGCATTGCACAGATTCGTCATCTCCCAGCATCTCTCCCTTTTCTACCTGCCCTTGCAGCAACCAACGACGAGCTGAGACAGTCCACGATTGCCTCTCAACAGATCCGCCGCATCTCAACTAGAATGTCAGAAACGTAAGTCGCCTGTCTCTCGATAACCGTCCCTGGCCGTTCAACCAACCTATCATTGTCCATACTCCATGTGTTCGACGGTACAATGATCACACCTAACCGAATATCCTCCCTTCGCATCCGCCATCATCGCACCATCCATGCGCACAAACCCGCTCAGCTTCGTCAACTTCCTCGGCGGCTCCCCGCTCAACCGCCTCTCCTGGCTGCGCTCCTCCCCCGGCTTCGTCAACGCTGTCCTGCCCTCCCGCACGAGTCGCTGGATCGTCTTCAACCAGGGCCAGCCGCTCATCGCTTCCCACCCAGACACCAACAGGCGCTCGCTCGCGCTTCTGCCCACCGCGGACATCCAGTCACTGCTCGGAGAGACACCGTACTTCGGGCAGGGCCAGCTCCCCGGTTCGAGCGCCGAACCTGAAGGCGAGGGAGGGAAAGTTCCATCGGTGTTGGAGGCAGCTCGGCTGCGCGGACTACCGGTCGTCTTCCTGGGGCTGCTCGAGCCCAAGCACGGCGCGGTAGCGAGCGAGCAGGTCGCGAAGGAGGACGTGAAAGCGAGCGCAGAGCACGGCGAGCCCGCGCCCGCGCAGCGCAGCGCGCTTCCGACATCCGACTTTACGGACCCCGAGCGCGCGATCGCGCAGCTGGCGGACTGTACGCCCTACTTTACGCTCGATGTCGCGGATGCTGAGCCGGGCGTGCTGGATGAGGTGCTCAAGAACTCGGCGCTCGCGAAGGAGGGCCACGCGCTGTCGTTCATTGAACCGCGCGGGGCGATGTCGAGTCTGGATCCGTTCACGGCGGGTGTGTTTGCGGAGGCGCGGAGCATGATGGATTGGAATACGAGGAACAGGGTGCGTACTCGAGCCCGTATTGCGCGCTAGGAATGCTCATTGAGTCATGGGGTGGCAGTTCTGCCCTGGATGCGGGTCGGCGGTGCATTCGCTGTGGGCGGGGTGGAAGCTCTCGTGCACTTCGTTACTTCCATGGGCAGACAACACTGGGAAGAAGCCATGTCCTTCCGGGTGCGTATACATCCAGTTTCACTGCTGCCAGTCACCGGTATACTCATCCTCTGATAGGAAAGGACTCCATAACTTTGCTCACCCGCGTACCGACCCCGTCGTGATCATGCTGGCCGTCGACGAGACGGGAGAGAAGATCCTCATGGGGAGAAATGTACGCACATTTCACATACCCTTCTGTCCGTTTCACCCTAAGTTCATGTGCGATTCGCGAAACAGAAAAAGTTCCCTGGCAAGTTCTACTCCGCGCTCGCAGGATTCATCGAGCCCGGCGAAGCCTTCGAGGACGCCGTCAAGCGCGAGATGTGGGAGGAGGCAGGCGTGCGCGTGTGGAATGTGCGGTATCACTCGGGCCAGCCATGGGTGCGTAATTCTATTCCGTCCATGTAGTGCCCACGTAGCGCTCACCTTTTTACCTTTGCACAACGTCCGTAGCCCTACCCCGCCAACCTCATGGTCGGCTTCTATGCCACAGCTGACTCGGCGGCGCCCATCCGGACAGACCTGGATAATGAACTCGAAGGTACGCCAGTCCATCTGATTCCATAGTCAGGCTAGCGTCATTCTGACAAAAACAAACACGGCATACAGACGCGCGCTGGTTCACCCGCGAAGAGGTCCGCGCCGTCCTCGCCCACCCCAGCGGGACCAACTTCACCCGCAGGGACTACAAGCAGATCGCGGACGAAGTGGACCCGCCCGTCAAAGACCAGCAGCAGAGCAAAGAAGCCGCTTCCGCTCACGCTATCGCACCGAAGGACGAGGAGCCGCCCTTCCGGATGCCGCCAATGACGGCTATCGCGGGCGTTTTGATCAAGCACTGGGCGGATGGGGGGTCGGTCGATGGAGGGAGGGTCAGTGGGTACAGTACTAAAGGGAATCTATAGACTTGTACATGTTCAGAGGGCGGTAGATACCTAAGGTAGATACCTGAACGAGCGACATCTTCATCTGGACTCATGGCTGGTATGATTGTGTTGGGCACAAAGATTTGTGAGCAAACAGGTGCCCGTTGGGCGCTGACTAGGTAGACGGCTACAATTCAGCGGATTTGTAACTTCTCGCGTCGTTTGGTGGGTTTTACAGCCATTGTCAGGTTTGCTATACTGCGAACGTGTTGACTGTGAACGTAAAGTAACCATGACGAAGTCGTGCTGTGAAGGGAAAAAATACAGTTGTACTCTACACTACTGTACCTACACGACCGTAGGTTCAAGGGATTTTTGCGTGACATGGAATCAAAATAAGTTCCGATGAGGCCAAAGTTCAAACGTCCGGCGAACGTGTGACTTTGAACCAGGGTGGTTGGTGAAATCCTCAAGACATAACTGATAAAACGAAGGTGAAGAGGATGTTTCATTGGAAGGAGAAGGCAACGCGGACCACATTTTACAGCGTCCCGGTATTCCTCGTCCATCAGGCTTGTACACAAACATCTCAAGCCCTCGCCACCGGTATGACCGACTAATTAAAGCCTGCCACTAGTGGGAAGCTCGACATCTCATTTCCGGTCAATTGCGATCGCGGTAAGGGTCTCGAAAAATTTAAACTCACATGCAACGAATGCAGAAAACACTCGCTGCAGCGAACGGTTTTACTACATCAGAATGTAATAGTATTAGTATTTTTCGTCACGCAGTGAGGTTCATTCTCTTGTGTAATGGGTGACGAGCTAGGTCTTAAGTTCATTTTACGGGTCAAGCGTGAGGCGTGACGAACCTACGGTCATGTAGGTACAGTATTCAATCAACCATATCAAGCCGATCACCTCCACTAACAGACGAGGTCCCTCAGATTCGACCGGTTAAACTACAGGATCGTTACTGCATCTGCATGGACAGAGCTCCCACTATAAATCCATGAAACTACCTCCCGTCCTTGTCCCCGTGTCTTCCAGCATTGTGGTCAGTTCTAGTGCGACAGTCAGATCCTCCAGTGACGTCTCCGTTGTCACACGTCTTGATATGTATTGGGCGCTCTTGCGCAGATGGAAGAAGGTGCGCGTGCAGAAGATCGTGTGGCCCACGACTTGGAGGCTGCAGATGCGCATGTCAGCGATCTCGGTTTGACATGGCAAGGGACCACGGTGACTCACTTGTCGAAGTAATCTGTGTGATATGGCTCAACCGCACCTCAGCCTGAGGGGAGTGCTCTCATGACGATGGCAAAGGATCGACTCACTGGTTGAGTGGTTATAGTTACGATGGAGGCGACCGATAGACCTGCGATTTCTTGTCAGCTCACGCATATATCAAAAGGCAGATGCACGTACATATCACAGCACAGATGTACAGCACAGCATCTATATACGAGATGACGACAACTCTGGACCGGGCGCGATGATGATACGTAAACCATCTGTACAATATCACGCATAATATGACTGAGAGTCTGAAATGAGTGCCAGTCTCTGGTGATCATGATATGGCAAGTACCTATCTCGTGGAACAAAAGAACACCGTACTGTACGGCTCCGCCGGGGTTGAATCTATACTCGCATTGAGATAGCGCTGGTCTTATGGTCAGCAGTGTGATAATTCAGGGCCGATAAAATAATTCATGAGCTTACGCAGTTTCGCTATGCCTGGCACTTTGATAAACGCGAGTTGCGTGAAGCCTACGGCCCCGCCGAGGCAAAACTGGCGGTTGTGAGACGGCCGGCGAACGAACTTATGGAGGCAGAACTTACAAGTGCGAATATAGTCAACGCCCATGCCATCCGTTTGCTGCCCTCCCAAAACGCCAGCGTGCGCAAGATCAAAAGTACTGGCGCGAATTAAGCTCGTGTTCCTTCACCGAAGAAGCACGTAATCCTACTTTCGGCGAGTAATATACTCAGCAGATGGGACACTACAGCGTAATCAGCTTTGTGATCATGCTACTTGGCGCAGAACGGCGAGTTCTAACCATTGGATCCCTCCAAGTTTGGGCACTATATAATACATGAGCCATGTGGTTGTGTACTGAAGTGAATTCTTCACGCACCGGCCCATTCCTTACCGTCTCCAGGACGCCTACATGCGTCAACGTGGTCAGTCTAATACGTACGTTTCCACAGTGTGCAGACTCACGGACGACAGTCAAGGCAATGGCTGGAAACGGCAGATATCGAGCGAGCATGAAAACGACTTGGACGAGGTCCCATCTCCGCGTCCAGACGAGGTCTACTTCTTGGTCAATCGTAAGGTAATAATCATACACCTGATGGCAGCCGAAGAGTGCTGTAATGAAACGGGGGAACGAAGGCTGTGACGAACATGCTCACCAGGAGGGCGAATCCCGCTACTGCAAACTATCAGTCTCGCTAATGCTGATGCGAGAGACTCAGACTCACTGTTTGCATACTACAATCGTCCCGGAAAGCAGCTCAGTCTCAGGTCTCGTTCACGCCATCCCGCTCGACGAGGTCGGGGAACGGTCAATAAAGACTCACCGCAGTGGTTTGCTTTCCACGTTGTGCTACGACCCACTGTAACGAGCTCTCGTCCATGTGTTCGCCGACAGGTCCGTTTCAACGTGGCTCACGATATTGGTGCGTAACCGATGATAATCATGGGCGACGGGGAGGGGCCAGAGAGTGGTGGGCGGGTGCCCGTGGAGCTCGAGGTTTTTGGGCCTGGTGCGTGATGGGAGGTGATGGGCTCAGGGTCACACAACAGGTGCGGCCAAAGCTCGCTCCGGTGATTCCGGTGCCGAAGTATTGGACGTGAATGCATGACGTGGATCCAGGACCAGCGATGTCAATAATTAACGCCCTTTGGTAGACGCCTGTCAGTCTCTGTCACTGCCTGATTTTTGGAGTGCTGTCCGCAGTAGGCATTGGTTAGATCATTTGTCGAGCCAGTGCCATCAAGGCGCCACCATGAAACCTCTTGAAAGACATCTGAGATAACATAACAAATAGCGACGCGTTTTGAGAGGCGCAAACGCGACGCACTCTCTGATCTGATGGATGATTCATGGACTCAAGCCTCGACCCTCGAGTTGATTGCTTTCGCGGCGCGCGCCGTGAAGGGTGGGAATATTCTGTAAAGTTACATTCACGGTCTAGTCATCTGATAGCGCCTGTCAACTTCAAAACTGCGTGGCGTGGGGGATCGCGTGGCTGTCGAACCTCGGCCACGTGTCAAAGCTTAAGTGCTTAACATTTGTAGAAATCATCAGAAATCATCCAATCATTTGCCTCGTCCTCTCGGGCAACTGTGGGCGCCTTGAACCTTCTCTACATATAAGAAATCCGAAGCTGTCGGAAAAGACCTTTATAAAACTTGACAACGTTCTGCTGTTGTCGGTCGTTCGCTTGACTCGGGCTTGATCATCAACTCCGACCCGAAAGCATGGACCGAGCTCGATTCCTGCCTGCATCATACATATTGATCGGAACCACGTAGTTTGCGGAGTCCAGGTTTAGTCAGTGCTCGCAACTGAGATCGACAGGAGCTGTGTTATTGAGCGCAAAGGACTGCTGGGAAAGATAATGCTCGGAGAGCATCAGCTGCGATCGACCACTCATATACATATCAAAGATTAAGAGATCATCAGAGCGAGCTGTGAACGAGAATTGAAGTCGATAAAGCCTGCACATAAGACCCGTGAAAAGGTTAGTTGAGTAAGTCTCCTTGAGGATGAATGCAAGCATATGCTTCATTCGCGCTGTAGTAGGTGATCTGACGTCACGGTCGGTGGCTGTTCTGCATGTAGCAAAAAGAGATGTACCGAGTCAAGGAGTGCGATGAGCTCGATTTTGATAACGTCGAGGTGGGAATCCTTGCCCTGTGTGAGGTGTGGGTAATTAAATGCGCTTTAGCGGTAGACTGCTTGGCGATATACTGTCGCCTATATACCAGACATGATGCGTTTCATGAGGATCAAGACAACTATATAGAAGACTATGACATGTTCGTTCGTTAATGGTATGATTTAATGCTGTAAGGTCATAATACTTCGTCTGTTCCGCGACTCCGAATATTCTACCATTGACGATAGTTCTACTGCTACTGTCAGGTCATCAAACGGTGTCTCCGTTATTGAGCGTCTTGACTGGTACTCAGCGGTCTTGCGGAGATGAAAATAGGTGCGCGAGCAAAATATCGAGTGGCCTACTACTTGTATGCTAAATATGCGCAAATCAGCCATTCCTGTTTGATATGAAAGAACGTGGGCTTTACTTGTCAAAGTAGTCGTTGTGATATGACTAAAACGGTAAATATATCTTTACTTGAACGAGAGTCTTGAAGTTGTGATACGAGTATACTTACCGGTTCGACTGTAATGTCAAGCACACATGCAACCGACAAGCCTGCGCGGTGCTTTATGAGTAGACATTTTGATAGAGTAAATCGGGTCCACGCACTCAGCATAGCAAAAATATACGCGACAGCATCTATATACGAGACGACAATGATCTTGGACCGTGCGTAGCGATGGTACGAAAACCATCTGTAAGAGATTAGGGATAGTAATACTGAATTAATGCAAGGTGAGTGACGGTCCCGCGGTAAATGCCAGGGGAAAGAGCCCACCAAGTTCGTGGAGCATTAGGAAAGCATATACTATGGATCCGCCTCTGTTAAACTTGAATGGGCATTCGTCTGTCGCTATTATGGGTGTTAGAGTATGTCGCCCCAGTGGGTGGAAGTTTTTATGAGCTTACGCAACGTGGGCATGTCTGGCACCTTGGAGGTCACGTAGTCCGTGATTCCTATCGCTCCACCCAGACAAATCTGAAGGAAGATCATGGGAATGAGGTCAAGACGGATGTAAACAGGTGTGGTGCGCTTACGACTGCGAGCACAGATAGAGTCAACACAATCTGTCGAGTGCGGTCCCAGAATGCCATTGTACGCAATATGAGTAGCGCTGATGAATTCAGTTAGTCGATTCACGATTTGGACAACTCTCATTACCTTCAGCAAATACGACGCTTGCCATGTGTAACGCTAAGCGGCATCAGCTATGTGAAACGATACTCGACGCGAGTGCAACGAACTGACCATTAGACAAGTCCAAGTTCGGGCACTAAAGCTGTGCATGAGATAAACATAGAAATGATGTAGAAACGAGCGTATCGCGCACCGGTTCATTGTTCACAGTCTCCAGGACGCCTAAAATTATGGCACGACACTTACTAGAGCTGTATACACCAAAGATCCAACACTTACGAGCCACAGTCAAGGCGATAGCTGGGAAGGGCAGATACCGAGCGAGCATGTAAATAACTTGACCGAAGCTCCATCTTCGCGCCCAGACTAGATTTACTTCTTGGTCAATCGTGAGGTAGTAATCGTAGATCTAGTTAGATTCAAGGGAAGATAGAATGAAGTTAAAGAGGAATTAACGAGGAATCGGAGTTTGTGGGAGATGCTACCCACCAGGAGTGCCATTCCTGCTACTGTGGATCATCAGCTCCACTGCTGCAGATCAGGAGACATTATGCGACTTACTGTTCGCATGCTAAATGAAACGTTCCCAACAAGCGTCTTAGTCCTGCGTCTCGTCCACATGGACATGCCGAGCGGGCTCGACAAGGTCCTGAAACAAGGACTCACCGCATTTATCTGCTTTCCGGATTGTGCTGAGAGCCATACGCTCTTATCCATGTCTTTGCAGACTGGTTGTTTGGAACGTAGGCCACGGAACGATGGTCATGGAAGGCGAGGGAAGAAAGGGAAAGACGCCTCTGGGCGCTGAGGTCTTCCGCAGGGTTTTCCACGGCTCTCGGCGAAGTGACAGACCTTTCTAGGGTAGGCTCGTATAGCCTTGCACGGGTACGCGGATGCCTTGGTGATATGGGTCTGATATGGGTGCGGAGAAGGGCGGAAGTCGGCTAAAAGCTCTTCCGCGGGCGCTTTGGAGGAATAGTTGACATTGGTACATGACAAAAATACTGCAGTCAATAAACGGTGGCCGCTCTTGTCCTAGAAAGTCAAAGATATCAGGAGTTCTTCTTGATACTTTTGTCGGATAGTTTCTGTTTGGGGAATGCGATTGCGAAACAGTTTTGATGCGTCGGTATATCCATCAACTCAACTCTCAAACCGTGAGCGCGGTAACATGGGGTAAGAATGATGACGGCGAACAACATTGTAAGCACGCGCCGAGTCCTGTTAATGCGTCGATTTTGACTCAATAGCCATTATGTCAAATCTTGCCGAGTTAACCCGGTAACTTGGGTGGTGGGTCGGCTCCGTCTTCAGGGGCAATCCCGTTCCTCAGAGATTGAAGTACGTCGAGTAAAAAGGACGACATGACATGACATCCTTCTATCGGACAGCAGTCAAGATAATGTGCGACTGAGTTTGGAACGCGGCCTGAGGATTACGACTAGCCTGTTTGAACTTGGAAGGCTGTGTGAGACTACGTTTCTAAACTTCAGTCTACTTCTGCGTTTTTTTTGCTTCAGCCACTTGTCCTAGACCGATTCCATTATACTATCTACTGCTTTTCACAGGTGAAGCGACACGTTCATTTGTTGAAATAATTACTAGCACCGAGATAAGATAAGATAGGCCTGCCGAACCGAGGCGCGAGAATTCCGGATTTATCGGTCCGTTACAGCCAGAGAATGCCAAGTCACGCGTCGGTCAGTGACCGACCGTGACCGACACGATGACTGGATGTCGGTCATTTAAAAACCATGACCAGAACGCTGAGTCGCGTCTCGGTTATGAGCGTGGCCGGTAATCCGGTCGCGCGCAGAGATCTTGGGGGGACTCAGGGGTTCGTAGATTAGAAACATGTAGATAGCGTAGATTGTCTGTTTGTATCGTACAAAACCTATGTAGCGCCCAATAAAAACTGCTGCGTAGTGTCAATTAATGAAAGCTTTATGTTACCACCCGATCCTGCCTCGTCCTGCTTAGGTATCGCCTCTAACTCTAATAATTCGTACATAGAAGTTCTCACTGGCATGAGCCTACTACTGCTTATACAAGTCAGACCAGCTCTTATCAGCGAAGTTGAAGAGGTCGCGAAGGGAAATTTGCATGCCAATGATGGACGGCTAGCAAATAGGGTCCTTGTCAAGTCCATCTTCATCTGAGAGATGCATGTGTTGCTGAATCAAGGCATGGAATTGATCTACAGAGGTATCAGACTCGGATGGGATGGATTCCTTGGTCGGTTCCGGGGCGGAAACACGGGTAGTGACCCGGTCTAACGAAGTAAGAACAACTTCCGAGTGTTAATATTGTGCTTTTGCGACATATCATTAATGCGATGTGTCATAGATACATGAGTAGCTAGTGGATGCTAGCTAACTACACACAGTGGTAGAAGGGTGCTCCAAAACTTCGTTTCACATACGGAAATTACTATTGCTACTTTATTTTGGCGTTTATGTTCTAACTCGCACGTCAAGCTATCATATTAAAGCAACAGGGCCTATGTTTCAACGTGCGTGGCGGCGAGGGAGCATTGCCTTCAGCGAACGCGTCCCTCGCGCGTCGACTTCGGAGAGTCACATGTTTTTAATGTTACTATATATGGGCATGATTCGCGAACTTCCGAGAAGTCCGTTCGGTCACTAGTCACGATGACCGACAGTGTCGGTCACTGGCGGTCACGGTCATTCTAAAATGACCGACACGCCCGGTCATCGCGTGGCATTCACTGGTTACAGCCCCCTACTCCGCGACACAACTTACGACAATCAGCCAGCGATGAATCGATGGCGATGGAAACCTTGCCGGATGTAAGCTTTGTTTATTTGCATTTCGGATTTCCGAACATGACTCGGCTCTTTTCGGCCTTGGTTGTCTTCGAGTTTCCTGTCCACCTTGCTGTTTGCCCTCATCCCTCCACCCTCCACCCTCCCTGTCTCCCGCACCCACCACGCGCGTTGCCCGTCGCGTCTCATAAAGGCAGGACCACAAACCAGGATCTAGGGCAGACAAAGCCGGTGCAATAATGTCCAACACGGTCAAAGACCTCGCAGCCGGTACGGCAGGTGGTATTGCTCAGGTATGCATGTCTCTTTGCGTCACGGCCTGGCTCTCTTCTGACGGGGTATATCAACTCAGGTCCTCGTTGGACAACCCTTCGACATCGTCAAAGTGGTCAGAACATTCCTCTGTCGTTGACCGCTTCCTTGCTCGGCTCACTCGCAAACTCATATTTTCCTCCATTACCTGCTACCCGTCTCGCATTGCTTTCTGCATTACGTTGGGATCATGAATACAAAGCGTATGCAAACGTCGGCCAAGGGGACCTACTCTGGCATGATGGACTGTGCAGGCGGTATCCTTAAGAATGAGGGTCCCCTTGCGTTCTACAAGGTCCGCCCGCTCCGCGCACCGTGTAACTTCAGTACTCACACGTGCAACTTGTAACGCTGCCCCGTATCCCATATACCCACCCAATCGCACTACGCACCTACCGGATTCGCCGTCAAACAGGGCACGCTCACGCCTCTGCTCGGCATCGGTGTATGCGTTTCAATCCAGTTTGGCGCGCTCGAGTTCGCGAAGCGCAAGTTTGCTGAGCAAAATGCGGCCCGTGGTGTCGGTGGTGATGGAGGGAAGCTGCTCAGTGCGTCGCAGCTCGTGGTTGCCGGTGTGGGCGCGGGTCTAGCGAACGGATGGGTTTCGGGTCCAGTGGAGCATATACGTATCCGTGCGTCTTGTCTCTCTCTCTCTCAATGTTTACTCTAACTCAAAAACCCTCTCTGGCACCTTGACCCCGCCCTCGTACGTGTACAGGCTTGCAAACACAGTCCAACACGGCACCGTTGTACAAAGGCCCCTTTGACGCAATCCGCAAGATCACGTCCGAGCACGGGATCAAGGCCCTGTTCAAGGGTCAGATGGTCACCTTCCTGCGCGAGGCGTCGGGCTACGGCGCGTACTTCCTCGTATATGAGAAGCTCGTCCAGCGAGAGATGGCAACGACGGGCATCTCGCGCGAGCAGCTGAGCCCCGTCAAGGCGGTGTTGTATGGTGCCACGGCTGGATATGGGGTGCGTCAAGTTTATCAGTACTAACTGAGTGCTGGGTGCTGACGGCTATATGCGTGGTGGGTAGCTATGGGCGGTGATATACCCTATCGATATGATCAAGTCCCGCATGCAGACGGATGGATTCTCGCCCTCGACGGGTCAGAAGTACTTGAATGCCCGTGACTGCGTGCGAAAAGTGTGGCGGACAGAGGGTATCAGCGCGTTTACGCGTGGATTGGGGCCGACTCTCATCCGGTACGTCCACGCGTTTCCGGTCTTGTCTCTAGTATGAGGATTGACGCTGACGCTTTCTTGTCCGTTGCTTCTAGTTCCCCATTCGCCAACGGCGCGACGTTCCTCGGATTCGAGCTGGCAAGCCGAGTCCTATATTCATAGACGCACCAAACAACCTAGATATCGGACACGCCTCAATACGCGATCCTGCCTGTGGTGAAATACCTGCACTCTCGTTAAAACTAACGTCAAAACAATTATTGGACCCCCGTTGCAGATTATGTTTTGGGATTCATCTCCCCTGGCAGCTTAGACGCCAGATGCACATATATCTCCGTTGTACCTGTTTTACTGCGAAGGTAGAATGAAGTGCACGGATGCGGTGATGCAGGTCCTGTACCGCGGATGCGAAGTACATACGTTCTAGATGTAGCCTATAATATGCCTTTTGACTTATAATATTGGTCTTCATTAATGCATTGTACCGTTCTAAACGGCGGAAGTGTAGATAATTCGGAGAGCTGTTCAGCTCTCGGTGAAGGTACAATTTTGCTATCATCGTTAGGACATGTCTTATTCGCTTTTACTCTGCTTCCAGCTGAGGATTCGTAATTTCCGCGAGCCATTTAGAGAGAATGGCGGTGATCTACTTCCGTAGGCATACCCCGAAACGTGTTCGAATCTTGCAGCTGCCACTTTGCAGCGCTTGGATCCTTCTAGATAATATCTGCGCACTCGGAAGTTATGTCGGTCACATATTCGGCTTCGGATTTAGCACCATAGTCGCGGGCGTTATTTCTCAGCGTACGCTACGGTACACCGTAAATTTCTGGAATAGCTCATCTCGGAACATGCTCGGTACTCAATATAGGAAATCCTGAAGAAACGGGTCCATCCCTATTGTTATCTAAGAAGTACTCGGGAATTAATGAGGAGCACATTTGTCCCAGCGTCGAGCCGAGAATGAACCGCATATTTAGGGCGTAGCTTTGTTCATCGCAATTCAAGGTGTTTTTAATGGCGCTGTACAGAACCAATCATAAAAGGAGCCGCAACAAACGCTGTTGTACTAAGCTTTAGTTCGTGTGCGGCACTGAGATTAATCGATTGCGTATGGAAAGCCAAGAGGCGCGGACTTGCATCTTAATCTTGATTTCGGCGCAAGACGTTCTAGCAAGTACTGGCACTGGCGTTAACGGAAGCTTCTATCACTAGTCTGTGTGAAATGCGAAGACCGCAAGAGTGGATTGTTGCCAACGATGGATTGGGAGTCAGTATTAGGTTCGAGTCATCAGCATACAGCGCTTTAAACGAGCGTTCGGGTTGGCCAGTGACGTCCTTGAGACATCTATCAACATTGCTGATATTGAGGAGTATCTTCTGGAGAATAAAAACGCTCGAGATTGTTGAGCAGCGACACTGGAAGGCTCATTCACCATGTCAAGCGTCCGACTTGGGCTGAGAGCCGAAGGAAAACATAGCACCCGCGTTACCGCCGCTGCGAGATTAAGCGAAGCACCTGACCGTGTGCGCGTCTAAATTACGACGAGCCCTCACGATGGTGTTATCCACAATATTAAGCGGATAACGTAGGGCCACGCATGCGCAGCAAGAGCCCGCTACCGTAGATCGTTTGAGCCACACCTTGCAACACTTGAAATGTGTATGACAATAAGTTACTCTAAAGCTAAAAAGATACCGCCCTTTCCCCTCAATGAACATGGCACCCATAATCTAACATGCGCTGAGTGCGCTCTCCCTGGCATTTTTCTTAAAAGTCTATGTCATATATTTACCTATAGGCTTGGATAGATGTATTTCACCAGTCCACATAAAAACTCTATCGTGAATCAATTGCAAAGAGCAGACACCCTGTTACATTGAGGGTGCCATGTTGCATTCAATAGGGGTGCAAGGGCGGTATGACTTAGAATCCATCAACCCGGTTGCCTACTACGTCCCCTGTTGTTCGCACCTGCCTGCACCTGCCGATGAAGGAGATGGCGGAGACAACACTTCAACCTTGTCCTCCCCTTTGTGTAATGATGAACCCGTGCCCATGAGCCCGTTAAAAACTCTGAGGTCCCCATCTTTCTTTGTCGAAGCTGCAAGCCAGAAACCTGCTAAATTTCAAGCAAACGCTTGAAACATCGCATGCACCTAGTTGACAGAGTCTGACATGAAAATACGCGATTGAGTATGTATCCAGAACAGCTTCAATGGCCCAAAACCAAGTGCAAAACCGCATGTACAGTGTGGGCCATTCAGTCTCATTTGATACCTGATGAAGAGAGGCAAGGGTTTCTGACGTCAACATCGAATATAGGACGAGGGCCAACAAATGATTGTCGAAATCAAGCTTTTAATCAGAGAAATTAACAGCGGCATCCATGAGAGTGGTGATGGTTCAGTTCTACGCGAGAAGTCGAGGACAGATTACCACTGGCAGCTTGCATCATGGACTGGGAGTTGTCTGTATGCACGTTCGCTTGAACAAGCATGCATGGACTATGGGAATCACAGACAGTATGCGTTTTTCTGCCAATTCACGAACAAAGGTTCTGGGACCGGGAACACTTGAAGAAAAGGGAGATCTTGGGGTATGTATCAACAAGAAAAGAACGCTGTGGGGCGAAACGAGAACAGGGGACCTCACGCTAACGTTGTGTCGGAAGCTCAATAGATTGCCTAAAGAAGAAAATGCGCGCGCGGAAAATGAAGCGGGGACCGAAAATCACGTGATCACGTAGGAGCTGAATTTTGGCAGAGATCCCTGGCACAAGAGTTGCGCTGAGACCCACTACCTAAGGTAGCGGGAATCTTCCACCTAAACATATCTCCGGCCGAGAAGATCTAATGATTCTCTCATCCTCGGAGTCATATTACGGTGTGGTGCAGAAACGTGGGGCGACGTAGGTATGCTCTCACATAAAACGGTGAGCCTCGATTGGTGAGTACCAAGTGGCAGTTCCTGACTCCCTTCCTCTCCTCGAACGCGTCCTTTCCTTATGGATTCAACAAGCCCTTTGCTTGATGGCTCGCTTTTCCTTCCGGAGATTGTAGACCTGTTTAGGTCCGAACGTCCACAGAAACCCCTATTCGCCTTTCCCGACCATACCAACTCTGGCTTGGTGACAATAACGGCCTTGGAGTTCGCTCGGGCTGCTCATCGAGTAGCCCATGAGCTGACCACTTCCGTCAAACCTCGAAGAGAGCGGGGGGAGACTGTTGCCGTGTTGTCACTCGGAGATACCATCGTCTATCATGCAGTTGACGTAGGTATGCAGATGGCTGGTTTGGTGGTACGTCTGTCATACCTCAGTCTTCCAAGAACATCACAGTGACAAAGTGCAACCAAGCCCTTCCCTATGTCTCCAAGAAACTCGCCCCAGGCAATCGCAAGCATGCTCAACAAAACTGAGTGCCGCCATATCCTCATTATAACGCCTCTGCCTGCCACCTTCCTCGACGAGGTCTGCGGGTTATCCGCACTTGACCTCACTATCACCCGACTTCCCCCTATCGCGCGCATCTACCCAAAGCTCGGACGAGAAACGGCTGAAAATGCCTTCGCACCCTTTCCGTATAAACGGCCACACCCGGAAGAAGTCGCCATGTACCTTCACTCCTCCGGAAGCACGGGATTTCCCAAGCCAATCGCCATTACACACCTTCGCCTCATTCAGTGGCTCCGGCAATGCGTCACATTCGTCGGGCAGATCTCTCAGTCATTGAAAGAGCCATCTAGGGGGACGCACGTGCAACTGGGCGTGGCTGCGTTCCCCCCGTTCCATTCCCTCGCATTCTTCACGCAGCTGTATGCGCCCCTGATCAGCGACGCTGTTGCGTCCGTCTATCGCCCGAGTTCTGTTGAATACGCCGATGCGCAACCTGTCGCACCGACGCCCGACAATGTCCTCGAAAATGCGCGACTAACTAATGCGGACGTAGTTTACGTCGTCCCGATGTTCCTAGAGGAGATGCTACATTCGCCGGATGCAATCAGTGCGCTGAAGACATATGACCGCGTCGTAAGTAGTAGCATCCTTTTAATCGACCTCCAGTTTCATACATATCCACAGCTGTACGGAGGAGGGATCCTTCCCGAGAAGGTGGGCTGCCAGCTCTTCGAAGCAGGCGTACCTCTCGCGACATCGTATGGAGGAACTGAGTTTGGCGCGCCGGCAGCGCCTCCGAACATCGGCGATACACACGAAGGAGATTGGGGTTACTTCTATTTCCCAGACGCGACCCAAGTGCGGTGGGCTGACCAGGGTGATGGCACGTTTGAGTTGCATGTATTGGTGCGTTCGTATGTCATCTCTTAGGGTGAACGGCCTCTGACATGTGGCATATGACAGTCGAATGGCGTCTATGATATCGCCCCCGAGTACCACAACCTGCCTGACGTCGAGGGCTACGCGACCTCGGATATCTTCGTCAAGCACCCATCTAAGGAGAACTTGTGGCGCATGTGCGTATCATGGTACCGAGAGATCGTTGTCTGCTCATCTGATTCTATGTGCAGCGTTGGTCGCAAGGATGATGTCATCGTACTGTCCTCCGGCGAGAAGACCGTACCAGCCCCGATGGAGAGCGCTATCTGCGCCCACCCTCTCGTCATGGGCGCTGTGATGTTTGGCGAAGGACAGTCTACTGTAGGAGTCATCCTTGAGTCTAGGGGTGCCGTCGCAGATGAGAGGAAGTTTGTTGGCGAGGTTTGGTACAGCCATTTTACTTGCTTGGGACTTCGCGTCACTGAACATGCACTACCGTTTCTGAAACTAGGCCTTATATTGAAGACGCCAACAGCGCAGCACCGGCTTTCAGTCGTATCTTTAAGAGTACAGTCTTAGTTGCCAAGGCAGAGAAGCCTTTCCCACGCGCTGGGAAGGGTACTGTTCTCAGAAAAGCTACATTGAACGAGTACAAAACTGAGATTGATGCACTGTGAGTGATCTGATTCAAATTGCCCATCACTGAGTAAGCTCATTAAGTTTCTGTTCAGATACGAGAATTTCTCACAAGATTCAACTTCTGAGTTAGCAGTTAACCTCGCTGATCTCTCGAACGAAGCACTGCAAGAGTGGCTCGTCAAACAGGTCAGGTCGAGTGTACCCAGGTCTTCGGCCATCAATGCTACATCGGATCTGTTTTCGTTCGGCTTTGACAGGTACCCATTGAACCGTCTTTCCAAGGATATTTTTTGATTAGTTTCCTGTTGTAGCCTAAGCATAGCGCACATCTACCAGGCTATTATTTTCTCGGTTGAGCCTCGCATGCGAGATTCAATACCTCGCAATGTTCTCTACGAATACTCGACAATCGCACAGCTTGCGGATGCCCTGTACTCTACTATGCACAATACGAACGAGAATGATAATGATTGGCGGAAGAGCCATCGGATGTCTATGCAGAGCATGCTCGCGCGATATAGTAAGCCCTCGCCTTCGCCTCGCTATCATAGGATAATAACATCGCGTACTTCTTAGAAGTCCCCACACCACAAGGCGCTGTAGTCCTCCTCACTGGCTCAACGGGCCACCTAGGCTCTTACATCCTGCACGAGCTTCTCTCCAACGACGGCGTCTCGAAGATATACGCATTCAACCGGGCCTCCTCGGGCCGGTCGGGCCGCGAGCGCCAAGAAGTCTCCTTCGCATCCCGCAAGCTCCCCGTGTCCTCACTCGACTCGAGCTCCCATAAGCTCGTGTTCCTCGACGGAGACACATCCGAGCCCGAACTCGGTCTCAGCGCCGAAGTGCTAAGAGATCTGCGCAACGAGGTGTCGGTGATCATCCACAACGCGTGGCGCGTGGACTTTAATCTCCCGCTGATCGCGTTCGAGGCGAACATCGAGGCGACGCATAATCTTGTGGAGTTTGCGCTTTCTGCGTCGAGCGCGAAGAGGGTCAGGTTTGTGTTTGTGTCGTCGGTTGCGGCTGTGCAGGGGTGGAGTCCTGAGCGCGGGCCGGTGCCGGAAGCGGTGGTGGATGAGGCGGATGTTGCGCTGGGGAGCGGGTATGGGGAGAGTAAGTATATTGGTGAAAAGGTGCGTCTAGCATTTTTCTTTTGTGTTGGTATTAGTGTGAGCTCAGAATGTGACACAGATCGTGGCAGAGAGCGGGCTCGAGGGCACTTGTGTTCGCGTCGGTCAGATAGCAGGTGGGCCAGGCGGCATCTGGCCGACGACCGAGTGGGTGCCCATTGTGGTAAAGTCAAGCGTTGTGTTCGGAGCTATGCCTGAGCTTCCTGGTGTATGCGTTCTTTCTTCGTTCTGTCACCGCTCCTTGACGCATCTCATACATCGATAGGACGTCTCATGGATTCCGGTCAACGCCGTTGCATCCGCACTTGTGCACATCTGCCTGAAGCTGTGTTCACCGCATGATGACACATACATCCCTCCTGTACTCAACCTCGTCCACCCGCACCCTGCAGCGTTCCTCGAGCTCGTCGAAGCCATGCGAGACGCAGTCGCGGCAAAGAAGCGGCTCCTGAGCAAAGACGACGACCTGCCTCTGGTGAGCTACGACGAATGGTTAAGTCGGTTGGAAGACCTCGAGAAGGGACAGGTGCATTGGGCGGGTGGGAAGAAGCTTAGTGAAGTGGTGAGTACAGCTGCCCCTGCCTGCGGTATCGGCTGCGTGCAGCTAACGGTCATCAGCCCGCTTTGAAGATCATCGACTTCTTGAGGAATCTTACTTGTGCGGACGGCAATAAGAACAAGTTCAGCACTGACCAGATTGAGCACGTCGTTCCATCTTTGCGAGAGTTGCGTCCACTTGGAAAAGGTGATGCCAAGGCGTGGGTGGAATATTGGGTTGACTTTGGTTTTTTGTAGTTTGTTTATCCACGAGGCGTGAGTGCCATAGATTGGGCAAACGATGTATTCCTACTGGCTGTATCCATGCTTGCTTCGTAGACCGACCACAGAGGTATCAATAAAAAGGACGCATATATAGGCTAAAGTACAAATTACCAAACGTACCCACCGGCACGCACTATCAATACCCATGCATAAGCATCGCCCTCCCGTTCAATGTACTCACATCCGCGCTCCCCCGCCTCGCGTTCCCCTCAGCCCACGAGATCACTCCCGCAACATGCTCCCCCTCGCTCTCCGTATACTGCACCCTCCGCTGCCTGTCCATCCCCGCTGGATCGTCCGCGCGCCCCGCCACGAGACTCGCCGTCTTATACGCCGACGTGTGCACATCAAAGTGCCCCTCGAATGCGGGCGGCAGGCGCACCTCCGCGTCTGCGTTCTTGGTCCGCGCCTGCAGCGCGAGCTCGGCCGCGTTGTGCGGCATGTCGACGATCCCGAGCGTAAGCGGGCCGTTTTCCGTGCGCGCGGAGACGTTGAAGCGCGAGCCGGCGCCGTCGTACGGCACGGGCGCGTATAGGCCGACGCGGGCGTCAATGGGTGCGTTGGTGGTGGTGAGGGAGAGGGCGCTGGGCGTGTGGTCGAACTTGTTTGTGAGGGAGATGGAGGTGTCGATGTGCCCGTTGGAGGTGGTGAGGGAGAGGGAGGTGGAGGCGCTGAAGTGGCCGGATATGGGGGCGTTTGTGGTGAGGATGGTGCCGGTGTCGCAGACCAGTGACTGTACAAGGGAGATGGAAAGCGGTGTGTCAGTTGGTGAGTGGAAGGACTTGGGGTTAATAGAAAGCGTACGTTGGCTTTGATCGCAGCGTTTGCCGTCACGAGGTTGATATGGTTAAACAGGATCTTGCTTTGGAGTTCTCCGGCATCGATGTTGTACCGCGGAGAGTTCACTTCGAGCTTTCTGACGCGCCGTTTGGCTGGACCATAGCGTCGTGCGGGGAAGGTTAATGTGATATCAAACTTGAGTTGGTCGGCGTAGCTGGTTGTGCCTGTCCAGCTGGGAACCTACAGCGCATTATCGGTCAGCAAAGGTGACAAGGCTTGGTAGGGTTACTCACGAAGATCCCAACGCCTTGCTCATGTGAACCGCGCTCCAGCAAACACACATGTGCCCCCTCGATAGCTCGCGAATCATGGTATGCGGTGCGGACTGAAATCTGAATGTTGTCGGAGGAGCTCGTTTCGGTGGATAGGTGAATGTCGCCATATTGGCGTCCACCACGAGTGAAGAGGTAGATCACATCCGAGTCGATAGGAATCTCAAACTCGGCATCCGCGCCCTGGGAGTGGACTGGGCTCCAGCTCGGACTGCGGTACGCTTCCCAAGTTTCGTTTTTGCTGCCAGCACAGCGGAGGATCTTGCCGTCCGCGGCGAGCGGGTAGCCGGTGTTGCTTTTGTCTGTTCGGCGCTGGAGAACGAGAATGGTTGGATGAGCTCGGAGAAGTATCTACAGCGAAGTGTACATACACCGCGATAGTAGGGATAGCTCTGATCAAACCTTGCAACCTCGACTATGCTGTCCGTGAGCACGGCGAACAGGAACCAGATAAGGGTAGCCGCCGCGAACGCCTTCCAGAACCGTGCAGCTGGGGACTCGTGGTATCTGTACACGACCACGCCCTCGAGCGCTGTAGGAGACGCGACGTACTCCTGCGGTGCTCCCTGGTACGTGTGCGGCTGGGCTGGGGGCTGGTACGGCGGTGGGGGTGCCGGCTCTGGCTCCTGTGCTAGCTGCTGCTGACTCGGTCCGGAACCCGAAACGAGGGGCTGGCGTTCGCCGGCGGGGGCCTTGGTGTCATCACCGTCGACGATGATCATGGTGGGTGGAAAGAAAGGGTATCAAGACGTATAGGCGCGGCTGATGGAGTGAGCGGGGATGTTTATGTGAGTCAGGAGCACATGATGGCGCGCAGCATGTGGTGGTGACTGCGGGACCTGCGGAGGCTGGCATTAGACGCCCAACGCGCCTGTTTGCAAGTCTGGGCATTTGAGCCTTATCTTGGCCTTACACATTCTCACCCAGTACTAATGAAAGTTCCCTCTGCCTCAAACATGCGATCATCCGAGACGATTCCCAGGCACAGAGACTATGCAGTGCATCTCTAAACCTGTAGCTTTTTGCCTAGATCATGGTAGGCTCCCACCTACCTCCCCCGGGGCATCTCATTATGCTTGAGTGGGAAAAGCGGATCGTGAGACTGGGTCCGGGCCGACTCCGCGACTGCTTACATAATAACAGCAATATCACGCGAGCGCACTTACTCTCCACGAAGTGCTTGACTGCTGCCATGATTTGGGTGCAGTAGTTGCAGTCAAACGCTACTTAGACAATATAGGTGCGTTTGGGATATATGCGTCCGGTTCTATAGATTGATGACTTGACCTAACTAGTTTCTTGGCGTGCCATGAAGTACCTCTACGTTTACAAATGAGTGGGACCGTGACGTGCTTTTCCAACCCAACCTATGCTGCAGAGACGACAGTCCCATCCCAGGTCAGCTTAGCGGTATACATAGGCCTCGTCAGAGGGTCTGAGTTGGTCGTTGCGTGAAACACTGCAAACGAGCCATCCGGGATGGGCGTCATACCGCCGGGTGCCGTCAGGCTGTCGTCTCCGGTGACAAGCAGGGGCGAAGACGCTTTCGTGTATGGTCCCGTAACGGAGGATGCAGTCGCGTAGCTTACATCGTACAGATTGGTGTTGTAGCAGTTGGAGGAGAAGAACAAGGCATAGCTGGTGAGTCGCCCCTTGTCAGTCCATCATTCGGTGCTCGGTGACCGCAAGGACCACTCACACTCCGTTCACCAGCACGATCTTCGGTGCCTCGATCAAAGGACCATCGTACTCACTACGGTCGAGGATCTGGATAGCATCGCCAGTCGGTGTCACACCGTCGCTCTCCACCTGTTGGAGCATGATAGGTGTCGAGTACTCCAGGTTCCCGTTCCCGCACGAACCACCGCCACCAAGGTTGTTTCCGTCGACCTTGTAAGCAACATAGCGCGTCCCATCCGAGTCCTGGAACCCTGACGGATCAATGGCGCCGCCCCCAGTTGCGTTGCAGGCGAGAGCTGAAGACTCCGGGCTGAACGGGCCGAGCGGGGTCGTGGCGGTGGCCGCTCCGACACAGTGAGTGCCCTCAGAAGTTGATTCCCCAGCATAGTCTGAAGGTGCGTATCGTCATCGTCAGTTTGAACTCGACGAGTACACTTGACGTACTCACACATGACATAGGTTCCATCTCCACGATCAATGACATCAGGCGCCCATGTCAGACCGTTGTTCCCCGTGGCCCACGAGCCAACGGTAGGGAGGGCATCTTGCGCTAGGACGGTCCAGGTGGAACCGCTGTCGGTGGAGGTTGCAAGCTGGATGTTGTACCCGTTCCCGTTTGTTGCGTATGCGTAGTATCTGGCAAGCAAATGGCTTCAGCTTGTTTTCCTTATGTTCGACGGATAATGACATACGTTCCATCCGCGATGACGATGCTAGGGTCGGGGAAGTCGGTGCTCGTGACAGGCCCAGCAACGGAAGCTGCGGCGTAAGACGCGAAGGCGAGCTCGGCGGCGAGGATAAGGACGCGCTGCATAGATGTGGATGAAGAAGTGCAGGAGGTGTGTTCAGTGTCTTGGCTATGCTGTTTATTTCTGACTCTTCTTATAGACGCCCATATTGAACAGCCGTCCGTTTCTTACGTCTACAAGTTATTCTTATCCCCAATATCATGATAATCTCTCCGAGGCATCGTGCGTATATTCACCATTGTTACAGGAAGATGACCTCCGAACTTTCCAACACCGCGATAATTATAGGCCAGTTCTGCCCAGTTGCGCACATATACCTCATGGCAACGCATGCACCCCCCCATAGTACATTGGTTCTGGGGGGCACCGCCCCTTACACATCCAGTGCAGGCATCAACTTCTTAAGCGCTTGTCTTCCTCACGACACAGTATTTCCCTCCGTCTCTACCTCACGCTCTATGATTTTTGCGATGGACACTACGAGGTAGCCGCAACCCTGTAAGTATGCACAACATTCGCACATATGATCAGAATGATAAACTGATGCCTGTGCTCGTGATCACCCCAGGTCTATTCTTGATCCTGAGACCCTGAGGCCATACGCTTTCATTCCTGTGTCACTCGCAAGCATACGCACCAAATGTCAATCCATGTACTTGGAAGCACAACGTTGTGTGTAACTTCAGCCCGAATGAACATGCGGTGTCGCTGGCAGGCACGCGTCGCAATATGGCGCGTCTCACGTGCCGCCTGACAAGTCTTCGAGGTTCGCACGCGCTGAAGATGGTCCCTGAAGCAACGACACTGCATCCAATAGCGTTGTTTGAGCAGCTGAGCTCGCCACCGTCCATGTGTACGTCGCCAAGTTGCAAAGACCCAGTTTAAATTCTAACTCCTAACATTACACCTAGGTACCTAACTATAGCCCCCAAAAGACCCAAAATACATGTCGCCAGCGTAGCCTGCTATCTCATGCGGCGGTAGCGACATTTCCGTTCCAACTCAGTTTAGCGGTGTACATGGGACGCGTGAGGGGGTTCGAGTTGGTGGTCGCATGGAAGACAGCCCAGGAGCCGTCGGGAGAAGGCGTCATGCCACCGGGGGCAGTCAGGCCATCGTTGCCGGTGACAAGCAGCGGCGCAGCGGCCTTGGTGTATGGGCCCTTGACGGACGACGCAGTCGCGTAGCTGACGTCGTAGAGGTCGGTGTTGTAGCAGTTCGAGGAGAAGAACAGGGCATAGCTAGGTGAAATTTCGATGCCGTCGTCAGTTTGTTGCCCGTGAGCTCTGTACAACAGGATCGCTTACAATCCGTCCCTGTAGATAATCTTGGGCGCCTCGATGAGCGGACCGTCGTACTGGCCGCGGTCGAGGATCTGGATGGGTGAGCCGATGGGCGTGACACCGTCGCCCTGCAGCTGCTGGAGCATGATGGGCGTCGAGTGGCTTCCGTCGCCGTTTCCGCACGATCCGCCACCGCCGAGGTTGTTGCCGTCAACCTTGTACGCGACGTAGCGCGTGCCGTCGGTGTCCTGGAAGCCGGAGGGGTCGATGGCGCCTCCACCGGAGGTGTTGCAGTCGATGGGCTGAGCCTGGGGGCTGAAGGGCCCGAGAGGGTTCGTCGAGGTGGCAGCGCCAACGCAGTGAGTGCCCTGCGAGGGAGACTCGGCAGCGTAGTCTAGAGGTATGTGTCACTGTCAAGCGCGATGATCAAATGTGACGTGCTTATACTTACACATGACGAAGGTGCCGTCACCGCGGTCGATCACGTCGGGTGCCCATGTCAGCCCGTTGTTGCCGACGGCCCATGACCCAACGTTGGGGAGGGCATCCTGGGCGTGAACGGACCAGGTGTTGCCACCATCAGAGGAGGAAGCGACCTGGATGTTGTATCCATTGCCATTGGTGCCGTACGCGTACCTACGAAAGGGACATAACGTGAAGATTTACTCATTTGCGCTATACAGCCGCACGTACGTCCCGCTACCAGTGATGAGGAGACCAGGGTCAGGAAAGTTGGAGTTGATGACGGGTCCAGAAACCGAAGCTGCGGCGAAGGACGCGTGAGCGACACCGGCGGCGAGAATGAGAGCGCGCTGCATTGACGAAGATGAGAAGGTGTGAGGGTGCGTTGACCCTTTCCTGTGCTTATCCTCGACGTTCTTATACCTTCTCCCTCTGGCCGCAGAACCTCGTCAGTCATCCTAGTGGTGTAACATGTCGACAGTCTCATGACGATACCCGCAAGGGCGAGCTCGTAAACCATCGCATGGCTGCCTAGGGTGGCTTGGTCAGTTGACCTTGAGGTGTAGTGCCAATGGCTATCCTCACCACGCGTAATGGGTCTCATGCTGACAGGGTCACCATCGTTGTATTGAACATCGAACGCAGTCAAACGTTACCCAAGACATTCGTGACCGTCAGTGATTGGGTAGTTGGGTCGGAGTATCGAAATGTTTAACATAGAGATCATGCTCGCCGGATACTCTCTTGAGCTTGGCACTTGAGCGCGAAGTTGACTTTGTGGCAAATTGACTGAACAGCCACAATTCTTCCCCAGAATAGATATTCTCAGGTTCCAGGAGTAGCAGCCAGCGATTCCTCTGACATGCCTTGCATCCTTTCGCAATCGCGAGGCCGAGTTCGATCATATGCTCGCATGGTCGTCGCGCGAGGTGAACTACCGGTCAAGGCTAGAAGTGCAGACACTCTGACTTCGTGCCCCTGAAAGCGCGAAAGTGCAAGGCACCTTCTCAGTCGTGCCTCGATGCCAGCAAGCCCTCTGGCTTCGCAGTCAACCCGTCTAAAAAGATCCGGTGCGGGGAAATGTTATCAGCTCAGCAGATGTGGGCTGCTGACAATATCTCAAGACCTTCGCAAGTGATAACCTTCAAGTTTGCATATGTCTGACTTGAGTTCAGGTCACTTCGTTCTTCAAATTCCTGCATCAACCTGACTTGATAGATTGATCTCGCGGAATTAATGTGCCATGGGGCATGGGTATTAGGTCACATGTCCGTTCGCATGGCACGTCTCGCAATTTCTCACGAATGGAAGTCGGTTCCTGGCAAAACCACTACATGCAACGGCGTGCGGTGAGCTTTGTCGCGTCTTGTTCTTCGGACTCTTCGCGCCTTGGAAACATCGCAACCAGAGTGACAAAAAGCGGCGGTTACTACAGCCAAGTAGCGAGAGCACTGCCAAGGTTGAGTCTCTCATTTCTGAGCGAGTTCTGTCATATCCTCAGATTATTCGAAACGGTCCATACTAACACCCATCTCATCGCAGCTACCCGACACATGTACCTTTCGGACAAACCCGCCCCACTCTAAATATAACAACGAAAGGACACATTGACGCGTGCTTGTTTCAGAACGTTAAAGAAGTAGAGCTGGGTCAGAAAACGCCTCCGATTTTACCGATTATTTTACATCAAAAAGTCACAGCTTTATCATACTGTACAATTTTTAGTTAATGACGAAACGTTTGTTCCGAGTCAAAGCTTCACTTCATCCCACTTCACAAGTCCCTCCTCAATCGCCTTGATTTCTGTTCACGGCCCCCAGATCAGCTAACATCTCAGAATCATAACAAGAAAGATACTTACGGAGAGCGAGATGCAGACTATGGAACCTCGACAGCGCCAAATTACCCACCCCGAACCACATGTTCTCCTGCCCGCACGGGCGCCAGATGCCACTCAAATTTCCCTCGTTATCCAAGCCCCACACTTTATGCACCTTCGATGCGACCTCTGGAGGGCAGATGTCGTGCATCACGTCGCGCGGGTCACCGTACCTATACAATTCGCCCCGATCATTTATCAGGTTCATCAGCTGTAACAAGGAGAGGGTGAGGCATACCCGGTCCCATAGACGATAATGTCAGCCTCGAGCTCTGTCCCGTCCTCCAGCTTGAGCCCCTTCTCAGTGTAACCCGCGATCTCGCTCCCATTCTTGAGCTTGATCTCACCGCTGATGATGTGCTTGCTCGTGCCCGTGTCTATAACCAAAACGACGCCAGCGTTCACGAATTTAGGGAGAGTATTCAAAAAAGTGCACGAGGGAATCGTACCGAGATAATAGCCACCCGCACGCTCGAATAGGAGTGGGAACAATCCTGCATCCATCGGACCCATGTTCGTCTTGAAGCCGACCTTGTTCAGACCCTCAATAAGCTCCCTGATAACAATCATCAGCTGTGCTTTCCTCGTCCCATAAAGAGTGTCGACGTACTTGTCGACGTTGTTCATGAGATAAGGTGTCACGCGTTGCTGGAGCCTTACAAGCGGCGGGTAAGGGAACGCTTCACCAAGTACGTCTGCGAGCTCTACGGGATAGCCCTCCTTGTACGATGCTGAAAGCGTGAATTAGCATGATACAAGGCAGGCGCTGGTGATAGAACGCATATTGCATACCAAGAACCATGCGGACCACGTTGCTGCTGACGACAAGCGTCGAAGAGCGCTGATACATTGTGACGTTCACACTGTGATTAAGGAAATCCTGGGCGACGTCGTGTCCTGAATGTCGATCTCATTTAAGCTCCAATCACAAAGGCCATCGTGCAAGTAAACCACGCACCCGAGTTGCATGCACCAACGACGACAGCCTTCTTGCCGACGTAGTTTGCAGCAGAAGTGAAGTTGGTTGAATGAGTAATCTCGCCTTTGAACTTGTCCTACGCATGTATGAGAGTCCACGTTGAGCTCCACACGTTTATTGCATACCTGGCCCGGGACGCTCGGAAGCTTGGGCTTGCCTGAAAAGCCCGTCGCGAACACGAGATGCTTCGCGTTCAGCACGCGCTTTTCAGACTCGCTACCCCTCGTGACCTCAATGGTCCACGTCTTCTTGGAGTCGTCCCAGGCTGTGCTGTTGATCAGGGACGACGTCCAAACGGGCAGCTCAAGCATGTCGGCGTAGTCCTCGAGCCAGTCGGCGAGCTAGATGTACAACGTTGTGATGTTACTGAGGATAAAGGCGTTGGTAACGGGCGCGGAACGACGTACCTTGCCTGCGGGGCTGAATACAGGCCAGGTAGCAGGGAATCTGCAAAACATTAGCACACTGTTTGGACCATAATGAGGATGAGACTCACGGTAAGTATGGCATGGTGTTATACCCTGGAGAATGAATGAGACCAGAACCTCCGTTGAAGAGCTTAGGACTTACAGACGGTATCATGCAAGCAGAGTGCTTTGTATCTGTTCCTCCACTGAAGCGAAGATTGAATTCCGCATGCGACAGCATTAGGGTTATGCGGACAACTCACCGAATCCCCAACACGTCCATTCTTCTCTATCACCAGCGCGCGGACACCCAGATATTTCAAGCGTGCCGCGATCTCTAGCCCAGTATGACCCGCGCCAACGATGACTATGGTTGGGTCATTGTTCTTGAATTCGCTCTCGGCCGCGCGCTTTGCTTCCCAGGTGCCGTGTGCTGCCTTTTGGTTACGCAACTCACCGACCTGGTCATCCCGAATATCAGCCCGCAATGAAGATACCAGCCCAATATTCTGAAACGCGCCTGCTCCGGGTAGTCCTTCAATCCATCCAAATGCGTTAAAAGCATGTATGCCTTCCACTCTCCTCCCTTCGTCGGCACGAGGTTCACAATTGCCGTTCCTTTGCCCACGTTTGTCTCAAAGGTGAACAGCAGCCTGAGAAGAACGAGGTCCGGGAACATGCGCTGCACCTCCGGCTTCCGCAGGTCATCCTCGATCAGCTTCACGTTGTTGAGGCCGCCAACAGGGGCGAGCCGCGCATCGAGCAGGCGCTTGATGCTCGCGTGCCCGCCAAAGGTGCGAAAGTCCCATGTAAGCGCGAGGACGTCCTTCCAGAATCCATCCTCGATGAAAAGGTTTGCGACGGCATCAGAGGGGCTGGATGAGGCGAGTGCGGTGGTGAATTGGTTGAGCCATGCTTGCGCGATGGACGAAGCAGAGACGCCATCGCCTGGATCGGAGACGCCGAGGCGGTCGAGCGTGGGAAGCTGGTGTGTCGCGAGGTCTGTCATGACGGTCTTGGGCTCTGACAATGACGAGCTCAGTACTCGACTCTGTAGGAGATGTAGAGTGAGGGGAAGGAAGAATACGGCTGCGAGTTTTTATCACAGATCACCTGAACTCCTGTCAAAAGTAGACATGCGATCTCCGGACACCGTGTCTCCACTCTCTTCCCCTTCGCGAAGCCTAGTGGCCGCGACATGCATTATTCAGCGAGGTAACATACCGAGACTTGCAGCGATACCACCGACATACCCGCCCAAGTTATGAGCACAGCATGATGCACGTTTCACTTCACATTCTTTCCGATGACAGTAGGGGCGATCACGAGTCGGGGACAGTATGATCTGCGCGGTGATTAAGGCTTCGCTTTTACGGTCTGGGGTCACCATGTCGAATAGTTGGACAGACATATGTTTGTTCATGATGCATGGGAACCAAATTTGTGGTCTTGGTCACGAAAAGAAAGATAAGCGGATAATCAAGTCCACCATAGCACGTCAGGATTGACGTCGATGTCAACACACAGGCTCGTATACTTAGTCTCTCATATAGGTAGACCTTTATAGATTGCGGAAGGTGGTCATTCCTTATAATACCGCGAACTGGAAAATCGACTGCAGCATAGCGCGTCGACGAGCTTAAGCTTCCTCCATCGTCACCGGCACCTGAGGCGCCAATCAGTAGTATATGCTGCACGTTTCTGCGTGTAAGCATGTAGCTGATCGAGCTCGAGAAATGCATGATGACATACCCAAAGAGCTGTGACCATCTAACTATAGCAGTGTAAGAAAAGAATGGCGCGCCAAGTCCGATTGGCACGCCATTTCGGTGGCTAGCCACTGGCACGCCAATGGCACGCCAATTGGCGTGGGTTGTGGCAGTGCCGCCATTGCCCGTTATGGCAGGTAGCGTGAGACGCGGCGGCGCGGCGAGAACCAGTCCTGCCTGGTCAGGGGCTAGTGTTATTCTTGTTATCTGAGCTATGTAAAGGCTGCTGGGGCCGCAAACAAGCTTCGAGGAGGGGACAGAGGGTCGAGTTTAATATATCTAAAGTTCCTGTGTCGCCTTTCTGACCCCTGGACCCATTCTTTCCCTCGTCTTTCCCTCTCACTGTATCAAACTTCATTATGTCCTCAGGCTCTGGTGGTGCTTGGTATCGATCCCTTTTCACGGAAAACAAGACTCAGGGTGGTGTAGCCAACCCAGGCACTCAGCCGAGGAGCCAGAGAGTGAAATCTGTCTGCAATATGTGCCTTCAAGACCGCATCAAGAAGGAACAAGAGGCAGATTCCAAGGCAGGGCGTGTTCCTCATTCTTCTGATGTTATTACAGATGCTGGTACGTGACCCAGATTATTGTAACTGTATTCCTGTTTATCATGATTTATGCAGTCTGGGCTTGGGAGCCGAGGCAGCCCACTAGTTTGCTTACACTGGGAACGGCACGGCCATGGATACAAGGGCGTACAGAAAACTGGCTAAATCATCTTAAGGTATGTGTACCATAATCTATCGATATTCATGATTAAAGTACTTTAAGGCGTGTACACTCCAGCCACCCAGCATCCGCAGGGACGCAGCTGAGGTGCAGGCAAGGGGAAAGCACGTGGCCACCGAGGTAGAGGCAAGCAATATTTATTTTCCCTCGGAATCCTCCACATCCCCATCCTTTGCTATGCCCACACCACATTCTGTTATGCTTCCGGGCAATCTACTTCATGCTACACCATCTCCCATGTCCATGCTTCCCCTTCAATCACTTCCTTCTTCGTCTGCCAGCCCCAGCCCCCACTCGAGTGTTGCGCCTTCACCCGCCCCACGCTCTGCTACTCCTTCAGCAATATCCGTCGTTATCCCGCCGTCTAAGCGGCAGCGAGTCCTTTCACGCTCTGCCAGCTCCCCCGCTCTTGCTCCTTGGTCTTCTATTGATCAGGACGTGCTTGGAAGTCACCTTGCTTGTATCACTGCTTCGTGTGGATTCCCGCAAAGCTGGGTGGAAAATCCGGCGGTGCAGGCCTTTTTCGAGCAATACTTTCCTACAGCCACTCCGATTTCGAGCTACTGTCTCACCCACACGTATATCCCCCGCCTCCTTGATGGTTACAGGCAGACTGCTATGCAAAGGTCTGCGGGCGAGCTGGTAACTCTACAGACTGATGGCTGGACTGGTATTAACTCCCGTCATCTTGTTGCGTTTATGATGACAACCTCGCCAAACCGTGATGTGAGTTTTAATTTTCTTTTGGTCCATTATTCTTATGTTATCCTTATTTTATCCTTATTCAGGTTCACACTGTTGCGGTGAAGGATGTGTCATCTGACCGTCGCACTGCTGCACACCTCAAAAATCTCATTATCGATGTTATAGGTAAGGTGAAGGCAGAGTGGCAGGCAACAGTTGTTGCCGTCACATCTGACGCTTCGGGGGAGTCGAGAGCTGCAAGGAAACAGTTGCTAGAGCAGTTTCCTTCGCTGGTAACACCCGACTGTTATGCTCATCAGGTATGATTTATTATTACATGATATATCCTCTAATCTGTGTTTTTGCAGATAAACCTTGTTGTCGGAGATTATCTCAAGGCCAACAATGCACCAACATATCTTTCTTATACCAAGAAAGCGACTGAGCTGATCACTTGGCTCCGGAACCACTCTCAGGTCATGGCTCTCCTCCAGCGTATTCAGGAGCAACTTAACCAGACGCGTGCAGCTCCGGAGAGGATTTTGTCTGTTATCAGAGCTGTTCTCACTCGTTGGACTGCTCACTATCTTGCTTTTCGTCGGCTTCTCAGACTCAGGTCTCCCTTGTTTCAGCTCGCAGAACAATCTTCAGGGTGGATGCCGACACAGGGTGCTGCGAAGGCAAAAGCTCAGGAGATGGTGAACCTGATTAAGGATAACAAACTGTGGGAGGTCTTAGAGGCGTGAGTCATTTATTCAAGTTCAATTAACTTGCTCATTTTTTTCTAGAATGAAAATGCAGATGGAACCCCTTGCGTATGCTGCCAACTTCTCGCAGACTACTCATACCCGCCTTGATGAAATTCTTCTCGTTTTTGGCTATCTTCACTTCAAGTATACCGACATGCTCTTCCAGGCAATCGGTGATGGTGAGCAGTCTAGTCTTTTGGGCTCGGTCATCGAGAGCCTGGAGAGACGCTGGGCAAAATGTGACCAGCAGGTTTTTATCGCTGCTGTCATTCTCAACCCCATCTATAAGCTGACACCCTTTGCTAAATCTCCATCATTCCTCCCTGCCAATATCTTCGAGCTTATGTGCCTACTCTATGAGCGCTTCTTTGGTTCAACAGCTCCTGCTAGCCTCTATGACGAGCTCGACAACTACTTGTTTGGTACTGGTGTTTATGCCGGTTTAGCACGATCAGCTGCCCATGCTCAGGCTGATGCTTTGGCAAAGGTATGTATTTATTCAAATATTTGATTAATCTTCTAATTATATAATAGGGGACTCGCCCAGACCCACTCAAAATTCTCCGAGGCTTTATGCATCCAGGACTCCCTGTATCTCCTTTGTTACAGCTAGCCATGCGCTTGTTTGCAATCTGTGCAAACTCGGCATCCTGCGAGCGTTTATTCAGCATCTTTGGTCTTATTTTGACCAAACTGCGCTCGAGGCTTGGGCTTACTAATATGCTCAATTTTGCAGAGCTCCGACTCCACCTGCGCGATGAGTATCTGGCTACAGGCAAAAGCACTGAACGCCTTCGGCGCAAGCGCAAAGTCATTGACGACACTGTTCACGAATCACTACCTGCACAGTCCGATGACACCCAGGATTCGTCTTCAGAGCCAGCAGAGGACCTGGAGAATACGCTCGAGTCAATCAGGAGGGCATTTGAGGTGCAACTTCAGGAAGATGAAGACAATGCCCCTATTTCCACTGAATCTACACAGATGCACAGCCGCATTGAGCTTGTGGCCCTTTTCGACTTCGACAACAGGGGTTGGATGGATTTACTGACTAAGGCTGGGGAGAAGGGACTCGAGGAGGAGGAGGAATTTTATGATTTGGCTGTTGAGCAGGAGAAACACATCGATGATGACAGGATTGACGACATGTTGGCCTCGGCAATGTAATGTAGTGATGTAGGTAACCAATCAGAACGCATTTTATGATGACTAATTTGGTGGTGCCTGGTTGCAAACCGATGGCGCGCCAATGGCGCGCCAAATGGCGGCCATTGGCGGCTCCATGTAAAACCATTGGCAAGCCACCGAAACTCCAATCACTGGTCGGCCGTGTTCGGCTTGTGTTTGTCCCTCATGCATCCGACGCCTCGGCTCCAAAGATACTGACGCCCACTATATCTATCATGGACGTGGCGATGTAATGTCAAGCAGGGTGTAAAGTCCGCAGATATTAGTGAATTATGCGGCAGACAAGAACCAGGTCAGAGGAATGCTATTGGTGAGACAAGCTTCAAGGCAGTACCGCGTCCACTTCGATTCATGCTATGGAAAGATGCAGCACGTATTATACAGCAAGTTACTAATGTGAAGCGTTTGATAAGCCCGCGCATTACAGCAAGTTACTCATATCAAGTTCCGCCAGAATGGTACATAAAGGTCGCGGAAGGCTGCATGTAATATATCGTGTCGCCGCGTTCCCACCGGTACCACATCAAGCATACTATTCCTCACTCCAATTGTGTTACTAGTCGTCCCCAGCTACTGCTGAAATTTAGGCCACCTATCCTCTCAATTTTCTCCAGCCATAGGAGCATCGATCCTTATGGCGGCATCCGAGCTGCAATCCGAAATTGGCCCTTTTCGCTCCCCTCCTCGTTTTGCTGAGCGTCCTATTCCTATTGTGGCGAGTAATGTTCTAAGGCACGCACGCAACGTTCGAGTGTAAGTGGAGTTCTATAGCTATGGAAGTTCATGATTCCAATTCGGCTGATTTGATCTGTAGAACCGTCAACAGACATCCTAACGAAAGCCTGCCTATACCTGCAAGAACGACGGAGATTGATAAGTAAAAACGTCAGTGACCATCATCGCATTGACCAACATCACACAGCAAGGAGCTTCGTCAATGTCTAGACCGCGGAAACTCCGGTATTGTGTGGGAGGAGCGGATACATCCGGGAGGAGCATTATACTTCTACGCTAAAAGCACTGCTAATCTGGTGCGGAGTTGTCTACCAAATGACGAGCTTTATAGGTAACGCTCAGCCTCTTTAGACGGTGTATACAGACGCATATCTGTTTGACACTGAAGTCAGGCAGCATGTGAGCTTCCATGTTACTGCACTGGGACAAAGGCGCCATAGAGAAATGCAAAGACTCGAAGACGATGTGGAGCTCGTTATCGAGAAGATTTCGGAAAGTACTCACGAGTACGGTTACTACTATGTTTATCCTCAAAACCGCATCCTTTTTTGGCTCGATGATCATGAGCTGGAGAACGACTTGAAGGGAGTTAAGTCCACTGGACACATCAGTCCGTACAACACCCTTAAAGCACGCTTTCTGATCATGTGTCATTAACGTCTTATATCCGTCAGAGTACGCGTTAGAGGCCGAATATTGGTGATTCTACTTAAATATGTGTGAGCAATATAATATTTCTGGCTATGTTCTCTCGCTAAATTTATCCTAGACAGTTCGTAAAAACACTCAACTACTTTTCAGGACTCATTGCGAGCTCTTTCCGCACGCGAGGGCTGTGCAACGCCAACTCGTTAATGAGCTAAAAGGGATCTCCCTCCACGCAATTACAGGTTTGGCCACAGTATCAGTTCACAAAAGCCAGATATTAAGTCATCAACGCTTCAGAAATCCTCACCTCAAGAACGCCACTTTCTCCATTTTCTCTTGAAGAACTCAACAATATTTGTGAGGTACTAGAGCGTATTTGCTTTGAAGATCAAGCAGATGCGCTACAATGCCCCTACACAATGTGCATCATATGTACGTATCTTCAGCCTCGAGTTATTGTGAACAAGCTTATGGTGAAGGACAACCAAGCGCAATATTTCAGACTATTTGGTCAGTATAACATATAGCTCACGTTTATTTGTGGTTTTTTTGCTCACCTTTGCACGGCGCGAACGTTTAATAGCAAGAAACAAATTCGTCAACTTTCACGGACAGAAAGGTGCTCGGCTGCGAGTAAACGAGTCAATCTATGATCGACGGGCTCCGCGACGTTCTCGTCTACTTCTAATTGCAAACATCTTACTATTTTATGCGCCTAGCATTCATATGAAGAGCTTGCGAGATGTTCTAGTGGATGGCCTTGTCAACCAGATTCCATGGAGGCATTTTATCATCACACTCAATCGCGAGTGGCAAGACTACACTTTATACGTACGCCGTCCAGGTGTACTCGCACATTTCACTTGTCTCTGACGGTCACAACAGTCAACAATCATCCTGACCGCTAACATCGCCTTCCTGGCGCTCCCAAATGTAACCTCTCAGAGTGACCCTAACGGCCAATCGTGGGCTCAGATTTTTAGTTTCGGGTCCACAGTCACTAGCTTGGGATCCATGATATTGAGCTTGTTAATGATTAGACAGAACCGTATTAAGGGACAGGAGAAGGCTGAGGAAGCAGTAAGTCCTGTACCTCCACTTTAGTGGCTTCCGACGCCTGACAATGTTATCCCTGTTCCATTCCATGATCCGGCACTCACAGAAAGCATTTCTCGAGAACATGGCGGGTTCAGTTCTTGGTGTGGATGTAGTCGCGGTTCTGTACAGTGTTCCATTTGGTCTATTGGTGTGGAGGTGAGTTCATCACATACTTGCCTTGCGATAGACGGGCTAGGAGACTCAAGGATGAAAACAGTGTCATATTTTTCCTCCTGGGGGTCTGCGCTATTACTCTGTTTGGTACGAGTGCCACAACTCGGATGCTAGTGGGAATTATCCTCTTCCTAACGCTAGCGACGGTAGCTACCATAGTTAGTTTCTCTGTCGAGTCGCCTCAGTAGAGGAGCGCAATCTACCGTGCTCAGTGGATACACAGAAACATGTATTTTGCATGAAGGGAACTTTCGGGAAATCTTATACATGACAATGTAGTCGGTACGCCAACATTAATCCCGAGCAACAGCCACGATGAAGTGACGGGGGCGTTGGGTGGAATTCGTTGGTGATGCCGTATAAGATGTCAGCATCTATTGTACCCGCTTGGACTCGCTGCACGCTGTATGACAGCATCCCTTGCATATTGATAAGCTGCATCGCCCGACAACTAATTACCGGAATATACAAGAAGAATGGTGGGATTTGTGGGCGAGCAATCCTTGGTCGGTTTCTTGGTCGTACATGATACCGTAAGGACAGGGAGATGAAGTTTTGAATATGGATGAACGGATCCTGAATTCAGTCTAAAATGCAAAGAAAGATATAGTGGCATGACGAGAGCGGAAGAGGGGGGAGGTCAGGTTCCGTGTTTTAGAATATGGGGTTGCCAGTCTTCCGGCGACATATACAGGCACTCTCGCCCCGGCCGTGGACAAATAGGAGGTAGCCCGAAGGAAATCCGTGAATATTTCGACGAAGATGCAGCATACAAACTCTGGTTCCAGAAGGATCATAACGTGTACAGCAAGTAGATGAGTACATACAGGGCAAGCGATACCCAAGTAAGTACGTTCTGTACAAGTCACCGTTGCCAATTGTGGGAGTAAGATGTACAAGAAGACACTTCCGCCGCGTGCAGCTCCAAGGATGAGTACCAAAACCTGCGGTACATAGCTAATAAGTATGTAGATAAAGCCCAAGATAAAGCCCAAGATAAAGCCCAAGATATAATGAAGAGATTCTGAGGTATAACATTGAGAATGAAACCCTGTGAGAGTGTCGTGAGTAAGTATAGACAGACAGTGCGAGAGCCCGCTCGTAAACGTGAGTAGCTAAAACACTAGTATGTCTACCAAAAATCCCCGTGTAACATAAAACCCTGAAAGAAAAGCATGCATGGACGACGAGATAACCTTGAACCGATCATTAAGATAGTGATGATGCAATTATAGACACACGCGCTCGAGGATTCTCCCCCAACGAGACCTCTCTGGAACCCATTCATAATCCACAGTCGGGCTATCCACAGGGATATCCACAGGGCCGTCAACTTGGCCACAGTCCATAGAGCTGCTGTGTTGTGGGATCGCCAAGTTGGTGCCCCTCGTGTTTGCGGCGTTCATGCCTGGCATTCTTCGGGTTACCCTCTTGCGTACCCATTTACTAGTTGCCAAAATTATTGTATCCTTAATTGGCGTGAGCGTGCTAGATTCCACGGACATTTTGACCCTAAGGATAGCTCACCTGTATGCGGATACGGGTGTTCAAAAACACCCGTGTGCGACACCTTTGATGAACCGAAGGCTGGGGCGGGGGATACTCATGTGGTGCGTCGGAGGTTTCGCTTTCGATTTGCAGATTTGAGAGTGGATTATTGATTACCGCACGTGGCAGTTTGGCAATTCCTGGAGCGCCTAACAGCCCGTCTCTGGTTGCTGCGTCTGAGGGCTCGCCCTCGGTCGGTACAGTTGGAGACGTGACCTTGGGTGGTGTAAGTCGCAAAGCACCGGACAGCTCCACCCCGTCCACGGAGACTTCTCTCGGTGACTGAACTGGAGCTGAGAGTCGCTTTCCATTGAATGTCACAGCATGGAAGGTGCGGTTCTAAACGGTCCAAGATGTATAAATATCGAGTAGCAGTGGCAATGGGGGGCAGTTACGTACAGCAATCTTCTTGGGCGCCTTAAACCTCCTCGTGTCCCTAGAGGGGCCTCTCTCACGCTTTCGTGCTGGGTGTAGGTCATTTTCGATCGTGTGCTGTTGCGACATATGGCGTCTCTTGCAAGGCACAGCTGAACGCTGCCGTATTGGTACAAATGAGATACTTGGTCAACACCATTTCTGAACTGGACACACCTCTAGAAAAGAGTCGATAGAAACATTCGCTGATCTGATAGGGGAGGTTGGGGATTTGATTGGAAGTGTGTACCGGCACGCCTCTCGAGCAGCTGCAAGAGTGATCTCCTAGTACTCAACGTAAGCCATGCGATTAATCATATACGGACATAGTAGGGCTCACTGCTTCTTCCCCCTTGTTGATCCTCCACACGGTGACCACGGTATCGTGCCCAGCTGAGGCTACAAATTTACCATTCTGAGAGTACGCAATATGAAGAGTTGAGGTGGGTTGAGTGAATGGGCCGGCAACAACCTGGCGGGTCTTAACGTCCCAAATCACCATCACTCCACGCCTTGATACACCAGTCAGTCTATCACCATCCGCGGCAAACATCAAAGAACAGATGTCGTCTGAAATCTCAGCCGCATACAAAGTAGCGGCTTTGGTCCCTGTAACCGCGTCGAGTAGTATCACTGCTGACTTAACACCCACAGCTAGATAAATCCCGTCGGGAGACGCCTTGATGCCAGAGATGGTGTATCCTGTTTGCTTGACGAGAGTTTCTCTTTCAACAGGGAGAGTGCTGAGGCAGGTTACTGTGCCCGTCATAGAAGCCACCCACATACGCAGGCCGTCTTGCGAAAAAGTGGAGTACAGAGGACCTTCATCAGCAACAAAGCCTCTGATGCTCACGCAGTCAAACGGGTTAGCATGAAGCTTCCAGATTCTTGCCTCGCTCATAGACGCAACACAGAGGTATTCGCCACTAGGCGAGAACTCGAGCGAGTTGAGCGGGCTGGGGAAATTGAAAGTTCTTGATGACGCCATTTCTGAGAAAGCAGTACGACTAATAAGAAACTAACACTTGGGCTCATATCAAAATTTACACGTACTTTCTGTGTATGCTGTAGAAGCCCCAGAATGCTCGCTATCGGAGTGAATGGAACGCCGCGCAGAAGGAAGCGCCATGTTGTTTCGAACTCTAGCGGTGCTGTTGGTGAGGAACAGGTGCCTTGTTTCTAATCTTAGAGGAGCTGTGGAATTCTGCCCTGATCGAGCCGTATCCGGCGGTGTCCTGTCCGCATGCAGACGCAATCGAGGTGAGTTGGGCAAGGTCAAGTTTTGAGACGAGGTATTGCCAGGCAAAGGAAGGTATTGAGAAGAGGTATCGCTGGTAGAGAGGTAGGACAGATATGAAGCAGCATCAGGCGAAGAAAGATATTGAGATGAGACATTGTTGGTCGAGGAGAGGGACTGAAATGAGCTGTTGTCAGGCGAGGGAAGGGGCTGAGAAGGGGCGTTGTGAGGCCAAAGGAGATACTGAGTCAATATACTGTCTGGCCAGGGAAGGGACTGAGATGATGGGTCTTCTGGAAGAGATTGGAACGAATCATTGTCGGGTGAGGGCGGGTATTGAGGCGGGTCATCATCAAGCGATGGAAGGGATTGAAACGAGCCGCTGTCGGGCGAAGAAAGGGATTCAGACGAGGTATCGTCGGGCGAGGGAAGGGATTGAAACGAGTCATTATCAGGTGAGAGAAGGAGCTGAGAAGGATTGTCTTCGGGCCGGATGAGGGATGGAGACGAAGTTATGATCTCGGGCCTGGAAAGGGACTCGGACGAGATATCGTCGGCCCAAGGACTCAACTGGGACGAGTTATCGTCGGGAGAGGGAAGAGATCTAGATGATGAATCATCGGACGATGGATGGGCTTGATTCAGAGAAGAGGAATACTCAGACGAAGGAAGGGAATGAGACGAGGTATTGTGGTGAACGCTGTGAGTAACCAGACGCAGCCTGGCATGCGGCATGGTGGAGAAGTGAGCAGCTGGCAACGTCAACATCGCTAATATAAGTGAAGGCGTCCAGCGGGAACCCATACCCAGTGGTGAAGCACCCGAAAGGCGTGTCTGACCCTCTGCCGAGGTAAATGTGCGAGGCGCGTTTTGGGGTATGATCCGAGCATTGCTCCGTGAGAACTTGGTGAGAGCTGTCTTCTGAACGCGTCGACACCGGTCCTTGCTGCGTCTTGATAGAGCTGAAGCAACAATAACGCGATTTCGAGGGCGTACCCGACGAGAATTCCGGGTTCTTTGACCCATATCTATACCAGGGCTCACCCCACTAGCAGATCTCGAGATCTTTCGTGAGTCGATGTGATTTTTCTCTCAGCCTAACTTGCTGTAGACATCACAGTGCCCCCAGCTTCGGATCGGAGACCCTTCGGCCACGGGTCTTGCCCACATTCAAGAGCCATCGCACACATATTCAAGACTATCCTCGAGGCGCGAGCTCAGTTTTGGTCAATCTTGTTTCTTTCTTCTGTTTGGTTAGAGATAATGTAATGTAATGACTGACACGCAGCGTCGAGCATTGCCACCTGGGCTCCTTGCCCCTGTCCTCCTCCACTTGCCGTCATCGATTATCTTTCTACCTACGTTGCGTTGATGGATGCAACCTGGCACCTTGTACATTGGCGTCTCAAGGATATGGCCCTAGTAACGTAAGTCGATCTTGCCATTTTCAAAGTGCAAAATGTCTGTCGCTGGAATCTGCTTATCGCTGCATTGTCCAGACCTTTTTCCCGTGCCCACTGTACCAAGCTTGCGCGCCCGACCTAGAAAATAGGGACAAGATAGTGGCGTACTTGAGGTGTGCGTGGAGTACCGAATCTCGGGGATCCTCTGATACTGTATGGCTGTGTTTAATATCACGTTCTTCAAGTTCACGTATCTATTTTAACATGATACATTCCCTACTCTGGCACGGGCTTCGTATCACCATTGCTCTTATAGCCAATCCGCTGAAGTGATGACCCGGGCGAAAGTCGACCCTCCACCTTATACCCCACCATTCATTCTAACCGCATCACGACATATACTCCCGTACCGGTACCACCTCCGACTGGAGCCCTTCTTTCAATCTTTCGCCGTTATCGACAGAACTCCCTGGTATTCTCGTTTACTCCTCATTTTGGAACAGTAACGTGATTGATTATCTGATGGAGAGATGGCGGGATATTTGCAAGGACGCCCGCAGCTTTGAAGCCCGCAGTAGCTGTCGCTAATGTAGAACGTACGTTGCAATTAACGCGGCGTTTCACGAGCGCGTTGTCCTCAACAAGCCGCGAGACTATGAAGCATTTTTTGACCTACTATTTCCCTCAACCCGGAGGCCGGAACCTTCACCGGGTATCCTTTCCCTTCGCGGCACGTACGGTTACCCTTGGTGCGCATCTCCTCCGGGCTCGGGATCGTCATCGTCGCGTATCATCTTTTACTATACCCCTCTTCTCTGAACATTTCTGTGTTTCGGCTGCGCCCTAGACGTGTACTCTTCTTACTTTTTCTTCTGCCTCTTGTCGCGCCTGCCCACTGCATGACTGTTCATCTCTGCATGTAAGCAGACGCCGTTTCTCGCCAGTGCCGCGTTGAGTGCGTGGCCCGAAGCAGTGGTGGTCGCTGTCCTTTGGGTAGGGACGGTGGTGAGCTTGCAGTTCATTGTATGCGCTGCTATGTGGGGTATCGACATTCGCGAGGATATTGGAAGTGGTCAAGCAGGTTTGGCATTGATGTTTAGCCGGTAATCGGTGAAAACGGTACGCCAGAAATGGGAGACGCGGCAGAACACGGAAAGGGACCAACGAAAATCCAGGCGACGGGTGGCTCTGTGTTTTTCCAGCTGAAATGACGCCTGGGAAGGAATCGAGTCAAAGAATCTAGTAGATTATGACAAGGCTCGAAGGACTCACGGTTTCATCAAGTTAATGGAGAACCCTCATCCAGTGTTCAACAGTTAGCGTACATAAGTCTCCGAGCGCTTATGTGTATACTCTCTGCATGCGATAGCATAACAAGCCATACAACGTTCGTTAGACAGTTCCTAAGCGACAAAGTCATAAGTAAGGTGGAAGGACGGTGGAAGGATCGTAGCAAGACCATAGTGATGGTGGACTCAAGGATTTCATATCCTGCGACGACCTTGTGGCTGAACACTGTGGCTGGGGAAGTCGGCAGGGCAGACTATCTCATTTGTAGACCTGATGGAGGAAGCTGGAATAATGATTGGTCGGGGTGGTTCTAGAGCAAGCAGTTGGGCAGACAGACAACATCATGTCACGGTGTGTTTGCTCGTGCTTGCCAGGAGTGCTAATGAGCAGTGGTCGTGGCTGTGCAGCATCCCAACCTCATCTCCTTCGGTCAACTCGCGACGTTTCTCCACCCAAAATGCAGGACGGGAGGGCCCCGAGGTAAGCAACAAAACAAGTCGATTTCAAGAAAGGCTAACAGCTCTCAGAATTCGCAACCGCGCCCCAGCGGCGGTCCAGGCATGTCTCTTGCTCTGTCTTTCACGAACCTTGTGTTAACACTGTCGCGTTTAGATCACCGCGGAGCAAATCCTTCGTGAAGCCCAGGAACGTCAAGAGTCCACCTTCAAGGCTCCGCGTCAGCGCGTCGAAGACTTTGAAGAGCTTCATGAGTACCGTGGACGGAAACGAAAGGAGTTCGAGGAGCGGGTACGGAGAACGCGAGGGAGCATGTGAGCGCCTGTCGTCTTTTCTTGACATTCACTCGGGGCTGACAACTGTCAAAGAAAAGAGTGGCTACAGTATGCTAGCTGGGAGGTACGCTTCCCTCTCTCCCGTGTTCCTCTCAGCTTTTAACACACCCATGCACCAACCCCACAGGCCAGCCAAAACGAGTTCGACCGCTCGCGCTCCGTCTACGAACGCGCCCTCGACGTCGACCCGCGCTCAATCCAGCTCTGGTTCTCGTACACCGAGATGGAGCTCAAGAACCGCAACGTGCAGCACTCGCGCAACCTCTTCGACCGCGCCGTCACGCTCCTCCCGCGCGTCGACCAGCTGTGGTACAAGTACGTCTACCTCGAGGAGCTCCTACAGAACGTGCCCGGGGCGCGACAGGTGTTCGAGCGCTGGATGCAGTGGGAGCCGGATGACAAGGCGTGGCAGGCGTACGTCAAGCTCGAGGAGCGGTACGGCGAGTTGGACCGGGCGAGTGTCATCTACGAGCGGTGGATCGCAATACGGCCCGAGCCGCGGGTGTGGGTGAAGTGGGCGAAGTTCGAGGAGGAGCGGGGCAGGGTGGACAAGGCGCGGGAGGTGTTCCAGACGGCGCTCGAGTTTTTCGGGGACGACGAGGAGCAGGTCGAGAAGGCGCAGGCGGTGTTCAGCGCGTTCGCCAAGATGGAGACGCGCGTGAAGGAGTACGAGCGTGCGCGGGTCATTTACAAGGTACGTCCGCCTACCCTCTTCTCTGTACCAATTGGGCGCTAACGCGAGTGTAGTTCGCTCTCGAACGCCTCCCACGCTCCAAATCAGCCTCCCTATATGCCGCATTCACCCGTTTCGAGAAGCAACACGGCGCGCGCTCCGTGCTCGAGTCGACCGTGCTCGGCAAGCGGCGCATCCAGTACGAAGAGGAGGTTACTCACGACGGGCGGAATTACGACGTCTGGTTCGACTACGCCCGGCTCGAAGAGGGCATCCTTCGCACACTCCGAGAAGAAGGCAGCACGCAGGACGAGGAAGACGGCGCGATTACGCGCGTGAGGGAGGTGTACGAGCGCGCGGTGGCGCATGTCCCACCTGGGAGGGAGAAGCGCCATTGGAGGCGGTATATCTTTTTGTGGTTGGACTACGCGCTATTTGAGGAGATTGAGACCAAGGTGCGTCCCATGTTCCTCGTGAATAGACATTATGATACTCATTACGTGGTTATTAGGACTACGGTCGCGCACGGCAGGTGTACCGAACGGCGCTCGATCTCGTTCCGCACAAGCAGTTCACGTTCGCCAAGCTCTGGGTCATGGCCGCCCGCTTCGAGGTCCGCCGCCTCGACCTCCCCGCTGCGCGCAAGCTCCTCGGCGCCGCCATCGGCCTATGCCCAAAAGAGGCGATCTTCAAAGGCTACATCCAGCTCGAGATGGACGTGCGTAACGCATCCATCCATCCCGTTCTATGATATCTTGACTAAGCGCATCCATCTACGCACACTACAGCTCCGCGAATTCGACCGTGTCCGCACACTGTATGAAAAGTACCTCACGCACGACCCGTCGAACAGCGGCGCCTGGATCAAATACGCCGAGCTCGAAACAGCGCTCGAGGACTTTTCGCGCGCGGAAGCCGTATTCGAGCTCGGCGTCGCCCAGCCGCAGCTGTCGATGCCCGAGGTGCTCTGGAAAGCGTACATCGACTTCGAGGTCGACGAGCAAGGCGACCGCGCCAAGGCGCGCGGGCTGTATGAGCGCTTGATTGCGCTTAGTGGGCACCATAAGGTGTGGATATCGTATGCCGAGTTCGAGGGCGCGCCGATGCCGCTGCCGAGGGCGCTCAGGGATGAAGAGGAGGATGAGGATGCTGAAGGCGAGGATGAGACCGGGGAGGCGAAGATGCTTCCGGGTGATCCGGAGATCGCGAGGCAGGTGTTTGAGAGGGCGTATAAGGACCTCAAGAGCCGCGAGCTCAAGGCTGAGGTACGTTGTTTACCCTTTTCTTCGTCTCGCCCGTGCTCTGTGCTGATTTCGTGATTCCCATTCCCATTCAAATTTAGCGTGTCGCACTGCTGGAAGCGTGGAAGACGTTCGAGCAGAACAACGGGTCCGACGCGGACGTGGCCAAAGTGCAGGGCATGATGCCCATCGTAGGGCGCAAGCAGCACGTCGACCAGGAGACTGGGCAGGTTGTCGAAGGTGCGTACTCCTCATTTACTCGTCCTTCCCCTCCATCTCTTTATGTACGCACTGAGAACTCACTACGCTCTACGACGCAGACTGGGAGCTCGTGTTCGCGGACGACGAGCGCGAGGCGAACCCGGCGTCGTTCAACTTCCTCAAGATGGCGCACGCGTGGAAGGCCATGCAGCAGAAGAAGGGCGGTGGGCCGGCTGTGTTATCTGGGTTCACGGCTGCGTCGAGCGTTCCTGCTGGGGCGCAAAAGGCCGCCGCTGCCGAGGACGACGACGACGAAGAGGATGAAGACAAGGATGTGGACATGCGTAAAGCTGATAAGGACTCGGATGAGGACGAAGAGGAGAGCTCGGGCGAGGAGGAAGAGCGAGGCACTTAGAAAGGCGAGTCGTTCGCGAGTTTTAGTATACATAATTGTTGTCGTTTCTTGGTATTGCGGGTACGAGGAAATCTACGTGAAGATGTACAACAAGCTGACGAAAGCGAGTGATCGTCGATGTGTTTTGTGGTATGCTAGAAAGCGAATCCAAATGATGTGAGGTGATATAAACATGATAGTGTGTCCGATGGTCATACAGAGTTTGTGGCTCTTCCCAGCCTTTTCACGCTGGACCACTCTCCCTAACCTGACTCTCCACTGGCCGTCCCTCTACCTGAATCGCAACAGGACAGCTCGCCGACCGCATCTCCACCTCCGCATCGGCCCGGGTCATCACCGCCCCGTTCCGGCGCCCAGCCTGAGCCACCGGCGCCGCCGCCCGCCTGCTGAACGTTGAACACCCACACCAAGCCCCTCTTGAGCGCCCTCACCACCCTTGCGATGCCCGCAAACGCACAATGCACCCCATACACAATAAACTGCAAGCTCACGACCACACCCGCCAGAAAACACATCACGAGCACCGCCGCCGGCCACGCGCTCCACGCGACGCTGCCCAAGAACGCCATGAGCGCACACGCGGCGACGAACATGCACGCGGCGGGGAGGCGCGCGGAGATGCAGAAGAAGAGGTACGAGGCGTACACGTCGAGCGCGCGGCGCTGGAACGCGCTCGCGTCCATCGAGGAGGTGGTGTATAGGAGGAGGTATGCGACGGTGAGGATGCCGAGGCCGGAGGCGATCGCGCCGAGGGCGACCATGTGGGCTGCGAAGGGGGTGATGGTGAAGAGCGTTCCGCCGCCGCCGCCGGGAGAGGAGAGGCCGAATACGGCAGCGTCGAGACCGGCGAGGGCGATGAGCGATCCGCCGACGAATGTCCATTCTCTTTGGAGGCGCTGTAGGATGCGCTCGAAATCGGAGTCGACGGAGGCCTCTCGCAGGGCGCGGTAGGGGGAGAAAGAGTCCACGACGCTGTGTACGGTTTCGATGGACGCGAGGGAGGAGAGGGTGGAGATAGAAGAGAAGGAGGCGAGTGTCGATGAGCGCTGGGGTGATGGGGAGCTGGAGCTAGAGCTGGGACCAGGGCGTTGGACGCCGAGGTGTTCGTGGTGGTGATTGTCGTGGTGGTGGTTATGGTGCTCGTGGTGATGGACGTGGGCCTGGGGGAGGAGCGAGGCGGCTATCCTGGAGATAGACATAGAGAACCCGCTCTTTTGGTTTGTTATCGTGACTTCGTCGACGACTTGGTCGCAGTTGTCTTCCTCTTCTGCACCGTTAAGGGTTATGTCTTCCGAATCGTCGAAGTGGTGATGATGATGATGGGGATGACGGTGGCGAAGTCCCTGTTGCAAGGTCGAATCCCGAGATTTGGGCAAGAGCGGCTCGTCCTCGCAAATCACAGACTTGTCGTCGTCCGATTCCGAGAGGTAGCCCTTGACACGCGCTCCAGAATGCTGGGGCTCCGGCCAATGTTCTTCATCCCAGGGCGAACCATGCTCAGAGCTGCGCTCGCTCAAGTGTGAATCAGCTTCACTGCTACATTCACTATCGTCCTCTCCTAAAAGGTGGAGATGAGTAATGGAATAATGAACAAAGCCATAGATGAAGCTTACCGGAGTCATGGTCAAGGAGGGTATTGCTGTCTGGAGTGTAGGGACTTGACGGGCGAGACAACGTAGAGGTGGAGGGTAAATTAGGTGGGGACAGCCGCGCAATGAGACACGGAGGTGAGCTTTGCCGACGCATAGGCGTACGCAGCTTGCTGGTTCCGGCGTTCAGCTTGATCTCGAAAGCTGATGTGCGGATTAGAAAAGGACCGGAGAAAAGGTGCCCAAAGGAACGTACTGCGGTCCGAGCCCTGTATCTTCAAGAGATCTTCGAGGGAGAGAGACGCCGTAGCGACGAGATTACGCTTCTTCCCCTTCTTTTTGCTTTGCGAGCGGTGGAACAAGTTGACATTAACTCTCGAATCGGCCATCTTTTCCTTGCTGGGGAAGCTGAATTTAGATATGACACATTGAGCATAGCGTAAAACCCAGTCAAGGGGTGACGTACAACAGGAACGGCTGCTTGAGGTTGGGATTCTGGCCGTCGCACCCGAGGTTGATCTCATGCGAGAGGTGGTCGTCGACCGTGATATGAACGATGGGTCTCCATGCTTTCTCTGGACGCAGTCCTTGGAAACCCTTTGCGCGGATAACTAGAACGGAGAGCCGTCAGCATGCGTTGTCGGGAGGTAGAACGTGGGGAGCGCGCATACCTGTGAAGGACCAAGAGTTGCTGTATGTGAGTTAGCTCAGCGCTTGCTGTCAAGAGAAGTGAACGAGCGCGTACTCTTCGTTCCAAAAGTCCATTGTCTGGATGTGAGAGAGGAGGGATGTGACTCGGAAGGAAATGGGCTGGGTATAAGAGGACGTGCAAAGAGTTGCTGTGCGTTGCGGAGGCAATGGTCAACTGCCCTGATCATCAGATGTTCATGAATCCTCCGCACCGCCGCACCACTTTAAGCCACTTCAACCTGTTTATGTTCTTTCCTTTCTTCCTCAAATCACAACACCCTCCTTACTTTGCGCCTTTCCGCTATTGGCGGAGTCAAAAGGACACCGACCACTGCATAAGTAACAGTCAGAATTCGAGGTGCTGCAGCGTATTAGGCGCCCAGCATCACCATCATGTTACTCCTGATTCCCGAATCCTGTCACTATGTACAAGCGCACTTTTTGCCCTGCCAGCGAGTGTAAGTCTCTAGTTTACCTTTATATTATCCTCAGAAGGGACTTATCTCAGCTTTGAATGATGCCTTCGATGTGCCAGAGACTTCGACTGTTCTAGCCGACGCGCGTTGCTGGCTGATCCACAAACACGCCACCGACTCTGCCTTTGGTCGCAGTGCTTCAAGTTGATGTAGCCTACTCGTTCTTCTTTGATCCTCAGCAGAACGAAATTGTCTTCTTTTGCCCTCTTGAGTCCTCCAACATTATCTCTGTACTCGGCAGTTACGACGCGAGCATGGAGCATCTTATGACGGGCCAACCTGATATTACCTACAGAACATGGTGGTGCTCACCAGCTACCCCTTTGCGCCCTACGCCTCTGGCGACATCGGCCGCCGCAAGGGGTCTGGTTCGGCGCGACCATCACCCTACCTCTAGCCGAGTCGCATTCCGTCAACATGTCCCATCGGTGCGTGCTTCATCAGCTTCGTGCTGACCTTCGCGGCCAACGCCGCGCCCATGCTAGCCACCGACAATGCACATCCGATATATAGAGCGCCGTGAAGCCGACGAATAATGGACCGTGGTACTCCGTGTCTCCATGTAAGTGGATCATCCCTATCGCCCGTTCGAATACAATGTGCTGGGCGAAGCTGTTCGAGTTTTAATGCTACTTGGACAACATGCGGTCTCCTCAACCTAACCTGGGCATGACATCTACCTTCTCTCCTATAAGGCCTACTCCGGGTTCTCCAATCCATCCTTCATCCTATACGCGCCCGAGTTTCCTCACTGGTTCGCCTGCAAAGGCTTCGAAGTTGAAACCCTGAAGATGTGCACAGGTGGACGGCCACGAGCAGGGCCCTCTCAATCTATATGAGCTCAAGTAGAATAAGCCGAAATCGTGCTGGGTTGCGAACCTTATAGAGCGTCGGGCGAAGGACGCTTGTCGCGACCCCGGGATATCGCAACCACATGCGGATCGTCATCCTTCCAATTTCGTTCTCCTCGCAATGGGCAAGTAATGGCCTCAAATTGTTCCTCCCAGATCTCACACAGGTGAGCGGTGCTACCATCATACTTTCCCCGTCGCCGTCTCATAGCGAGTTCGCACAAGACATCGCATCATCAACCGAATCCTCCATTTTTTCTGGGCCGGCGTCGGAGCACTCTGCGTGCAGTCATTCTACACTGCGCAAGAAATGTGTTCCGTGCGGAACGCGCACAAGGGCGCACAAGGCGTGTGGCATGTGTTCATCGCGCCGGTCTTTCTGTTTCATTCCCCATACACTCTCGCGTACAGCCTATGCGTCAAGTCATGTACGACTTGATATTCTGCCGTTCTAGTTGAGCGCAGAGGGGTTCTATGTGTTTCAGAATACACTTGCCACTCGCGTTTCAGGCGCTGGGGCGAAAGCACTACGTGGGATTCTCCCACTTCACTATTGCAAAAGTGGATACATTCTCTATAGATTGTGTGCGTACGCTGGATAGCGGTAGAGTTCGCCTTTACTACTACTGATATCTTCTTCAATGCCAAGAAGCACACTTGGTAAAGCTGTGTTTCGCCTGTGGCGATCAACGTGCGTTCATTATTCAAGTTGTCATCACTATCTCCAGGAGCGAAGACTGTTTATGTAGCTTCTCATTACCGAAAACTGCTTTGTGCATCACAAACGGGGACGAATGCAACGCGCCGCCAAACCCGTTTTTATTGAGTAATTTGACAGGCTTGGATTGCGGACTGTGCTCACTCATTCACGCCCCAATAGCTGAGACGGATATCAACTTACGAAATACAATGTTTATGTGGCAGAGATGGCGTTTGTTGGTCCCTATAGCACACACGAATAACACACGAAGTTAACTTGTGGTGACTTAATGATACACGCTACAATGCAAAGCTTCACGGATGCACCCCTGGATGCACATCGCTCAACACAAAGGATGAGAATCTCTGATCCACCATGGGAAGCTGGTCCCCGCCACCCGAGACAAAGGAACTTCAGATGATCTAAATGGTGAGACCATCATCCGGAGGCTACGGTCTTGCCGCGGACCGCCTCGTAAAGGGCCGCCTTGACGATATCAGCATCGACATAAAGGGACGGATGGCCTAGCGTCACGATGTCGATTAGCATGTCTGCGGCTTTGTCAAGAAACTCTTGACGCGCTTTGATGTATTCCGGATCCGTCGGTTCAGAGGTAGGCGTGCCTGTCCAGCAACAATATTAAGCAGGAGTCGAGAGAGGCACACGTCTGACTGACCGAAGATTGCACACCTGGCAGGGATACCTTCCGCTGACTCGCTTCTCGCAGCTTGGGAGATGTCTACACGTAATGGTACTTGACATTTGCTCTCCCTCTCTGTCGCCATGATGATAGCGGAGGTAGATGCAGCACTGGTTTGGTTTCCCTCAGACCCGCCTGGAGGTTGCGCCCTGGCATCAGACACCTTGATCTCTAATGAGGCTCTATCAATGTGTTCTTCAAAGTCATGCAACGAGTCGTGATTAAATGCTCTTTCGGATACTCCCTGAACATCATCAATGGGTCAGTTATTGCCGCGTACTAGCCGCTTGCCTGTAGTAACGCGTACCATCAATGCTCGTTTAAGAGATTTGGCGTCCGCCGCGATTTGATGCACTTTGTAAATCGCCTTGACGTCAAAATGAGAGGCGAACCACTTGTCCCGAAGGTCGACCATATCGTGATAGTCTCCTTCCATCCTAACGCCGCCCAGAACACGGGATTAGAAAATAGAACCGTGATCTACGTTGCGTGATGCATACCTCCTGAACTTCGCTTTGAGTCTCTGCAGCTCGTCGGGTGAAATAACATTTGGATCATACGAGCTCTTGGGTAGTTCTTTAATTAGCGTGCGGGAAGTGTTCATGCGACGTTCAATAGCCTTCATTTGACCATTAAAAGTCTGACTGGCAAGAACTTCACCGCCTTTGCAGACGATGGTGACCAAGTTGCCAGTGGAAATGTCGAGCATAATGGCGGGACACTAATAAACAATAAAGGAAAGGAGTGATGCTGGGTCTACCTGAGACTGGGTTGGCGAGGAGCCAGTTTCACCTTGATTTTATACATTCAATGTAGGGCGCCTTAGGCCTGATCTTGTGGATGAGCGTTTTGAGCTTTTTGTAACGAAAACGGTGCCTACCTAGATGAGAAGAACAAAGCGACTGTGGGTGTCCTCTTTGAGTGACGGTTCGCCCAGGGCCAACGCGCATAGCTACAGTAAGCTCCCAGGGCAAGATACAAAGAACTTGCGAATCGGTGCTATTCAGTTTGTGCCTTGTTCCGAGATGCACATCGCAACCTCGAGGCATCATCACCTGGCTTGTACGTACAGCCTGTGGATTCATCACAGGTTATTTTTTTTTGCCTCAACACCGCACTAGGCGGGAATGTATTGAAACCGAAACACTACAAACGAACACTGGAGAAAGCCCTTAGGGCACTAGGAAGTCCGTAGACAATGCGCAGGGAAGAATGAAACGTAATGAAACGAATCATATACAAGGTGGTAAGGGAGTAGTTTCAAAAGCGAAACCGTCTCGTTGAGATGAGGAACCCCGTCGCAGTGGACTAGGATCATGAGAGGATGAGGTGACTCGAAGGAAGTCACAAGTGGAGTATAGTATGCTGTGGTAGCATGTATGGGAGAGGTGGCACACAAGGAGCATGTCGGTGAGGTAAAATGGCCATAGAAAAGAATGCTGCAAACAATACCAGGTCCCTATTCCACGTCTCCTCACAACTACCTTTGACAGCATCACAGGTTATTGTACTTTCAAAGTTGCGGCTACCGTGTTTGGAACAGCGCCCGCACCATTGCACCTCTCCGATCAGTGGTTACATATGGACCCACCAATCCCAACAAACGTTTCCCGCGCCTGTCAAACCTCACAAAAGCCGCACGTGCATGGCGCGCCTGCTGAGTGCAACCGTCGTGCTGATCCCCCCGCCTTCTCCTCTCTCTCTCAGACCAGTGGTCTTCCGCTTTACTGATATGAATTTGGCTGCTTCTGACAACCAAAAGGTAGTGCTTTCGGCTGACGAGGAGCGTCGAGCCATGAACAAGAGAATCTTCGGAACAGAAGAGCTCACTCCCATGCACGAGATTGGCGACGAAGAGCAGTTCTGGGTGGACCATTACGAGTGGCTCAAGGCTTCTGGGTATGAACTGCGATCCCGCTGGGCTCCTGGATGGACTGCATCTTGGAAAACAGCTCCAAAGAAGGACAAGAGGTTATGCGATGACTATCAGTTCATGCCGGTGCGTAGCCGCCCGGTCTATAGCGCCAAATGACTGACTTCAGACAATGTAGCATGCGCAACTCATGGACGCAACTCGTATCAGTGATCATAAAAGGGTTCTTTTGAAGCTGCTCAGGCCATCATACAGTCGCTATGAACAAGAAATACAGGCTTTCTTCAGCGAGGAGCCCCGGGCGTCGAATCCCCGAAATCACTGCATTCCCCTCTTGGAGACTCTTAACGTGCCTGATGAGGATGGTGCCCACATCTTGGTTATGCCTATACTTCGAAAGTATGATAGTCCTGCATTTGATACCATTGGGGAAGCACTGGGATGTATTCAGCAAATATTTGAGGCGAGTCTCGGCGTACACACTACATATAACTTACAGATGACTTACAAAACGCGACTCAGGGTCTCCAATTTATGCATCATAATAACGTCGCTCACAGGTAAGGCTACGCATTGACTCTACATCCTTCCGGCTGATCAGACTCAGGGATATATCTTCATTTAACCTTATGATGGATGACTCCATGTTCATGGAGGAGTTTCACCCAGCAAACCCGAAATACACTCGCGATCTCACCAGAAGTGCTCGCTACACGAGCCGTACATGGAAGTGTCCTAAGTATTACCTCATCGATTTTGGTTTGTCCAGACGGTTTCAGGAAGGCGAACCGCATATTGACATACGGGTCCTCGGAGGGATCAAGACTGTCCCTGAAGCTCGATCTAACGATCCTTATGATCCATTCCACGCAGATATCTACTGTCTTGGGCATTGGGTTCAGGAGGAGTTTATTAAGGTGAGATCGCTTTTTCTCGACAGACAACGGAGAACTCAGATATGATACAGGCAAGGAACGGTTTCGAATTCCTCCAGCCTCTTACGAACGATATGACGCAGGAAGACGCAAGCAAGCGCCCAAGCATTGACGAAGCCGTGAGTCGTCTGCAGAACGTCATTCAGGGTCTCTCTGCTTGGAAGCTACGATCTCGAGTGTCCAAGCGTCGCGGAAATCCTATCATAGGGCTTGCACGTTTAATCAAACATTGGCCCAATAGGGTAGTGTATATATGTTCGCAACGACCTGCCATTCCCGTTCTGTAGTTGGTTTATTTTTTAGCGCCAGTAATGCAATATCACCGCATCCTTTTCCCGACCCAAGATTAATGACCAGTGCCATTTGTGTCGTAGCTTTCCCGGAAGATCTCGAGGCAAAAGTCCGTTAAGAGGCACCTGTTTTACTAGACCAGTAGCCAGTTTATTGATTTCAATGTGCCCCGAGAACTCATAGGAAGAATCGGAGATACTGTAAGGGTATGCAAAGGCCTGCCCTTAAGGACGACACGCGTGTAGAGTCTAGCACCACGGAGAAAGCCGGTGCTTCATCACTTTCAAGTAAGGGATGATATCATTCGCAAAAACTACCAGCACTCTCATTCAACCTCAAAGTTACTCGTTGTGCTTCTCATTATGTCGCCTATCGGTACGCTTTGGGGCTCGAACAAGCAGCGCCAGACTTCTATTGTATGTTTAAATGTTGGTGCTGATGCTCCGATTACTGAGCATCCTTCTAGATCAACTCGGTTGCATCGATCACAGGTATCGAACTTGATTTTCCGGAGATCACGTTTGGAGAGACGAACAAGTCTCCCGAGTTCCTCGCGAAGTTTCCTTTAGGGAAGATACCTGCGTTTGAGGGTGCCGACGGGCTGAAGCTTACCGAGGGTATCGTGATCGCGCAGTACAGTAAGCAACGTTGCATAGCCCTTTGATCATAAAGGCGCCGGGACTAATCTGATATGATTATGGCAGTTGCGTCTCTGGCGCCTGATAGTGTTCTGCAAGGGAAAGACAGGGCAGAGACCGCCCAAATCGACCAATGGATTCATTTTACCGAGTCCGAACTTCAGGTTAGCTCCGACTTCAGCTGGTTCCTTGCTTCTGGTACACTGCCGGGTGAATACCACAAGGAGGTGAGTACATCTTTATCATATGATCTACATGTCAATTGCCCATCTTACAAGCCTCTATCATATAGCTTCACGAATGGCTACTGAAGCGTCAGTACCAGTCATTCGAGTGCCTCGAGAACCACCTCGCAAGCCACGGTTACCTCGTCGGAGACCGGTTGACGATCGCGGACATCTCGCTTACAGCTACGCTAAGAAGTGCCGTCAGCGTCACTCTCGGAGCGTCTGAAAGAGCCAAATATCCCAAGACTATGGCTCACTTTGACAAGATACGCTCTCACGAGAAGGTCAAGGACATCATTAATCATTGGTGAAGTCACGTTCGCAGACACGGTCATGCAGTACAAGGGCTCTCCGTAAACGGTTCGCTTAAACATCCCACTATCATAAGTATATAACCCTATTCTCGTCAATAAATGTCCTCGTTAAAACACATGTGTGAAAAAGAGTCAATTTTGTTTCTACTTGCAAATAAAATCGCAAAATTACAGCAGTTAGGCCATACCTCATACTAGCTGGTCTGACTTGCCCGACCACGGAAGCTATTCCCGGACACCTGCTCCTGATGGTATCGAAGACGTCCCTCCACCGCTGAGTAGCACTCGCGCAATTTTGTAACGTTGGGCTGTGGTTATGGGGTAGATCCCAGGCTCGTAACCGGCAAATACATAGTTTTACTGAGAATATGCAGCAGCGCATTGACCGCATCTCCGGTTTTCTCCCCTTTGCTTGAGTTCAGCAAGTTGAGCGCCACGAGGGACGCTGGGGCGCCACACGCACCTTCAGTGGTGCCACCTTGTACATCCGTGGCGTATGGTTGAACAGCTGAGCCATCAACAGCAACTGCAACGTTTTCGATGCATGGTAAGGCCGCTAGCGCTGCCGCCAGGCCGGTGAGCATGATGTATGAGCCAGGAGCAGGCCAGCCGTACTCAGAGTTGACGAGTAACGTCCGAATACGCGGCCAAGCCTGGGCCATTAATTGCAACCAGCTGACCGTCGGTAAGGGTCACCTTGCGCTCTAGATCCAAAATAATGGACTGCATGTTTTCGAAGCGTAACAATGGTCGTAGGCAAGGGGTAGTCGGAGTTGCGTGGGAAGACCGGGGGTGAGGGGGGGAGGGTCCGGCCATGGCACCTTAAATTATTTCTCGACCTACAAAATTCTTGTCCCAAAATAGTAATTACCACGTGCTATATACCAAATGGGGATGATCTACATAGGGGCTACTACTATATCGGTCACTGGTGACCAGGGGAGGACGTCGTGAGGGATTGCAACAGGGCGAAGTCCACGGAAATGACTGCGAATGAAGACATACGCAAGGTGAGCACATAGGATCATGATTAGCAGATAAAAGGAGACTCACAGGAGCACAGTGGAAGGTCGATTCGACATTAGTATGTGAGGAATGCCATCAGGTCATCACTGTTGGCTTCGGCGGCACACATAGTCTTGGGCAACACAAGGCTTCGAAGAGGTGTCGGGAGGAGAGGAGGCGGCAGCAGGAAGAGAAGGAGGCTAGAGAGAATGCAGGCAAGCCCAAGCGAGGCTCCCTGTTCGCCATGGGCGTGAAGAAGCTGGCAACTCTGTCAGTATTCACAAGGAAGAAAAAGCCGACTACACCTTCAACACCCTCAGCTGCCGGCCCGAGCATGTCTACTTCAACCTTGAACAGCTCTGTGGTCCCTCCGAGCACACTGGCCTTGACATCTGCAGCCCCAGGTCTTGCTACTACCCTGCTGACATCCACACCCAGGTCGTCTGCTCCTCAAGGCCCTAGCCAGCCTTTGTCGACGACTCCTCCGTGCGCAAGGGGTCTTGAGCTCCTGCATAGGCTTCGCGACCTTCGGGATGCACTGCCGAGCACAACTGCAGCTGCAATGGAAGCATGTGGGCTCAGCAATGTTGTGGCATGCCGCCCAACTCTCCACGGACTCACCAATGAGGACGTATGGGAAACGCTGGATTCAAAGCTCAACGTGGCGATGGGCAGCGATAGAACAGTGGAGGACTTACATGCCTTAGTCAAGACAGGGCCGTCCGGCCTCGATGGCTTCCTGGAGGTGGTGAGATACGCAGTGGAGGAGCGAGGCATGGTGGGGTTCTTGCTGGAAGGAAAGCTAGAGCGGTTGATGGCTGCGATCACATTCATGTGAGTGTCACAGCTCTTTGATGCGAGGTGATGACTTACTCTTGATCCAATAGTTTGGAGCGCGATGGCCGGACAACACGCTCCAAAGACGTTGTTGACCTCATGCAGGCCACCGGGGGTGATGATAGTAGAAGCAAGTCAGTAGCATCAATTGTCGATCTCACCGAAGACGGCGACAACGTACCTTCTCCCGTAGCGGCTACTCGACACCCGGTCGCCTGTCTCCCTCCACCTCTGAAGCCGCGGCTTCCATGTAGCGGGTACCTCCTCTCGATCCCTGAAACTAAGACTGCTGCCTCAGGGTATCCTCTCGGGCTCCATGACGAGTACGACTTACCGTGGTCAGTCCAGTTCTCGAAGAACACGATCCGCCTCCATGCCGATACGTGCATTGGCCTCACCGACGATGGCATAACTTGCTCGCGTTGCGATATACTTGCCAACAACACACGCCTGCAAGGGATTTTTCAGCGGATGAAAGCGGGCGTGCACAAGAATGCGCCGCATTCTTACTGTTCCTTTGGCAAGCTCCGACAGGTGATCCGACGCAAGGACGTCCAACTGGAGCATATGTGTGTTGGCCGGATGAACGCACAACGACAGCTGGCCAGGAAGCTCACGGCGCTCGTGGACTTCAAGAAATTCATAATGGCAGCTGGGAAGGGGGAGGTGAACCGGCTCGACACGCTGCTGCGCGTCTGCATGAAGAGGAGGATGTCGCCAAAGGCCATGTTGACGCTGCTGGACAAGGCTCTTCGCAAGGTGTACAAGCCAAAGTCCTTCACGGAGGCTGAAAAACTACGAGGGCTGGTCATGCTACAGTTAGGCGGCGCCCGAGTTGCAGAGATTGCCCACCGAGCAACGGACTCACCGGCTGTCAGTACTCTGCGCCATCACTTGTGCACCCGCCCTATCCAGATATCACCGAGGATGCCAACACTTGAGGAGATCTGCACAAATATTCAGGCGTCAGTGCCAGATGTCAAGGGTTCCACTGACAGGCAAACTCACCATGGCAAGGGCACGACAGTGTCGTTGATGGACATGGTGAATGCGGCAAGCGAGGCAGACAGCGGAGTGGAGGGATATAGTATCATGGTTGACAAGATCAAGACGGAGTTGAGAGTGAGGTGGGATGAGCGTACGAACATGATTGTGGGAGCTGGCAGAGAGGATGCGGACAAGGTGGAGTTGGAATTTAGCTCTGTAGCCGAGGTAGAAGCCCTCTGGGACGCGGTGAGAATGGAACGGGTTCATCTGGCATCAGAGGTGAGAATGCGTGCCTCACGACTGAATTAAACGCCTCACCATTGCTTTTCTCAGGCAATGGTTGCAGCGATCGACCATATACCGAGTTCGCCACACAGTCGGACGTCCGCATGTCCCATTGTTGTGTCAGGGACATGCAAGCGGGAAGATGCAGTGACGCACACTCGCCTCTTACAGACTATAATTGATGCATGCCACACGGAATCTGTGAAGCTTGCGGGGCGGCTGTACAGCCTGGCGTCTGACGGGGAGACGCGTCGTGGTGCTGCGCTTGTTCTGCTCACTATGAAGAAGAAGCTATCTCCTCAATTAGATATTTATTGCTACGTCGGGTCCCTCAGGCTCATGAATGATCTAGTGGGCGACAATGACATAACTGCTGACAAGGATTGGAAACATGTGTTCAAGCGGCTGCAAAATCTCCTCATCCGGCTTCTCGGGATCAAGATCTTCGGTGTATCAATTCCCACTCCAGTACTCAGCAAGCACCTCACCTCTACGCGCACATGCACCGAGCAGCAGGCTGGTGCTTACACCAACCCTAACAACAAGCAAGACGTCACACTCGCCCTCAATTTCCTCAAACGTGTGTGGGAGATTCCACCTGCATCTGACATGGATGAGCCGACCACTCAAGTTGCTCAGCTTGCTATCCAGCGGTTCGGTTGCTTCCTCAAGTTTCTTCTCGTGCCGTATATTGATCCCTCCATGTCCCTCCACGAGCAGCTTGTCTCTTTGAGTGCCACAGCCCACCTCGCTCTGTTGATGTATACCGATGCAGGACCAGGCAATGAGTTCATGCTGAAGACCCTGTATCAGGACATCCAAATTATGATCAAGAACGTGTATTACTCTGTTGCCAAGGCCAAAGTTGACAAACTGGATGGCAACTTCTATATCATATCTCTGGGGACCAATCGACTGGAGCAGCTTTTCGGTATCTATCGCACAATCATTGGCAGTGACGCCAACACAGATCTTCTGCAATTGGCATATCAAATTGCCAATGTGGCCGAGGTGGGCCAGATCCTGGCCAAATATCCAGAATGGGATGTCCTCCTGCGCCGCCTTAAAGCACTCATCCTGGATACTTCCGCGGAACTTTCTGCCAAAGTCGATCACCTCAACCCGGCTTCCTGGCTCGGCAACGTCACATTGGCTCCTGTGCAGCCCCTGACCGTGTGGAATGAAGGTCGCCGCCGCATTGAGGTCGAGTTTGAAGACATCAACGCGGCGAAGTGCTTCGAACGTGTTGAATCAATGCCTGATGCCGACATGCTGTACCCATGGGGCAAACCACGCGTTCTGGTGGAGAATCCCATGCCCGAGGCTGGCACTGAAGAACCAGAGGAGGGTGTTGAGATCGATAAGCCCGCCGACCATCCCTCCTTCATCCACGCTCCGTCTATTGACCTAGACGTGCAGGAGTATGTGAGCGAGAACTGCCCGCCTGCCGAGACCACCGCCCCCAATGCCAAGATCATCCCTTATGTTGTTGTCGAAGGCAAGCAGGTTTTCAAGCCTGCTGTCCTGCGTTTGTTCTTCCAAACCCTCAATTCCTCCGGCTTGACCGATCGTCTCAAGCGCGTAGCTGGCTTAACACGTTTTCCCGTCGCTGACAACGATGTGATTTCTTCTACGTCGGCTTTAGGCGATGAGCATCTCGTTGTCAACGACCCAGCATTCACCCTCATTAGGTGCGATGGTCACGTGTTCTTGGCAATAATGCAGGTGAATGTGATCCTTTTTCGGTCGAAGTTGGTCGAGTCGATTGCCGAACGTCTGCTGCTGGAAAACAGTGTTGAGATGAAAGGTCAGCTCATGGCCATTCATGAGCTGGAGACACCAGTCCACGCAGATAAGAACAACAACAACAACGACAGCCTCTACAACTGGGTCTGGTCCAGCTACCTTGGCGCGAACTTCAAGACATATGGTCAGTTTTCACAAACGGTGGATGCTACCCTCTCAACTGCTAACATTGGCAAGCCAACTTACTTCTTCCGTACATCCGAGCTCTCCGCGATTGCTGCATCGCTCTATGCGCAGGTTATCCCCGATGAGCGAAAGCTTCTTCCGACCCTCCCGCAAACAGATTGGTTCCCTTACCGTGCTTCAGGTACGTTTCCTTATTTATTACCGGTTTGTTGTATTTATTTATCTGTGGTAGGACGCGCCGCGTTCTTATGTGAGGCTGAGAGCAACAACACCCAGGTCGAGCGGGATGGAACGTGTTGTCCGCGCTGTGGGCCATGGCACCCATGGAACAACAAGTCTGGTCCCCACATGATCGAGCACATCGGCACCCACATCCTCCATGATTCCTCCCTAGACCGCACTGCCAAACTCTGCGGCATGTGCGGCAACAACATCATCAACGCCGGCTGTATCTTCTATCTCCGAAACCCCAAGGGTCAAGTTGCTTCAATTCAAGTGGACACCAAGCGCTCACACTGCACAAACTTCGTCAAATTCTCTTATCAACCCGCAAGTGTTTCTAATAACAATTCCCCTTGTTCTAATGTCCCTATCCCTTGCCCATTATGTGCTGATGACAAGCCGGCTGTCTGGAAGTACAGCATGGAGGCCCATGTCCGTCTGCACCACAACACCAGCACCCCCGCCGCACATGATCTTCTCGGGTCATGCGTGCTCTCGGATGGCGAGCGTGCACGTATGGAGATGAAGTGGAACAGCCGCTTCAAGCAAACATGACTAACAAAGAAGTCCGGCTCCTCGCGCCGGCTTCTTGTTTCTGATGCACACATGGCTTCGACAGCGACAAAGTGAGTCTATCATTGCTTATGTGTGACAGCTATTAATATCATAGTTCTAGCTACAACGACGATGATGATGACGGATTCAGCAGCAACAACCACAGCACCAACGTCGACGAGGTTGTTGACACGGATTCTGATCACAATGCTGACCTTGACAACGCACGTTCTCATAGCGGCGTTGAGTCCCCTCGTGCAGCACCCAACGATGCACGGATGGCGGCCGGCCCTTCCACCGGAGCAACCAGGGATGGTGAGTAACATTACAAGACTTTGTGTATTCTATCCTACTGATACTTTTGTATTCAGACGAGCATGTATTCACCCTCGAGGGACGTCCGATGCGGTCTGGTTGCGCCCGGCGTGCCTGCGACATGACCGATGTCCATGCTTGTTATTGTATGGACACGGTTACCCAAGAGGAGATTGATGCCAACATTACCATCAAGTGCACGGGCCGCGGGTGCGAGTCACAAGTGGTAAGCCTCCCCGTTCTTCGGTTTCATTTCTCTAGATGATTACTAACATAAGGCCCGTTAGTACCATATGAGGTGTGTCACAGTGGTTGGCCCTTTGTCAAAGTGGCGGTGTGAGTCGTGCACTGAGAACAATCGCAAGCCAGGCAAGCGTCAAAAGGTTTAGTTACTACTTATGATATTATTTACTATGTTCTCGGCGCGTTGCCGTGCTCTATTGTAGTTAAATGGGCCGTAATCTAACACGTCGAACTCGACCGGCTCCCTTAGAGTTGAGGGACTGCGCGAGATAAGATAACGCTTTCCTTATTTGGGTGACAGCGGATCTTGCCGGCAAAGATTAGCCTAATGGGGATAGGGGAGGGGGGGAGGGTATGTCGATAACCTCTTAATTTATTTTTCGACCTGAGTTTTTTTTTTACATTTTCGACTACCCCTTGGTCGTAGGCTTGCAAAAGTAAGGGAATACGTGTCAAGATGGGTATGATTTTCTGTGTCGACTTCACGAAGCGCGGATATTCATGAAGATGTAGGGTGCCGAAGGTATCGTGAATGAAACACTGGGATATCACTTAAAAGTTATAGTTCTCGCGGTCCTTGTTGGTCTTTTCATATCTCAGTAAGTACTTTCGCTTTTATGCCCCTCCTCTTGGGCTCACTGTTTTATCCCAGTCGCTGGATCACCGCATTCGCTGGAAGGAAGGAGAACGGGCCCACCCCAAACATTCACCCATGTCTTCGAATCCAAGTATCTGATAACAATGTTATTTTGTTTCGCGTGAAATATACATTGCGTATTCTACAGAAATGTATAAACCAAATGCAATTGATAAGACATTGTCTTGCTATGATGTAAATGTTTTGGTGTAGGCACACTCGCACAAATTATTCCACACTCACTAGCATCATGGAAACACGGAAGACTCAAAGAGCACTCTTACATTGCCATCGGATCCAGAAGTACTTTTCTCCAGTGGATGGAAAAACTATAGCGGCTGGTGAGCATAGTTAACTCTCAAGCCCAGGTTTCTTCATTTCGATTTTGCACAAAAGTTCCGGGATAGCTAACACCTTGGGCTCAACATTTCAAGGGCTCTATACAAACGCGGTCTGAATTCCCGAGCGCATAGTTTTGAGGGCTTCAAAGATGTTGTCCCACCATTCCTTGGTCCCTGGTGGTACATGCACGCCACCCGCCCCCTCCCATAGGAAAGGCCTCGCACATAAGGTGCACGAAGTGACATTTGTGAGCGTGTGTAGCAGGAAAGTGGTTTCGTCTTGAGCGTTGTTTCCTTTGCTCGAGTTGAGCAGGTTGATGGACTTGAGAGAAGAGGGAGCGCAGCAAGAGCCGCTAGCATCTTCTTTTTCACCTACGTTGGGGTGAGGGGGAGGTATCGAAGCATTTATCGAAAGTGAAACGTCCTCGATGCATGGTAGGATTGCCAGCATCATTGCCAATCCCGAAAATGTAATACAGGAGCCTGGTGCAGGCCAGCCGTGCCACGAATTGATACGCAGAGTTCGGAGGCGTGGCCAACCCTGCGCTATAAGGAGCATCTCACAGTCGTCAAGCGTGACCTTTCGCTCAAGATCCAGAGTGACACTCTCCATGTTCACAAAGGCAAGAACGGGGCGCAGGGTATTGAAGTCAATCGTATAGGTAGCAAGACGTGCATGGTCTTCCTGCGGCCGCATTTGTGGACCACCAAATATCTCTTTAAGAAAGAGAGACGTTAGGACCTCAGGATAAAAGTGCTTGGATATAGCGGACATCAAGTGTGGAAGATCTGGCGAGTGCGCAACTCCATGGGTTTTTACGGAGAAAATTTTGACTGGGACCTGACAGCCTATGACGTTCAGCATTTGTACAGCGGCGTGAAAACTCCTGTCCATGCCGTCCATACAGATATAGCCATCTTCGAGCTCAAATGAGGCGAGTGAGGCAAACACTCGTCCCTTCAGCTGTAGGGTACGTGGGGGTGTGTATAAATGATGAAGGTGGGGGATCATATGCAAGGAGTGGAAGGAGGGAAGGAGGGACAGATGGACAAGAGTTGTTTCAGTTAGGATAACACCGACTTCAAGATGCTTGAGGTACTTCCAACTGCAAACGGCTCGTGATAAAGGAATTATGGCCACCGTACTATCGTCACAGCGATCTACCCATCTGAAGGACTCCATTCTCGGGCTTAGCTCACCTAAGCGAGAAATTAGGTTGAGCACATCAGTATGCCTATCGGCGAGTGTGCTTTCATCCAGAGCTTCCTCATCATTAGTGCCATGATTTCTGAACAGACCTCCATCCATAGATAGGCTAGTGAGAGAAGGGCTGGCGATGACTCGAAGGAAGGTGTATGTTTGAACATCGAGTGTTATCCATCTTATCTTCTGGAGTCGAGGAAATAGCGGTGACGATGGTTGGATGTCTAAGCGCGCTATGGTATCAAGGAGGAGCCTGATTGATGATTTTTCGTCGTGTAACAAAGCTATGTCATCTTTACAGGGTTCATACGGCCTGAGAGAAATGTACTTGACGCGTGCTGCGTATTTGCAGAATGTAGTCCACTCAGTGGGGGCGATGTTCCGCGTGATGTGGTATGGCTGTCACAATGATCATCAGTATAATTTCGTAGTTCTTATGTACGAGAACATAACATACCCGATTTTGGCGATTGTTTCTCAGCGCAGTAAGTCGTGATCCGTAGAGCAATTTGTTGCGATCCTTTACAAAGAGATCCTGCGGCAGAGATAAGAAGAGGGGAAGGAGTGTTTCTATCTCTGCCCAAAGTGCATCTAGAGCAAGTTCGCTGAATGAACGGCAGGTTCTGGCAAGGGCGCATAGCGTCGGCTTGTGTGGATGGATATTCTCCGCGATAAGCGCAACGATTTCGTTGATACGAAGAGCTGGATGCATTGCGCCACTCTTGACTATGGTTCAGATGACGGGCGCTCGATGAGTGGTAAGGACTCAGACGTCAAGCTTTCAAGCTTCAAGCTCTAAGCCGTTAGCGTTTCTTTGCTGAGTTCGAACCTAGAACATGTAGTTCTCACGCGCCTTGGTGGCGCCATTAACGACACCCGCCTACGATTATTAGCCGTATTCACGATGTACCTAGCTCTCGAAATTTCTCGCATTGATCCTCATAACATGAAGTACGGAGTTTGACAATGCAAGGCTGTTCTTTCGCTTGAGCATGTCGTTCCTTCATGGAACATGTGCAAGTCTCCTAAGATTTATGTTGGATTTATGTGTCCTGACTGTGGTGCCCGCGACGCAGTCGAATGTGACATATTCTTATCAAAATATAAGGGTACAAAATATCGTACATACAATCAAACCAAGGCAAGCCCAGTCATATTCGTACAAAAAGGCTGCTCATATTCTCCAAGAGATAAAAGAGAGAGAGATGGGGCGTTGGCAAATCAACAAAATCGTCAGTTCTCGCCCAAGCTTTACGCGTTGGCGTGAAGCAAATCGACGATATCCACCAATGAGAGCGCACCAGGACTTATATCACGCCCTGCAGAAGCAATGATTCCGGGATGCATGGCATTGAGAGCCTCAAAAACGTCCCTCCACCACGTTTCAGGCTTTGCTTCACCCTCGCCTCTGACTTGCGGAGCAAATAACATCCACGCCTGCAGCCTGCAGGACTCGACATTGACGAGAAGGCGAAGCAAGAAAACGGCAGCGTCGCTGGCTATGTCACCAACGCTCGAGTTCAGAATGTCGAGGGACTTGAGAGACGACGGAGCACAGCGAGTCCTATCCGGGACGGTGACGCTTGCTTCACCAGCTTCACCACCAGGGGGAGCGGTTGTTCCATCTATTGCAATCGCAACGTCTTCGATGAATGGTAATGCTGACAGAACGACTGCCATCCCAGTAAAAGTGACGCGGGACCCCGGCGCAGGCCAGCCATGCCGAGGGTTGATGCGTAGAACCCGGAGGCGAGGCCAAGCCCGAGCTATGGTAAGTAGCTCACTGTCGTTGGTGGTGACTTTGCGCTCCAGATCCAAGACCACGCTTTCCATGTTCTCGAAGCAGAAGGTAGGCTTCAATGTGGTGAAAGTGATGGCGTGGGTATCAAAATCCGCGTAGTCTTTTTCGCTTCCCCGCAACACCCGCAGGATACCAAGATTTTCACGCAGAACGAGGGACGTCAAGGTCTTGTTGGCGATGCACTCTGCTGAAGTTTCCATCAAATTCAGGATGTCTGGCTTAGATGTAATACTGTACGTGGTGACGGAAAACCTCCGGGATGAGAAATGACCGCTCCTGGACTGTAAAAGCCGGACCGCGTCGTGAAACCCTGACCTCGCTTCCGGTACCGCTCCCTCAATAAGTTCGAAAGAGTCGATGGAAGCAAGAGGTTGGCTATCGCGTGGAAGTGCAAGCATGGAGACAGAGGACTGGAGATAGTAGGGATCGATCTGCAGAACACTAAGAGAAGGACGAGAACACAAGTGCGCGATGGCGGTGTCAGCCAGGGGAATGCCAATTTTAAGGATTTTCAGGTGCTGCCAGTCGCAAATAGCTCGCGACAAAGCATTTGTGGGTGTACTGTCGCCAGTGTAGTCCCGCCATGTGAATGACTGCATCCTCGGGCATAGCCTACCCAAGTCTGAAAGTAAATCAAGCGCCTCAGGAAAGGCGTTCTCGCGAAGTTTAGCGTCGCGGCTGGGAGATATCCCTCTTTCGATAGAGAGGCTGACAAGGGAGGGGTATGCTATGGCTCGGAGAAAGGGGTAAATATGGCTATCAGAGCTCCTCCAATGCAGCACTCTGAGGCGAGGAAAGAGTGGTGATGGTACTTCAGTTGCTAGGCGCCCTATGGTGTCAAGGAGAAGCCTAACTGAAACATACTCGTCATCCCATAGTTGGTGATTGTGTTCGGTGCATTTCCCGTTAGTAATAACCTTGACGCGTGCAGCATATTTGCAAAAGATAGCCCAGTCAGTAGGTGTGATGTCGCGAGTAAGGCAGTATGTAGGCTAGAATGGTATACGTAAGTGTTGATATATGTACGACAGGCTGCCTGTAGACAAGCACGGAACGTACAACATGGTAGGCATTTCGGTGTGCGATACGTGTTCCTTGGACTCCTGTTTCGTGACCCTCGGCGAAGAGATCCCTTGGCAGAGACAAGAATAGGGGAGCGAGCGTTTGGATCTCTTCCCAGAGTGCGTCTAGAGCGGGTTCGCTGAGCAAATGACATGTCCTAGCGAGTGCGCATAGGGTCGGCTTGTGCGATTGTGCATTCTGCGCTATAAGACGAGTGATTTCGTCGAGACGAAGAGCTGGATGCATCAAGATGTCAAGCTGAACGATGGTCAGTCACAGGGTTCGCTGAGTGAAGACGACGTCACGGATGCCCAGCTGAGTTCAAAAAAGATTTTCACAGGGGTTCATAATAAGATCTGTATACACGGCCGGACCCAAGTGGTTGAAGTTTCAAGCTTTCAAGCTTCGGTACTTGCTACAGTACAGTAAAGATAACACTACAAAACCTGGTTGTTTCCTGTGCGACGTGAAAAACGAGGCTCAGAGGTGGTGTGCTAATAAAATAATTAATGTGCAAGATCCATAGATTGCCCTGAGTATGACAGTGAGTTGTGATATATGTACAAATGCCAAGGTGCTGGAGATGTGCAAGAGACTACAGGGCCAATAAATACAAATAGGTAGACAATCGCAAGAAATTCGAGGAAAGTGATGGCGAACAATGACAAGAAGCAAGGAGGGCACGATGGATACAGTGTTAGAGGGATATCCGGGATGGGGTATGGTACGAAGCATGTGAGTTGTGAACAGGACATGCGAGATGAGAGGAACGAACAGGATAAGTAGCCTGGGTGCCAGTCTAAGGAAGTGATGGTAGTGGCGGTAGTCATTGTGGGAGAAGCAAAGAGGAAAGCATGCGTAGGAGACGTGGATCTAGAGTGCAGTTGTGCTCAAGGCCGCTGAGGATTGTCTCGGTCTGATCTGCAAGTGGGCGGAGTCCAAGGGTTGTAACGGCGTTTGCCGCACGAACCGAGAGCGAGCTGAGATGCGAGAAGAGCTCTTCCTCGGTCGATTGGTCACTGAGGTGCGGCACAAGCAGGCTCGGCTCGCCTGCCAGACCGTCTTTATCCGCTGGACGGGGAAGAACGTGGCCCGCACAAAGTGCCTCCAAGCGCAAGCAAATTGAGGCTAGCAGGCGAACATGCCCAAGGCAGGCTTCGGCGGAAAACCCTGTCTCTTCGCACTCTACGGCCAACTTCATTGGCTGTGGAAGCGGGGCACACGCAGCCATATCGACTCGTCCAAGGAGATCACGAGGGTACAGGAAGGACACCTGCTCTGGTATCTCAAGCCCCTTGAGCTTGATCTCTCCTACTGGAATGATCTCGATACCCATCCGCTGGATCGCGTCGACGGCCTCCTTCGGCTGGAACTCGCTGTACTCCGTCTCGGTCCCGTCCACGGTGACCCGCGCCTTGATCTCACGGACGACGTCGGCGGAGCACATGATCTGACCACCGGCGGCATGCCCGCTGATACGCGCCGCGCGGATTGTCATAGGGCCAAAGTAGTCCATGCGGTCCGTGATCGGATCTGGCTCGCACACGGGCATACCGCAGTGCAGACCCATGCGCACTGACAGCCCACGCGCGACGAGCTTGCCTTCCGCATCGTACAGCTCCTTGCCCTCTTCACAGTCGAGAATCTCGTGTGGCCATGGCTCCTGAAGCAGGAGAAGCTGGATCGTGAGACACCACCAAACGGCAGCAAGCGTTGTCGGGAATGAACACATGAACGCGTCGCCCTCGGTCTTGACGACGTATCCACCACAGAGGCGCAAATGTCGGCGCAAGAGCGTATTGTGCAGCTTCATCGCGGTCGGCATGCCGGGGTTCGTATCCCAAAGTTGCGTTGAATTGCGAATGTCCGTGAACACCAGAGCAAGATGTCCCGTCGGCGCCTCGACCTCGCCATCGAGCCTCGCAATCGTGCGATCCGCAATGTCCGGCTTCTTCCCAGCCCGCTTCTTCAACCCTGAGCTGTATCCAGTCGCGTAGAGCACGTCCGTGGGCAAACGGGTGACGAACAAGTCCGCGATGCGAATGACCATTATCATCGTGCTCCCGTCCGCACCGTAGCTGATCGCAAAGTCACGCAACTTCTGCGCGGCGATCATCGGCTCCTCGCCGCGCGCGATGTCGACCGCGGTTTGGTACGAAATGTAATCCCACAGCCCCGAGTTCGCGACGATCACGAACTCATCGCTCTCGGTGATCTCCCGACGGACAACGTCCGGGCGCGCATTGACGACAGGGAACTCGTGGTAAAACCCAAACGAACGCGACGCCCCGATCACATCGTGCACCATCCCCTTTGGCGAGATCCACCCCTCGGCGGCCCGAATGCGCGCGGTCTCCCCGCGATCGAACGGGTCGTGCTTGCGCGAGATGAGCTCGGCCGAGCCCTGGCGAGAAAGCACAGCGAGCGCGCTGCCAACATTGGCGACGTACAGCACGCGGTCGACAATATACAGCACAATGCCCGATGCGCCCGCGCGTGCGTACGAAGCGTCGACGCCGCTAGGGGCCCCACCGGGGACCAAGCTTCCCCCGCCCGCCCCCGGCTGACCGCCCGCGGACGCACCCTGCGCAGCAGCCCCAGTGCCCGTGCTCGCCGTCGACATCTTCCTCCCCGCACGCATCCCATACAGCTCGTCGTACAGATCCTTGTTGAGCCTGAGAAACGCCCTCCTGAGCGCATCCACCACCCCTCCCCGATCGCGCCCGGCCGCGCGCGCGTCCTCGACCTCGGCCAGCTGCGTCGAGAACGTCGGCAGAAACCGGTCGTGCAGCCACTTGCTGACCGAGTTATTCTCCCGCGGTGCGTGCGTGCGCCCAAACATGGCGAAGACGGCCTCGGACTTCTGCCCGCGGAACTCGGGCTGCACGAGGTCGAACATGTTCAGATAGCCGTTCTTGCCGAGCATGTCCGCGATACCGTACGACATCCTGTTGACTTCGGACAGGGACGTGCGCACGCGCCGGTCCTCGCCTTCTTCGGGAATGTTCGGCAGGAAGGCTGTGGTGACGTCCATAAGACCAAGAATGCGCAGCTGCTCAAGCTCGGAAAAGTCAGAGAGAACGCGCCGCTGCTGCGCCTCAACTTCGGAGCGGACAGGTCTCGCACTGCTCGAGGTATCAGGCTTGATCTCAAGACGCTTATTGCCGGACAAGTTGAGGTACTTGAGGGTCTTGTTGAAATTCCTGCAATCCCAATCGCAATCAGCACACCACATTCTCCGCTCTCAAACAAACAACCAGAAACACCCACCAATTCCAATCAAAATCCCAATTATTAATATTATACCTCAACTGATTGCTCCCCGCATCCATCACCGTCAGATTCTGCACCTTCCCCAGCTCCTGCGGCAGCGTCTGGAACCTGTTCCCATTCAGATACAGCACGCTCAGCCTTGTCAGCCGCGCCAGGTCCTCCGTCGGAATGCCCGTCAGCTCGTTCCCGCTCAGATACAGCTCCTCGAGCTGCATCATGTTGCGCAGAAACGACGCGGGCATGTCCTGGATGTCGTTGAACGACAGATTCAGCACACGCAGCTCGCGCAGGCCCACGAGCGCGGGCAGCGCGTTCTCCGTCAGCCGGTTCTCGCCGAGATACAGCTTCTTGAGGGAGAGCGCGAGCGGCGGGAGCGGCCGTGCGGAGCTTGGCGCTGAGGCACCCGTGCCTGGGGTCGTGGCCGGTGTCGAGGCGGAGGGAGTGTTTGCCATGCTTCCAGGCATCCCAGCCGAGTTCGGCGGCGTCCCCACGAGTACGAACGACCCCGCGTTCGACCCCTTGCGCCCCGTCGCCGCCGCAGGAATAGCCAGACTCCCGCTGACAGGGTACCCGTTCGCAGCCGTCCTTGCCGGCGGACTAGGCGGCACGTCGAGCAAGGCCCCGCCAGGAGGCTGCGTTACCGTCGTGGTCATGGGCGGTGAAGCAAGCGCCGACCCAGGCGGATCCGCCCACCCCGTCACCAAATTACTCGTCACATTCAGCTCCTCCAGACTCTTACAGTTCCACAGCGCCGCCGGCAGCTCCTTGAGCGAGTTATTGTGCACATCCAGCTTACGGAGCCGCTGCAGCTGCCCGATCGTCGCGGGCAGCGCATCGAGCTGGTTGTCCGCGACGACGAGCTCCGTGAGGCGCTCGAGCTCGCCGAGCGCGTCCGGCAGCACGCGGAACGAGTTGTGCGACAGGTCGAGCCGCCGCAGGCTGCGCAGCTGCGCGAGCGCAAAGTCGTCGAGCGAGGACAGCTTCGCGTGCGAGAGGTCGAGCTCCTCGAGCGCGTACTCCGCCTGCTGCACGCCCACGCCCACGCTGCCGCCGAAACCGACGGCGACGACGCTGAGCTTCACATTCGTGATATCGTTCCAGCTCGCCTGGAGCTTCTTCAGGCTCGGCCCGAGACTGATATCGAATGCGTGCATGTGGTTGTGGTCCGCATGCAGCTCCTCCAGCATCGGCAGCGCATGCACCGGCGAAATATCCAAAATGCTGTTCCGCCTGCAATCAAACACCCTTAGACTGACCAGCCCCGCGCAGCCAGCGGGTATGCGCTGCACCTGGTTCCCGACGATCACGAGCCGCTGCAGCCCCGCGAGACTCCCGAGCTCGTCGGGCAGCTCCGTGAGCATGTTGAACGAGACGTCGAGATCGACGAGCCACGGCATGTCGCACAACACCTGCGGGAACCGCGCGAACTTGTTGTTCGAGATGTCGAGGTACTTGAGCGCGCGCAGGCGCGGGAAGTACCACGGCAGCTGCTCGATCCTGTTGTTCTGCAGGTTCACCTGCGCGAGCTCCGGGATGCGGTCGAGGCCCGCCTCGTCGAGGTCCGCGATTCTATTGCAGTTCAGGTTGATGCGCTGCAGCGACGCCGAGTAGCGAATCGACTGCGGCACCTTCTTGAGCGCCATGTGTGTGAGCCGCAGCTCGCGCAGCGTCGTGCAGGACTGGATAAAGTCGAGCGGGATGTCGACCATCGGGTTGCGCGACATATTCAAGATCACGATCGACGACGCGTTCTGGTGCAGCACGATCGGGATCACGTCCAGGCCCAGCCCGGTCAGGTCGACCTTCTCGAACGACTCTTCGAAGCTGAGCTCCTCGCCCTGGCGTTCGTTTCGGTAAGCTACCAAACACAGGGGCCAAACACATCGACACACGCACCCGCCTCTCATCGATGAGCTGGCTCTTGTACACAAACTTCATCAGGAACGACATGTCCTCGGTCCACCCAGGCGTGTCTGACTTGTCATACCCCGCCTGGTCGAGCCTTCTCCGAATAATCGACCCCGGCTTCTCCGACGGCATCAAGATCCGCTCTACACAGCCCATCCAGTCAGCCTTCCTCGTCGCGAAAGCAAAACACAACAACCAAGCGCACGCACCCTTGCCCCGCTCCTTCAGATACAGTCTATGTGGCAAATGCTGCTCGCCATACCTCTTCTCGAGCTTCGCGATGAACTGCGCGCACGAATGGCCCATGGACACGTTCATGACGAGGTACGTCCCGTCGCTCTTGTAGATCCGCACCTTCTCCTGCGCGTTGTCCTCCTTCCCGCCTCTGCCTCCAACCCCAGCATGGCTACCTCCTGCACCTACTCCTGCTTCCGTTCCTGCCTCTGCGGCAACACCAAGGTGCGTGCTCGACCCAGCCGCTGTCCCAGCGCCCGACCCGCGCCGCGCGAGCTGTTGTAGGTCGCTAGAGAGCGGTGGCGACCCGGCGATTCCGGGTCCAGTTTCAACACCCGAGATCGACTCGGGAAGCGAAATCCTAAGCCCCTCATCTCCAACACCAGGATCGCCATCATCAGCACCAGCACCAGCACCAGCACCAGCACCAGCGCCGCCCGCGGCAGCAGCAGCAGCAGCAGCAGCATACGCCGCCGGATTAAACACAATCGACCTCCTCGTCTTCCTCCTCGACCTCCTCCTCGCCGCCAAATCTCCCACACCCCCGACCCCACCCGCACCCGCACCGCTCCCGCCATACGACAACGGCGACCCATCAATACTCCGCCTCTGCGGATTCACACTCACAAACCCCTCGTCCGTCGCGCTCGCGCTCGCATAATCATAGTCGTCCTCCGACCCGCCCATCTCGCCGTCCTCCGCCGCCCCCCACTCCGCCGGACCGACGCCCCAGCTGTCCGGCGGCAGCCACGAGCTGTCCGCGCCGCTGAGCCCGCCCATCGCGAACCCTCCGGCTCCTGCGGCGCCGGAGCCGAGCCCGATCTCGCTGTCGTCCATCGACACGCGCGTGCGCCCCCCGCCGCCGCCGCGCGGGACAGAGCCGAGAACCGTGCGCGGGGAGACGCGGCGGAGGTCGAAGGTCTCGGTGTACGGCGCGCGGGGCGGGAGCGACGGCGCGTGTCTGTTCGGCGTGGCGAAGAGCGCGAGCGGCGGCGAGGGCAGGGGCAGGCTGTGCTGCGAGAGCGAGTGCGTGTGCGTGTGCGAGTGGAGGTTGGGCGAGGACGACGCGCCGCTGCTGCCCTCCCCCGCCGAGCCCATCGGTATCCCCCCGGCTCCGCTTAAAGCTGACGCCGAGCGCGCGGCGCCCGGACCTGCGCCTGAGCCCGCACTCGGGCCTGAGGAAAGCGCGAGCGCAAGCGGAATCTCGTCCCCAGCAGCGCCGAATACAAAGTCGTCGCACCCGTCGAACGACTCGCTCGTGCTGCGCGAGCGGTGCGAGTGCGTCGAAATCGACTGGTTGTGCGAGCGCGCTTTTCCCTTGGTCGACGCCGCGTTCTGGAGCTGCATCGCATACGGATGCACGATGCCGTCCATGGACCCAAAGTCCGTGTCAATCGTGACGCCGTGCCCGGACGTCGTCTGCGTGAGCGTGCCTGTCGCTCCCACACCCGTTCCCGATCCCGCTGCTGCTGACGTTAACGCTGCCGCTGTCTTGGGTGGTGGAGAGCGGTCGCCGCCGCCGATGACGTCGTACGTCCCTGTGCTGCTGGGTGTAGGGGAAGCGCCCGACCTCTCTCTGTCCCTCTCCTTGTCCCGCTCCTTCGGCGGCTTGTCCTTCTTCCTCACCGACCTCAGCTTGTTCGACGCCCCTGCGACGCCCGCCCCCCCACCGCCCACACCTCCAGTGGCAGACCCATCCCTGTCCCTCCCGCTCTCCCTTTCTCGCTCCCTTTCCCTTTCCTGCTCCCTCTCCTTCTCCCTCGCCAACTCCTTTGCCTTCTCCTTGAGATCGCGCAAATCCTGCAGATCCTCCCTGGGCAGCGGTGGCAACGGCGCCTGGAGAATATGGCGCTCGGCATTAAAATACACGCTCGCGTCCGCCGGCCCAATCGTAAGCGTCGACGCGCTCCCAGGCGCCCCATGGTGCCCCTGCAGCCCCGCAGCGCCCGCCGCTCCCATTCCCGGAAGGAACACGTCGCTCTCCGCGGTGACACCCGCGTTCAGCTTCGATCTCGACTTTGACTTCTTGAGCTTGCCGAAGAACGAGGAGGACTTGGACTTGCCGCGGGGGCCGTCTGGGTAGTGCGAGGGGCCGGCGGTGCTCTGGGTGTTGACGGAGAGGAGGCTGCTGTTGCCGAGGCCGCCGCTGATGAGGGTGGAGGTGTCGGTGGCCCATGTGGTGGTCGAGTCGGCGATGGAGGCGCTGTCTGCACCGCCGCCGCCACCGCGGATGCTGGGTACGGTGCGGGCGGAGGGCTGGCGGAAGGAGGAGAAGGAGGCTTTTTGGAATATGCGGGAGGAGTTGGAGAGGTTGAGGGTGGAGGGGTTGGCTGGGGGTGTGGGGGAAGAGGAAGGTTGGGGGTTGGGGTTGGACTATTAAAGTTTATGTTAGTTTTGAATATATGCGGGAGTAATTGAGAGTGATATAAGACGGGGGAGTGGCACCGAAGAATAGGGGACATACGGTCACTCCTGGGGGTAGCTCTACGGCGTTGATCCAGGGCGCTATCTCTGCGGAGGTATCGCCGCCGCCGTGGGGGACAAGGTTCTCGGGTACGAGGGCAGCGCTGTCGTCGAGGGCGTTTGTAGCATCTACAGCAGATGCCTCGAGGTCCTCCTTGGACATGTACTCTGTCGAGCGACTGCTCTCGTTGCTGTACCTCGGTGTTGCAGATCCTGAGGGATCGTGGTGGTCATTGAGGGACTGTGTCCTCGTGATGTCGACGAAGGGCACATCGTCGGGGTCGGGTTTGCATGCGGAGGCGGAGGTGGTCGGGCGATGTTGTTTTGCGTGATGTGGAAATGATGGCGGAGGGAAATAATACGACATTGAAATTGTCTAGAAATTGTAGGGCTGTGTCATGGAGAGAAAGAAGCGAGATGTCGAGTCGAAGAAGCGGACGAACGAGGCCAACCAGCGAGATAATTCCCCTCTCCTCCTTCCGCATTAGGCAATTATCTCACAAATTAATATTGCTCCCCCGAGCACACACCAAATGCGGAATTAGAGAGGCCGAGGCCCGGGGGTGGAGTTGTGTGCCTGTCGCAGCTGCACCGGTCTTTGTCTTGCCTTGCAGTGCATCGCAACTCCAACACAAAGCAGCGCCAGTCCGCTGCCCTTTATTACCCGACTCCTCTTTCTCCTCCTTTGCTTAACCATGTCTTCAACATCGTCGGGCACGTCCACAGCATCAGCTTCTTCTTCTGCGTCTGCATCCCAGTTTCAGCTGCCTTCCAGTCTCAAGGTCCGTGCGTCACTACCCGATCCTATGGCTCATATCCCTCTCGTCGATCTCACACCTTGACTGATACTGACACTTGCATCCAGATCGTCGGCATCATCCTCGCAGTCGCCAGTGGCCTCCTCATCGGCACCAGCTTCGTCTTCAAGAAAAAGGGTCTCCTCCGCTCGCAGGCCGGGCATGCAGCAGGCGAGGGCGTCGCTTATCTCAAATCGGTCCGTCTCCTCCCCTTCTCCCCCTCCCACATCACCACATCCTCATCTTCACTCCTCCATCCATCTCCCAGCCACTATGGTGGACAGGCATGATCAGTGAGCACACCCTCCAGCCCTGACAACCGCGTCGCTAACACCGCCCGATACCAACCTCCCAACCACACAGTGATGATCCTAGGAGAACTATGCAACTTTGCCGGTCCGTCCTCTCCTCTTGCTTCCTTAGAGCGCGTCTTATGCTCACATCGAACCCGGCACCCACCAGCCTACGCATTCGTCGAGGCCCTCGTGGTCGTACGTCCCCTTCTTACCCGCGGCGCCGTATTCTCCGGCCGACCAATCTCGAATTACACACACTCACAATATCACACAACCTAAAAATAGACGCCCATGGGTGCCCTCTCCGTCGTCATCTCCGCCATCCTCTCCTCCTTGTTTCTAAACGAGAAACTCACCTTCTTTGGCTGGCTGGGCTGTGGCCTCTGCATCGTACGTGTTCATTCTCACTATACACCGGTGCTCTTGATCTCATCTCGCTTACGCCCAGATCGGATCTGTCATTATCGCTCTTAATGGTGCGTGTCGTTTTAACACTAACACTAGCACTAGCACTGGTATTAGTGCTAGTGTTTATGGAGCACAATTAGTAAATGTTGCTGACACCAACTGCGCCGGTACAGGTCCACAAGAGCAAACCGTCTCCGAGATCTCCGAATTCGAGAAGCTCTTCATCGCGCCCGGCTTCCTCGCCTACATCAGCGTCCTCATCGTCATCGCGCTCTCCATCATCTTTTACTTTGGGCCCAAGTGCGTCATCACTCCGCTCCATAGTCCGCCTGTGCCTGCCTGAGATAGATGGTGCTGACGCAGCGAATCCACAGACACGGCACGAAGAGCATGCTGTGGTACATCGCCGTCTGCAGCACGATCGGCGGTATCAGCGTCAGCGTCACGACCGGTCTGGGATCTGCGATCGTCTCCACCGTCATGGGGCACAACCAGGTAAGCACTCTTCCTCCGCTGCACATTGGTGATGTGTTGGTTGACGGTCGACATAGTTCAAGAACTGGTTCATCTACTTTCTGATCGCGTTCGTCGCTGTTACTCTAGGTGCGTGTTCGCTTTTTGGACGATGCTGAGGGGCGTCGTGTGTTGATGTGTGCTTGGGATGGGCAGTGACGGAGGTGTTTTATTTGAACAAGGCGCTCGCGCTGTTTAATACTGGTACGTGTTTTGACTGTATGCTTGGAACTGTAAGCTTACTAATGCGCTGCAGCGATGGGTAAGTTTTTGCGTTGTGGTTCCGAGTCAGGTTGACTGACACTTGGTCAAGTTACGCCAACATATTATGTTCTCTGTACGTCCCTACTTCCTTCGCTCTGCTCCCTCTTCTGACACATCCCAGTTTCGTTCTGCTCGATGGTTACCACAGTCGTACGCACCCTCGTTTCTCTTCCCACCTTCTTCGCTCTCTTAACCTCACCCATAGGTCCTCTTCCAAGGCCTCAAAGCCTCCGCCTCCCAGATCCTCACGATCGTCTTCGGCTTCCTGACCATCTGCGTCGGCATCACCCTCCTCCAAATGTCCAAGATCGACCCCGACCAGCTCGCGACACAAACCAAACTCGACCGGCGCTCGACCGTCCTCCTCGCCGCCGCGCGCTCCACCGTCGGCCGCGCGCCCGGCGCCTCGGGCGACCTCGAGAAGGACGCGGACCTCACCGCGCTCGAGGACCCGGGCATCGACGCGCTGCGCGGGAGCTTTGGTACCGTGGGGAGCATTATACGGGCACGGAGCGCGAGGCGCGCGACGAGCATGGCGAGCCGGCGGTCGGGGGCGCCGGCGTACACGAGCGGTGCGGGGTTCGGGAGCGGGGTGGGGATCGATAAGGGATCGAAGGCGGAGGGCGAGGGCCACGAGTTCGAGGGGCTGACGCGGCACCAGCTGTACGACGCGCCGATGCCGGCGTCCCCCCTTTCGGCGGCGGGGCGAGGCTCGTCGTTTGGCTCGGACGCGACGTCGCTCGTGAGCGGGGGCACGCCGAGGCGGACGACGATCAAGTTCGGGGACGAGGACGTCGTGCATTCGTATAGCCCCGCGGGCGGCAGGGGCGACGGGTTCGCGACGCACGAGCGGCGCTTTGCGAATCCGAGCCAGAGCACGGTGGATGTGCGCAGTCCGTCGCCGCTCGGGCTGGGCACGACGATGTCGAGCCAGGGCGAGCACGCGTACGTGTACCCGCCGAGCAGGGGCCACGCGCCGCACGGCTCGCTGTCGACGCTCGATTCCGTCTCGGGCGCCGGGTCTGGGTTGAATTCGCTTACGAGTGTTCCGCCGACGCCGTCGACGGGCGCGACGGTGCACGGCGAGCAGAGTCTGCGCACGACGGTGCGCAGGGCGGACGAGCCGCCCGCGCCGCGGTTGGACACGCGGTTCACGGGCGAGGGCGGGAAGTACACGGATCCGTTCGATACGCCGACGACGCCGAGCATGCATGCGTTTCCTTCTTCGTCGGACTATGCGCGTACGTCCGCCACTGCTGCGGGCGGAGCGGCGCCTCCTGCGTCGGCGGCGTCGTCAAGGTCGTCGCACACCTACGCCGGGTCTGGCGGCGCTGCCAGCGGCAGCGGCAGCGGGAAGATGCGCGGGGTGTACGGGTACTCGGACCGGAGTCCGACTGTCTCTGCGGAGTCGTCGCGGTTTGGCGAGGAGGAGGAGGAGGTGTACGAGCGGGAGCCGCGGCCGAGCAATGCGAGCGCGCGGCGGTATCCGAAGGGCGCGGACGATCCTGATGAGAGCGTGTCGCTGTGGAATCCGCGCGAGCATTCGGACGAGGAGGAGGGTGAAGAGGCGGCGAGGAGGAGGCAGGAGGGTGCTGGTGCTGGCGGGATTAGACTCGTGCAGCAGCGGCCGAGGGGCGGGAGCGGTGGTGTCGCTGGGAGATTCTAGGACGCGAGGCGAAGTTGCGGAATGCGACTCGGACGCTCATCGACGTGGCGTGATATCTGTGCCTGTAATATTTTGCTCCTTGGGACTCTGTTTAGCTGTGGAGTATAGTAAGCCGCGCCCCGTCGCACACACCGATATGATACGATGCGTATATCTTTTTTTCTATCTTTCTTAACGATACGCTCGCGATATTTGGACTGTACATGGCCGAGGGTGCGTGCTGACTTGTAGTTGAGGCGTATGTATCTATTGGATGTATGTGTTGTGGTGGGCTGTAAGTGGAGGTTCTGTGAATCTTCTGCTTCGAGGCTGCCTTTCGAGAATGGAGATATAGCAACCGGTGATGGGCGCTAAAGCTGTTAATTTAGCGCCCAGCACAACTTTTATGGAGTGCGCGGCCGCCTCTCGCCGGGCGGGACTGCTGAGTCCGTCTGTTCAGTGCTCTACTTGTTCCCATCAACTATCTATATGATCTTGTCCTTCAGCTCGCTCGAGCTGGGGTACTGAATGGTGATGCGATCGCACTGAGTATGTACAGTAAGTACTGGAGATCTTGTTCTCTGAGTCGGCATACGGAATCGCCGCTTCAGTATTGGACACCACCACGTCAAGGTTGTGCTTTGACTGGCACCGTTTCTCCAAGATTGGAAAATGCGCCCCTCGTATTGAGACGAGTGTAGTTGGCAGCGCGGCAGTGATATTTACTGAAGAAAACTTTGTGACTCAAGCGTACTTTTTCATGTGTTAGGGGCCCAACAAGTCTGAGAATCTGCATTTTCTTTTCGCACCTTTATCTCCGCTTCTGCCTGTCATTCCGAGTAGGGTAAGTATATTGTGGTTCATGCAGATACTGACTCAACGGCAGAGATGAGCGCTTGGTGGTCCCTGTCGGTATATGGAGTTGCTGCGCTCGACGATGGCATCAGGTCGTCGGTATATAATTATGATTTGTTTCAACGCTTGACAGCTTGTTGACGCGTCCGTGCATTTATTGTTCAGCTTTGGGCTCCAAATGAATTACAACTAGAGCACCCGAGATAAGGCAGGATATTGATGTCATGTCGACGTGTTATGATGGTACATGCAAACGCCCGCAGATAAGACCATTAAGTATACGTAAAAATCAAAGATTGAAGTTATCATGACGAACGTTCAACGTTACGTTCGACCTCGATGCTTCAAGATGTCCCGGGCATTCACAAATTAATCAAAAAATAATAGATACACCCTGTCTTTGAGCGATCTCTACAGCCGCCTCTTCGAAGACGTTGGCGATGTCCTTTAACGGATCACCCTCATCGCCATTATCTAGAAACGTTTACGCCGGCTTTATGCAAGATAAATATTACGATTAAGTACTTACCCGATGTCGTCGGGTCTCGCGTACGCGCTATTAAGAGAAAAACATCTTGTCAAAACCGTCCTTGAGGCCCCATTGGGGAAGTACCACAGTGCTTACCTGTAGACCCCTCGGTGTTGATTCCGATGAACGTCTTCCCAATTGCCGGCCCTTGATCAACGACAACACCATATTGGCTATAGAGAACACCTGACAAGGACTTCACTGCAAACGCGTGTATACCTGATTTTAATGTATTCGGTATTTGAGTTGCTAGAATCACGTACCTTTGAACTGATTTTGAAGTCATGTACCGAGACCTGGTATATCAAGCCATGTACCTGGACCTGAAATGCGAAACCATGTTCGCGATGACGTCAGGTGGCGTCGGCGTTTGGAGAGGGCTCCACACCTAACAAACAAATCCAAATGTTGAACTTGGTCTTCTCGCGTTGTCTTCTCATCCTCCTTGATATCTCTGTCGACCTCTGCCATATCATACTTCTTCTTCCTGCTCACCGCATTGTTACCTCGTGCCTCCTGTTCTCGCGTTCTATAGCAGCTCCGGACACAGGTTGCTTGGCCTGTTAAGTACGTTCCACTGCACCATGCTGACTTTTTGTCACTCAACATATTCGTTTTACCAGCGGAAACGATACCATATTACCATGGCCCGTTCTATGAATCTTCAACAACCATCTATATCTCCGTCTCTTCCGCCGACGGTCCATTCTTTCTCGCAATACCTCACGACTTGACGCCAACATCATGGGCATGCATATCAACCTTCATGGGTGGGCTATCAAGACTCTTGGTGAGCACGACACGGTTCACAGATTGAAATGATGGGCTGATTAAAGAAGGCATCAACCCTGCCGCAGGATGATGAACACCATCGCCGGCATGGGTAAGTACACGATCGGGTGTGATGCATATCGAGGTCCTCGCGATGTGCGTCAAATTTATCGACATTCTCATGGATAGCACGCCCGCGCCCTCCGCCAGCGGCGTCCCCTTGCTGCGGTACAAGTGCTTGCTTCGTGAGCAGTTCTGGTGGGCGTCACATTTTGTCACTCAGTTTTCAGATTGCCCTCGCGGTGGACAACAAGCAGAGGGATCTCGCGTTGCAATGGTCGCCGCACGCGAAGGCACGGGCGCTTGTGGACAATCGTGGCGGGTGAGCGTGAGCGTACCACAACGACGCTTACATCCAGACGAACATCGACGTGCTTGCCTGCGCGTGAGAAAGCTCGCGGTTCCTCGCCTGCAGGCCCCGGTAACAGCAGCGGTATGGGACTGGAGGAGCAAGTGGTGCATCTATTGTATTCGGCATGTTTTCATTATTTATCATTATCTCGTTTACTTACTTTCACTGTCATCTAGTTAATGTCTATGTTACCCCGTTCCCGTCAATACATTAGTCTCCCGAGAGGAGCCACGATGCTTAAGAACAGGTGTGTCCTCACGTCTTGTCATGTATTTGATACCGACAAGTTGGATGATGATGGCGGCAGCGTCCCTACGCCGAATCGGTCGAAGAATCTACAGGTAGTGGGCGGTTCAGGGGGTCAGTTGTAGCTCTATGTATCGAGTAGACCAGTCCTCTGGTTAGAAATACATGAATATCATCGCGTTTGCAATAAATTTTGCTTGCTTAATTGTGTGATAATCACTATGTGTTGCCATTAAAGCTATTAGCTACGTATTCAATCCTGCCTCGTTACCTCGAAAATCATGTTCTTTTGACATGAGAAAGTACATTGAATCCTGCAAAAACGTTAGTTGTTAGATCTCAGGCTTGTACATGATTATCATGAATCATCTACATTATAACTATGTTCCGAAGACATGAATAAGACATGAAAACCACTAACGTACGGGCATACTTTACGTACATGAGTTTCAGGTATCTCTGCTCTCACAGTGCTTTAGTCCGGATCTAAGCTGAACATAGCATTATAGGTACCTTTGCGTTCGCAACGAAGGTCGGAACTCTCTTTCTCAATCGTGACAGAGGCTGAAAGGATCAAAAGAACACAATCGGGACTTTTTTCAATGAATGTCTAGATAAGCTGATGACAAACCTCCGTTCCTGTAGTGCATCGTAGTCATTTCCTGTTCATCGATAAAAGATGACATTGCAGGAGCGCTAGGATTTTTGCTCGTTTTTGTGCCTGATTCGTATGCTGACGTTTTCTTAGCGCGGGCTGCAGCGTGACGCCTGCGCCCCTCCTCGAAAATGGCGTTGTTCGATGCTCGCTGCATGCATAAATCGCATAAATATCGCATCACATGTGTAGACTGGGAAGAATGACCTACCCCCACATCACTCCGCCATGTTTCAACACGGTCGAGCCAAGCTTGGGCTTTGACGGCAGTGACTGGATTTAGACGGAATGTATACCAGCCTCGGCTTTTACCTCACTGCTCTATTTGGATGTTTAGTCTACGACAGGCAAAGAAGGACGATGAGAACCAACATGGAATGTAATTATGAAGAAAGTACTCTTCATAGGTGTACTCAAGGGCAGAGCGAACTTCGTCGTTTGAGACGGCTGGAGGACTGTTGAACTCGATCAAGCCATCCCTGAGTATTTGTTCGCCTTTGTCCAGCCTTTCCTTCGCGGAGCGATGCTTAAGAAAACGGGCCACCTGGCAAAGAACAGACGTTGCTTCGCTGGCAGTGATATCCGCAGGCATGATGACAACAGGACCGAGCTTGTAAATGTGAGGTAGAAGTGAAGAGCGAGCGGTCTACTCGGTGCTGACATATTGGCATAAATCCGCATGCACTTATATAGTGTTTGAGACGCTGTCGAGTGACTATGGCTTTGCTTCAGCAACCTTGACTCGCTGCGTCTGGTTCGAGATAGGACGTTACCATGGCTCCGTTGCGTCCCACCTCTGCGACAATAGCCTGGGCAAAGAGACAAGGGCCTCCGGCGTCTGGGTGAATGGAGCTGATGGTACTTTGTACCGCGGCGGTTCCCAGCGGAGATTGGACGCGGCGGCATTCTCAAACAGCAGCGGCACTTCTCGCGACTGTCTAACAAGGTTCACCACGCCTCCAGACCTTGAACAAGATCATATGGACCCATACGAGCAAACTTGGCCCTTCCCACATCAAGTACTACGCTAGCGCACGGTGTTGTGCCTCCTTCGCTTCGCTACCTCCCTCCTGCACTTCCACCCCGCCCTCGTCATGCCTCTACCCGTCACAGAGGCTCACTCTGGCGAACAACACGAGATGAGCGATGACCCGGCGAAAGCCCATCCACCGCGTCAAGTCTCGATACCGGCGAGGAAGCCCTTCCGCAGGGATGAACTCTCTGGGTTAGAGAAGTGGTGGGGAGACCAATACGAGTGGCTCAAAGCATCTGGTTACGAGCTCAGAGCTCGCTACGCACCTGGATGGGTGGCATCATGGCTAAAGAACATGAAGCAGGCGCCGGAAAAGTCTGAAGACGGCATACGGCTACGAGTGAGCGTTTCTCTTGATGTTGCACCGCTATTTGCTTCTATTGACTTGATATGCTTGAAGTATGTGAAGGTCATAGACGCTACTCGTACTCGGGATGGTGCAACAGTTATGCTCAAATGGACAAGGAAATCCAAGAACCCAGACGAGAGAGCAGTTCACTCGTTTTTCTCCGAAGAGCCGCGCGCATCAGACCCCCACAACCACTGTCTCAGGCTGTTAGATGTTCTCGACGTTCCTGGAGATGACGACCGCATCATCCTTGTTATGCCTCTGGTACGTCCCCATGACTCGCCCCGGTACGACACCGTTGGAGAGGCCTTAGCGTGCATCATGCAGGTATTTGAGGTAAGTCCACGACTTTCTTCGACACATTTATCGGCTAAGGTGAGTAGGGCGTCCAATACATGCATCACCAGAACTCTCCCCATGGGTAAGTCCCGCGTCTGTTCGTGTCTTCCTGACTTACACCTTAGAAGAGACATTAAGGGTAACAATATCATGATGGACGGATCACCGTTGTATAAGCGGCCCTTTCATCCTCAGCAAATAGACATGACCTTAGATTTTAAGAGCAGCGCACGTCATAGTACTCGTACTCGGAATCCCGTTCGCTACTATCTCATTGACTTCGGTTTGTCTCGCCTCTTCGACGACCCGGGTCCCCATCTTGTGTGGCCGTATATAGGCGGAGTCAAGGAATTCCCGGAAATCATTGCCGACGAGCCGTGCGATCCTTTCCCTATGGACATCTTTTGCCTCGGTGTCTGGATTCAAGAAGACTTTCTCGAGGTTTGTGTCGAAAAAGTTCAGATACGAGATTATGTGCTGATTGATGCTACAGAAACGAGACAGTCTGGAGTTTTTAGAGCCTTTTGTCAAAGAACTCACGCAGCCAGAGGCATCGAAACGGCCCAGAATCGACGAAGCCGTCGCTCGCCTGAACACAATCGCTGGCACTCTTTCTTCATGGAAGTTACGCTCTCGAACTCGCGCGCATAGTGATTACTTTAAGCATCTACGCTTCTTTGTCCATTGGCCTAACCGCATTGCGTATATCATCACGAGGACGCCAGCTATTCCGATGCCCTAGTTATTATGCTCTGTCGTAGCCCCTATTTCAACCTTGGACTGTCTTTTGTAGCATATTAATTGCCTATTTGTAGAGCAGCCCCTTCCTGCCTTCCTTACGAGTTAAACTAGGTACACGTATGAGTCTTCCGACTCGTTCTTTTCGGACACACGTGCTGCCAACAACAAATACTCTTGTATGCAAGAAGGGCCAGTAATGGGCCGATCGTCGCCAAAGTAGGGCCCGGGGCAGTACTAATTCGTGTGTTTTTACTTGCACAAATTTTACCCTCATGATTCCAACTTTGGATCAAATCACTGGCTTTAACGAGCGAGGCACGGTGCTCATCACAAGGTACAGCATAAAAGATTTCTCAGAGCGTTAGGTGAGCCACCGAGCGAGCTCCTTGATCCAGTACGTCCACCACCTCGTTTTTTTCCCACGGCCTAAAAAACCATGGTGAACCAGCGAGAAGGCGACTACAGATTAGTTAGTAGCACTAGAAGCATGAATCGCAACCGTTTCCTGTTACATCCAACCAACGTTACCCCCTGTACAACCTACTCAAGGAGCAGGAACACGTTCCAACCACTGGAACAGCTGGACGACACCAGCACAGTGGCGCACGACCCAACTACCCCAACCCGCCCCAGAACCACACAACCTCCATCCCCAGGCCACATCACAGTTTACGGCAGTCGGAAACGCATGGCCGTTGCGTCCCCTAGCCACCGAGAGAGCCCCCGAGAGTCCAAGAGACTGACCCAAACCCAGCCTCGAATCGACGCGGACGCCCTACTCGGCCAAATGCAGCTACAAGCCCAATTCGACGCCCTCCGGCACCTCCAGCCCGTTCCCGAAACCCAAACCGACTCGGAGATGGAGCACGACCAGGCGGACGAGTACCAGACCGACTGGGCCACGGAGAGCGACAACGAACTAGCAGCAACGGCGGCAGGCCAACTCGTCGCTGTTCAGATCCACCTCGAGGCGGCCCTCCTAGCCATGAGCCACCTCTCTCAACACCAGCCGTACCCAGACCACGTCATCCAGGCAGTAGAGGACCTCTACGTCAACATCGTCCGCCCGACGCTCCCCGAACCCACACTGACTCCGACACCGGCGCTCGCACCGTCCCCCGAGCCGTCAAATTTGGACGCCATCATAGACATGATCGCCAAGCTCGACCGCAAGATAGACGCGATGGAGCAGCGCCCCCCGGCGCCTCAACCGTCCCCCCCTATGTCGTACGCACAGAAAGCAGGACGCAAAGCGGACACAGCCACCCCCACCCAACCCCAGACCCAACGCACGCCCAAAGTCAACCCACCAGCCAAACCCCAGCGCCAGCTCATCAACCCGATGACCCGCCACCACCCGTCTCGCCTCGTGATACGCATCCAGTCCGACAACCCGGCAGCCAAGAACACCCGCGACGAGGTGCTCATCTCCGCCATCAACAAGTCCCTCGAGGAAGACGGCGCCGAGGCCAGAGCGGTCGGCCTGCGCTGGAACGGGAAAGGGAACTGCATCGTTATCGCCCACCCCAACTACACCGCAGAAGACCTACTCCCCTACAGCTCCAACTTCGGGAGCATCCTCGCGGGCGAACATGACTTCGAGGCAGCGCCTGACGCGGAGTGGCACCGGGTCCTCCTCCATGGAGTCGACACCGGCACCTCGTATGCAGACGCACCCCATACAGGTGAGGAAGTACTCCTCAGACTCAAAGAAGCCGACCCCGCACTCGCACAGATAAACTTCACCAAGACGCCGACGTGGCTGGCGCACTCGGACGAACTCCGGGGCAAACACCACTCATCGGTCATCCTCACGGTCAAGACGAGGGAGGAGGCGGACTGGCTGACAAAATCGAAGGAGGTAGTGTTCCTCTTCGGGTCGCTGGCGCGGTTCGCCAAATTCCACGACACCAAGCCGCTATGCCAGTGCACTAACTGCTGGGCGTACGACCACTACGCGTCACGCTGCAAAGCCGAAGCACGCTGCCACACCTGCGCCGGCCCTCACCACGAAAACGACCACACCTGCGCAAAGTGCCCCGCCACGGCGGAGGCACAGAAGACCTGCACCCACACTGCCTACAAATGCGCATCCTGCGGAGGAGAGCACGCAGCCGACAGCGCCCGATGCGCTACGCGCCTCGAACGCAAGGGCACAACTCGCCAGCCCAAACCGACCGCGAACGGAGGGAGGAGGACAAGGAAGAAAGGGAAGGGGAAGGGGAAGAGCGCGAAGACGACGGAGGAGGGCCCAGCAGGAGAGGGCGAGGAGATGGAGACAGAAGCCACCAACAAGACACCGTCACCGACGGACACCAGCCCGGGACCGACCACGTCGACTCCGACCCCGTCAAACCCGACCCCCGCTGACGCACCTTCACCGATGTCTCTATGATAGAGACAACCACACAACCAATCCAGATCGCACAGCTGAACACAAATCGCAGCAACGCGGTGTGTCATTCCTTACTGAACAAAACCATCACCAGCCATGACATTCTCCTGTTGACAGAACCTTGGTATGGGTCCATCGGCAACGGCGCGCGGGGTACCCCGAGCCTCAGCGGATGGCAGCCCATCCTACCTACATTCGACATCCCGGCCGACGCCGCCCCCCGGGTAGCAGCATATGTCCGGAAGAGGTCCGACTTCACGGTCACACTTCGGTCGGACCTCGCATCGGACCTGGACTTCCAGATCCTACAGATAGACCAACGCCTGCACCCATCCGTCCTCCTCATCAACATCTACAACAACGACGGACCCGCCGGTCAAGGGAGGACGCTCGACCGCCTCCAGCGCGTGGCCCTCCCACACGGCATGCCAATCGTCCTCTCAGGCGACTGGAACGAACACCACCCGCTGTGGTCCAAGGACGTCGCAACTCCGTCGGCCCGCGCGGACGACATGATATCGTGGCTCGCCACGCACGGCCTCACCATGCTTAACGAACGCGGTCGCGCCACCTACTTCGGCCACCAAGGCAACTCCACATCAGTACTCGACCTCACGTTCGCCAACGACGCCGCCCTAACGTGCCAGTCTGTGATGGACTGGGACATCCGGAGCGACATGGCATACAGATCGGACCACCACGCGCTGACATGGACCATCGACCAGGGACGTGCCCCAGTCGAGAACGTCACAGGCCAGAAATACAACTGGAAAGACTTAGAGCCGGATGACATCGACAAATGGAAGGCCAAATTCGGGAGGGAGATCATCGAACGCCAGTGGGCGTTCGACGCCCTCCGGACCCAACCATCACCATCTGAACGGACCCTGGATATCGCCACCGAGGAACTCCACAACGCCCTCCTCGCCGCAACCACCGCCCATGTCCCACTACGCAAAGACTCGCACCGCGCTCGCCCATGGTGGAACCCGGAACTCGACGCTATCCTCGTGGAGATCCAGGAGACCCGGAACACCGGCGCCCAGTACTGGGACCTACTACATGAACCGAAACCAGGCCTCGCACAGACAGTGAAGCAGCTACGCAACCGCTTCCACTGACGTGTTCGCGTCGCCAAACGCAAATGGGCCGACGAGACGCTGGCCGACGCAACTGCGGACGACATCTGGAACTTCGCAAAATGGCCCCAAGGCCGTCGCACATACCAATCCCCAGCGCTCGACCGCGGCCCAGGACAGGAGAAGGCAACGCTCCACCAGGAAAAGTGCGATACCCTCCGGGAAGCGCTGTTCAAACCCCCACCCAACATTCCCTGCAACGAACCCGACCTCAGCGTCGACGACCCCGACGCTATCGCATGGACGCCCCTCACGTACAAAGAAGTCCGATCCGCAATCTTCAGCCCGAGCACGAAGAAAGCGCCGGGCCCGACCCAGATCAACAACACGGCCCTCCGGTGGGCGTGGGCCATCAATCCGGAGACCATACACCTCCTCCTCGACCGCTGCGCAGCCACGGGGTACCACCCCAAAGCATGGCGCAACACCGTAGCCGTCGCCCTGCAGAAACCCCGCAAGCCCGACTACTCCAAACCCCGCGCATACCGCCTCATTCAACTCGAGGAGTGCCTCGGCAAGGCGTTAGAGAGCGTGATGGCCACACGTCTCTCGCACTGGTGCGACGCACATAACCTCGTCCCCCAGACGCAGTTCGGAGGCCGAAGAGGGAGCTCGACCGTAGACGCCGGTCTTACACTGACTCACGACATAGAACTAGCACGACAACACAAGCTTGTCACGTCATGCCTCTCCTTCGACATCAAGGGCTTCTTCGATAACGTCAACCATGGACGCCTAATCGATATCATGCATGCGAAGAAAATCCCCACAAGAGTGATCCGGTGGGTGAAGTCTTTTCTATCAGACCGCTCCACTGCCATTTGCCTCGACGGCATCACATCCACAGCGCAACCAGTAGCGAACGGCATCCCGCAGGGATCACCGATCTCGCCCATCCTATCAATCATCTACGCATCCCCACTATACGAACTATACGAGGAACGTTCCCGCACCCGCGCCCGCCGGTCCGACGATCCAAACACCACCTCCACCACCTTCCTGGGCTACGTCGACAGGGTATGCAGGGGACGCCGATGGAGATGCTCGGTAGCACGGATGGCCAATTGCGCCGACATGCTCGGTCCAGCGGACATCCGCGGACAGCTGGAGTGGTCGCGTCCGCGGATGCTACATTATAAGTACAATTTACTACAATAATAGTAATGAGGTAATGTTAAGGCTCTGAGCAGTGGGCTATGCTGTCGGCGTCAGTGGTCACTATGGCATTCACAAGTACACTACAAATATAATAGCCAATCACGATAATGTGTTAGTAGCATGTTGGGGATTCTAATACGGTTTCGGCGTCTGCAGAATGTCGGCGTCAATGTCATGTCGGCGTCAATACCATATCGGTGTCTGTGACAGGTTCGGGTCCGCGGATGCATTTGCATTAGTAAACGGGGCTACAAATGTGATATGAGTCGGTATTGGATATGCTATCGGCATCCATTCACATAGTAGTGGACTGTGTTCA